AGGCTTTAGTATACGATGTGATTGGTCAGTATTTTTGGTGGGTCTGGCCTGTGACTCGATTACTACAAAGCTGCTTTGTTCAATATACGAAAGCGGTTGTTTGGTAGCGTACGCCTAGAGTACGCCTAGTGAAAATTTGGTTTTGAGACAGTTCCCCTTATGGCCCACCGTAATCGCTCCAGATTGGCGTCTCGATACCTCGTGGACATGCGTCCAGCCTGCTCCCCTTAAGCTCCCACGGATGTCAATTCTGCTGGCCTTTGATAGTGACAAATTGGTAGCTGTCCAGATCCCTATTCTGGCCTGAATCATGGCCTAGTTAACCCATGATGGCGGACTCTGCGTATGGGAATAAAGCTGCCAGTGTTAGTTTTACTCTCCCCTAGCCCTCCAAGTCTTGGATGGTGTTATTGAAGGGTGAATAGTTGCCCGACTGCCATGATGCACTTGGATATTCCTCAGCCAAGCATGCAGTGCGTCTTGTGTGCATCAACCCATGTTTGAAGGAATTCTAGACTCCATATTTTCTTGTGCAAGCAATCATGAGATTGGGGTTTGCCTCTGCCATATTATATATATACCTACATAGTTTGTACCCTTGAGGTCCGGGATTCCAAGCAGTCCTCCATGATGTCCTTTTCTATTCCATTATGTCTTCCCAGCCTGGGGCTTACTCCAAACCCACCAGTATTCACGACCAAGGCGATATATATCATGCCAACTGCAAATTCCTATGAACAGGGCCATAACGACTTACTCAAGCACTTAAATACACCTATAACCCCCCTTTCTCCCCCTTTTTATTTATTTGCTTAACCCCGCCCCCAATTGTCTTTCCCCAGCCCATCAGAGGCACCAGACTCCGTATAGCTTCGCAACCTGACAAAGCTATGTGGAGTGGCAGTGGCCTTTGGGAGGTGACATGTCAGGCTAGACGATGGCAGGATGTGTCCCCATTTCACTCAACCACCTGCCGGAGAAGTATGACTCCATCATGGGGTGCTTTTCAGTCTCGCTTGCTCCTTATCTACCACATGGTGCTGTGTATGGTAGCCCATCCCAGGCACCCCTTGAGAGAAGTCCAGCCATAAATGCACACTGGCCTCTAAATGGAGCTTTGCAAAATCTTTATAATCGGTTTCCCTTCCGCCCGACTTGGGGAGGTACCATTTGTCAAGGTGAGAGTCGGTTTCGCTTCCGGGTTCCTTCGCCAATCCCATTCGTCAAGGTGCCTTAGGTTTATTCCTGCATCGGTGGATATCAGTCCGGACTGGCTCTACGAGACTCCCTCGCTCCTTCCGTATTAGATATCCAAGACTCGAGAAAGCCACACCCACTTACGCGAGGATTTCCTTAACCCTAGGGTCTCTTCTCAACCCCGACCATCTTCGTCCGAAACCTACCTACCCATCTATCCACCTACCTACCTACCTACCTACTAATGAAGCATATCTTGACAGCCTTCCGACCACCCAACCCGACCATCTGCCTAACCGGCAGGCCCTGATTCATGCGTCCAGTGGTGAGTCGATTTTCTGGTTACGTGCATTGCCCTGGTCCCCGAGTTCAACACCACTTCCCCGAGCATCACCGGCCCAAGAATCTTCCCTCATGAATCCCTACACCATCGTTCTAGAACACAGCTCACCCGCGAATGATTCACCATCGTCCAGTCGATTCATACAGTAGGTCAACGTCCTTGCCACCCAGCACAAGGAATCTCTATAAATACTCCCACCTCCCACCTCCCTCCTCCCACCTCCCATCTCCCACTTCTATCTCCCAGACCACCACTACTCCCGTTCCTCATCCAAGACTGGCCCCGGTCTTCATCAATCGTTTATTTCGTCGTTCCATTACCAGAAAGACAATATTTAACCCCGTTCTGTCTCTGTGGGCGTGGGATCTTTTCGGTGTGCCTACTTAGCCCTCTCCAGTGCTCACAGATTTCTTGATCCACAGACAGACGCGTACCGACACGAAACAACCGTCATCAAGCAATATCGCGTTCCTCGTTCCTTCCGAGTTTCATACAGGCCAAGTCGTTCCTGTACATCCTAATAGTGAGTGGTCTTCTTACAAGCAGAGCCTATGCAATGAGAAGAGGAATTCCCATTCCGTTCATTGTCTTCCAGTTATATAGTGTGGGAAGTCGACTAACCCAACTCTATTCAATAGGATATCGGTCTGTTTACAAAGAATTATCCAATATGAACCAAGTCGCACCTGGTTCGTCTTTCCCCTGAGTCGCCCTTCACCCCTGATCTGCCCCAGCTAACAATACCAAAGGAAACGCTGTCGCCAAACGACCCTACGAGGGGGCTGATGGCAATCTACCAATTAAGAGGAGACTGCGGGCCTCCACGCAAGCGCAAGCCAGAAGTGTGCCGATCCCAGCATCCGCCACAGCTGCCGCAGGTACGGAAGCTTCGAGGCCAACCGACAACATCTGCCCTGAAGAAGCCGAACAGTCTCCTACCCTACTCCAAGTGGCTCAGCCTCCCGTTGTTCAACCTCCTGTTGTTCTGCCCCCTGCGCCGTATCCTAGTCCCATATCTCCCTTTACAAGTACACCTCCTGGAATTCCAGTTTCACCACCATCAGCCACAGGGGAGGATGATCGATTCATTGATTTGTCATCATCATATCTCTCTCCGGAAGTAGTGATTGAGGAGGTGCAAGGAGCTGCATACAGCGGCACTTTCCCTGTTCTTGCCGAAGACCAACAACAAGAGAAGTGTGCCGCCGGCGAGAAGGATGTACAGACCCCAGCTACTCAACAGGGTATCGAGGGACTAAAGATTTGGGCAAAGCGCAGGCAGGGCCTTTGTGATGCACTGCCTTACTTCAAGGCACACCAGGGATCCCTATACACGGTCAACCTTGTTCCGTTTGGCCTTCTCATTGCCAGAGAAGCACGGAGCCGTGACCAGTTTGACGGCCAAGTCATTATCACCTCCGTGTAAGTTCATTCGCTGTTCTCAATACTTGGTTGCCAAGTCCTAACTCAAGAGTGGCAGGGGCGGTGGGCGTGTTCGAGATGAAGACTCGGGTCAAATGATTCGTGTCCAGGATCAGGAAGAGAACCGATCCTTGAAATCTCTCCGACGCTGCAACGATGAGCGGATACCAATTGCTGTAATTGCTGGTAAGATTTTCCCTCACTTCTTGGCCAAGTATCCTTGCTGACCGCATCCACTACCAGGAGACGACCACCCACACTATCCAGTCAAACCCCCTCGTCCCTACTGTGTCCTGGACTTCTTCCAAGTCACAGATATCTGGGCCGAGAAGCAGGTATACCTGAATAAGGATGCCTGTAGAGTGTGGTGTGTTCGGCTGGAGAAGATAGACCTCCACAGCCCCTCATGGTGGGATCCGTCGATGACCACCCTGTCCTCCGATGACGTGCAACAACGCTCTCACTCCGAAGCCCAGACATGCAGGTTGTGCGCCGAAAGTTCAAAGGTTATCTATACCCAAGGTTGGACGTGCCTCAATCACAAGTGCAGCTCGTTCCTGCAGACTGAAGGAATTGATATGGATTTCAATGCCCTCCAGTACACATCAACCTTTATTTCCGAGCGCACGCCCTTCGTCGGGCCACTCCCCAGCCTGGTTCCTCCACTTCCAAGTGAGGATTTGCTCAACAGCTCCCACGGCTCGGAGAAGATATTCCGAGTGGGCATTGTCTGCCCTGATTGTGGGTGTTGCAGCTCCCGTCGTTCCTGGGCTGCTTGGGAGTGCGAGAATTGCGACTATCGGCTGCCTGGGCGGATGAGCCAATATCCTAAGGACCTTCTGGGAAAGGAGCGCCTGGAGTTTGAGATGGCCACTACCCGGATGCGCAAGAGGAACGGCCTGGTGAACGAACCCGTCGCCCTCCGGATTGATTCTGCCTGTGTGGTTTCCCGGACCCTGGACGTCGGTGGCAAGTATACTGCCACACAATACCTGCTTCCCGGCGAGAACGATGACAAGGTCGGATCTGTGACTGTCTTGCATGCCAACGAGGCCATTTGCTCTGGGAGGAATGGGCCGCACGAGATCTTTGATGAACTCTGCACCCAGGATATTGGCCTGCGCCGGAACCCGGTAACTCGAAATGGCGGTAAGTGACCATCCCGATCTACAGACCTTGACAGATACTAACTGAGAAATAGCAAAGACAGAGGTCTGGACCCGGCACTTTGCGAAGAATTGGGTATGTATATAAACCCGACACTTGGCTTACCAGAATGTTTGAAGCTGACAACTGTTAACAGGGAGCGCCATACAAGTTCGCAGTCACTGTACAGTCCAAGGCTTTTGACGAGGCGCCGCCATCCATCTTGAAAGCCATCCATCGCATGCTCTGGGCTGGAAAGACCGCCGCCAGGACAGCCAAAGAATGGCTTTCGGAAAGGGGAGAACAGAACCCTGTCCCAGAGGGGAATGTGGTCTTCAACGAGTTGCTGAGCCTGGGGTACATGGAGGATGATCGCATCTCCGTAAGTCTTGGACAGCTCTATTGTTGTTCGCGCACTGACTAACGCTCTTCCACATAGTATCATGATGATGGCGAGAAAGAACTGGGCCCAACAGTGGCCACCCTGTCACTCGGGTGCCCGGCAATTATGTCGTTCAGGCCCAAGAAGAAGGCGAACATCAAGACCTCTGCCCCCCCTAAGGGGCCCACTGGAGAGTACGGTGAGGTGCTGTCTCTGCCACTCTTCCATGGAGACCTTGTTGTCATGCATGGAACAGGAATTCACAAGTTGTATGATGTAAGTCTACCTATCTGTCCAGTTTAGTCATGTCCGCAGACCTAACTTGGGGATAGCACAAAGTTGATCCTCAGGGAGCCCGGCGGTTTGCCTTGACCTGCCGATACATTGACCCGGCGACAATGAGCAGCAAAGAGGACCAAGACGCTGCTATCACAAAAGGAACGATTCCGGCGGATTCGTTCCAAAAATACGCATACGACGGCCATGACTCTGATCCCGAGGAGGCATGAGATTAGGGCCTGATCCGATCATTCTATGATATACGGATTCCCATAAGGTTGATTTGTGGTCAAGGGACTTAAGGACACACGTGTCAGGGGTGCTATGAAGGAATATCACAATGCTAATTTGGGACTGAAGGGAGCTACTTACCTTGCTACTGGTGTGGTGAAATCTGGGCTGGGACAATTGGGCTTTCGGGGTGTTAATGTAGGATTGGGACAGATGGCATTGGGGTTTGGGTGGTGATGATGGGTTATAGGGTTCACACCCAGTTGGAACACAGAGCATTGCTGGCATCAAGATACCATTGCTTTTGAGGCGTACCAAAGGAGATCCTTGGAGTTCCCTCTCTCCTTGTATCATGGATTCCTCTGGCTGCATTGTTGCATTTGCTTGAAACTGAATAGCCTCATGGCGACGCCGAGGTTGGTCTTTCTCCTCCCAATATCCCTATTCTGTGAGGTGCAGGAACGGCCAAAAAGCCTTGCAAATAAATGTGCCTGAATTGAAGTATTTTACACTAATTCACACAGCTACGAGCGAGACTTTGCAGATCCATTGCCAGACACAAGCAACACGACACTGCCCAGCTGCCTCCTGATATCCTCCCTCTCCACATCATGGGTATCCTCCACCTCCCCCCACCTACCAATCTGCCAATCAACCTCGATGCTCGCCGCCCTCGCCGCCTCCTCAACCCCAAAGCTCCCCTTCCCCTCCCCCTCCCCATCCTCGCCCAAGACGGCATCGCCGGTGGCCCTCGCCCTGGCCTCGGACCCGGCCTCCCCCTCGCTCCACTCGATGAGCAGCCTCGCGGCGACGAGCAGGCTCTTGCCCGCGAGCGTGGCCCTCTCCAGCGCGGCCAGCTCCCAGTGGCCCAGGCCTTCGACCCAGGCGCGCACGGCGGCGGTCAGCTCGGGCGGGTGGCGGCGCGGCATGATGGAGTCGCCGTCGAGGACGGGCCGGACGGCGGGCGCGCCGGGCCAGGCGCGCCCCGAGACGTGCGGGCCGATCCGCGAGAGCGCCTGCTCCTGCACGTCGCGGAGCGAGCGGCCCCGGTCGTCGAGGGCCGAGGACGGGCTTGCCGGGTCAGACGGGTCGGCGGCCGGGGCGAGGCAGAGGAGGGAGTCTGTCTCGAGGTAGCGGAGGAGCATTGTGGTTATGGAGGCGCGGATCGAGGCTGGGGAGGGGGGGGAGGTGGTGGCTGCGGCGGCGTCGTCGGCGGCGATGTCGAGGGCGCGGCAGATCAGCGAGGTGAGCGGGACGAGGTGCTCCTTTGTGCCCTGCTGGGCTGAGGTCAGGAGGTCCCACTCTAGGGCGAGGGCGTGCGCTAGGTGCGGCTTGCTGAGGGGTAGGCGGATGACTTCCTTGGTGGTTGGGTGGCGCACGGCTCGGGAGTCGAGGTGCACTTCGTAGGCGCCTGGGTTTGGTTAGTATGGGGTCTACTCGACGTTTGGACCGAAAAGAGAAGAAGAACGTTTGGGAGGCCTAGTGGGAGAGAGGGAAAAAAAGGGGGGAGAAATGAGAAAGAAAGAAACATACCGTTGACCTCCCTGACGTGGACGTCCTGCCAGAACCGCTTCTTCAGCACCCGAGTCCCCGCCGCCGCCGCGCCGCCGCTCTTCGCCGCCCTGGCCGCTGCGGACGCGGCGGACCGCAGGTCCCTCGCCTGGCGCAGCATCTCGGCCTGCCTCGTCCGGCGCGCGGCGCGCGAGTAGTCTCCACGCTCGGTGGCGGCCGGCACGGGCGGCTCCGGAGGGGGCCCGGTGCCGTATACGGGGACGACATTGGCTGGCCGGGGGGCGTCGCTGTGGAGGGCTGCCGCCGCGACGCGGCCGAGGGCTGGGGCTGCTGCCGCTCGGGATGGTAGCGGTCGGAGGCTGCCGAGGACGAGGAGGGATACTCGCGTTGGAGGCTTCATCTTTTCCCCTTTGTGACTGATAGCGGCGAGTGTTCAGCCAGCTGGGTGATAGGAGGAGGATGAAGGAAGGAAGGGCGAATGTGAGCTTCTACACGCACAAGATTGGCTACCTTTACTTGCAATAGGTGTTGGTGTTGGAGCTGTGGACTTTTTCTAGCTAGCGGCAAACTCCGTCGCGATAGTTTTTGGTACGTAATTTCCCCAATTGAATGTACGAGCAAGATGACATCACCGCTTGGAACAGCTCTGTTCCTATCCTCAGCGGCGAAATAAAAGGGGAACTTTCAAGAACTTGCTTCCCCTTGAGCCACGAATAGTAGACTAAGTATGTACAGAATATGCCAGAACCCATCTACAGGGCCTAAACCCTCTCTCGCATTTTACTGATTGCGAAGCCTCGTGCCGATTAATGGGCTTGTAGAATGAAAAAGAAGAAAAGCCAATCGCTATAGGACACCCAACAAGAGTTGCCTCCGTTTATATAGATATTCATGTTTCCCTGCCAAATGCAAGAACTGTGCAGTGTTGTACAAGGGCAAGGGGATAATATTATCCGCCATATCCTCCGAGTTGGTTGTCTGGCATCGACACTCCCGGTATTTTTATATACGCAGCAGCCATATTCCAAAATTTCGAGCTTTAGTAAGGTGGTTTGGAAACGCTCCCCAGGTTGTGCTCCCCAGCCCGGCTATCGATCCCCATCAGAAGGGACTGCAGATCCATCGTTGGCGGCCCTTCCTGCCCCGCGGCGGCCCATGATAGAGGCGCAACGCTCTCCCCGCCCCTGCTCTTTAGGGTCCGCCTGGAAGTTGTTGGCCTCGAAGCCGCCATGGGTTGGTCCCGCCGCGGAACCGCCGACGACGCCACCGACGTTTGGCGCTCCAGACCGCTTGGCAGTGGTGGGACTGGTGGAACCTCCGCCGCGGCTTCTTGCTCCTCGCCTTGGTCACTGTCGTGGGTCGGGTGCGAGGTCAGCGGCCCGCCCTCGCCGCTTGACCTTGGGTCGTGAGACACCTGGTGCGACACAACCTTCGCATGATCTCCAATGCTCGTACCATTTTCCGCAGTCGCCGGGTTAAACGACAGCTCGCTTGGCGTCATGTCATAGCTAGCCACGCTATCGGAGCTCTCGTCATCTTGTTGAAGATCGGCGGCGGCGGTGTGCATGCGATTGGGAGGTGGCTGTAGCTGGCCGGACAGGACGAGTTTCAGCTGATCCACCGAAGTGACAGGCCCTCCCGTAGCCGTCGAGGCGCTATCCGGCGCCGGTGAGGCATTGCTACGGATGCTGGACTTGCGCTGTTTATTAAATAATAGCACCGCATTGCCGCCAACTGGCGACGAGGTGGGTCGCAGATTCGTCTGACTTCCTGCTGGCGAACCATGTCCGTTGACAGCCGTCAGCCCATTGACCCCAAGACGATTGCGACTGGTGCCTGTCGTCCGCGAGCCGCTCAGCGAAGCGGACTTGCTCTCTGCCTGGACAGTAGCCAGAACGGCTTCGCGAGACCAGTCTGATAGCATCTGCTCGCGGAGGTGAGACGGGAGCTCGTGCTCGGTTTCAATGGTAGGGATGGTGCTGAAAGTCGAGTTCATGATGGGGTGCGAAAAGCTCCGCCCGGGACTGGTGGCTGGGCTTGCAGGCGGCGAGATGGTGCTCTCCTGGTAGTTCGTGCAGATACATTCGATGAGAGAGATCCGATCGTCAAAGGGCAGCAGCGCTTCCGATTCGATCTCTTTCAGAGGCATCCTCGGCTGCGGTCTAGCAATGCCGGGCGTGCCAATGAGTTCGAGGAGCGGAGGGGGAACGTGGATGCCTTCAATCCAGAAATGCTTGCTTCGCCGGCGGATGATTTCATTGTGGATTGCCCTCCCGACAACTGATGCTTCGGCATCGAAAATATCGGTCAGGAGCCAGAAGTACCCATGGCATAAACTGCCCATCCGCACCTTGGCTATTGGTGTCTCGGCATCTTGGATGTCTTCTTGCAGCCGGAATATCATGGGCAAGCCATACCGGGCAGCGTTGACCCCGAGCTGCTTGACCAATTTAGCAAGCAGGACGTGAAGCAACACCATGTCCGTCTCATAGTCGACGTATTGCACGGCGTTTTCATAGATTGCAACGTGCAGGAGTGTTAGGAAGTGTGATCGCGGAGTCTTCACTGGCTTGTCCCGCATCGACGCATTGGAGGCAGCTCGCCAGCCAGGGCTGGAGCCAAGCAATTCCCGGCTCCTCGCCGACGACCGCTTATGGTGGACTGCAGTCTCGTCCTTGGCTTTAAGATCCGCCTTGGTCGTCTCTCGATCTAGCCAGGTTAAGACAGCATCTGCATATGCCTTTCGAACCAGCCCGTCAGGGTCGCGTAGAAGCCACTGCGTCCCTTCCCAGACTTGGATGGGAACTCGATTCCTCGACAGATTGACGTTCCCGGTCATCTTGGTCCGGGGATTGGCCACTAACAAGACCGATTTGATGGCCTTGAGAGCCGCAGTCTTCGCAACAGTGAGAGAAAAGAGCGAGTCGAAGTGCTGGTCTTCCACCGACGCTATCGAGCCAGCAGGGCCGCCATTGCCGTCTGTTTTCTCGGCAAGGGAGGAGGAATTGGTGGTACCAATGGATCGCGAAGGCTTCAACTTGGAAAGGATGGTGGAAATAATATCCGAGATCTGATCCGCGTAGTAGACGTGTGTCGCCAAATCGCCGATACAATGCTGTAGGCGATACAACAGCTCCTTACGCTGCGATGCGACCTTTTCGGCCTTCTCGGCGAATTGTATTGTCGTAGGCGATCTGGGATCAGGCTGACCGGGCATGGGCAGATCGCCCTTCATGCTATCGGGATCTCCTGGCATCTGGACAAGCCTCCTCATGTGGGCGAGCAGTTGTAGCAAGACGTCGATAACGCTCAACCCGATCAAGTTGACGTCTGATCTTAATAAAGACCCGATCATCGCTGTCAACACGATATGTCGCTGCAAGTTCTCGTCTAGCAACGGTGTCTTTGTGAGCATGTCCAACGTGGTGACGAGGATCGTGTATCGGTCTTGGACTGGAGACCATCGGGATATCAGATTCAACATCTTGATCGCCCACCCACTGTCCTTCCCATTGTTTGCATTCGTCTTGATGACCGTTTCGTTCTGGACCAAGCGCTCTTGGGTAAACCTGACAAGGGCCATGGTGGCGGCATGGATCTGCGAACGGTTCGGGACGACAAATATCTGCTTTAGGCATTGCATCGCCAACACGCCGATGTCCTCCTCGGCAAGCTTGTCCACGTCCACAGCGGATCCCGAGAACGCAAGCGGATTCGCATCGCCAGCAGTGTCGGCTGTTCGCACCGTTGCAACACTTGTCCTCCTCTTAAGCAAGGGGGTAGCATCAACCTTCTCTTCCATTTCAGCCCGATGGAGCAATACCTCCAAGAACTCTTCGTTGTCGGTCCACAGATTCTCCAATATCATGGGGACCACCACGTCGTAGTGGCCGCCGGAGACGGAAGATAGGGAATCAGAAGAGGCGACACTCCTTATAGCCTCCAACCCCGAATTCCTCCACCGCATCGACACGGGTTTGCTGGGTTGTACTTTGCCCGGAGACGACCGAGTGGACGCCAGAGCGGCATACTGTCGGACCACAGCCTCGTATTGCCGCAGGTACGCTTGGTCGGCGAGGAGAGACGAGGCGTCATGGTGTTCACAAAATGCATCGAAGGTTCGCACTGACGATTCAACCATGGTAATATCGCTCGAACGGAGAATCTGGTCGAGAATCTTGAGAACGCATGGCGCAATGAGCGGTAGGTCCTTGGGCGATTTCTCGATCAAGGCGGCCAGGATCTGAAGAGTAACCTGTACGTTTCTGTAGGAACGCGTGCGTCAGTCTCTTGGAAACAATGCTCGCGACTTGGCGCCTCCGGACGACCCGGATTTCACGTACCCTATACGCAAGCGATAGACATCGCTAGCTGTCTTCTTCTCCAAAAAGCTGCCGATCTTTTGGATCTTTGTCCTTCGCGACTGGGCATAGAACAGCAGGTAGCTGAGCTCACTCGAATTAGGCTTGACATCGACGGCACCCTTAGTCGTCCGTGGATAACATTTCAGGACCAACACCTGATGCTTTGGCCGGCATCTTTTCTGAATCGCGTTCATGGTGGGAGACAAACGACCATGAATGCGAGCGCACCACCGGGCTTCTCGAATGCGGCTCGAACGAGGAGAGGAGGGAGTTATGGAGGGCCCGAGAGTCGAGATTCTGTTGCGCCACGGATTGGAGATGATTTCCGAGCTGTCCAGCTAATAAATAAATGGACTAGTTGCTTCAGCCCTGGGTTGGTCCTTCCACAAACTTTCGGTGGTCTCGGGACTAGCAAGGGTGTTTGGAAATGGTGCTTGTATCAACCCCAACGATTTAGCCCAGAAGGTACTTCATGGCTGGAACAGGGGTCGGGTATTGGAGATGACGAATTGTTCTCTAGGAACCTCTGTCTTGGAACGGGGGTTGTGGAAAGGCCAGCCTCAATCGAATGAGGAGAATGATAACACCTGGCTAGGTACCTAAGTATGAAGGGGGGCGGGCGTACAAGAACGAGGGAAATCTTCAATCATAACGCAAACGGCCACATCCGGAAGTTGGGGGTTGATGATGGTGATGTGTTCGTTTGCTTTCGGCGGCGTATGCGTACACTAAAATACAACCTGGAACCTGTGTTAGCCTTCAAACCCCCCCTTTACGGATACGGTCAAAAACGTCAGGAATGTCGGTACTTGGTAATCAAGCTAATTTAATTACACTACCGCGGTCCTGAAAAACCACCAGCAAGGCGATAGCAACAGTTGTAATGACGCGCCTTGTTACGGCTGTTTATGGCTGTGACGTAGAAACACTGTGGCTAAGTCGGAAGAATCGCAGAGGAATCAGACTGACTTTGAGATGCTGTTGTTATTCCAAGGCTGCTCCCGTTGAATAGGGCAGGTGCCAGTCAACAGCCAACTATCCCATCACATGACGGATATCTGATGTATACGTCATAAGACCCAAGGCACAAGGGCGAGTCCCATCATGTGTCGCCTTAGTTGCCGTATTTGGCTGTCGATGCTCGATGCTCTCTTCTATGTCTACCTGATTTGGGAAGGCTGGTCAGCCTGAGCACTCAGAGAACTTATATAGAAGGCCCCCATATACCTAGTTTACTGAGGATCTAGGCGCGACGCGACAGATGTACGGTAGGATGGGGCTGTGCGTACATAAGCATGTCAGGTGTGCGGGGCATGGATGGTATCTTTAAACACTAAAACGGGCAACCACCAACCATCCTGACCGCTCCCTCTTTATGCCCCTGACACCTTCAACACTTCCTTCGTCGCCTGCTCTGCTTACCTTCCAACAAGATGAAGCTGTATTACATCGGAGTAAGATGTCGTGCCCCAACAATCATGGTCGCTGGTGCTCATGTGGATTAGATCCTAGACAACACGCAGAAGCCGGCGGTACAGCTCTGCGCAGAGCATGAGCTCAGCGAATTCTCGCGATGGACCAGAAACGAGTACGCATCGTTCATGACCATGTTCAGCAAAACTATCGCAGAGCGTACCAAGCCTGGCCAGAGGAACAACGTTGAAGAACAGGGTATTGCTTCTCCATTTCCGCCCCTCATATCTGCGTGTCTTGCTTATCTGATGTCACCTAGATTATGTGTTTCACTGCTACGCACGAACCGAGGGCATCGCCGCCGTGATCATCAGCAAAGACTACCCATCCCTGACCGCGCACACGATCCTTTCCAAAGTCCTCGACGAATTCCTCAGCCAGGACCGAAGGACAGCAGACGCAAAGCGGAACCCCAAGGACAACTCAGTTACCTTCGCAGAGTTGCGGCAATATCTCGATAAATACCAAGACCCGGCACAGGCAAGCAGTATCACGGCCATTCAACAGCAACTGGACGAGACCAAAATCATATTGCACAAGACAATCGACAGCGTACGTGTCTCTTGACAAATTGCTTTGCGCTTCCGGTACTGACCTCTCAGGTGCTCCAACGAGGAGAGAAGATCGACGATCTGGTGGCCAAGAGTTCCGACTTGAGCAACCAGAGTAAGGCCTTTTACCAGACCGCCAAGAAACAGAACTCTTGTTGTCTCGTGATGTAAATTGACTGCAGCATTGATACACTGGTCTGGTGTGCACATTAGGACTGTTACTATTCGAAGTCGACCACTTTTGGCGACCTCTGGCGGTTGGTGGATCATTGGCTGGCAGCCTCATCAGAAGAGAGCTTGGCCGACCGCGCCACCAGACAGAACTTGGAATGGAGAGGATTCATACCTGACTCGCCACTCTTCTGCCTGGTTGCAGGCAGCAAGCACAGTCGAGTTAAAGTCACGCTATCTGGGGCGCATATTTTAAGGGTCCCTTAGGCGTTATTGGTAGTCAAGGAAGAAAGCAAGAAAGAAAGCAAGCAATTCAAGTCACTTTTGCAGCCGGCGTTCGAATCTGAAACCCCTGAATCCTAGAGCCCAAGCCATTTTCCTCAGTACACTTTTAACATTAACATTAACAGACCGACCGATGTATCCCATCCGCCATCCTCTTCACCTCCTTGCCCAGGTCCGGGCCCTTGCCCTTCCGATCCGACGCATCCTTCCGGTCCTCCGCCTCGCCCGTCTTCCCCGGCCGCGGCTGCCTCTGCTTCGGCAGGATCGAGAGATCGACCTCGCCGGCGTCCATGAGCGTCTCCGTCACGCGCACAATGTCGGTGATCAGGCGGTCGAGGAGGTCGAAGCTCATGTTCTCGCGGACCACGACGCGCAGGATCTCGGTGCCGTCCTCGGCGGGCGGCAGCGCGTAGTTGGGGACGATCCACTGCCTAGCCCGCAGGAGCAGCGACACCGTCTCCTGCCGGAGGCGCGGGTACTCTCGGCGGAAGTCGTCCGAGAAGCGGAACGACACCACGGGGAGCCCCGCCACGTACTCGGCCGAGGTCTCCCTGCCGGCGATGGGGCCCGTCGCAGAGGCTACCGCCGCCTTGACGCGCTCCTTTAGCGCCCTCGTGTGGGCCGTGGCCGGGGCCTTGCGGTGGATGTCGGACACGCAGTGGTACCAGCCTGTTGCCTCGAGGCTGTTGGAGAGCACGCGCGCGTTGGCGAGGCAGTTCTCCATGACCTGCCGGTAGCCCTGAAAGCCGAGGTGGATGAGGTTATAGTACTGGACCAGGACGTGGGCGCCGGGGCGAGTGAAGTTGAGCGTGTAGGTCTTCTCGGTGCCGCCGAGGTAGTGGAGCTCGAAGACGAGGTGTTTGGGAAGATAGGACTCATCTCGCCAGATGATCCAGCCGATCCCGGCGTAGACAAGGCCGTATTTGTGGCCTACGCAATGAGTTAGTTTGAGCTGTTGAGGTATTGGTCGCTTAGATGGCCAGAGATGCCGCGAAAGAAATACCAGAAGTATTGATTGACTTCACCCGCGGAAGGTTAAAATCCCTGGATCGTGTTAGTACACGCAACGTCCATATACGTAGACTTTCCCCTAAAGAGCATTACCATTTGGGCCCTCCTGCCTGGACATGAGTAAAGGGGGCCACGAAGCCCCCGCTGGCACCATCAACGTGGATGGGGATATCAATGCCAGTCTTCTCCTCGTACTCATCCAGTATCTTGGAGATCTCCTCGACAGGTTCATAATGGCCCGTGTACGTGCTCCCCATGATCACAAACACGCCTATGGTGTTCTCGTCGATGTTCCGGCGGACCAGCTCGGGATCGAGACGGAATGAGCTCTTGGCCGAGACCGGTAGAATACGAGCTTCGACATCAAAGTACCTGGCGAACTTCTCCAAGGCAACCTGAGCATTGGCTCCCATGATGATATTTGGCCGGAGGGTGTCCTTCCCTTCGGCCTGCCGGCGCTCCTGCCATCTGCGCTTCATGGCGAGGCCCCCGAGCTGGATGGCTTCGGACGATCCCGTGGTCGGGGATCCAATGGCCCTCTCCCCGTCCTGAACACCCCATAGATGGGCGAGGATGCTGACACATCGCTCAGCAATGGACACCATGGCGGGATACTCATCGGAATCGGCCAGGTTTTTGGAAAGGTTCTCAATCATCAACTGCTTGGCATTGTCTTCCAGATATGTCCCGACGAAGCTTTACATGCCAGACTTCAGCAACTTCTACGTGGACTTTGGGAATTCAATGCGCTTACCTCGCGAGGTTGAGGTTCGGCCTCCCATCGAGGTCGAGCTCATCGCTGAGCATACTATAGACTGAGTCGGCAGGAGCGCCTTCCGCTGGAATTGTATACTTCGGGATGAGAATCTGGCTCGTATAGCGAGACATGTAGGGAGTCAGATGCGGCTCCTGAGCCTCCTTGTGAGGGTTGGGACCCCGCAGCGCTTCCGAGATGTGAGTGTCCGCGAGGTGCCGGATGACATCTTCTGCGTTGACCTGTGGTATCCCGTGTCTTCAGTTTCGTTCTCCTGCCCGAGGAGGCACGATTTTTGGGCTTACATGGTGTGACAAAGACATATTGTTGGTACCTCAAGGCTCGGCTGAGGTTGACAAAAGGCGACGGCGATGATCTCGAGGATTGAATCTCTGCATCTTGTCAAGCCCGTAGGTGTCGTATCTGACGAATTTGAACCCCAGGGGAATCACATGGTTTCCTGGTAATGATGTCATGTATACGAGATATATCGCGAACAGGCCTAAGAGGGGAGTTAAGCATTCTCGATCGGCGGAGATCAAGATATCGATCGTCATCATGGCAGACAGACACCTGTGTGGACATCAAGGAGACTAGGTAGGTGATGTAGGTGAATAAGTTATGCGTCAATACTTTTGTAAAGACCATCTTATGCCGACGCCCACCTTCGACCTCGATCAAACGGCATAGTAGGTACAGTGCAGACATTATTTCAGTTGCCTCTCGCTTGCCCAAGCATCCATCCATCTCCATAGGAAACAGCATGACAAGGATAACAGAGAGATGAGAGCGAGGAAACTAAGACCCAGTATCTTCCTCACGTCACGGCACCAGGCCATGATCGCAATGAAAAAAAAAGGTTTGGATATCAAAAATTGCCGCCAGGACGGCCCCGAAGGGCAATCCAGGCTAGTCGGCTCCACGATGTGCAATGCAGGCCTCCTATCCTGCTTGCGGAAATTCTTGAGCGTCCACAAGCCAGCGAAGGTAAGTATGAAGAAGAAAAATGGAAAAAGTTTGAAAAGCTGGCGGAGGGGCGCTGGTTATATAGGCAATTAACCTGGTCCGTGCATACCTGCAAATTTCTGACTGGGGACTGCAGAAATTTGACCGCCTTTTTTCTGCCAAAGTTGCTTCGACATGCCTATAGGCGGTTGACGTAATACGACAGGTAAGACCCGCGCAAGGGGGCTGCGCCTGCCTTTCAACACCTCACCTTTCAATCATGAGGAATCCTAGAGGCATCTGGGCCGTTACGTATTTATCTCCCTTCTCAAGACCTCGGAGTCTCCATATACCCTTTCTCTTTGCACCAAAAACGTCACTATATACTAATTTGATCGCTGCTCGCAATATGTCTACCATCACATTGAAGGAACACAACATACCCGTTACCCTCTCAGAAGGCTTGTCGGAGAAACAATTACTATCCTTCCATCCCTTCAATGTAAATCCTCCCCGAATCTAGAAAAGGCAGTGATTCATAAACGGTAGCTAACATTTGGTACGGTCCTGGGTCTCCAACCTGACCAAATCCCTCTCCCTCCAAACCCACAACCCGCAACATCCCTTCCACGGCGACCCCTATGAGCTCCGCTCCATCAAAATACAATCCTTCGACCTATTTGGCGGCTCCCGCCTGGGCTTCGTCAAGCTCGTCGCCGAAGTCACCAACTCGGCCCGGGAGAGGCTCCCCGGCGCCGTCTTCCTGCGCGGGCCGAGCGTAGCCATGCTGGTAGTCCTGGTCCCCGACGACGCCCCGCTGGAAGAGGGGAAAGCGGACCGTTACGTGCTGCTGACCGTGCAGCCGCGCATAGCGGCGGGCAGCTTGGCGTTTGTGGAGCTTCCGGCCGGGATGGTGGACGAGGCGGGTAACTTTGCGGGCACGGCGGCCAAGGAGATCAAGGAGGAGCTGGGGCTGGACATCCCGGAAAGCGAGCTGAGGTGCTTGAGCGAGCTTGCTGCCCCCCGGCCGTCCGTCGCTGAGGTTGCGGCGGTTAAGCAGACTTTCAACGAGGAGATTTTGCCCCAGGCCATGTTTCCCTCGCCCGGCGGGTGCGACGAATATGTTCCCATCTACATGCACGAGCGAAGGGTACCGAGGGCGCAACTGAGCGAATGGACAGGGCGGTTGACGGGTCTCAGAGATCATGGGGAAAAGATCACGCTAAAAATGGTCAAGATGGATGATCTATGGCGGGAAGGCGCAAGAGACGCAAAGTGCCTGGCGGCTTTGGCGCTCTGGGAGGGTTTGCAGAGGGAGGGCAAGCTCTAGTCTATGCCGAGGACGTTTCTATGCTGGGACTATGTCGGTGCCCTAACTGAAGCCGCTACAACTTGAACTGCTTCGCGATCTCGATGCCCTCGGCGAGCGTCCCAATTCGAGCGTCGATGGCGTACCCTTCGGCTTCCAGCCTCTCGAGCTCGCCCCACAATTTGGCCAATGGCACGGTGAAAACCTCGATGAACTCATTCTCTTCCAGCTCCGGCTTCAGGTCCTGGTTCTCGGGAAGGGTCATGTCGATTGTGACGTGAACCATTCGGAGATTTGTGTTACAGAAGCCAGGGTCTGGAGGGGCTGGGAGTTAGCACAACAGCTTCATACTTGGCAAGGGGGCATTGCTGACCATTGAACATGACAGGTGTGCTCTCGGTAACCTTGCCTACATATCCGGTCTCCTCCTTCAACTCGCGAACCGCTGCTTCTTCGGCTGTCTCGCCGGCGTCGATTAACCCGGCAGGAACCTCGATGGTGATCTTGTCTATCGGTGGCCGGTATTGTTTCTGGAGGATGACCTCGGGACCTACTATAGGTATTAGCGTCCCGGCCTTCTGGCCTTATTGCGAGGGCTATGCCAAACCGGTCTCCTTCTCAAGGATGGCGACAATGCCGACGCCGTCGATGTCGCTATCCTTGGGCCGAGTGCGCCTCTCGGCAGATTCCCATGTTCGTGTCGTGCCGTTGGGGTCTTGGTATGTCGTCCTAAGCCAAGGGGGTTACCAATGTCCAAGATAGCAGATCATACATCATGATGGGGGTGAATTGCACACTTCACTAATTTGGTCCACACCGCCTCACTCTCGACCTGATAGAAGGATGAGTGGAAAGATTTTCGAGGTTTTTATACTACCAGGGGGGTCTGAGTCGACTCACAAGGGGCTCGGTAGCGAGAACTTTCGGTTCTACAGTGGCCATGTTCGGATATCTTTCGAGTAATGTAGGTATTTGCGTATATCTAGCTTTTTGATGATCCTTTAGAGTGGGATTGAATAAGATTCAGGCACACAAGCAACAACCTGACGTCAGCCAGTGAGCTGTTGGGAAGTTGGGCAGGGATTAGAGGGGCTAGGGCTGGCACCGTCTGCTCCCAAGACTCGGAATCCCTGCAATTTTGAGTTCTCGGCAGCGCTGTGATGGAAGAAGGCCGCGGGCCGCCCCCACTCACGCCTGCGGTGTTACAATTGGTTACATGCGTAGGGGATTGTCGTGTAGGTACCCGAATGGTTCCCTACCTTCCATATTACCCGTTGAAACGTAACAGGGAGCAGAGGCATGGGTGTGAGGCCACGAACACAGCGTCGTCAGCCATTTCAACCTTTCCTAGTTGAGCCGCGCTAGACTTCATTCCTGTCTCGCGGGTTGCAGCCCCCAAAAGCCCCCAAATTCCCCTTAATTGTTCCTGGACCAACTCCTCTCCATATTTCCTTTTCTTCCTTCATAATTACCACACTGCTTGAACTTCAATAGTAGATAGAAATTGGCTTCGCCCTAGTTCCGGTGATAGAGCGCTCGCATCATGGCGAGCAGCAGCAGCAGTGATGATGATGACGACATTGAACGCGAAGCCGCGACTGCGGAGGTGCCGCTGCTGAGCGAGTGGAGGGATGGTCCTCACAGCGACGAACCTGGTAGCCTGTACGGATACCGACAGAATGTGGTCATACTCTGCCTCGCCATCGTCCTGCTGATTTCGCTCGGCGCCGGGGTGTTGACGCCCCCCCTCAACGCCCTCTTGGAGGACATTATCTGCCGGCAATATCACCCCGAAGTCGCAGCTGGCCCAGGTGTCCTGTCCAACGATCCGATGTGCAAATATCCAGACGTCCAGGGGAGGCTGGCCATTATCCGCGGATGGGCTACCACGTTTGATTGCATTCCGGGTTCGCACACCCTTTGCGCCCCCGTTCCAAAGAGCGCCGGCTGACTATGCCCCATCACTAGGTATACTCGGCGCGGTTCCGTATGGCATTCTCTCGGACAAGTGGGGACGGAAACCCGTCATGGCACTCTCGCTCATTGGATTTGCACTGTCTGTCGCGTATATCTGCCTTGTGGGTACGTGTTTGGTGGCCGAAGGATCACTTCGACCTTCGATAGCTAACGCAAATACTCGCAGTCTGGCTCCCAGATGTCTTCCCTCTCTGGTCGATATGGTTCAGTTCCGCCTTCATGCTTATTGGTGGCTCAACGAGCGTGGCGCAAGCCATGCTGTACACTGTCGTGGCCGATGTGGTTCCCGTCGCAGAGCGGTGAGTCGTCTCTGAGGAGCATCTATACTTAATGTGCCGAGCGTATATGCTGACCGTAAGCGCAGAGCCACTGTTTTCTTCCAAATCGTATCGACGTTCTTGGTTGCGTCCATGATAGGAAGCCCCCTTGCCGGCGTCCTGATGCGTCGATCGCCGTGGATTGCCCTTCTAACCGGACTCGGCCTGCTTGTCCTGTCAACGATTACCTCCTTTGCTGTGCCAGAGACCTTGCATTTCAACAAACCAGGGGACAACCTGGAGGCAGGAAGTGACCAGGACGATGACCTAGATACCGCCACCCTCGCACACGATCCGAAAGATTCGGAACTGCGGAAACTCATTACCAAGGCGCGAGAGGACCTGGCTGAGATATGGAAGTTCATTATCGGCAACAAGGATATCGCATTCCTGTTGATATCCATCGTCTTTGTTGTGCTGGGGAAATTCGTCCAGGAGATGCTCTTGCAATACGCTAGCAAACGATTCGGCTGGTCCTGGGATGAGGTATGCATGCCACTGTTGTGCTCCGCTGGCCCGACAGAGTTTACTGACATGGATGTAGGCCGCCATCTTCCTCACCATTCATGGTGCCGGCAACTTGGTCGTTCTGATCGTGCTCCTCCCCGCGGTCAGCTGGTTGTGCATGAACTACCTAAAGATGTCGGCCCCGGCTAAGGACCTCTGGCTTGCTCGTATCTCTGGCATAATCCTGGTTGCGGGTGCCGTCATGATCGCCTTCTCTGCCAATGCCCTCGTCCTGTCCTTTGGTAAGTGCCTACATCTTCAGCGACCAAGCGTGGCATACCCGCATAGCTAACCTAATGACACTCTAGCCCTGATCATCTTCGCTGGCGGCGCCGGCCTTACGTCCCTCCTCCGCAGTCTCATGAACTCGCTGGTTGAGGCGCACCACGTCGGCACCCTCAACTCGCTCATCGGGTTTATGGAGAACGTGGGACTGATGATCGCCGGGCCGACGCTGTCGGAAGCCCTCCGCATCGGCATCGAGCTGGGCGGGCCGTGGATCGGCCTCCCGTTCCTCTGCGCGGCCCTGCTGTTCTCCGTATCTACCGCCGTCGTGTGGGCCTTCCGGATGCCCGGCAGGGGGCAGTCCGCGTGAGCGAGAATGCCGTCTCGTTGACGTGGCACACACTCCCTCCATACATACCACACACTCCCTCCATCATACTACACACTCCCTCTACACACTCCCTCCATACGTACTATCTCCATCTCTCTATACCTTATTTCACGCTTGAATCAACACCCGAGAGGTGCCGCTTGTCCCTTGCCCCTCTCCCTTCTCACTGGAGGAGGTGGTGTGGCAAAGATATTTGGAGGTACCTCGGGTCGGATCGAGAGCCACCTATCTCTCTCCCCATATCGAATGTTCATTTCGTCCCTTTTGGCCGAAATTGAGACTCTATGTCCTACCTAACTTGTGCATGGCGCGTTTATTCTAAGCTTCCAGAAAGGCGCTAGAAGTGGCCTTGTTTTTCTTCGATGGCTAGGCGGAGCCGACGGTTTTATTTTACTCCGAGACGGATCCCATCACTGGGGACACATTGCATGAGCGACTTACGAATGTACAGGGGGTTCTAGACGATGGCGTTCTGTTGGGGGTAACCGAATGATTTTTTGGATGTAGTGAATGGAGCATCACCGGGACATGGCATCTGAATGCATATCTAAAGATAGATAGACGATGTTAATCCACCATTATGTTGTTAATATTCCAAACGAGGAATGGAATGCGCCAGAGGGGAAACCGCGCAGCCCTGCTACAGCGAGGAAGACGAATGATTGGTGTTCCTATCTCCGTGCGTGCGCCAGTGGTGCAACGGCTATATTAGTCAAAGCGCCAAACCGAAGCGAGCACAGCCAGGAAGTCAGGAAGCTCCTTCCTCATGCACAGCACAGAGTTGATGTTGATATCGCCCCCACTCTGGCAGTGAATCTTCCAAGTTAACTGACAAGGTAGCGCATCTCACTGAGCCTCCGGACTAGGAGTTACTTCGGGTCAATCAGAGTCGTTCGAACTGCTGCGGAACTCTGAGGTAGCGCATGCCTTTACAGCAATATTATGGCGGCGCCGGGAAATCCTGACACTGACTTCCCAATTGGGAGACTATTGATTCAGCGGGCGTCGATGGAGGCTGCTGAAGCCCGAGGGGCCTGAGGCTGCGTCGCTTCTTCCATTCCGGTGGAAGGAGGGTTGACAGGGTCCTGGCAGGGTCCTGGCAGGGTCTAGGGCCTATGGAACTGGGAACCCTGCCCTGGAACTCCCCGATTTCGTAAGGGCAGTTGTGATCTTCAACAACAGTGGGTCTGGTGTTAAGGGAGAAGTGGGAACTGGAAAAGGGAAAACCAAGGAGCCAAAGCAGGGATGGGAAACGGCAAGCCGAGTCATTGGCCATGAGACTTGGCTAATTGACTGAATTGACCACGCTTCTGGTCAAATTTCCACTTTTTATGGCCCCTGATTTTCGCCGTCAACCTGCATCACAGCGGCTCTCACGGCGTGCATGGGCTCAATTGAACCTCTGCCCTGGTTCTGTGCTAGCTGCAGCCACCACGCGCCGCCCTAACCTAGCAATTACCCCTGACTCTGCCAAGTTTAAGTGTGTAGCTGAATCACGCAAAAAAGTCCATTTCAGCAATCTTCCATCGTGTCCGGACACGGAGTTCACTTCTCGCGGTCTATTCTCTCTTCTATTCTTCTGCAACCATTGCGATCTTCTGTCACTGGTGCTGCCAGTTAGCTCCCTCTCCCGACACTCCTCCTTCTCTTGCTCTACATAGTAAACGACTCTCGTTATTGGTTTTTTTCCTAGCCCCCCCACTTCAATTGATATCTAAGCTTCCATCTCTTCCATCACGTACACTACATAGAACCCAGCCGCATACACGGGGACATTCCTGATACCGCCAACTAAACTCGTGGCGCTACGAGTCTTCGCCCGGGCGTGACAACACGGGCTAGTCCTTTGTCGCGCCTGATCCAGGACACAACTGGCCATTGGTACCGGTTCCGTCTCTTCTTGGCCTTTGCGTCAGTTTACGGCCTGACAAAGTTGTTGGGATATGGACTGGTAACCGCTGCTTGATCGAAGGACGCATCTCGCCAAGTCAGGTGTCGTCCTCACAACTGCCGCCCGTGCTAGTATCCCGTTGGAAGCAGGATATATTTCTGCACTGCCGATCGCCTTCCTGTGGGGCATACATATAGTCCCTATTCCACGATGGTCTCCTTCTTCGGCTTGAAGTTTGGGGCCGATAAGAAAAAGTAAGTCGGCATCGAACTGTGTTATCCACCCCTTGAGCCAACATTGTTCCAGAAAGGCCGATAAGTCGGCAGAGCAGAAGCCGCCGCAACAATGGAAGAGAATCGATCAAAACACCCTGGGCGAAGGTCAGTTCTTTGGCACGAATGTCGGAAGCACCAGTGTCATCAATGGCAGCATCCGCTCCGTCCCGAGGCCAGGAACTTCCCACTCTACGCGGTCGAGGTCGCCGTTCGTGTATAACACCCACAACCTGGCGGCATCAAGCATGCTTGACCTCCCCAATGGCGGTCATGCGAAGAATATGAGCTTTTCAAGCCTGAAGCCTTCGTCTTCCGACATAAATCTACGCATGAACTTCACAAACGCCTCGTCGGCGAGCCTTGGTATACCAGGCCCGGCATTCGATTCGCGGCCTGGGACGCCGGGTGGCACTAGGACGAAGGCGTGGGTGAATCCGCTCGACGTCCACTTCGGCAGAAGTGGGGTCTCGACGCCGCCCAAGTCCTCTCTCGGACAATTTGAGCTCAATGCGGACTTGTTCAACGGAGAAAGAGATGGAGCGTCGTTGCTGGGGGATAAGCCTGAAACCCTGACGCAGGCCATCATGGGGTCTATCGAGCAGAGGGAGAAAGAAAGGATCCCCCGAGAGAACGGGGCAGAGAGGGAACAGGGACGGACAGGCAAAGAGGCGGGGATAGAACGGGCAAGAGAAAGAGAAGCGGGGTTGGGCCGGCAGCAGGAGAGGCAACAACAACCAACAGCAGCAGCGAGATCGCCGCCTCCCGGTCCCCTGGAGTATTCGTCACCACAAGGGTCGATGAATGGCCCGTTGAACGGTCCCGCAGATCGGCCAAGGTTCCAGGGTCAGATCGACCAGCGCCCAGGAAGCCGGGGAGGATTGAGGAATGGTCCGACGATGGAGCCTATGGATCGGCCAAGATTTCACGGACATGCTGACCCAAGGCCGGACAGTCGAAATGGGCGGAGGAACGGTCCTACACATGCTCCAGCGAGCGGCCTAACGAATGGTCCTGCCAAAAGCCCGATGATTGATCCTATGTACGGTCAGGCCCGTTCGCAGGAACCATCCTATGGGCAGAATGTCCACGGACCGGCCTCGTTGCCTTCGCCTACCGGTTCCATGCCACGTTCCGGCGAGGACCTTCACGGCGTGCAATACGATAAGCCAGTGATTCAGAACGTCAGTGCTAAGCGAGATACTCTTACCATCAGCACATACCGAAAACAGAGCTTGACGATGAAGATCGAGGAGTTTGAAAAATCCTTGGTCGATGCTCAACAAGCCATAGAGAGCCCAAGGAAGGATAGTGGCTCCAGTAGCCATTACGATGATGAGAACAATGGCGAGTTGGCGCAAGAACCGCAAAATTCACGGCGTCCCTCGCCTCCCTTTGCTGCCTCCAATCCCATACGCACACAAAGCCCCATACGTGCCCCCCCGAGACACGGGCAGAGGCCGAGACGGCCCAACCCCGACGAATATGGTGTCCGGATGGTACCGGACTCGAGGCCAGGGCCAGGAGGACCAGGCCCAATGCTTGGACATGCAGGGCAGGAGCCACGGCGCCCCGGTCTCGCCGACACACCCCATTTCCCGCCGCCTGCGCCACGCACAGGGCCTCCTCTGCAACCCCGCGAAACGAATTGGCGCGAGCAAGGTGGCGAGGACCGCGGTATGCATCCGGACAAGTTTACCAAGCCACGGCCAAGTCCGCGGCCGGGTGTCCCCGACGCAGTCCCCAACACCCACGTAGCTCCCTCAACGCCAGACTCCAGCGGCTGGCCACTGCCGTCGCCGACAATATCCAGCGCCCCCCCGACGCAGCCTGTCGATCAGCACTCGCCTAGCTCGTCCGCCACACTCAGCCCGAGGCTGGCCCGCCCCAAGGTCCCGCCGCCACTCACCTTCGACTTCTCGCCACAGGCGTACAGCCGGGCGAACGGGCCCTTCACGCCGCCCCTGCGCGTGAACATCGAGCAGCAATGGCACTCGTCCCCGGAAGCCCGGCCCGGCACTGCGGCGGGCAGCATCCCGTCGGTCGCCCCGGTGGTCCCTGCTGTCGACGGCCCCGGCAACCACAGCCCCACCACCGGCTTTGGTCTCGGGCCCCAGATCGGCGTGGCGAGGGGCCTGTCGGTGCGGGAACCCCAGGGCCTGGCTCCGGGCGAGAGGAGGCCCAATTACGGCCTCAAGTCGCCGACGGGGATTGCGGACAACTTCGGGACGGGATTTATCTGACGTGCGAGGGTGGTGTGTTTGTCTTGTCCATTCTTGTGTATATATATATATGTACATTCCTTCGGAGAGAGATTGTGGGCATGTGTGTCATGGAACCACGAACGAGGTACGGCTTCGCAGTGGGCTTGGATATTAACGACGCAGGGACAGGGGCATTGGGCTCGATGCACCGCGCAATATCGGAGTTCAAGAATGTGGGATTTGGTATATGGTGCATTGGTGGAAGACTGTATATAACGCAATGACTTAGAACCGCCATATACTAGATTAGAGTATCATCGTAGTTCCATTACTTCCGACTCTGTGATCCCCCTGACTAGACGGGGTGGCCCCTTATCTAGCAACAACGTTGATGTCACGACAAAGTATTTCATATGCATAGCCCGTAGAACACCATTGTAGAAAAGCCGGACAAGAGATTCTCGGAACGGTGAAGGAGGTGATAATCCTCTGCGGGGATCCGGGATCTAGGAGCTTCTGATGAAATGGCAGACGCACCTGGACACCTCCCCCCGGGAATGAGTGCGATACTCCGCTAGAATTTAAGTCTATCCCGGAGCTCGCCAAACAAGCAGCGCGCGGTTGCCGCCGGGAGTCCAGACTTTTTCAATGAGGCGTCAATGCCCAGCCGAAACCAGCTAGCCCGGCCGCTAGGCTAGGGTTGAGTTACACACGACCGCCCCCCGGAGGTGTTGCCGGCGGTAGCTTTTTTTTTTTTTTCGTTTCTTTTTTTTCTCTAGCATAACCCCCACGGCCCTGAACTATAAGAAGCTTACGGACCCGTAACACCGTCACCATTACATCTCTGAATCCTTGATGCGCACCACCGTCTAACTCTCTGTCTTATCCATCTATCCAGTCTCCACCCCGGACCGGACAGAAATCTTCGTTCTAATCGTCATCTCCAAACCTTGTCCATGTCCCGCCCCGGCCCCGGACTGCTCACAACGACACTCTACCTCTCGGCACAACTGTTCATGTGCCGGCCTCCAAGGCAATAGAATCAACAGCAGGCGACTTTAAGTCTTTGCGCTTGCTGAAGGGGACGATAGAAAGACTTAGCTGGAAAGATATATTTCCTGCTAAATTTCCACATCTTAACGATATCTCACATCACTCTACCTTACCTGGGATTTTTGACTCGTTCGAGCCGGAGAGAGCTTGGTAAACGTTTCATACCCATCACGGTCATCACATCAACACGCCTAGAGCCCGTGTGTTCCTGCCAATAGCGGGTCCGCTTCAAAGTCCATCATTCTCAGGATTAAAAGCAGGCTCCTACCAGCAGGCCCCCCGGTTCTGACAATGTCTGCCGAGCCTCTGCAAGACGCAGCCTACTCCAAGGCGCACGATGACTACGGCACGGGTACCGCGCCGCCCTCCCCCGTTGAGGGGAGCGCCGCCGGTGGCGAGCCCGCGGCCGCGGCCGACGAGACGGTCGCCGTGGCGGCGGGCATCCAGCAGCTCGAGGCCAAGAGCGTGCACTGGTACTCGTACCTGGCGACGGCCGACTTCTGGGTGGTGCTCGGGGTGGGCCAGGTGCTAGCGCTGTGCATCACGGCCACCAACACCTTCAGCGAACTGCTCGCGGGCCTGAACACCAACATCCCGGCCTTCCAGACGCTGTTCAACTACGTGCTGCTGACAATCATCTACCTGACCGTCAGCCTTGTCCGCTACGGGCCGCGCAAGTACCTGCGCATCCTGTGGCGCGACGGGTGGAAGTACTTCATCCTCAGCTTCCTCGACGTCGAGGGGAACTACTTCACCGTGCTGGCCTACCGGTACACCAACCTCCTGTCGGCGCAGCTGCTCAACTTCTGGAGCATCGTCTGCGTCGTGCTCATCTCTTTCTTCCTGCTCAAGGTGCGCTACAAGCCCTTCCAGATCGCCGGCATCCTCGTCTGCTGCGGCGGCATGGGCCTTCTCCTGGCCTCGGACCACATGACGGGCTCCAACGGCGGGCCCGCCGAGAACATGGTCAAGGGCGACCTGTTCGGCCTGCTGGGCGCCACCTTCTACGGCATGAGCAACGTGTTCGAGGAGTGGTTCGTCAGCCGCCGCCCCATGTACGAGGTGCTCTCCTTCATGGGCGTCTTCGGCATCCTCATCAACGGCGTGCAGGCGGCCATCTTCGACCGGGGGTCCTTCGCCTCGGCGACGTGGAACGGCGCCGTGGCCGGCTACCTGGTCGGGTACACGCTCGCGCTGACCATCTTCTACTCGCTCGCGCCGCTGATCCTGCGCATGGCCAGCGCCGCCTTCTTCGACATCAGCCTACTGACGGGCAACTTCTGGGGCGTCATCATCGGCATCCACGTCTTCGGCTTCGCCATCCACTACCTCTACCCCGTCGCCTTCGTCCTCATCATCGCGGGGCTGGCCGTCTACTTCCTCGCCGGCAGCATGCTCGGTGACTCGAAGAAGCCCTGGCTCGGCGGCAACCAGGAGGGCGGCGTCGCGGGCATCGGGACCGCGAAGCTCAAGGCCCTCAACCTCGCTAGGAAGAAGGGCCTGGCCGCCGAGGGGATGGCTTGAGAGGCCTTTCTCTCTCTCTCTCTCTCTGTCTTTCTTCTTCCTGGCCTGCCCCGGGCGTTGCTTCTTTTTGTCCCCCTTGTACGAAGTTTCATCGTTAAGCGCTCATGGCAACGGTGAAGCATGGTGAGAGGGAAACGAACGGGTTGGGTTTTGGACATCAGCCAGAGCTTCCTCCCCTTGTGTGCGTGCTAGGGGACGGCAAAGCAGTCAGCAGTTCTGGCTTCGACTTATTCCGACGTTTCTTCCATGCCGCCTTTATCTCCGGATGCTTGTGGATGTTAGGCGACTAGCAAGTCAGCTTGGAAGATACATAGTCCCGATTTAAAATTGAAAATTTTACACTCTCTGTTATTTTCAACTGTATGTCCCCCCTGGCATTACTCAATACGTGTGTCGCAACTACGACAACCGCGATATATCTCGGACCCCTTCGGGTTTGGTGACTGGGCTCATGAATTTCCCCAAGACAACCGGAACATCGGAGACTGTCTCATAGCTCTGTGATGCCGGCAATGTGTCCGCCATGACTGAGCTCCACCGTCCAGGACTCGTTTCCTGCGCGCAGCAAGCTGGCACTTCCTGCCAGGTACGCGGCTCCCTAACTCGAGCAGAGTGGTAGGTAGGAGGGATGGCTTAGACAAGGTCGGGCTTACAGTCAGCCAGCGAGTACAGGTTGGACTACCTGCGGCTTTCTAACGCCCTGGAATGAATGCCTTGGTCTCGCTGAAAACAGCTGAACGGCTTCCATATACGAAGTTAATACACTGAGAATCCCTGCCAGCTTCTGAAACAACATAGAACAAAGGAGTTCACTCCCGAAGCTGGGCTTAACGTCAGGAACGGCCCGTGCCGGTCCGCCTGCAATCGCCCGATGTACGGATACCAATACAAACTTTTGTCCCGATGTGTAGATGGGCAGGGAAAACGAAGTCTTGCCACCAAGGCTCGAGAAGGGGATGAAAGGATGCACTGGCACACTCAGTTTATTCACTTGTTGTTGAGATGACGGATACAACACCAGTATGATTAACCGGAACGCCCTCCATGACCCAAAGCAAAAGTCACATCATGCACTTACAAGCAGGACGGCAGGCGTCCAGAACGAGCTCGCACAGCGGCCTAATCAACAGCACGACGTGATGAAACTCAAGCTCTTGCTCAGCGCACTGTCACACTCCCTCTGGAAGAGGGGCAAGAAGTTCCGGGAGCCAGGGCCTCGCCGAACGCAACCCCGCTTGACCTCATGTGCAGACACGTGCTTAGACGCTGGTCGAGTCACACAGCATCACATATGCATGCCGCGGGGTGCCCCTCTAGGCCAAGGGGGCGAATCCAGAAAGACTCGGCTTTCCGGGCTTTGCTTGGGGGCAAGGGCTTTCTTTTTGTCTAATGGGTAGGTATGTAAACGTCATCTCGCATGGGAGGACGTATGACAAAAAGGTTAGGTCGAACCGCCTTTCCTTCTCGTCGAGATCATTGCCGTCTGCGCCAAGGTGAAGTCAGCGGCCGCCCAGTCACTTGGGTAGCAGAGCCTGATCCGTAAGCTTTCAGCTTACGGATGGCAGGAAAATGGCTCGATCCTGGGAGTAATAGCCATGAAGCCTTGGGCTGGTGAGCGCGACCCTCGCAGCGAAATGTGCGTACCTAACAGGGTGGCGTGTGGGGGGCGGATGGGTTGGGTCAACGTGGGATGTATCATGTCGCTATGGAGAACGGCGCTCCAAGATTGGGCGGAAGCAGAACTAACTATTACATGCACCGAGACGTAAGTGTGCTTGGCATGGACCACTTACAGCAACAGGCTGAGATGGTGGGATCACGGCGAGGCTTGAGGTAGCGAGTTCTAGGAAGAGCCGAGGGTTAGAGGTAGTGAACACCTTCGCCTGGGAATTCATCTCGGACGGACCAGAGGCTATTGAGATCCGGCGCCGGTATTAGGCGGATTTCTGCGGGGCAACCACAGCTCCACCTCCCATCTCACGTTGCTTTCTTTCAGTTTTCGGTGAACTCGAAGCCGAGTTGCAAAAACGGAACTGTTGAAAGAAAGAAAAAGCGGCAAAGGTGGCCAGCAACTCGCGACCCGTGTTTGTAAAACTCGACTGATCAGCGTTCGTACCGCGGGGCCGTTAAGGTTCCATGCCAACGAGATAAGTCGTTGGAGAAGGTGGGTTGCTGATCAGGAAACGCCAGGACCGTGAAATGGCTAAGCCTGACCTTGTAAGTACCTAGGAGGATCAGACGACATCGGCTCTCGGAAGCCATCGTTTACGAGAGAGAAACATTGTCCCAGTTGGGGATCCTGCGTGAAGATCGCAATGGGCAGACGCGACCTGTAACTATCCGTACCTTCCCTAGCGTATCTAACTAGCTCCATGTAGGAACAATAAATGAGTACATCATTTGGTCGCGCCTTCTCGGGAGAATATTGTGTAACATCAGTCAGAAGGAACGATGTAATTTTAGTGATTAGATCATGGAACTTTGCATTCGATCCCATCCACCCATTCGGCTGCTCTCGCAAAGCCTTTTGGCAGCCGTCGTACTACACACCAATCATATCAGCTGGAGCTGGGGATTGAAGATTGGGGGGTGGTAAGTCGGTGACGCGATCCTCATTCCTTCTGTTGGGCGTTTAATAACACCTGCGAGTCGGTGCTCAAAGCTCATCCGCCGAGTCGGGACTCGGGATAATTAATGTCTGGGAGGAGCTATCCGTACTGCGGAGCAGATTTAAACGCCGCATAGAGCGCCTAGCGGGAAAATCCAATATTCATACCCGACACTTGCCTTTCAAGGACTAACTCTCCATGCTTGCAGTTCATAGTTGCAACTAGTGCGATCCGGAATTACATATTGTATAATTAAACGTCACTGAGAGACTCTTAACAAGACAGTCAAACCCGCACGAATACCTATAGAGCATGCTATGTTTGCTGAAGCAACGACACTTGCCCGAGAGTCGTCCCAACATGATCCATGCGGAAACGTGTATTGAACTATCGACCAGCCTTGAGACGCGGACCAAACGCTATGTCCCTCGCCAACACCAACAGCAGTACTGCCTGCAAGATATATGCGGGCTGTCCTAACGCAACCGAGAGGAGAAAGGAGGCTTCTTTTGAATCCATCAGCCGGCGAGGACAAGGCGGCTGATTATGGGCTCGTCTTTTCAAGTCTTGTCAAGACTTGTCAGCCGGGGGTGGGAGTTGTGCGGCTCCACACGAGGCTTTCCTGGTCGAGCTTCTCGGCTGTGACGTCGGCGGGTTTTGGTTCCAGAAAAGTTTCAACGAGAGAGCTGAGGCCGAACAGATGCGGTTAGCCATGGCCGGAAATCGCTGGTCCCAAGAAGCACATTTTCGGATATGAGAATTACAGGGGTTTTGCTTCCGACTGTGAGACCTGACAAGATCCCCTCTTGCCGGCTCCCACGAGGCTGCGGGATGTTGCATGCCGGAGCCACTAGAATTCCTCTGTGACCTGGATACAGGAGGCTAAATCGCCTGGAAGAAATGCCGGTTGCCTCTTCTGTCGCGATGTGTAGCCCCAAATTGGCGACGCGTTGGGCTGGTGAAACCGAGTGCCCGTGGGTGAGCGGGCGGGTGGACATCACAAGCACGGGGCTGAAGATCAGGCAAGCCAGAGCCGATCTGATACATGCATCTAGTTACTCCCACGTGTCGCTAGAGCTGTTGTTCCGCAGCAGCTCATATCTGGAGCTCCAGGGGAGCTCGTGCAGCTGCACATCATGATGCTACTTGGAGCTCCATTCATACGTGAAGCCAGTATTGCGAGAGGAGCAGCAGAAATAGGGGCGGCCCCATTGAGTTACTTTCCTTCCACCACTGAGGCTTTCCCGGGCTATCGGCAAACAAAATGTGTGCACTGTCGGATCCGTGTCCGTGATCAGGAGACAATTGGGCGGTCGATCTTGCTCGAGCCCCGATATGCTACCCTCCTCGAGCTTGGATTGTGTCATTGTAGCATGTTCATATTCCCGCACCTTGAGGGCCAAGTCGGCTCTATGGCCGGAGCTGACGCGGCACAAGAGACGAATTATTAGGAGCCATCCCTCCCCAGGTTTGACCAAGCGCGCGGAGAGTCGCAGGCGAGTAGGAAATGGAAAGAAATATTATTAAGTGCTAGAACATGCAGCGAACAAGCATATCCCCACTTTTACGGAGAGGAGGCTAAACTTGGAGCTGGGGTATGGAGAGCGAGACCCTGGCAATCGTTAAACTGGCACATGGGTCACGGTTACGGCTGGAAACCCTGCAGTGCAGCCAGGCCGTGGAGGGGGGAGCTGTTTTTGATGGCGACAGCTTCGAGCCCGGGTAAGGCGTCACGTAATTACGGAGTTATCGATTAAGTAGGTACTTCCGTGGGTCCCCGATTAGGTACCTACCTTACACTTGCATGCAGAGTCGCAGTAACGGGCCGAGTGGGATGGAAGTTTAGAAATCATTTGTATGGAGACTCCTTTCCTGTACGGATGGAATTTCAAGTTTCGAGCGCTCTGCACCCTTTTCGAAGCCGCCTTCCCTTTCCAGTGGAGCCACCCACGCTAGCAGGGAGGAACGGTGCATATAACTGGGTACGACCCAGCACACCCGGAGCGCCACAGGAGCGTACGAGGTTATTGGCAGCAGAGGACATGGGGTACATGCTGTGCAGTAACGGTCCCGTAAAAGGGACCATTTCCTCGGTAATGTCGTGGACGCAGTAGCGACTTGGGGCGAGCTACCTATTTCGTACGCATGAGTATGTACGCATATATGCAAGTCAGAAGAGCGTTGGGCGGCCCGGTCTCCATATCTGACACCCTGGCAGTTAGGTCAGGTAAGCTTCTTGTCGTCTGGCGGCCTGGTGATAGGTAATTGGGCTAGTTGGGATGATTAGGATAGAAAGTGAGGTGTCAATTCATCTTCCTACCATCCTATGATCATTCGTGGGGTTACTGGATCTGGTTATTTCCCGTCTACGGCCTCAGGTACCGCGAGTGCGCCGTACACTAAGGCGCTGCTGTAATGTACCCCAATCTCGGTCCAGTCAATTCCTACCCAGGTATCAGGTCGGTAAGTGGTGCATGTATTGTGCGTAGCACGAACTACAAAAGAGCAGCTCCACCTATGAGTACCTCTCCCACTTCATAGCCCAAGCCGGTACCTGTCCGCAACCTGCTATTTCGTTATCCCCACCTCGCTGGTCATGCCAATTTCCCTGGAAAACCTGAGAAACCGACGTGGCCTGTAAGTACTTTGTCAGTAGCTCGGCCGGTCCTACTAGTGCAGTTGCACATAGTTGCAGAAACGAGTGGTGTTCACTATTCACCTCATCTCCCCTTTCTAGCATCATCATTACCCAAGATTTTTTTTTTTAACCTTGATTAATCTTCCTCTGGCATATCCGTCCATTCTTCGATTGCTTCTTCGAGGCGCTTCTCTTTTCTGTCATCCGATTTCCTTCAGGTTTCCCCCCTTTCCTGCTTTCTCCTCGTCCACTTCGTCCTCACCGTCCTCCACGCACTCTTAATGTGCCGAGCGGGCTGACCCCCCCTTTAATTACGCTGCGAAGAGAGCGGGAATATCGACCCACGTCCCGTTTGCGCGTGCCCGGCCAAGGGACTGCTCCCCTTGTTCCCGAGAATTCCCCATCTCATCCCCGTCTTCTTCCTCCAAGACGGTATCCACGCTGAGGTTTGTGGCCAATTCCCCTTTGCTTTTCATGGCTATTTTGATGCCAATCAGATCTGAGACGCTCAGAAACACTGTTTCCTCTCCACAAAGGTTGGCCTAGGCAGGTGAGTGCACAGTCATGTCGGGGTCACTGTGTGTCAGTGGCTTGCGCCCAAGTACCTAAAGAGTCGGGACAGCGCGAATGTCTGGAGTACAAATTATTTTTCTCCACCGCGCCGGGAAAAAAACGAAAGAGAAAAAGATCATTTTGCGCAACCTTCCTGAAACCACAAATCTGGACTTCGGACACATCTCGCGAAGTTACCACGTCTTGGGTCAAATGCTGATCTGAATTCTCCCTCCAAATAGTCGATCTTTGAGGGCGGCAAAGACGCATACCTCGGATAGCACTCCCACCCCCGACGCGCTGCAGCAGCCCGTCTTCTCGGTCCTCCACTCTGGGATACTTACCCGCGACCTCGAAACATGTCATATTACGATAATTCGCAATGGCCGGCCACTGGACAAGCCGGCTGGGAGCACCAAACCCCTCCCGCCCGCTCAGGTTTGTCTCTCCATCACCCGAGAGGCCCTCGAGAGGACGCCGGTACGGATCGCTAACACCTCACCTCATAGGCGCGAGCTCGGCGATCCCGCGCGAAGAATCCGCTGCTTTCGTCTACCAGCTTGAGGGTACGTGATTTCCATACCGACAGCCCTTGGAGCCTGCGTGGCCTCGCTTGCGACGCCAGCTATGTGCCGTGCCAAGCATCGATGGTTATCAAGGGACTGCGAACGATGGTTTCCCTTCAGAATTGAAGGAAGATATTGTGCGCGCATGCTGACCATGAGAAACTTCCTTTCAGAGGTCGATCGAGCCCTCGACAACCTAGTCAAGAGCGGCAAGATGTTTGGAATGCCCGGCGGTCGTCGTGAGTCGTTCTCCTATCCCAAACCCACCAGATCATACCCAGGCTTTGTTAAGCTTGCCTGGAACTGGCTGGGCAACCAAGAAGAGCCCAACCACTGACCGTCATTGGCGCCAGACGGCCGAACCGGACCCGGCGCTGGACCGCGGCCACATTCGGTAGCCGACTACGGAGACTCCCGCGGCCATAATAACCCCTCGACCAACTTACAAAACTTCTACGCGACCCAACGACACCAGTCCTCGCGCGGCTCCAACGAGGCGGAGCAGATGATGCAGGCCAAGAGGAGAATGGCAGCTCAGAGAGAGCGAGAGCTGCGGAACTACCATCAGGAGCAGCAATACAACCGAAGTAGGCCGCCCTCTTCTGTATAGCATCAGTCGTCCTATCACAAACAGAAAAAAAGAGTCCATAGAAAGACGCATTCCGCCTTCAGGGGTCACAAACACTTCTGTCCATGACTGTTACACCACAAGTGCGGTTCGACGCCAATATGTTTCTGTGCTTCTTGACATTATCCTGTAAAGATCAACAGATCTACGAACCCCAAAGATCGGCGATGCTTCCCCCCCAGATTATCCAGTTCCTTTTCTCACACTCGATAAGAAATTGGGCTAACTTCTGATCTCCACTGTAGCCGGTCTCGAAGTTCCGGGATATGGTGGCAAGCCCGATCGCACCATTAGCCCCGGCACCATGTCTGAGGATGAGCGTCGCGAGTTGATCGCACGCCAGCGCAGCGCTCTCTATGGCGAGGGACCGTTCGCCGAGTCCGGCGGCTACGTCGACGAGACCGGCGCTCCAAAACCTGGTTTGCCCGCTCCACAGGCCGGGCCAGCTGGTCTGCGCGGCCGCTCGCCACTCGCCTACGAGTACGGCCGCACCCCGCCGCTCCATGCCGAGGCCGGGCACCAGCCCCCCGTTGAGGGCGGAACGGGATCCCAGTCTGCGGGCCCCAACCAGCGCTCCCGGACCAACAGCAATGCCAGTCCCCAGTCCAATGCTCCCAGCAACAAGGGCGTATTCGACGCCCCTGCCGCGCAGCAGTCCAGCCGTACTAGCGCGTCTTCGCCCGGAGGCTCTCCACCCCGCGCCGGCGCGCCCGTGAGTAAGCCCAGCCAGGGGAGCGCTGTCGCCCCAATTGGAACCCGACCGTCCGCTACGTCCAACGCGCCGGCGAATCTTACCTTGAACAAGAGGTCCACGACCCCTCTCCCCTCGCCCCTGAGCCAGGGCTATAACGCAGCCACCGGCAGCGGCGATGACAGCAACGGCCTAACTAGCGGTGCTCCCTCGAACCCTCCCTCGGCCGCCGAGGCCCCTGGGGTCGGTCTCTCCGGCTGGGGCGGTCGATCCGGCGGCTGGGGCAGCAAGTCCGGCTTGGGAGTCCAGGCCAGCGTCTGGGGCTAGACCAGCTACCTTCTCTACGTACTTTTTTTTGGCTTCCGAATCCCCTCTCGTCATATCTCGACAAGATCATGGGCATGGCGTGCGCAACGCAACTCTTGGAGTACCGGTGGGTTCGTGATGGTAATGGGGGGTGAATCCAATGGTGCTGAATTCAGGAGCAAAAACGGTGGAACTCGATGAAGAAAAACAAGATACCTTATATATTTCGAGCCGGTGTTTGTTTCTTGACTTTAATCGGAAATGGGGCAGGCATTTGAGATCCGGATGGCAAAGGATAAGGGGGGGCGCTTTCTTCTTTTTCCTTTCGTTCTTTCTTTCCTGGGCTATGTGGGTTTGTTTGACTTGTGAAGGAAACCGAGAAAAAAAAAAACAATAGGGGGTGGGGGAAACAACCAAAACGGAGTTCTTTCTCATCAACTTTCCACCACCACCTTTCCTTTCCGTTCAACCACGGAGAGCGGGGGGGTGCGCAGGGAAGGGGAAGGGAAAGGGGAAGTGGACGGCTTGCGTACTTATGCATCTGCATCTCGGCGTCTGGCCCTTTTCGATCAGATGGGGCGCATGGCATGGGAAAGTGGTTTTTTGTTGGCAGACATGGCAAATTTGGCACGGGGCGGTGCGGTGCGATATTCGAGGGTTATAGGGTCTTTTGTCTTCTTTTTTTTATCCCCTCCCCTCTTTCCATTTCCTTCTTGCTCGTCTTTTTTATTTTATCTTGGCTGGTCGGTCTGCGTTTTGTGTTGGGGTGTATATGCGCGTCTCATGTATGTGTTGTGGATAGGATGGAAGGTTCTCCTGCTCGTCAGACAGAAACCCCCTGCCCCCATTGCCTCGTATGGCTCTAATCTTCTTGAACTTGGTAACCTGGCTCTCTCTCTCTGTGTCCACCGTCGTTCATTCGTTCCTTCGCTTGCCCCGGTCGGTGGGCGGTTTGTTATAGGCAGGGCATAAGGATCAGTGGAACCGGGTTTTGGGACGGCTAACGGGACTCAGCACTCGCAAACCTCTCCGTCTGCGATGGTCGTGGGAGAACTGGGCGGGAGCAAATTGGGTGTTGGGTTGGGGGCGCTTGGTTGGAGAGGGGGGGGGTCGTGAATAGGTGAGGGTATGGACGAAAGGTTGGTGGAGTGGAAGGACGGGGAGGGCGTCTATGGTGTCTTCGCGGGTTCCCTTCCTTGCAGATGCCTCCCCGGGTATGTTGTAGGGCCTTATCCCTAGTCATCATCTACCTAACGTAGGCAGGGCAATTACTACATAACTTGCTCAAGCTCTGCAAAGTCACCATCATGCCATGCTTCCCCTAAGGGCGCCCGGGAGTTATCGAAAAGTCAAACAAGATAAATAGTTATTTTGGTTCCTGTATCTGGGCATAGACGGATCTCTGTCTACAGTGATCAATCCCCTGACTAGGTAGACGATGGCACCCATTGCTGCTTTTAAATCCAAGCCCACAAATTCCAATCTCGGTCCCAGTAGCCAGACTTAAATCCTCCTCCCCCCTGCCCGGTGCGCCCCCGCACGTCTCTCAACACACACCATTTTACACCACGAACTTGCTGTCCTTGTTGACGTACAGATCGACGTACTCGTCGATGGGGGTGGCCTCGAGCCTCGTGGGGTCCATACCGAGGTCGATGAGGTTCTTGACCTTGTCGGCGGAGTAGTGCGGCTCCAGGTGCCTCTTGTACTTTGCGAGGATCTCGGGCTTGGCCTCCTCCCTCCTGAGCCTGTGGCCGAGGGGCGCCTCGACGACGACCTCGTCCAGGACGGTGCCGTCGTTCAGCTCGACGGTCAGGGCGTTGCTGATGGTGCGGAGGGCCGGGTCATGGTAGTCCTTGGTGAACTTCGGGTCCTCAACGCACTTGATGCGCGTGCGGAGGGACTCGACGAGCTCCGACGTGGCGGCCTCGGAGCCGTCGACATAGTCCTCCGCTGTCAGGCGGCCGTAGGTGAGCATGACGCTGCACATGTACTGGATGCAGTGGTCACGGTCGGCGAAGTTGTCCATGGGCTTGAACTGTTTGTCGATGATGCGGATGCAGGCCTCGTGGGTCCGGCAGGTGATCTCCTTGATGTCAGCCGCGGACTTGCCCATCGACTTGAGCAGGGCGTGGATCTTCTCGGAAGCCTCAACAGCGGTCTGGGAGTGGAACTCGGCTGCCCAATGGTTAGCTATTGGCCATGTCCGGCGAGCTTTTCGTTCGCACTCGTGCGGAAGACTTACCCGGATACGAGACCTTGAAAAGGACGTTCTCCATCACGTAGCTGCCGTACGGCCTCTGGAACTCAAACTTCTTTCCCTTGAAGAGAACATCGTAGAAGCCCCAAACCGGGGCAGAGAGGACGGTGGGGACACCCTGCTCGCCCTTCAGGACCTTCAGGGCGAGGTTCACGGCGCGCTGGCAGGCATCACCGGCGGCCCACGACTTCCGCGACATGGTGTTGGGAGAGTGTCTGTAGGTCCGCAGGGACTGGCCGTCAACCCAGGCCTGGGTAACGGCGTCGGCGGTCTGCTTCTCGCTCAGGCCCAGCATCTTGCTGACGACGGCGGTGCTGGCAACCTTGACCAGGACGACGTGGTCCAGGCCGACCTTGTTGTACGAGTTGAGCAGGGCCAGGCAGCCCTGGATCTCGTGGGCCTTGATCATGGCCTCGAGGACGTCCCGGACGGTGTAGGTCTTGCCGCCGGCAAGGTTCCCACCGGCCTTGTTGGTCCGCGTGATCCAGTCAGCAACGGCGAGGATGGCACCCAGGTTGTCCGACGGGTGACCCCACTCGGCGGCGAGCCAGCAGTCGTTGTAGTCCAGCCAGCGGACCATGGCACCGATGTTGAAGGCGGCATTGACCGGGTCAAGCTGGTAGGGAGTGCCGGGGACCTTGGAGCCATGGGGCACGATGGTCCCCTCGACGATGGGGCCCAGCAGCTTCGCGCATTCCTTGAAACGTAGGCCCTCGAGGCCACAGCCGAGGGTGTCGAGGAACACCCAGCGGGCAGTATCAAACTGTCGTTGCCTACCTGTCAGCGTTGGTGCTCATGGTCGGCTGCGGAGAACAGAATTTTTTTAGGGGTGTGGTGCATTTCCCCTCCAAACTTACAGCAAGTTCCGAGTCAACTGGCTTGTTGTGGATGTAGTCAGCGATGTCCTTGATCTCGGGATCGTAGCTCCTGCCCTCGGCGGGCGGGACGGTAGCGGATTGGAGGGCAGTCATGGTGGAAAAGGTGTTGTATGAGTGTGGAGCGGAGGAGCGAGAAACGCCGCTGAAAGATGTTCTTGAAGCAGCGCCGAGAACCACTGGCCGGACAGCCGATTGCAGACTGGTGCTTTGCTGGAGGCGCAGCGACCTAGTTGCAGAACGCAGACTGCGACTGACAGCAGACATGATGTTTGGTAGGTCCTTGAGGAGTCCTTCGGTCGCCAATTGGGTCCTTAAACTAAGAAATTCCGGGCTGCCTGGGCTATTTATTTAATCGGGCGAGTGCAGCTCTTCGCCCAAACCTTTCTAAGCTTGAGCTTCGGCTTTGGTGGGATGCTCCGTTGCTCGGGCGAGTGGGAAATGCTTTGCCGCTGCCTGCCGAACTTAGATCCTCACTAGGGGGGTTGCGGCTTAGCCTCGGCTATTCAAGGGGCCTTGCAACGCCGACTACAGAATTTCGAATTTGATTTCGTCGATAAGAAATTTGTTGATAAGATGAAAGAAAGGGGCGCTTCGTTTTTCTAGATGCCTATTCCCAGGCTGTCCAACGACTTAATAGGGCACAATGTCATGTCTTGGTAAGTAATGTTGGGGATAATTGGTATCGGTTGATGTTCCCGTGACGTCATTCCGTTGTCACACTCGTTCATCTTGCAGCCAAGATCGGGGGCCTGACACTCCAATGGTGATTAGAGAATGGGGTTGTCTAGGCAAACTCACACTTCGGAAAGTAACCACGGCGTACAAGAGTGAGCAGTACACCGAACATCGTGTATGGCTTGTTACTCGGTATATCAATGGAGACCCCGTCGGTACCAATCCCCTCCGCGTAAGGAGCCTCATAGATGGCTATGTGCCTAAAAGGCCGTGGTTGCCTCCTCCGGTCTCGGCATGACTGCAGACATGAACTCAGCCAAGATAGACGCGTCCTGGGCGTCGACGGCAAGGGTGTTGACAACCGTAGAAGTGGTTTGTTTGAGAGAAGGTCCCCCCTGCCGCTTCGTGGAGGCATGCTCGAGGAGTGCCTGGCTTGGCTCATACGAATTGGCTTGGCGAACTCCCGCGGTCCAAGGTCCTCCATGCTGACTTACACAAGTGCAGGTACAGCTAACGTGCATCTAGGTTCCTCCTAGGCATCTACCCCTGACCATCGCAGTGTTTCGGCTCACATCTTGTTGGCAAACTTCCCAGAAGCTGACCGGGATTTTGATTCGGGATGGCCATCACGGCGAGTTGCTCCACAGAAGCTGGTAGTTGACTTTATGCCTGCCAACGTACCAAGAGCAAACAAGGTGAGTTAGTTTATGGGAACATTCTGTAATCAACCCGGTGTCTTGGGAGAATGGCCCCTTGGTACCTGGTTTATGAAGCCAAATAAGTAGGACAATTTTCGCACAAGTTGTACCCGAGGTTACTTAATGCATGGTGGCATGCTCCTGCTCTCGAAGCAGCTGCATATCGAGAGATAAAATGGATTGGAGCTTGCCCTTACTTCATGTCTGGAGTCCCTTAGAAGTGCGTCATGAGCAAATCGTGAGAATACTGTGCATTCGGCATGAAAATAGAGCTGCTTGAGCCGCGTCTACGGGCCACCCCGTGTTTAGCTCTGGAGCCGGAGGGGAAGAAAAACAACCAAGTAGATATACGTCCTCATATACAAATGAAGTCTTAAAAGCCCTCCAACCACGGAGTACATCCATTTAAAACCCCGTAGTCTCTAGTCGTACATAAGGTGCCTCTATTCTGTAAGATGGCAGCAGCCCTTCCCTATTCACCTCGAGTTGCAAACCGGCTGCTTGACCTGCCATCTCTGGTATCGCCATCCTCTTCCGCATCCTCTCATTCATGTCCAAATCGTAGTTCCTCCTCCTCCCCCCTTCATTAGCCGTCGTGTTCAATCAAGATCGGACTTCAAGCCCCTCTTGTCATGGGCCTCCTTTTATATCTACGGGTTTGATGGCCCGTAACATAGCTGCCTGCAGGATATACATTATGCCGTGGATCATGAATCTCTTGGGTTTGTTTTCAAACCCATTACATCACCGAGCACTCCCCCTCCTGTTGCTTCCCGATCTTACTCCGCGATATCCTCTCTCTTTGCCTGGGGCCATTCTTGCCTGACCGCTTCAGGTCCTCGAGGCGTTCACGCGCCTTGGGGAAGTCCTGGGCTGTTTCGCGTGTTAGTCATATTGTCTGTACTTGGTTCGGTATGACCGGGGGATGAAAAAACGGGGGGGAGGGGACTAACCTGCAGCTCTCCAGTACCATCTCTTCGCATCCTCCAGGTTGGCCGGCACGCCGATGCCCACCTCGGTGAAATACCCCATGGCATACTCGGCCTTAGCGAGGCCAGCCATGGCCGCCTTCCTGGCCCACAGGTACGCCTCGGTGTCGCTCTGCTGCAGCACGCCCTCACTGCCGGTGAGGTACCAGCCCGACAGCGACAGCTCGCTCTGGTGCTCCTCCTGCGTCGCCGCGCGGCTGTACCACATTATGGACAGGCGCGGGTCCACGGGGCAGCCCATGAGGCCGTACTCGTACGCGCACCCGAGCCGGAACTGGCTGAACTTGTACCCCAGGTCCGCCGCCTGCTTGAAGAGCTGGAACGCGTACGACTCGTCGCGCACGATGGCGTCGTTGGGCGCCGCGCTCTCGTACAGCAGGCCCAGCTCGTGCAGCGCGTGCGGGTTCTCGGCCGTCGCCCGCTCCGCCGCCCGCTTCAGCCACCCCACCGCCTCACGCGGGTTCTTGGGCTGCCCCAGCAGGCCCTTGATAAGGATCATGCCCACCTTGTACATGGCCGGCGTGTCCCCGAGCGTCGCCGCCCGCTTGTACCACTGGATGGCTTTGAGCGGGTCCTTGCGCGTGCCGCCGCCTTCCTCGTGGCCGATCTCGCAGCACACGGCGGTACGGTACGCGGCCGCGGCGTGCCCGAGCTTGGCCGCGCTCTGGTACAGGAGGAAGGCTTCCTTGTTGTCGGCCTCAGCCCCGAACAGCCCGCGGCCGAAGCAGTCGGCCATGAAGAACATGGCATCGGGGTTGCTTGCGCCGGCGAGCTTCTTGAGGATTTTCTGCGCGTCGAGCAAGTAGCGGTCGCGCGAGCGTGCACGAGCCTTGGGGTCTGGTACGTTGGGGGCCAGGACGTCAGACGCCTCGACCAGCTTTTTCGCCAAGAGGAGTGCCGAAGCTTGGTCGCTCGAGTCGGCCTTGACCATCGCACGTAGTCGCTCCAACTCATCTACGGTAACTGGCGGAGCCTCCGGTTTCGCTGGAGGTGGAGCCCCGATGCTTGCTGGCGGAGGAGGCGTGACCTGGGCTGTGCTACTGACTGTGCTGCCAGGGGGTGGCCCAGAACTGCCGGGATTGTAGTTCCGGACCGGGGCCGGCTTACTGTTCAAGTTGACGAGGGAGTTGGGCATAAGACCGGGGCGAACTGGCGCAGGATGCAACGGCAGACCGTCAGAGCTTGACCGATGGGGAGGCTGTGCGCCCGGTCTAAAAGGTGCAGGGCTGTTGGGCAGACCAGCTCGGACAGGAGGGAGGCCTGGCTGGTCATACGCTCTTTGGCCTTCAGATTGCCCTCCTTGATAGCCTGGTTGTTGATATTGGGTGGGGATTGCGGGTATATCTCCAGCCATCTCGAATATTGCGGCCTGCGGCTGTCTTAGGTCGGGTTGGGATTTTGTCCTGCTGACTTCGGGCACTCTCCCCGGTCCACGCTGCGCCCGTTCTTGCGGCGCGGCTCCCATGTTCTGGTCGAATGAGTTTCGTGGCCGAGCCCGCGCAGACCTATCGAAGTCTGGCCCATCACCAGCCACTGCTTGGGGTGGATTTTGCGCAGCATAGTCCCCGCCAGCTCCCGCGTCGTAGTAGTCGTAGAACTCATCGAAAGACGCCGGTCGCTGTTGTCCCCCGTAACCGGCGCTTGGGGAGTTGTCGTAGCCAGGACTCCTAGTCTGATCTGGCAGCGGTGGTCCCCCGTTAGGGGGGTACATCCTCTGGGGGGGAGGCCGCATAGCCTGTGCGGTATTTGGTCGTTGAGGCATACCACGACCAGGTGGACCAGGTGGCCCAGGTGGGCCGCTAAATGATGCGCTGTCGTTTCGCACTGGAGGTGCAGGGTTGCGCATGCCCATGGGATTTCCCATTGGGGCGGTCATGCTCCTCTCTGGCGGCCCAAAGTTGTCATTTTGATATCCCATCGGTGGGCGGTATCCTGGGCCGGGCGGGCCGGGCGGGCCCCGTCGCTGATCAGGATAGCCTTGTGGTGGGTATCCTTGTGGCGGACCCCGGCCGTCCATCGGCGGACGGCCGCCATATCTGTCACCAGGAGGTGGCACGAAGTCGCGCTGAGAGCCCATGCTATTTTGACGCCTCTGCGGGGGGCCTTGCCCGGAAATATCCATTGCGCCCATCTGATCCAGTATTTGCTGCTCTTCGCCCAGGTCTGTCTTCCGCTGCCTGCCCGGAAATGTTGGGAAAGCACTGCCATAGCCGGCTTCAGTCGGGCTCGAAACACCATTCATCTGAGGTCTTCGGAGTGCTAGGGATAAGATTTAGCTCAAGTTGGCCAGGTGGACACAATTGGACAATTAAAGTTCGCAGCACTCACCAGATGGGTCTGAGGTTCCCGCCCGCGCAGGCGGGCCTGGTCTCCCGCCAGGTCCAGGAGGGGGATAGCCACGTCCTGGGCCCGGGCCTGGGCCACCGCTGCCACGAGGAGGATATTGACCACGAGCACCATCGAGAGGCGGGGGGCCAGGCGCTGGACCGGCCCGACCTGGCGGCATCGGTGGGCCTCCACGGCCACGGCCAGGTCCCGGCCCAAAATACTCTTGCGGAGGGTAGTTCTGATTCGGAGGTCCGCCTCTGGGGTAGTTCATTTCGTCGTATTGTCCGCCATAGCCCTGGTCGTAGCCATTTCCGTAATCGTCGTAGCCATAGTCATAGCCGTCCTGGTACTGGTCGTACTGTTGAGGAGGTCCGTTGTATTGTTGCGGCCGGCCTGGTCCAGGCTGGTATTGCCTCTGCGGGCCGGGTCTTGCGGCAGCTGGGCCGGCATATGGGCGTCCTTGAGACTCGTAAACTCCGTTGTACGCCATGCTATGGTATTCTCCGGCGCGCTCTGCAAGCACTGCCTCAATGATTTTCGAGGCCCGTTACAGTGGTGGTGTCGTGCAGGTTTATGTCCAAAAAGCGCGCGTCTCGGCTGTTAGGCAAAGGCCCACACAGCGATCTCCGCTCTACTGTCTTCCAGAAATCCACAGGCCTCAGATGCGACAACGGGTTACCATGCCATAAAGCAGTGGGGAATGGTGCGTGAGAGGCTTCGGTGCCTGCCTGTTAGCTTAGTAGACTCGGTGGAGGTCTAGAACTGGCGCATTGCGACCTGTCACTCGGAATGATTTCTGTATTGCTGCCTCAACGTTTCGGCTGGATGTTGATCGACAGTTTCGGCAGGGCTACGGCGGAAGCGCGGGAGACGTGGGTTGGAAGGTTTCCACTTTCCAGACGCTCGGAAGGCGGCTAGCAGGGTAGAGGGCACGCACGAATCGAAATGACTAGGAGAGAAAAATGTCCAAAGGAACGAAATGTGGTAGGATGCGAATTGGGTGCCAGCTCAAATTCGCTTCGTCGAGGGTTCATAAGAGGTTCAAAGTTCAAAAGGTTCAAAGAGACAAGGTTAATCAAAGAAAATTGCGGAGCGGCCGAGAGCAGTCTTATTTACCTTCCTAGTCTCAAAGTCTGAATGTCCACGTTACACGTCTTATTAGCACCTGCACTGCACAGCCGACATACATGGTAATGGCCCTAATGGGTGAGGAAAATTCATCGACCAGGTTTATTCGTAGGTAATAGGTATTAATGTGATTGTCAGGGGAGCCAGAACCAGGATCCCGAACAACCTACCTATACAACTTGAAGTGTCTCTGTCATACACAGGCCACTGGTCCTCTGATTCAGAAACAAGCAACTGCCAGAATGACACTACAGGTGTGTATCATTGATGCCTCCCCAGCTTCTCTTTGCCGTCACTGGAGGCTCGCAACTTGTCCTCTATTCATCCCGTCACCTACCTCTCCTTGCCGAACATTCATGGTAAGTATCCGTTTCATTAAGCAAGGACCCGGAGACGCCACCTATAGGCCTATGGGCATTGACACCCCCCTCGGCAATCCTGGTCACATCGATGATCGCCCCTAAATATTTCCCTTAATGAGCTTTCCTGGTTTCGCAGAGCCCGAACTGAACAATCCCGAGGGCCACAGGTTGAGGATTTCTTCTCCTGCTTTCCCCTTTCCCCAGCGCAGCTTTGCATTGTTGATCGGTTCCTTCGATTCCATTCTTTCGGAAGCACAACTGGCAGAAACTCTGGACCCTGCGTGTATCAGAACCATGAGAGAGACCAGGGTCCAGGGTGCGATTGGCACTGCCGAACCCCTCTTCTCGACTCTGTTGGCTCGAATGAAGCCAGGGTCCTGTGGAATGGAAACCCCACTCCAGATTCCAGGTCTGCAAGCCGCAGGGGCTGTTGCGGCACTGGAGCAGTACCTGCCGGGCACCTGCATTGGTTTCTTCTTTAATTCGTAGTGTACCGTACATACGTAGTACAGTACATACTCTTGAGATCGTAACACCTCCACTCGTTGGCGGTTGCAGGAGGGCGCCCACTCCACCGAAACGACCAACCATCGACGTCAGTTAACAGCCAGTCGGTAGCACGTTTGAGAGCCATCGAAATTCAGAGTTGTGGCTGAGGCCTCCTGCTTATGGCGTGAATCTCCATTTCAGTGGCTTGTCGCCTGACTCGCCTCCCGAACTTGCACTCTATCTTACATAAACATGCTAGTGAGAAGCTGAAGATGAAACGACTGTCCCTGGTTCGTCAGATCACTCTGAGATGGAGGGTTATAGGATCGACTCAGCAATTTACGGTTGGGCTTGGCTAGGTGTTATATAGCCTCCTGCCGAAAAGGCTTATTCGGTGATCCGTTCCTGTCAAGGCTCTAGAGCCACCATACCAGACTCGCCACCAAAGCTTGACTAGAAGTAAAGGAGTGGCACAACTCGAGATCGTGCACCTGCTCTTACCGTAGTATTCAGGGGCGGAGCTGCTGTGGCAGATGGGTACGTACTTCTACATGACACAAGCCACAAGCCACATCCAGGCCCGTTTGTCCAAAACGCAATGAGGCAAGGGTCATTGGCCAATGCTCCACTATGGGGAAGGCCCAATCATTTTCTGCCGTCTATGACCGCTTCAATTTATCCTGGCTGGCCTGGTCTCCAAAATCACGTCACAAGGGCTCAAACGGCGATGTTCGACGCCTCTTTTCCGATATATATATCGTCTTAACAGGACAATGGCTGGCCGAAAAGGTGTCAACTGGTGGCTTTATTCCAAGATGCTCCTCGGGTATGCCTCCAAGAGCTCTTGATGAAATGTGAAGCCATGCTAACACATGGGATTAGGGGGGGTGTAATATGTGTGGGAGGTCCGGCTTTCACATGGTATCTTACCCCAACAGACGAGGAGCTCTTCCAGAGATACAGCCCTGAGCTCAAGCAGAAGAGTCTTGAGAGGAGATATGAGCGGGAGAAGGAGTTCGATGACTTCGTCAATAAACTCAAGGAGTACTCCAAATCAGACAAATCTAGTAAGTTTACTCCAATGAAGAGGACTTAATCATCTTCCATATCCTAACTAAACTCGCAGTCTGGGTCGTTCAAGCAGAGGAGGAACAGAAGGCCAGGGAGGCAAGATTCAAAGAGAGCCTCAAGGCTGCTGAAGAGGTCAAAGCGAGAAAGGAGGAGATGCGACGGCAGGCAGGACTCTCGCCGGAACCGAAAAGGTGATGCCATGATTGGTATCGCTGCGACTACTCGCCACTTCACTGTATAATACTATCTTGCTCTTCCAGGGCACAGAGCATTCCCAAATAACTTACTGTACAGGAAGGAGTACAGGTACTGGCATTGGTTTCGGATTTGGAAGCCGGAACTTGGAGGGGGAGCCTATTAGGCAGCCCCAAAGGGGCAGACAGGCAGATAATCACCCATGTACAGTACAATTACATGTCTACCTGTGTAATGACGATGCAACATGATCTCAATCTTATTCTATCTTTGACCTCGAACTTTGGAGAAGTATAGACACCAAGTGGTGAGTGAGAAGGGTCCGTGCATTGGATTCCCGGAGTACCTTGGTAGTATGGATGTTCAGGTTGCATGAATGGCCTGACACCTGGGGTGTGGGGTAAAGTTATTGCGGAAGCGAAAATTCTTGGCCTCAGCGCACACAAATTCTTAACAAGGCTCCGAGCTCCTCACCGTCACGAGCCTATCATTTTGACGGTTTCCACTGCAAGCGATCTTCATTGTCTAACAGGTGTGTCCTACGGGAATTTACTCTAGTCGACGGGTTCCTCATTTTGCAGAGCCAGGTATCGCACTGTCTCGTAGATGAAACTGACATAGACTAGAGCTCGGCACCGACCCTGAAGCTCAACCCCATCACCACAATCATGGATGTCCAGGACCGACTGAAGAAGCTGGGCGCATCTGCGCGAACTGGTACGTCCCCTTGGGGTCTTTCGAACCTCCGAATCGCAATTTATCCATTGCCAGAATCTAATCATCTAACTTGTGTCGCCAGGGTACGTACTTAAGCTTCTAAAGCAATGATTCGGCATTGCCGGCTATCCCTCGATTCCCTCTCATTCCAGAGTTCTAACGCATGTCAACGCAGTGGCAAAGGAACTCCCCGGCGGAAGGTTAAGCGGACTCCGGCGCGATCTGCTGGCGACGATAAGAAGCTCCAGCAGACACTCAAGAAGCTCAACACCCAGCCGATCCCGGCTATCGAGGAGGTTAACATGTTCAAGAGCGACGGAAATGTTATCCACTTTGCCGCCCCGAAGGGTAAGGACTCCCCCGCCTTGTGGAAATGTTGAGGTGGCACGGCTAATATGCCTTATTTCAGTCCATGCCTCGGTCCCATCCAACACCTTTGCCATCTATGGCAACGGTGAGGACAAGGAATTGACCGAGCTTGTGCCCGGTATCCTGAACCAGCTTGGCCCCGACTCCCTCGCATCGCTACGCAAGCTTGCCGAGAGCTACCAGAACATGCAGAAGGGCGAGAAGGAGGCTGACGATGACGATATCCCCGATTTGGTTGCCGGAGAGAACTTCGAGAACAAGGTCGAGTAGGCATTGGGCTACCAGGAAAGGTCATGAATGGGCTTCAAGGAAGGCATTCCCCTTGCCCGACCAAGAAAGGAACGACGTGGTTTCTGTATGGTAGGCGGCGTCTTTGGTAATGGTTGCATAAAGGCCACCAAATCTTGGCCAGGAATAGGAACACCCCTGGATGTCTTGATCCAGACGGCCAAAACAACGTTCCCAAGACCTCCCAGTATTTCCCTCGTCGCAGATGAATCATGTGACATGTCAAACTTCCGACAGACGAACCTTTGCCCGACTGTTATTGCGAGGGCTTTGACATACAATCATCTTCCTTCACATAAGCCGAAACTCTCGTCACCCTGGTTCCTCGTCCAGCCCTTCAGCGCTTCGGTAAACGCATCTTCCTTGACCTTCTTCCTAGCTTCCAAGAGGGCCCCATATTTTAACTCCAGGTAACTCGTCGCACCAAGTTGCTCATATATCGCCTCGGACTCCAAGCCCTGGAAGCCGGCTATTTCCCGAGCGTACTCCCACATCCTCCGCCGAGACACCGCACTTGCCCCTTTTCGATCAAACTGCTTTCGGCCCTGCAGCGCCCCTCCTATCAGCCCTTCTTCAAGTCCCTGCATCGACCAAGCCACCGCCAGGTTGCTCGCCGTGGGGCGGCCCGACCGGGCCGCCACCTCGCGGCTCGAAAAGCGAAACTCCCTCGTCGTGGTCTGGACCTCGAACGGCAGGAAGGAGTAGCCCCCCGGCCAACACTTGCCCGCCAGGCCCCGCATGCGGCCCCCGGCCGAAAAGGACCGGTCGCAGGCGGTGGCCGAGTACTGGGATTCCGGGATGACGAGGGAGCGGAGGTACACGTTGTCCGGGTGGACGAGCAACGACGTGATGGATGAGAGCAGGGACGTGCATTGCTTGAGCGCCAGCTTGTCCGAGCACGACTTTGAGAGGGTGGGTGGGGCGTCGCCCCGGGCTGGCTTCCGACGAACGACGCCGAGTTGCGAGAAGAATCCCCGTCCTGGTAGCGATACTCCTGCGGATTCTTCAGAAGGGGATCCAGCCGCAGCTGGTGGTATATCCCAGGGCGAAGCATCCTCTTGAGCGGCCATTGTGAGTTCCATGCTAGCATCTCCACCTTGTAGCCACGATATGTCAGCCTGGTCAGCCATTATGTACTTGGGAAGAAAGGAGAAGCCTTACACGGGGCTTCTGAACAGTACATGTGAAGGGTCACGTCGTCCCTCCACGCAAACGGCTGGCCATTCCAACCTTCTTCTTCGCCACACCGTTCCTGGTCGTCTCTCCAGCGTAGGTAATGGGATGGTAGTCCGGCTGCAAGGCTTCGACATTCCCCGAGAAGGAACTGGTTGAAGGCTCGAAGTGAAAGGATCTCCGCATGCCAATCATGGACGACAACTCCATTTGCTTGAGGGATCTTTGCACACGGCAGGCACTTCATTCCGGTTCTGTCAAAACCATACTTTTCAGCGAGACCTCTTTATTTTAAGGGGAACCTAAACTAGGTTGGTACTCCTAGGTAGAGGTATGGAGGATACATACGCCTGCGATAAACACTCGAATATTTTGGGGCCTACGGGTGATGTTAACTGCTGCCATACTGTATCGCCCAGACACCCCTTGGGTTCTGACCTTGGGCTACGATCCCGCACAGGGGGACCCATTCATGAAGGCCGTTGTCACGAATCGCGGGCTTACGCTTGCCAGGCAGCCGGTCGAATTGCTCAAGCACAAGGCTGGCTATTTTATCGGCCTCATTGTCCATAACAACCAGCCCCGAACCTCATCATATTCGCAAGTGAGAAACGTAGCGAACTCTACGTGCCTACCCTTAGGTACTGCTGATGATATAGGACTTTTTGGGGAAGTTTTAAAGATACAGGGTTAGGGTTGATGGCACGCTGGGATTCTCGTTGGCACGTGCGCAGCCATCCCAGAAAGGTCACGCGCTACGTCACGAGAGGAGCCCTATCACAGCCCGCACAAGAATTTCGCCAAAATCATCCACCCGACAGCCCATTGCGGAATTTGGAGAACTTTCAAAGGTAACAACAAGCAAAACTCGACAACCACCGCCACCATGAGGACGTACGACGATACTTTCTCGGGCCAGAAGATTTACCCTGGCAAGGTACGTTTTCCCGATTTAATTCGCGAGCCCCGTCAATGCGAGCCGGCGAGCCTTGGTGCGAGGAGGGAATCAAGGCCGGTCGAGTGGCATCTGGGCTTGGGGAGTCGAATGAAATAGGCCATCACTGGAGTGGTCAAGGGACAGAAAATACTGACGGTTTCTCCATCACAGGGTAAACTCTACGTCCGTGGCGACAACAAGACCTTCCGATTCTCGACGGGCAAATCCGAGTCTCTCTTCCTTCAGCGCAAGAACCCCCGCCGCATTGCCTGGACCGTTCTCTACCGGAGACAGCACCGGAAGGGTATTTCTGAGGTACGAACAAGCCCCCGCCGCAACAGCCAGAGATGGCGAGGTCCCCCGGCACCGACCCGGACACCGCGCCCCGGCACAAACCCCGAGGCACAAAGGCCGTGGACGGAACGGGAGGATACACACACATCAGGAGGAACAGTTGGATGCTGACCCCTTCAAACAGGAAGTCGCCAAGAAGCGCACCCGCCGGACCGTTAAGTCGCAGCGAGCCATCGTCGGCGCCTCCCTCGATGTGATCAAGGAGCGACGGACCATGCGCCCCGAGGCCCGCAGCGCCGCGCGCCTGGCCGCCATCAAGGAGAGCAAGGACAAGAAGGCCGAGGCCGCCGCGGCCAAGAAGGCCGAGAAGGCGAAGAACGCCGCGCAGGCCGCCAAGGGCCAGTCGGCGAGCCGCATCTCGAGCAAGCAGGGTTCCAAGGGAGCGCAGATCAAGGTTCAGGCCAAGACCCGATAAGTTAGTTATGCTGCTTTGGGGGGAGGGGAGGAACGCGGAGTCGGGTCGGTCTCAGGGTTTTTTTCTCGTACTCGCTGGGAGGGGGCATAGGGTTTTCTCCCGCTCGATAAAAATACACACGACAACGTTCTGAAGAGGGCCGGTTGCATGGAATCCTACATCACTGGGCGATAGCGGTATGGGGATGTGCATGAGTTAGCTCACAAGAATGGACAGCTTGTGCATGATCTGAATAGCATGTCCGCCCGTGAGAGCGCTGAGATCGACGTCCCCTTTGTAGCTGTCCGGCAATATCACGAGCAACGCTTAGCCATCGTGAGACACACCACAGTCGGTAGAGAGGCATTTCGAGAGTGAATGTTGATTTCTAAGTCCCGGTCTCTAATATCTCCCCAAGGGAATCTGACTCGGTAGTACGTTCAAATGCGCAAAGGATCTACAGCTTAGCCAGGACCCCCTCGGCGCCGCTTGCTGCTATGCTCTTGGGCACGTCCTTCTCCGCATAGGTAACCTTGCCGTGGTCGACGATGACGGCATACCTCAGCGTCCGGTCGCCGGCAGTCCAGCCAATCCTCTTGCTGAACTCGAGACCCGCGTCGGAAGCAAAGATCTGTCCGTTGTAAGCAAACATAAGCCCCGAAACTAGACCAGGTTCATCCCGGGCATGGAGTAGACAGAGAGAGGAGGGGAGACTCACGATAAAGTCACCGGACACGCCGTTCGCCTTGCCCCAGGCGCTCATGACGAAGGCGTCGTTGCTCGCGATGATGACGACGTGGTCGACGCCCTTTGCCTTGAGCTCGGTGGCGTTGCGGATGTACGAGACGACGTGCTGCTCCTGGCACGTCGGCGTGAAGGCGCCCGGGACGGCGACTAGGACGACCTTCTTGTTGCTGAACTCTGTGTGCCCCATCGTCATCGTCAGCCTCCACCCTTATTTTTTTGGGGCGTCCACACTAGTAGTGGCTGTTATGTTTGTGCTATGGTATTTTGCTTACCCTTACTGGCGTCGTACTTGATCGGGATGCCGCAGGCGATGAGGTCCTTCTTCTCCTCCGTGTAGGGGATGTAGGTGAAGGTCACGCCTTCGGGGAACGAGTCTCCGGCATTGAGTGCGGACATGGTTCTAGAATGGGAGGGATGGCGTTTTACTTCTTCCTTTGGAAAAGAGTTACGAGCTTTTTTGATGGCGGGTGGGAAATGGAAAGGTCAAGGCGAGTTCCTTCAGGTAAGTAGCTCAAGACCGGCTTGATATCGGAGCTTCAATGTCTTGGAGGGGCCGAAGCATAAAAGTGGGATTTGAGCTGCAGATAACCCCCACCGAGTACCTCGATGGCCAGGTCTGATCAAATCCCGGCGAGTTCCATGGGACGGTGGATTGGTTACCATGTATGGCATGTGAATGAGATAGGCTGCGGTCTATGAAACCGAAAAGGGATATCTACTTTCGTTTTACTCAGGAGAGAGTGAGTAGGCACGTTGGCCAAGCGATTACGTTCAAGTGCTGCGGACAGCATGTACAGAACCGGTGACCGGAGCGCCGCCGAAGAGTTGGGCCTACTATCTCACAATGGCGATTCCCGATGGCGCAATGGCATAGCATGGCCTTCCAAGCAGTCGCTCCCTCCCTCGTTCTAGTGGTTGATTATGAAAGCAGACATGCAAGGCCAACCCTAGCTTGGTCTCTCAGCGGCGCATAGTAGATATCATCTAGCCTCCCGGAGCCATGTGGACGCAGGCTCCGGGGCGGCCGGCCGAAACGGAGCCGAGATCAGGCAAACCCATTTCGGTGTTCGGACTAGATATACAAGAGTATATCGGTCACCACCCATAGTTAGATATGGGAATGGGAATCGAGTGTTTTTCCTGTCCACAGCTTGAGATCACATGAATGCTCACTTGCGGCGTTAAGTCGAGTCCCAGGTAGGCAACGATTTAGCTACTATTATTGGCTTTGCATGCAGATGACGACGCTGGGAAGTCATCATTACTACTCCGTGGCGCGCCCTACGAACGACGAAGACGCCGAACGACCACCGAAACCCAGAGAACTCCGGTGGTCTGATTTCTCAACTACCTGATCACACTTCCTCCTGAGCTTCCGGTAGAAAGGATATAATCGCATTTGTCGAACAGGCGGTTTTATCATCAATCATCTAGGAGCCAATTTGATCCACTCACAAACGATGGCTACCGAATCTTTGCCCCCATTCCCACCTTTCACTCTGGAGACTGCCCAAAAGAAGGTCAAGGCAGCCCAGAATGCATGGAACACGAGGCAAGTACCGATACTTCGTGGAGCGTGTCAGAGAATATGAAGGCTTACACAATCGACCTCGACAGAAATCCGGAGGACGTGAAGATGGCATATACGCCCGACTCCATCTGGAGGAACCGAGACAGCTTCGTCCAGGGACGAGACGAGATAGTCAAGTTCCTTAAGCAGAAGTGGCACAAAGAAAATGGATATCGGCTGAGAAAAGAACTATTTGCATTCGTTGATAACAAGGTATGCGCCAACTGGCCTCCTGGGCCGGATCGCACTGACGATTTGCTAGATTGCGGTGCAATTCTGGTACGAGTGGCACGACGATGCCGGGCAGTGGTGGCGAACTTACGGGCTAGAAGACTGGACTTTCGCAGAGAACGGGTTGATGAGGAAGAGGCAGATGAGCGGGAACGATGTCAAGATTTCAGACGAGGAGAGATGGTTCAAGAACGGCATTGATGTGAATTCTGTGGATATCAGTGAGAAGCATTGGTAAAGCTAAATGGTACTCTAGGTAGGTTGGCTCGGGTTGGTTAGCTGAGGTTAGTTGGTTAGGTAGGTAGTAAATTAGGTACCTAAAAGTAGTGGTCAAACGTCTTCTCAACCAAGCCGGGGTTGTTAATGGGCGGCTTACTTCTGCCGCTGATCTGCCGTCATGGTGGCAAGGCAATGCCATCATAATTCGTGCAAAAGGAAGAGAGTTCGGATTCAGATGCACAAACCTGTCTTACCCTCGGTGCAAGATCGGCCCAGAGCTATAATTGGGAGCCTGGAAGCAATAGCCTCGGGCCAAAGGAGAGGGCGAGAGGCTGTCAAAAGGGCTTATCGATAACTAAGCCGAGTTACGTTGCTATTTTGTCCCGCATTTTCCACAAAAACTCGGCGGGATCAGAATTACAATGTACTTCTGAGACTACCAAGCAGAAGCCAGTTTTAAAAACCCTGCGAATGGATTGCTTCAAGGACTTACGGAAACCACCTTGAAGCGCAAAGGATCACTGTTGGCCAACCCAGCAGTCCCTGTCATATCAGAACAATGCCTTCCGAGACATACCAAGCCCACCCGGCAGCGGTGCCGGACGGGGGCCGAGACGGAGGTCCCGATACTTCCGCCCCCCACGACGGCGCCGCCCCGCACCATTCCGGCCGACCTGGAACGGCCACCAGCACCGCCGAGATCGATACCACTCTCGTCCACCCCGGATCCGTGAAGATAAATGTCGAAGGCGCCTTTATCGTCGATCAGGGGAGCACTTCGCCGGGGAATGGCAGAGGCTCCCCTAATCACGACACGAAGGATATCCGGCTGCCAAACCATACCGCCGTTGTTAGTCATGTTGCTATTGACGTATGTCTCCAACCTCCCGGTCTCCCCAATCCCCACCCTCGTCTACTCCTGTGGCATGAATCGGACCCGTTAGCTCACAACTATTGGCAGATTGGCGGCACTCTGGCGAAACTCGTCTACTTCTCTAGGGAAGCACACTCTACCAACCCCGGCGGTCGCCTGAACTTCCTCATCTTCGAGACGGACCGTATCAGTGACTGTATTGAGTTCATGAAGCATCTGAAAGCCAAGCAGCAGGCACTCAACGGTTCTAGACCCGGCGAGCTGTGTGTCATGGCGACGGGCGGTGGTGCCTACAAGTACTACGACATGATCCGCAAAGAAGTTGGCGTTAATGTGCTGAGGGAGGATGAGATGGAATGCTTAATAATTGGTTGGTGCTGCCGGAGAACGCCTCGTGTGGTCTCAGTCGAGCTAATTCGTTGCCCCTTTCCAATCCAGGTCTTGATTTCTTCATTACCGAGATCCCTCGCGAGGTCTTCACATATTCAGAAACCGACCCCATGCACTTCGCCGAGCCGTCAGACGACATATACCCATACCTGCTGGTCAACATTGGCTCCGGTGTTTCCTTCCTCAAGGTGTCAGGGCCGCGCAATTATCAACGAGTGGGCGGTACTTCCCTTGGAGGAGGAACGCTCTGGGGCCTGCTGAGCCTCCTGACAGGGGCCCGCACCTTTGACGACATGCTTGACATGGCATCGCGCGGCGATAACTCCAAGGTGGACATGCTAGTGGGTGACATCTACGGGACCGACTACGGCAAGATCGGGCTGAAAAGCACGACCATTGCCAGCTCCTTCGGGAAGGTGTTTCGCATGAAGCGGGAGGCCGAAGAGGCGGCCGAGGACAGCGGCGGCCTCAACAATGGTGACAACTACTACCACTTCCAAGAGCAAGAGCAACCACAGCAACACCACCGCCAACAATCCCGTGACTCCCTACCTTCCTGTGTCTCACCACCGGAGCCCTCGCGAACCGCCGCCAACTCGGCAACCCCCGACCACCCCGACGACCCGTGCGGCAGGCACCCGCAGCCGTGCTTCTCGAGCGCCGACATCTCGCGGTCGCTCCTGTACGCCATCAGCAACAACATTGGGCAGATCGCCTTCCTGCAGAGCCAGATCCACAACCTGTCTGACATCTACTTTGGCGGCAGCTTCATCCGCGGCCACCCGCAGACCATGAACACGCTCAGCTATGCCATCAAGTTCTGGAGCGGCGGCTCCAAGCAGGCCTACTTCCTGCGCCACGAGGGCTACTTGGGCGCCGTTGGCGCCTTCCTCAAGCGCCAGCCCCGCAACTGGGGCCGCAGGGGCAGCTTCGAGGCCGAGATGCTGCTGGCCCGGCAGCAGGCGTTCGAGGCGAAGGAGAACCAATCGGAGCTTGGAGCGGTGAGGGAGCATGGCGGCAGTAGTGATGGCGGTAATGACGATGCTGTTATTGTTTGATGGGGGTGTGGAGGTTTCAAGCATCCATCCGCCCTTGGCGTTGAAAAAGGGTGTGTGGTAAGCCTGGCGTTCTGGAACCTTCGGGTCTAGCATACTGCATTCATGCGTGTTACGAGGTGCTTGTTTGAGACACGCATCTGGAGATATATCGAAGCTAAGTCATAAGATTTGCTGAGTATCTAGTCATAATTAATACTTCACTCGACCAAATCTGTACAAGATCGGTCTCTGAGGCCCCCTTGCGATTTGGAATCATTCGGCGCCTACCTTATCATCCGTCCACCTACTAGAATTAGAGAAGCTACCTGTGCAATCATCTCATAACAACCGTTGCCTGTCCCCACAGTTCACCTTTGCAGCGGAGCATCATGACGTTGAGAGAGTCCGGCCCAGGGGCGGCACCGGGCCATTACGTCAAGACATCGTTCTATACCACCACCAGGCAACTCCGTCCTCATCCAGCTCTTTCCAGCGTCCTGAACTTTATCACCATCAAAAACTTCTGGCCTTAATCTTGTTAAAGGACATAGCTACAATCCATCACGGAACTCATCCCTAAAAACAAATAACCAACCACCCACCACCATGCCTCGCGAAGGAACTGGACACTCCGACAACGCCGTCGAGACAGGCCACAACATCATCCACGGCGCCGGCGAAGAGAAGGTAAGCAAAAGCACCCGAACCTCCCCAAAAGCCACATAACATACACCGACTACTCCCCCCACCCACCAACCAAACAACAGACGCTGATCCCCCCAGCAGCTATCATCGCACGTCAACCGCGCCGACAAGGCCGCGCCCCTGCCGGAGCACGAGAAGGGCGCCGGGCTGAAGGACGTGGGCGCCAGCGGCGGGCAGAGCCAGGGGCTCGCGTCGGGGCCGGAGAGGGGCCAGGGGGGTCGGGGGAAGCAGCATTAGAAGTCAGATAGATATATGTATACCTAAGTAAACTGTGAAATGCATATTCGACTTTTTATTTTTGACATACATTCATCGCGGATAGAACTGAACTGGAATATGATGGGACAGTAAATTTACGCCGTTCACGACGGGATTCCGTATGCTAGCTAGCTTCTACGCTTTCCAGATGATTGTAGAAGACAAGAGACCTTCACATGACGGTCAAGAAGCTCAATATGACGGTAGACATGACACAAACGAAGCTAAAAGTTCGCAGCCCCCCTTAGATAATGGTCGTCGACTCTCCCGGCCGGGGAACGACGTAGCTGGACTCTGCGGCCGCCTTCTCCATCTCGGCGGCGACGAGGGCGATGAGGGCGGCGCCGACGCCCGAGCCGTCCTTGGCGATGCCGATCCGGACGCGCGCCGCGCCCGCCTCGCCGATCCCGTCGACGGCGCGCAGGGCCTCGTAGATCATGTCGCGGAAGTACGGGTAGTGCTCGACGAGGCTGCCGTCCACGCCGATGTCGACGGGCTCGTCCGCCGAGTGCTCGAGGCTCCCCGTCTGCAGGACGATTGCCGCGATGGCGACCGCGGAGAGGCGGGCGGCTCGGCGTCCGACGGCGTAGGCGACCTCCTTGAACGCCTGGGCGTCCTCGAGGGACGGGGAGTAGACGTGAAGCTGGCTCTCGAGTTCCTGGCGGAGAATGGAGAGCTCAGGGGTCGTGTCGGCGGCAGCAACGGACATGATGGCGCTATCGACACCCCACTGCGTGTAGATGCTCGAGCTTTCGCCAATGGTGGTCGTCGACTTCCAATCATTGTGGCTGGAGTTCTCATCCTTGAAAAGGGAGACCTCGGCTTTCTTCAGCATGTCCAAGACGGTAAGTCGGAGGATCTCACCAAGGAACATGCCCGAGACACGCTTCTCGAACATCTGGATTCCAGGGTTGACGCTAGCTTCGTCTAGCTGAGAATCCCAGCTTGTATTGGGCAGAACGTTGAGTTGGTTGTCGAAAGAACCCCATTCAGTGTTGATGACCATGTTGCCGGTCGACTTATCGAACTCGCCCTCCATCGGCTTCTTGACATTCGACAGTTTCTCGACGTAAGCGCCGTTGGTTCCCGTACCGAAGATGGCGCCCAGCACGGACTTGACCTTGCCAGGAGCGGTATACGAACGTGCCATCAGAGTTCCCACAGTGTCGTTCACGAGAGCCGCCACTTTAACGGGAAGGTGGAGCTTGTCAATCTCTACTTGCAGGAGGGCGCAGACATCTTTGCCAATCGCGTCTGGGATATCGAAGCCCTTCGTCCATCTTATGAGCGTGCCCCTATTGATCCCTTGCTGGTGGACTGGGAAGCTGAAGGTGAACCCGAGGCGGAATATTTGTTCATCCCTGTATCCTTCCGGAGTGCTCACCGTCTTTCGGCGTCTGACATGGTGTTCATAGTGGTCCCCGTGGTGGCTTTGGAGGAAGAGCTCGACCTGCTTCGCTAGGAAGGCAAATAGCTCGGGGGCAGTCTTGGCAGTCATAAGCTCCTTCGGGATGGCTACCTTGGAGAATGTGAGGTTGAACGTGGTATCGCCATTTAGCTGTATGGAGCACACTCGGAAGTTGGTTCCTCCAAGGTCGACAGCAAGGTATACACCCTGATGTCCAGGTTTAGCCAACTGAAGCGAAGCTTGGCGCGAGTAACTAGAAGCTTACCTTCTCAGTACCATTGGGCACCGCAGTGACGTATGTCGGGATTTGGCTCAGGCTCGTTCCGTCCTTCTCTAATCCCTCACCTGGGGGAACACTAGGTTAGGTTCTGCTCGTGCCGCTGAAACTAGGCAGAGTACGTAATTACCCATCTGGCGGAGAAATTCCTTGACTCCTTTGTTCACATCCTCGTCCGTGTATTCGAACTGGGCGGCAACCCGCTTGGTTTCCTCGACTAATGCCATGTTGGTTCTCGAGGTCGGAGCCGCGGTGGGGAAGGGCAGTGGGTTTTCGCAGATTGGCGAGTCAGGGACCAGCTGTGCAGAAGGAGAAGTGAGGAAGGGATGGCCAGCTAATATAGTCGAATAATAGAGCTTGGCGTCTGGAAGGAAGAGCTGCAGGGCCTGGGGGGGAGGGGCAGGCAGTCAGGACCAAGCAGAAGCAGCGAGAGTATATAGCGCAATGAACTTACTAAAACAAATATCAGGACAAAGAGAGAGAATAGGTGGACCGGGCCAATGCCAGTGGTCCCCTGGGATGGCAGCAATTTACGGGCGGGAGGAAGACCGTTGTCGTTGGTGAGGGAATTGAGTTTTGTGTCGCAATCAGATGTTTGTGAGGGCGAGGAGATAATTGCGCGCCACCAGGCGCGGGGCCGATTTGGGGGCGTCGTTTTGTCGGTGTTGGCGGGGTATCGGTGCTTCTCTGGGGAACGCCCCTCTGTAAACGGGCCGGATTCGCGGACAGGGATAGTAGGGACAGCAATGAAGTCATCAAGCGAGGGAAAAAGAGAGTTGTTGGACGTGGGCCTTGGAAATCAATAATTGGGCGCCGAGCAGCTGCTGAGGAAACAATTGGAAAGGTTGAGACAGGTGGGAGAGGATCTAGCCTTCGCTTTATCACAGGATCGGAAGAGGACTTGGTGGCTTGGACCCAGCCGTCTCTCGACTGTCGCGAGGGGTTTCCAAGAAGCGAAGTCTGGTCCAATTTGTCAATTAAATGGTGCTTCAGAGTGCAGACAGACGCATGTATCTCGTACTTATGCAGGTGACCTTTGGCACACTCTTAGGCGGCGTCTATGCCAGAAACTGCGTGACAGAATCCAAGGATAGGTGAAGAGCCAGTTGCAAGGTGTCAAGAAGAAATGCAAGACACAGAGTATACGTAGGCTAGGAATCAATTAACAGAAGATCGTGGAATGCCTCCTTTTCTCTCGGAGATTCAATTTCTACCCAATACAAACAATTTTAAGGACAGGGATGTGGTTCCACAAGACATCGCGTACCAAAACCAGGTCGGGAGTTCGAGTCTAACTTAATCTGGCAAGAGATCGGCAGATCTTAGAGCGGGCCTTCCCTTGAATCTGTACTGCGTGGCAGTGAATCTGTACCTAGTTCCAACTCTTGAAATGACGAGCATCGAAAAAGAGTACACTCATATCAAGCAATGGTAAGTGGGAGAATGTAAAGTCACGGCAAAGCTTGAGTGTGGTGGCGAGGCGCACTGGAAATGACGGTTTCAATTTATTCGACAATCGTGGCTTCCAAGAGCCTCGAAGGTGCTTCTGGAGCATGACGACCAATATCTTACATGTTCCCTTCATCAAGCCCATTACCAAGGCACTGGGCAAACTCCAACCCACATTATGCTCAGAGATATCCTGTCCGGCCGAGTCTACGCCGTGAAGGTTCTCTTGACGACGAAGAATGCCGCCATAAGAAGGGCAGCCAGCATCATGAAGACACGGTTCCGGTGCCCATCACCTGTTATCGTTGTCAGCACAAGTCCAAGCACATGTTCAGGGAGCACCCCCGGCCTTCGACCTACCTTCCTGATCTAGACTGTGGACCAGTACCACGAACACGTTTAGGGGGAACCTCAGGATGCTATACACCTTCCCCCGCACGCCGTCCTCAACCACCTCGCTCTTCAAGAAGGACATGCTGGGGAGGTAGGCTCCAATGGCCGCCTCGACGGCACATAACGTCCAGAACAGCAACTTCTCGTTCTCCAACAGCACGGCCCCGGACAAACACGCGCTGACAAGCAGCGTCATCGACATGAGGATGAAGATAGTGCTCTCCTTGTTGTGGGCCGGCGTTGAGAGGGAGAAGAAGGCCGAGCCGGCCATCATGGCGCACATGAAGCTCGAGAAGATGAGGCCATACGGCAGCTCCTCCTCAGAGCCCGACTTCGCCCTGGCGCTTTTCAGAGCCGCCGACCAGAAGAAGATGAACAGGTACATGGCGCCCTCAAAGACGCACGACGTGATACCCAGCGACAGGATCCGCTTGTCGCCGAGGATCGTCGCGATGCCACTCCTGATGTCGGCCAGGGAGCTGCGGCTCACCGACTTGGCGCCGTAATTTTCGCACTGACCCGCCAATCTTGGTTAGCATCTGGAGAAGACTCTCGTCGGTGGGGCTTATTTCCCGCCCCAACTCACCCAAGTCCTCCAGATCAGGTATGCCGCCGTGATGCTACACGCAACACTCGCCAAGAAGGGCCAGACCCGCCCGCCCAAGGACGCCACCAGCACGTCCCCCACGATGCCCGAGGTGATGGCCACGATGCAGCTCAGCGTGGTCATGTAGCCGAACACGGTGCCGAGCTTGAGGTTCGAGGCGCCCAGATCGCGACGGTGGTACTCGGTGATCATCCAGGCCTCGAAGACGCTGTACAGCAGCGTGGTAGAGATGCCGCCGGCGAAGCGGCCCGCAAACAGCAGGATCAGGTTGTCGCTGAGCATTGTCAGGCAAGTCAACGCATAGGTGCCGCAGTACACCAGACACGCCAGCCGCCGCCCGTGCCGGTCCGCCAGCTGGCCCGCAAAGGAGGCCGACATCGCCCCCGAGATGAACCCGGCTGCGTATAGAGCCGCGACCGTCTTCTCCGGGATGCCCTTTTCGTACTTGTAGATGGCGTAGATGTGGGGCCCCTGAAGTAAAGGAGATTGGGTTTGCTTAGCTTGAGCGTCCACACGTTGGGGGGGAAGCAACCAAGGAGAGATGACAGGCTCGGGTGTGACCTACCTGCAGCCAATCTGCAGCAACAGCAAGAGCATAGACGGGGAAGAAGTCCATCTGGAACTTCCGGACAACTTCTCGGCTCACAGAACCGCCATTCTCAATGAACGAGTCCCCATCGGCGTCGCTATCTTCCTGAGCGAGCTCCGAGGCGAGGAGATCTGCCTCGGGGGGCTTTCGGTCCCTCTGGTATTGCCGGTAGAGCAGATATGCATTACCGGCCGCAAAGACGGCGAGGTTGATTTGGTAGAACGACATAGTTTGGCTGTACTGGTGTGTGGGACTTTGGGACGGTTTACCAGGCTGCAGGAAGATCGGAGCAGAGCGAGGGGATCATCTAGTAGGCAATTTGAGCGGTCAATCCCTTTGCACCCGCTGCGGGAGTCCAGGGATGATGGAATGGAATTCCTGAAAGGGCGGCTCCCTGGATATGTCGCTCCTGATACGCGAATGTCTTACAACACTCTCGGAGCTTAGCCGTGCTTGACCATCTCCCGTTTTACGATTGACCTGGTCGAGCAACGGGGCAGAAAAGGGTGAAAATGAGAAATGTGCATCGCGCCCTGGGGAGAATCGCGACATCTGATCGAAATCTGGGACGGGGTGGTGGGCTGCATTCCTGGCGCCGCCTCAGCTCGTATTCGTGCCAGATCAAAGCACCTAGCTAGGCATTGGTTAAGCGCGGGGTATAATCCTTCCATTTCCTCGAATCGAAGATGATATTTAGGGTGTAAAGCAGCCCTGGGCACAAATCAAATGAATCAAGTTCAAATGGCAAATAAATCAAGTAAGTCAAATCATAGGAATCTGCTTGCTTGGAGCCTCCAAAATGGAACTTGGCGATCTCATCGTTCTAGATTCTGGGAGTCTCCAAGCAAGCGGATTTGGGACCTGAGTTTCTGGCATGCATTACCTAAGGTACCCCACAGCCCCGGCCGGAAACATGACTTGCAAGGGCTATTGAACCTCCTGAACATGGTGCCTCTCTCTTCCATTCTAATAATAAGGAGCGTTCGACCCATGAGATGCAACAGGCTATCCCTTCGACCCCTCCGGCAGACGAATCCCCCCATTTCGCCTCTCCAGGGCCACACGTGATCTGTGGAGACCACAGCGGCGTATCTCGCAACTACATTTACAATCAATCCTCTTCTAGGTAGCTGAGGCCTGCACGTATCGACTCCCACGGTCACGATAAGTCCTTCGGTTCTATTCGCGAGCGGTCTCTCGAAGGTGCCTCGAGGTTCCCCCATAATGACTATCTCAGCAGGATGGAGAAACACAGGGCAGAATGTTTACGATATTGAGAATGAATGGTAGGTGTGTCTTTAATGGAGGAGGTTTGCCGCTTAAAGCGGCGGCCAGCACCAGCCAAATTCAGCGGCAAATCTCATTCTGCTTGAGTGCTCTGACCTGGCGACTGACTTGTATCGTCTTCTACCTAACATATAGGAAAAGACTCCTGTGTCATCTAGCTAAACGGGTCTCGGTTCTCTCATATATTTTGCCTCAGAGACGTGGATGGTTGGATTGGTCCAAACCAGTCCTTATCACGTGCAATATTGCGCTAGTCTCGAAGGAGGCAGCAGGACGCAAAAGCTGAGGCTGTATCGAGATATCAATGATTTCTTTTTTCGGTTGGAGAAACCTGATGCGTAGCAGGCGAAAACCCAGTGATGATAAACATGGAGGAAGGTACAGATTAATATGGTCAAGCTGATGGGTTCCGCTGATGGAAGTCCCCTGTCAGCGGACGCCTGGTATCAGGACGACGATGATGCCATCGAGAAACAAGGGTTGAAAGTTACTGGCAAAGATCTGAAATGGCCAAAAGGACGGCCGTGCTTATTTCTACGACTAATAAGAACCCGGCCTCGAAAAGCGGCATATTCCAGACTCAGGCCCTTGGGCTGGGATCCGTCATCGGCTGGTCTGTTTCTGAATGTTCCACGCAGCTCGTCACAAGGGGAATTGCGGCTGAGCGCAGCCTCAATTGTGGAGATGCAGATGGGCGTTAGGTACCGGTACCCGTCATCAAGCTTAGGGTGGAAGCCCCCGCACTGGAGAAGCGTCGAAACCCAACCTACCGCTCCGTACATACGTGGGATGTTAAAAGCATTGAAGAGGGTATGTCAACTTGATAGGTCACGGGTATTCCGTGCACCAAGTGAGGTGCCCCGATATTGGGCCTGATATTGGGACTTGGAACTTGGAACTTGGCGATGTGGCTTTGCATCGACAAATTTGTGCTCAGCCACCAAGACCTTAGGTAGCTACCTAGGTACCACCTAAATAAGCCAGGCAGCTCAAAGTCCTACGAGTAAGAGTGGGGTGCATGTACAGGGTCCTACAACTTTGGCGAAGTCCTAGTCCTACACAGTAATTCAGTCTCCGTACAGCGACACAATTGCTAAGTTCAGGCATCCATTGAGAGCTTGTTTAGGGCCCAACGGCTCCCCATCCTGCCAAACCTGAGAGAGTCTCCTCATGAGGACAACCGAGTAAAAATGGCAGCGATATATGGGTTGGGCAGGCGGCCCTGGCTAGGTAGGCAAGGTATGGGTACCCATCAACTCGAAACCTGTCACCAAGAGGGATCAAATGCCCAGCCCTGAGTCCTGGACAAGAAGGTTATGGCTCAGTAGCGCTGGAGGAGCCCCGCATAAGCAATGGGACAGTGTGTGAATGAGAACAAGGACAAGAAAAAGCCTTCATCTGCATCAGGGCCCAGGGCCAAGGTCAAGTACCCAATAAGTTAACGCTACTTTCAATTGCGTTATGTTTTCCTTTTGCCTTCGGATTTAATCCCCCCTTTTGGTCATAATTCGTTTCTTCAAGGACATAAGACGTTGGCACTGCGATTGAGACAACCTTCCGTCGCGGCGAACTATTCTCCCGCGCTACCCTGAAAGCCAAGACCCGACTTACATATGTAGACTTCAAATTCACTTGACCGACTGGGGCCCGTTTTGAAAGTTGCAGATACGATTGCCAATTGCCAGACTGATCGGTTCTGTCGACCGTCACAAAGTTGTCAGCGCAACGTCCCACCCGCCCTCTCATGCGTCTTTGTGCTTGCAGGCCCGGGTCCGAAGCACTGCCCTGCAACATCCACCCGCCCCCCTCAGCCTTACAACGCAATCGGAACGGGACCCAAGGTTTCCCCCAAAGCCCACCCCTCCAGGTTCCCCGACCCGCGCAGTCCTAGTCGCATTCGACTAATTTCTCACATCTCGTTTCCCCTCCAGCCCTCCGCCCTCCACCCTCCAGCCCTCCGCCAGCCAGCCAACCCTTCAGCTGCGCGCCTTTCGTTCTGCTGAAAACTATCCCACCCTCGCTGTTCCTCCCCCCCTCGCCTGTTCATAATTTACCATCTCCCCATATGAGTTCTCGCCTGAAAGCCTTCGGATTCGGCAAGCGCAAATCTACCGCCAGCATCCACAACCCGGACTTTCAGCAGCAGCACCAGCAGCAGCAGCACCAGCAGCAGCTGTACCAGCAGCAGAGCCACACCCCCCCTCCTCCTGCCGGTGCCCCTCAAATACCACAGCAGTTCCCTTCCCGTCCCGGTCCCGCTCCATCTCTTGCCTCCTCATCCTCCCTCCAGAGCCTCCAAATGAATCATCCTGGATCCGGCCCAAGACCGCCAAGCTACACGGCGAACTATCCTCCTGGTCCCCCGCCCCCCGTTGGTCGCACCAGCCCGCTGACGAACCAAGGCCCTGCTCGCACGCCGCCCTCGCAGATGGTTGGCGGTCCTCCACCCATCAACACCGGTGCTCCCGTTGCTGGATACCCTCCGCCGGTGCCCATGAACGGGCCTCCTCCCCTCTCGATGGCCGGCCGTCCGCCCCCAAACTACGGCGGCGCTCCTGGATATCCTCCACCTGCCTCTCAACCCCAGGGTGCTATGGCTGCCGCTCCCTACGGTAGACCTGCTGCTGAGGTCGAGGGCAACAGCCGAAGTAAGGCTCAGCTAATCGTTGGCATTGACTTTGTGAGTGCCCCCGTTCTGCATGCCGGTCGGGTCTTGCCTTGCTCTCAGATCTCGTGGCTAACCATCCTTTGTTTGTCACTCAGGGCACGACCTTCTCGGGTGTAGCATTCGCATTTGCCACGAATAATGAGGCAAAGGAGGACATCATTACCGAATGGCCTGGTGCCGGTTCATACACGAAGCAAAAGGTGGGTACTCGTTGCTTGATTTGAATTCCTGCTGGCGCAGGACAGTTCCGTTTGCTAACTTGCTTGCGTTCGATTACCAGATTCCCACTGTTCTTTACTACGACCAGTATCAGAAGGTCGTCGGCTGGGGCCCCGATATTGCCGAAGCCCTCGCCCCGACTGGATACCCGAAACCTGGTGTGCAGAAGGTCGAATGGTTCAAGCTCCAGCTGATGCTTTCGGGCAACACCTACATTGACCCCATTAACCTGCCACCCCTGCCACCTGGAAAGTCAGAAATCGATGTTGCCGCCGACTACCTCTTCAAACTCCGGCAAGCCATGCGAGCCGCCCTGCAGAAGACGCTGGGCGAGGTGTTTAATCGCGAGGAGAGGAATATTCGCTACTATCTCACCGTGCCCGCTATCTGGAATGACGCCGGCAAGGCTGCGACAAGAGCTGCCGCCATCCAAGCCGGCTTCCTCAGGGATGAAAATGACAACCGCCTGACCCTTGTCAGCGAGCCCGAGGCCGCTGCTCTGTTCTGCTCCAAGACGGGCCTTTTGAATCTCAAGGTTCATGATGCAGTCCTGATCGTGGATTGCGGTGGTGGTACTGTTGATCTGATCGCGTATGAGGTCGAGGACGAGAATCCGTTCACCGTTGCTGAATGTACTGCCGGCTCCGGTGACTCTTGCGGTTCAACAGCACTGAACCGCAACTTCAGCAACATTCTCCGGACCAAGATCCGCAAGATGAAGCTGCCCGACGGCTCCAAGACGGCTGGTCGCGTGTATGCCAAATGTATTATGGATTTCGAGAACCGGATCAAGGCCGATTTTAGGAACAACGGTCAGAAGTGGGCCGTCGATGTCGGTATCGAGGCCGAGTTCCCAGAGGCGGGCATTGAGGAAGGCTACATGACCTTCACCAACGAGGAGATTCTGCAGTGCTTCGAGCCCGTCGTCAACCGCATCCTGGAACTCGTCCGCAACCAGATCATCGCCATCCAGGCACAAAACCGCACATTGCAGAACATCCTGGTCGTCGGTGGCTTCGGTGCTTCAGAATACCTCTTCCAGCAGATCAAGCTTCACGTCCCGCCTCAGTTCCAGTCCAAGGTCGTCCGGCCAATGGACTCGGTGGCTGCCATCGTGAAGGGTGCCGTTACCGCAGGCATCACCGAGCGCGTTATTACCCATCGCGTCGCCCGTCGCCACTACCTCATGGCCACTCTCCAGCCGTTCAAGGAGGGCTACCATCCCGAGGCCTACCGTGTCCCGTCTCTGGACGGCAAGGACCGCTGCAAATTCACCCGCCAGATCTTCGTCCAGAAGGGCCAGAAGGTCAAGATCGGCGAGCCTGTCAAGGTCTCTTTCTTTAGACAAGTCGCCCCCGGTGCTACTCTCATGTACGAGGATATCCTGTACGCCTGTGACGAGGATGCCTGCCCCGAGTATACCAAGGATCCCCGTGAGTTGCCCTCTGTTATTAATCTCCCCATTGTTACCCGTCAGAACGCTAACTCCTCTCTGCAGGTATCAAGGAAGTCGTCACCCTCACGTCCGACCTCTCACGGAAGAACCTGGAGAAGGACTTTGAGCGGATGGACACGCCACAAGGAACATTCTACCGCGTTTACTTTGATATTTACCTGACCCTGGACGGCTCCGAATTCAGTGCGGAGCTCGTTTGCCAGGGAGAAGTTATGGGCCGCTGCCGGGCAAGGTTCAGGTAGAATATCTGGCACCGGGCTTTTGGCGGAGCTGCTCTCTTCATATAGTCCTTTTCTTTGCGCGCGCGCTCTTATACCGCCTCTATTGATACCTCTTGGTTGGAACGAAAGGGGCCTGGCTGGGCATTGAGTACGAGGAGAGGGGAGGGGAGAAAGGAGGGCAATGCACGGCATGAATGATGATTGGTGCTGATCTTTTGGCATCATCGCGCGTCAATTCTGTTCATCAACATACGGTGCAGTTGGACTACCAGCTGGATGGGCCCGTCGGAGGCCTTTGAAGGAGCATGTATGTTGCGAGATCTAAGTCCAAAAATGAGATTCTAGATTCGGCATCACGTTGGAAACTGAGCTAGTGGGCGATGAGGGGCGTGCGCACTGATTTATGACTGCTTGATGGTCAAATAGATGATTTTATTCGAGTTGGATTACAGTACGGAAAGGAAGTATGGGACCTACCCATCATCGATAGACCCCCCGGACAGCATCCTGACGGCTACTCCATAATGATGGCCAACATAGCACTCTCAGTCCCTATATAGGGGATGGAATGATAACCCCCCCTCTTATAACTAGGTTTCGAAGATCCAGCTCCAGGTTTAGCCCGTTCCCTATGCCATGGCTTGCTCCATGGTATGCGAAAGCGTGATAACCAAGAGGAACCCGTCTATCTCAGGGCAGGCACTCATGTTTGTATCACGAGGTGAAATACTGGTAATCCTGAATGCATGGTCATCTATCCATGGATCTACTACGCATTCTCGGAATGCACACCTTGACGCCATATTATTGCAAGGACGCGGAACGACGCCGCGCGCATCGTTCAGGCCTTCTGAGATCGTCTCCCTTCTCACAGTGTGCCCACAAGCCAGGGAACCCGCAGCTCCCATCACGTCGCCGTCTTCTCTCGCCTTGTCTAATATCCCGCTCCTCCAAGGAAAAGGGGGGCCCCACGGTGAAAATCAAATCAACCCATGTGGTGGACATGTTTTGTCCCCTCCCCCCAGATTCAACCCTTCTTCGCCCTCCTCTCCCGCCGTCTCCTCTCCCACTCTGCCCGCTCCTCGTCATCGCTCCCGCTAAACTCTGCATCCTCGTCGCTCTCATCATCATCGCCGCCGCCACCGAAGCCGCCATCCCGCTGCTCGGCCTCCGACCCCACCGCCTTCCCATCCCCAGCAGCAGGCGCCTCGACAAAGTCACCGGCGTTGAGGGTGGCGTACTCGTGGCGCTGGATGAGGTCTCGCAGGGCGGCGTTGCGCGGGTCGACGAGCTGGTAAGGGGTGAGGCCCCCCTTGTTGCGGGCGCGCGTCGACGAGCCCGCCTCGAGCATCATGTCGACCAGGGCGGAACCGAACTCGCGCTGCGCCTCGGGCTCCGAGTTGAGCCACCGGATCGCGCTGTGGAGGGGCGTGTCGCCCTCGAGCCGGTTGGTCGGGTCGCACTCGAAGTTGGGCTGGTCGAGGAGGAGGTCGATGATCTCGTCTGGTTTTGGTGGGAGGGGTCAGTGGGAGGTTTCCGTTGTGGATGGGTTTCTGAAAGGGGGCAGGGGGGGAGGGGCCGAGAGTTGGAAAGGAAAGGGGCTCACAGTTTCCTCTTGATGCTGCCTCGTGGTAGAGGTGGTTGCCCATTACGGTGGTCGTCTCGTTGAGAAGGCGCGCGATCTCGTCGTCACCCTTCGCCTCGAGGCACTCCGTCAACAGGTCTGTGTTGTTCTGTCTGCATGCCTCGATGAGGAGCTCTTTGACCGAGGCTCCCTGTCGGCTGTTAGCTGTGTACTTGTCATCCAAGGTTCCTTTCCGAAGGCAGCTACCTCATGTTCTTCTTCATGCCCTGCCATGGCTAATGACGGAATCAGGGGCTTCCTTGGCCTCTCAACCCAACCCAACTCGATACCTATGCTGTCTAGAGCGATGAGGGGCAGTGGTGTTGTGAATGTTCCCTGAAGGCTGGAGCAGAAGACGCCGACTTCTGAAGATAAGTCTGTCGCAGTGCCTATCCCGCTAATCTTGCCCTATCTCGTTCTTGGGATGGGCAGCACAGCTCTTAATCTTTTGGCCCGCGTCACTGGCAAGCTGTGTTCCAGGAGGTGGCAGTGAATGCGGGCGATCCGGTGTGGACTAGGGGCCTTCGGAGGGGCGGTTTCTACGGATTCCGGCGGGATGGCTCAAACAAACAACCAATCAGACGTTTGTCGCAAGCACTAGAATCGCATCCCTGCAGCGAGTTGGTGGGGGACGAGGTACCTGACTAGATGCTTTTGTAGCCCTTTTTCTTTTGCATGTGGTGACTGACTGTATCTTTTCGATGAGAAAACCAATTGCCCTTCCTTGAACTGTACACATACGGCCCTGACTCCGGTACCCTCCTAATATCTCAGCATGCTTCTCTGTACGGTCCCCCAGCCCCCATCCCCCCATCTCGTCCCGCCCTCCCACCATTCAAGACCTCAAGCTGACTAGCATTCTTCGCCAGTCTGCCCGCTCTGCTCCAACATCCTCACCGTCTCCGCCATGGAGACGGGTCGCAACCGGCTGGAGTGCCGCACCTGCCCGTACGAGCACCCCATCGACCAGACCATCTACTCGCGGCGCAACTTCGTCCGGCAGGAGAGGGAGGACGTCTTCGGCGGCCCGGGGGCCTGGGATAACGCCCAGAAGAGCAGGCAGCAGTGCCCCGCCGAGGGCTGCGACGGCGATGAGGCTGCCTTCTTCCAGGTCCAGATCCGCAGCGCCGACGAGCCTATGACGAGCTTCTTCAAAGTGAGTGATCTCTTCTTCTCCTCCTCCTCCTTCTTCCCTTTTCAAGGTTATGCGCCGAGGGGGATGCTAATGTTTGGGGTTTAGTGCATGACCTGTGGGAATCGCTGGAGAGAGAACTAGTGTGGTTGGGATGAGCGGCGGAAGAGGGTCAATTATACCAGTGGATTTCACAGGCATTGCGTGGTGTTGGGGCTGATCAGAAATTTTGTTTTGATTATGGGTATCATTTGCCCCGAATGGGGGCCTCGTTTTCCAGTTTCCTTGATGGTTGCGCCGTGTTCCGGAATCCATCCATACATAGCCAATCCTCGTCTATATTCCTTGACAATAGTCGTTCCTTATCAACATCTCGCCAATTCGTCACCGTGCATAAAGAATCGCGAGGGTCATGTCTCTCGGGACCTGGCAGGCATCCTCGCTGCATCTCGTGTGGCATCCTTCCCCGGGATTCCCCAGAAGACATGGACCGCCCGATCAACTTCATCGGGTCCTTCAATGTCTGTACGATCGCCCGCCCCATGCTCATGTCCAGCCCCAGGGCAAAGGCGAGAGGCATTCAGGCGATGGTTTCCCTGTGCCATTCCACAGCCGCACTCATGCCTTCTTGGACAAGCGCATTAACCAGATCCGGGCTGATAATGTCCTGCCTGAACCTCTCCTGCTGTAACAACTCCAGATTCTTCAGAGTCGGGCCGGGATAGGTCAGATACTTCAGGTAAGGGGGCCGGGCCCAGTACTGGAGGTAGTCGAGGTACGCGATAAAGGCCGGGTTCGTGAGCAGCTTCTGGGATGCGAGATGGTTTAGGTAGAACGGATTTCCAAGAGACTGGACAAACTGCAGAGGGTGCTTGTCAGCGGCAGGTTGGGAAGCCAGCGATAGGGGAGTAGCAAAAGTAAACGGACCTCGAGTTCCAGCTCGAAGCGTGTGTAGCCACCGAACTTGGGCTCGTTGTCTGACGGGACAGGGGGTGGCCCCGAAGGAGACGCCATTAGAACGTCTTCATGTGCCGAAGTCGATGCCATCGCGAAAATGCGTCTGGGGAACGCGCTCGACGCTCAACTTGGGGGAGCCAATGCTCTCGATGCAGCTTTAGGATTCGGAGATTGAGGTGAGGTGGGGCCAGGCCACTACCCAGTGCCCACTATATTTAGCCTCGTGGCGACCATGGGGTCCATGAGACACTACCTACAGTACAATATATGCGCGTACACACTCTTATATAAATAGGTAGGTAGTAAATTTAGGTCCGAGTCTACGCAGTAGGTGGAACCCCTGCTAATGATACACTTGGACAGCTAGAAACCTGGCTGATGCACAAGGAAGGGCAGGACTTCACATGTCAGGAAGCAAGTAGCGCATGCCATTGAAAGGGAGAGAGGGTTGTATTAATTAATATTATCACTCTCAACTCGAGATGTTCGTTATTCTCGCCAAAGTCAGTCCCGTTCAGGATCGAAGACAACCACGAAACAGGCTCTTCTCCCATTTCCACAACCCCTTCCCGGTAGGATCGGAAGGAAAACAGCAAAACCGAAATCGAGAGCTCCTGCAATCCTCATAAACAAGCCAGGTTTTGGGGTCGGTCCCCGTGGCTCGTTTCATATCCGACATGTCGACATAAATCCTATCTCTCATCCATCTCTCTCCTGCCTGTTCAACCTGTTCCGATGCCGCTTTAGAGGGCAGCAATGGCGGCCATCAGTGCGGCCAAGGCCCCGATCGCCAGCGGTTTGGCAGCCGCGGCGAGGTTCGTGCTCTCGGTGGGGACGCCACCGGCGGTGTTGGTACCGCTGGGTTCGTTGGTGCCGCTCGGGCTCTCCGCGGTGCTAGGGCTGCCGGACTTGGTGTTAGAGGGCTGCCCGGAGGTGACGGTAGAGTTGCTGCCTCCCGTCGGGGCGGAGCCGCTGCCCGTCGTGGTGCCCGACCCCCCGGAGCTGCTGGATCCCGAGGTGCCTGTCGCGGTTGCGCTCACGCTGGTGCCCGATCCCGTACCGGCGCCCGTAGGGGTGGCCGTGGCGTTCAGGCCGGCGGAGTACTCGACGCATAGCTCCGCGCCGACAGACTGGGCTGCCAGTAGGTCGCTGGCAGCAGTGCAGGCCTTGATAAGACACGGCGCGGCGAGAGCGGCGATCGCGGTCTGGGTCGGGCCACAGGCACAGCCTTGGTCATTGGCATCGCAGCCGGCGGCGGTGATGGCTGATGCAATGCAGGAAGTCTGAGTGCTGTTAGCATCCGAGGCCGGCAGGGATGCCGACTCGTCGAAGGCGAGCATGGCACCAAGGTCTGGGAGCAACTTACGGCACAGGGAGGTTCACCAGAGAGGTTCTGAGCAACCGCAACACCGGCGGCGGCGAGGAAGATAGCGGCCTTCATTGTAGTGATTAATAGCTGAATGCTAGAGTTATTGGAGTGGACGAGGAAGATTGGTTCGAAGCAAGTGATACGAATTGATATGGAATCGTGGAAGTATGACGGTTGAAGAGTGAAGAAGAGAGGTGATAGCTTCGAAGAACACGGAAGTCGGGAGAAGCTTCCTTTTAATAAGAGCTCCAAAGATGCCCCTTGCTGTCGTCTCCTTCCCCAGGTCAGCTCACTGGCACTTTCCTCTGATTGGCAGTGAGACTGCGGATCCAGGCCCGATTTAGATGATGATCCACCCAATAGCTTCTTGGGGTGGGCTAGGGAACAGGGGTCCTTCCCGCTTTGACCCTGTAGTGCCTGTCTTAGTCCAGGTGCAGCTGCCCGTTCCTGAACCCAGGAAGATTGCACTCCAAATCCGAAGTTTGATTTGGGCAATTCGCAGCGAAGCCCGATGGTAGACATATGGCAGACATATACGGGTTGTGGACGTAAGTAGGACGCGTAAATACAGTACAAGTACAAGTACAGTCTGTATGTACCTACTTGTACATCACCTTCATTAAGTTCCATTGGTAAGCATGCACTCTGATGGATTAGGAACCTCTCGATGGCATCTACCAAGCCACTCGGCACGGATACGAAGCAGGTCTGCCGTGTGTGCTGTACCGGAGCAGAACGCCGAACGGCACGTCTCTATTCATGATTCGTAGAGGCCCCAAACGGCAAACCCGCAGTTGTGTCGTGGCACCTGTTGCTTGCAATGTCTACAACGTGCTTGGCCCTTTCACTCTCCAGGTCTAATCTCGCTCCATTTCCCACCTAATTCCACCTTCTCAGCTTGTTTCTGCCAGAAACGTATAGCCTCGTCAGCTACTTCTTCGCCCTTCGCAATTGCGATCTCGTGCCCGCAGTCTAACTCGGCAACCTCGAACCCGTCTGTCCCAAGCACCTCTGCAGCGTCATGGACAAGCTCCTCCTTGATGATGACGGTGTCGGACGCCCCGAGCACCAGAAGCACCTTGCCGCCCTGGAGCCCCGGCAGGAGTCCCCCGGCCCTGGCCCTTCTCGCCGAAAGCAGTTTCCCTAGGGCCGCCCAGTCCCGGCGCTGCTCGTATATGGGCGCGTGTCGGATGGTGCTCATGAACGCTGGGATGAAGCCCCGGTGGTGGCCGAGCTGCCAGGCCATGACGGAGGCGACGGTGTGGCCCGGCCGGCGTTTGGAGAGGAGGGCGCTGTCGAACGACGACCCTCCGTTGGCATCGCTGTTCCTTTGCCGTGCCGTCGGCTTTGTCTGGGCTACTTCGATGGCTAGATTGACCTCGGTGACAGCTTGCTTCGGAGAGATGCGCCGACGGACAAGGCATTCGAGGGCCCATTCTGGAAATAGACCCGCCGAGTAGAGAAGCTTGCTCTCCCAGCCGACATGGTCCCTGCGGATGAGCCCTCCGCCCGCTATCAGCGTGAGGGATCGCACCATGTGTGCAAAGTACTGCGTGAACGAGACAGCCAGCCCGCCACCAAGCGAATAACCAACCAAGTGGAAGCCGTTGTCTCCCGTCCAGGCCAGGCTCGAGGAGGCGAGGACGAGGAGGACCTGGGTTGTGTAGAGTCGGATGTCATATGGCACGTCGACTGGCGCGTCAGAGTACCCGCGTCCGAACAGGTCGAATACCATGACTCGGTATCCGTTCTCGACGAGCCGGCCCGCGAGATCCGCCAAGGCGACGCAGGGCGTGCCGATGCCGTGCATCAAGAGCACCTTCTCTCCCTCCTCCGGTCCCCATTCGAAGACATGAATGGCACCGTATGGAGTTTGGACATCCCTTGCCCCCGGAAGAACACCGGGATGGTATGGATGGCTCTCAATTTCCTCCGCGGACACGTGTGGTTGGACATTCCTTCGCGGAGACGAGATCCACGGCTTCTTGCGGCTTCCATGTGCGAGCAACGGCCGAAGGATGAGCCCAACCGAGAGGACAACTGTTCCTGCTATGGCACAGGAGCCAATGGCCGAGTTCGGCCGGAGGCTTAGAGTCCAACTAATCATGTCAATAAGCAAGAAGGCTTCCCCCCCGGCAGCTTCTCGTCCTCGGTATTCCGATCCACTTAGGCTAGGTAGGTAGGTTGGGTGCAAATTGGAATCGTCGGCCGCCGATGATTGCCGCCGATCTACCCGGCCCCGCCCCCCACTTGTTTTCCCCTCGGGCGTTCCCTGATCTACAGCTCGGCATGATACCACTCCCAAGCAACGGAACGAAGGAGGGAATGGGAGGAAGGGGCAGGAGCAGGAGCAGGAGCAGAAGCAGAAGCAGTTTGTGGCCGTGTGCCCTATGAACCAGGATTCTAGCCTATCCGTCAACTCCCTCTATGCCCCGTCTAAATAAAATGCAATGGCTCCATGCTTTAACCACTGAATATGCCTTGATCAATGCCATCGGGATAAGATGTTCTCCGCGGGTTTGCAGGGCGGGGGTCAGTTATTGACCATCTTCTCTCGCCGCTCCACCAGCCGTGACATTTCTCAACAGAGAGGAGCAGGACGCAGTAAAGAGAAAAAGAAATAAAAAGCAAGATATGCCCACATTTCCCCAGGACTCCAAGGAAAAGCAAACACCCTCCCCATGCCCAAAAAATCCCCAAAAGCCTCCCCCGATTTCACGACCTATCGCCCCCGCGATAAATCTCCTTCAACCTCTCGATCCCCCTGCGGACGAAACCCTTCTCCTTCCCGGCACCGTCGGTCTCCGACGACAGCTCGAGCGAGAAGCTCGGCCGCGCGGACCCGGGCCCGGGCTCCTTGACCAGCTTCCGCACGGGCGGCCGCTCCGCCGGCGCCGACGGGCGGGTGCTCAGCCACGGCCTGGGCTGGTCGTGGACCCCGGCCGCCGTGGGCGACGACTTGGTCCGCCGGTGCTGGTGAGGGGCGCCGCGGATCGACGAGACCGGGTCGAGGAGCGACGAGTAGGCCGAGTTGGGGTCCGGGTCGGGGTCGGCTGCCACGGCCGCGGCGGCCTTGGATGAGGGCCGTCGGAAGAGTTGAGACATGGTTGGATGGGCCGGCACTGCACCGTTTGCCCGGCGACAGAAGGGACCGGGAGGAACGGGTTGCAAGTGTGCGGGTGTGCTCCACTGGCCTTTGAGGCGGGCGATTGAAACTTGGTCTACCTCTAGGGCAAAAGGCCGAGATATAGCTAGGCGCCCAGGTTTGGGGCAGAGAGGGCTGACTGGCTGTTGGTGGTGACTCCCCAACAGAGGCCTATTATTCAACGTGCGTGTGTCTCGGGTGTCAACCCCAGATCTGTATGAGCTGGCAAGGATGCAAGTAGCAACAGCAGAGATCCAGAGATGTTAAATGATGCGGTAATGGTTGCATGACGGGCCCCAGAGACAGGCCACGACTGGACCCAGCCAGCTCCTCTCAGTAAGAGTACCAAAGTAAGTTGACAAACCAACAAGGTTGACACCACGGTCCGACGGCGTAACTGTCGGTGTTGTCATAGGTTTTTTTTGTCCAGCCCCTCAATGTCAAACACATGCATGGTTTCAGCCATTCTGATCTCCCCCACTTGCCCGCTCCAACTTGCACTACGGATCCGTACATGACAAAGAAGGGGATACAAAATAGGTAGGTGGCTTACAAGGCCATCCAATCAGCCTCATTAAATCTTGCTTTATAGGTGCTGAACCTACTATTTTATTTTTAAAGCTGGCCATTCATAGACAGAAGGAGACGACTCAAAGACACAGCTGAGCACAGCCAAGCGGCGTATCATTGACCACTCGTATTGCATGACAGCCATAAAAACATAGAATTTAGAACCGAGAAAGATCCAACGGAACTACCTGTCCGTCGGCATACTTGACTTAGAACAGCAAATCGACTGTCTCACTATGACATTCTCTCTCGCCTCACGTCATACACTAGCCATCCCGGGCTTTATATTGAGACATCTCCACTTGGAGCCCGTCCCAGTCAGAGTCCAGTGCAAACAAGCAAGTTTATGATTTGTCTACCAATACGATCGCCTAACAAATTCGCAGCCACTTTGCACGGCATTGCCTTGCCGCCGTTGACTCGGCCCGAGACGCACTTAGGAGTTCCGTTTTTAAATATTTTTCCCGGTATAATGCTTCACTACGTTCCCAAGAGACTGTTGGGGAATGAGGTGGAGGGATCTCTCCCTCCCACCTTGGCCCCGCCACCTCTTCTGCGGGCATTTGTCAGTTCAAGGGAAAGAGTAAAACTTACCAACGCCAGAAGCAAGATCCGCCCGACCTCGGACGGCAACGTGACAAGATAGTCCTTTCCTCTAATCCTCCTTGACGATGATGTCCTCCCTCCTCGGCCCACACCCGATCCACCGAACCTTGACCCCGACAAACTCCTCGATGAAGTTGACGTACTCGCGTGCCTCGACAGGGAGGGCCCCAAACGTCTTGGTGTGCGTCGTTGGCGTGTTCCAGCCCTTCATGGTCTTATAGACGACCTCGACGCGGTCCAGGAGCCCCGCGCTGGCGGGGAAGGTGGCGATGGTCTCGCGCGTGTCCGGGTGCACGTACGCGACCGCGACGCGGATCTCGCCGAGGGTGTCGAGGACGTCGAGCTTGGTCACGTTGAGCACGTCGTAGGCGTTGACCGCGTTGGAGTACCGCGCCACAACCAGGTCCAGCCAGCCGCACCGCCGCGGCCGGCCCGTCGTCACTCCGACCTCGTGGCCCCGCTCCCGCAGCGTCGTGCCCACCTCCCCGGGCTGCTCGGTCGGGAACGGCCCGGCGCCCACGCGCGTCGTGTACGCCTTGAGGACGCCGACCACGGCGTCGATCTTGCGGCGGTTGAGGTTCAGCCCCGACATTATGCCGCCGAGCGTCGTCGACGTGGACGTCACGAACGGGTACGTGCCGTAGGTGTTGTCCAGCATGGCCGACTGCGCCCCTTCCACCATGATCTTCTTGTTCTGCTTCTGCGCCTCCTCGAGGAACTCGACGTCATCCACGCAGAAGGGCAGCAGTTGGGAACGGTATTCCTTTGTATGATTAGAATAGGGGATGGTGCCGGTACTCCCGTCAGACACATGCCACGACCAACCTTCAACTTCGAGATCTCCTCCTCGACATCGTAGTCGATCAAGTCCCGGCCAAAGGTCCTCGCGTACACCTGAGCCAGGGTCCTGATCTTATCTTCGAAGACGCCGCCATCCTCGAAGAGGTCCGCGACAATGACGCAGTGAGACCGCTCCGCCTTCGCGCTGTAGGCGGGCCCTATGCCCTGCCCCGTGGTGCCGATCTTCTTGGCACCGAGGTTCTCCTCTCGCATGCGGTCCGCGACGGCGTGGAGGTCGAGATTCAGGGCGCAGCGGGTGGAGACCTTGAGCCTCTCGCGGACCCGCGGCAGGCCCTTCTGCTCCAGAGTGGCGAGCTCGGAGAAGAACGTGGGCACGTGGAGGACAACCCCTGACCCGATCAGGTTGGTTGTCGAGGGGTTCACGAGGCCCGAGGGCAGCATGTGGCTGCGGCACGTCAGTACGCTTAGGGGTGGAAAGGGGGGCCGACAGTAGCACCGACAAGTCGTAGGTAACCCCATTCGCGACGACGGCTGTCGGAAGACCATATATCTCAGTAACTGGTCGAGACACGGCCAGGGCTGTCTGGAGCAGCAACACTTGCTCTGCTCCGGAAAGTAGCCTCGAGGCCAGATAGGGGGTCTTGGTTACTGTGCCCGCAGTTCCTGCCCCCCGTTCCTCTTGCGCAGATGTCTGCATCAGAGCTGAGGATATCACAAAGTTTGCCTTGAGAAACGTCAGTTTTCTGGTTGGCAGGGAGACGGCGCGGGGGGGGGGGGGGTCTCGTGACTTGCCTTTGCCCTCACTAGAGTGGGTAGAGATAGCAATTAGCTTCATGAACCCTCACTGTTCGGTGGGTTTACTACATACTCTCCCCACTGAACACCAAGAACGATGGTAGCCATGGTTAACGACACGAAGGATCTGTACTGTTTATGACACACTGGCTCGGCCAACGGTAGAAAGAAAACAAAAGAGGAAAATTGATTATGGTGGAATCGGGTTGGTTTTGCCTTTTTTTGTTTTGTTTCAACTGATTACATGGTACCCATGTGCGCCCCCACTTTAGTAGTTGCGTAAAAGGCCTCGAGTTAATGAATCGGAGCGGCCGACAAGAGGACTTGGAATATGGCACCTAGCCAGGTCTACTCAGTTGGTACATGTACTTCTCGTTGATTCGGGCCCGTCGTAGCGGAACTGGGCGAGTACAACGTCCCCCTACATGGTTTGGAAGTGGCCATGTGCATGCGTTGGAAAGAGTCTGTGTATACTACCTATAAGACTCTAGTACTCTTCTCTATGTTTAATCCATTCTATCCAAACCTAAACCATGAAAAGCGGCATCGACCGTTCAGCAAAGGTACTCAGGGGTTGCAGATCGCAAACCCCCCTTCATTCCAGCCCATCTCCTATAATGCCCATACGCCCCCATCCAGCTATTCCATATCCCATTTGACCACTCATCCGGGCATCAGTCCGACCTCCAGCCCAGCGTCCGTCGCGTACTAGTTCCCAAATGCCGCGGCCGGGTACGACCGGTCCTTCTTCTTGCGCCCCGTCGAGCTGCTCCTCGACGAGCTGGCTCCCGACCCCGGCGCAGAGAGGTGGTGTGTGCCCCGTCCCGGCTGCGCAGCGCTTATGATGTCCGCCGGCAGGTCGTTCCACTCCATGTCGGGCCGCGCCTTCTGGTACGACATCGACGGCGCGGGGCTTGGCGTGGCGGTTGGCGGCGTCGGCACCGGCGTCGGCGCCTGGGTATACGCTTGCGTCTGAGCCTGCACCTGCGCTGGCGCCGACTTGCTATCAGAAGAGAGTAGGTTCACCGCCGCGGCTACGGTGCTGGAGGGTGATACAGGCACCGGTGCCTGTGTCCTCGCCGCGAGCTCGGACGAGACAGCCCCCAACCCTCGCGGCGGCACGGCGGCACCGACCTCCCGCCGCACCACCCATGCCGTGTCCGGCCTCAGCTTGAGGTAGTAGCCGTGCACGGGCCCGGGGCCCTCGCACGCGAACCCGCGCGCCGCGTACCACCGCAGGCCCTCGTGGTTCTCGGTCCACACGTGCGCGTAGATGGTGGCGACGTCGAGACCAGGGCCAGGGCCCGGCCCCGGCGACGGCGGCTGGCCGGGCGTCGTCGTCGTCGCGGTGTCGGCCATCTGGCGCAGCAGCGCCGCGGTGCCGGCTATGTTCTCCAGCGCCGCGGCGGCGAGGCCGAGGGCGCGGTAGGGGGAGAGCAGGGCCAGCGATTGGATGTAGATGGCGTGGTAGCGGCTGGTTGTGGTGGTGGTGGGCCCGACTGGTGGTTTCTGCTGGCGCGTGCTTATGCTCTGCGGGTTGCCCGATGGGTCGACAAAGGGGGAGGGCTCGAGTCGGCAGACTACGCCGCCGACTACCTTGGGCTCGGGCTCTCCCTCATCTTGCCAGAGGATGGCTCGCGAGAAGAGGCCCGACACCTCCGGGGACAGGATGCGGGCGTAGAAGGCATCGGGGTAGGTCACCGGCAGCAGGAGGGAGTTGATGCGCCGCAGGGCGGAGATGTGGTGCTCGCGCACGGGGACGATGCTTGCCTGCGGCGGAAGCGAGGGGGGCGGAGGGAGGGTTGGGAGGGAGGCTGGAATTGAAAACGCCGGGCCTTGTGCCGTTGGCGTGGTCACGGGTGGTGCCGGCGGAGGGATTGGCACTGTTGCAGGCTGGGCCTTTGTCGTCGTCTTCGTCACCGCTGGTGGGCTTGGCGCGGCATGGGCAGTTGGGAGTTGTGGAGGTGCTGTGTAATTGGGTTGCCGGGGTTGGAAGAAGGATCTGATTGATGGCTGGACATGGGACGGTTTGCTGGCCGGGTCCATTGTGAGCTTGATCGGAGCGGTGAGTTGAAGTTGAAGTGGGATGTCATGAGCAGATCATGCTGACTCTTTGTTCTCAACTCCCAATCATTAACTTTTCGTGTTTCCAACAACAGCAAGTCTCCAAATTTCGATGCTCGCTGCCATCCCGTCCTTCTCATTGGACGTTCTTGGTCGCAAACGGCGATTGGGAAGAGCCTCTAAACTGGCTTAGCGGGATCGGAATCACGGCTGGGGCCTCTAGGCCAATGGGATGCCCCGTTTTGCGTACACTACCATGTACTACGGTACAATGTGAATTGTGATGGAGTTGCGTAAATTCAGGTACGTCCTCGCACTGAGTGCCCCCTATCAATTAGTGCTCTAGACTCCGCTGAGCCCTGCTAAGCTGGTACCTCTGTCCTCCGTTTGCCCTGCATTGACATGGTAACCTTATTAGCCCAACCTTTGCTTTTTTTCGATGACGGCCAATCTGTTAGCCTTTTCCCTTTAATCGTCGGGGGAAATCCGCCGAGCATTTGGCTATTGGAATCCGATCTGAATTGGAGGCAGCTTTCTTCTGCCTGATCCAAGTTCACCCGGATCAAGCCTTCCAAACTACACAGGTTGTCGGTACGCACAGTCCAGGAAACCAAGGCTCTGGCAATGGTGGATTGCAATTAATTCCCATTGCCTACGCCCGTCGAAGCGGAAGAGGAGAGGCGCTCGCACCTTCTTTTGGGTTCACTGTGGGTTTTAACTTTGGCCTCACTTGGGACCGTGGGCGTCAGGTGCGACCTCCAGCCAACCATCTCAGTCGACCAAACCAAACCTCAGGTGTTTTCTGTCTGCCCGACTCCGCACCGTCGGCCAGGCACCGATTCCGAACCAGCACACTACGAGCATGACATCGCAAACGGGCAAGGCTGGAGTCGTCGTCGCTCCCGACGATGCGAATAACATGGAAAGGCTTGTAAGTGATGGCCGATTGCACCACCATCTCATTCCCTGGTTTCGGGGTGAAAATGCAGAGAGATCCCTTTCCACTAATACCGGCTTTCCAATTCCGTTGCTGCAGGCCCATGCTGTCCTCGACGATGTATTGTACAACATAGTTCATGACCTGATCCTCAAAGTCCACCGGGACGAGAAGACAGCCCGCGCCGCTACAGCTGCCATCCGCGTCGAGAAGCTGGCCTCCGACGCCTCTGAAGCCTCGACACCAGACTCGAAACCTGATGTGCGGATCGAGACCGACGCCGCGATATACGAAGACGGGAAGGTCACCCTGAAAGGCAATCCTCTCAAGACGACCAAGGAGATACTGTGTCCGCGATGCCACCTGCCGAGACTGCTCCATCCCACCGACGGTAAAGGGTCACGTAAGCCCGAGCCCGGCGTCGTCTACTGCAAGAAGCACCCGTTCATTGAAAAGCCGGGCTTCGACATCTATGGCCAGACTTGGGTGGCGCCAGGGCCTGGCAGGGGCAAGAAGAAGAAGGATATGGAGAAGAAGTTGGATCCGAACAGCGACTCGCCCGGCATGACACCGACCCCCGACTCCAAGGATCGCCCGCCGAACGTGCTCTCATTCCCCTCGGCTACGTGTAGCAAGTGCAAACGATGCATCCTGGTCACGAGATTGAACAATCACATGGGTTCATGCATTGGGAACAGCGGGCGGAATGCTAGTAGGGCGGCAGCACAGAAGATCAGCAACGGCAACGGCCACAACGACAGCACTCCGCCGTCGAGCCAGAAGGGCACCCCGCTCCCGGGTTCGAGGGCTGCCAGCCCCAGGAAGAGGGATGGCGACGAGTTTGACGAGGATGCGGACGAGTCCGACCCGACGAATCCCAGAAAGAAGAAGCTGAAGGCGACAGCCATGCCGAAGAAGGTCATGTTGAAGGCCAAGGGCCTGAAGAAGGACAAGGTGAAGGGCAGTTCACTGTTGAGTGTGGAGCACAAGGTCAACAACGACGACGACGATAAGAAATCGAGTGTTGAGGTGGCGCCGAAGAAGTCCACTTCCAAGATCCCATCGCCGGCCAAGAAGCTGAAGTTTGCAGCCGGCAAGCCGTCCTTATCCTCGCCCGCTCCCAACAAGAACGGGAGAGAAGCCGATGCTGAGTCCGAGTCGTCCGGAACACTGTCCTCGCCTCCACGATGAGTGTGTCATCCGTCATCGTCATCGTCACCTCATTATTCGAAATACAAGCTAGGTTGACTGAGAGACGCAGCCTATCTTGTCTCGGCCTCACCACTTACTACAGTGGAGAGATTTTGAGGGTTGGAAAACTGAATTGCACTGCTCACAACATCACTCCTGAATTGAGCCTGTTATTTGTGTTAAACCTCTTTGCATTTGATTTGGGGGGTCATGGTGGTCACTGCATCCCTGGATGGTAGGTTTCTAGGGCGTTGCGATTCTCGGCATTGGAGTTCTGTATCAGACACCCCACGAACACGCCCCCGCCTTTCATTCGGCATCGACTTTTTGGGAGCTACTTTCAAGGTCGCTGCGGCATAGCGATCAGTCTGTATATGATGGGAATACAAATAGAACACGTTCTATGTCCCAAGCTCTCGTCGACCTGCTCTCGACTTTGCCATCCCGTATAGACACCCGCTTGTGAACGCCCGTAACGCCGTGCATGCGCCGTTCCATCTCACTACTAGACGAAGCCTATTCCTCTCCCCCCCACCTTCTTTTTTCTTTTTTTCATCTCCCCACCTTTTTCACGCCCCCTCCTCCCCCTCCAACACCCTCGCCTTGATAATCTTGACCTCCTCGGCGGGCCTATCGTCGGCGCCAGTCCTGACGAGGCCCAGCCTCTTGACCACGGACATGCCGTTCCTGACGCGGCCGAAGATGGTGTGCTTCCCGTCGAGCCAGGGGGTGGGGGCCAGGGTGAGGAAGAACTGGCTGCCGTTGGTGTCGGGCCCAGCGTTGGCCATGCTGAGCACGCCGGCGCCGGCGTGCCGGAGCGACGGGTCGATCTCGTCGGCGAACTTGTCGCCGTAGATGCTCGAGCCGCCGCGGCCCGTGCCCGTCGGGTCGCCGCCCTGCACCATGAAGCCCGGGATCACGCGGTGGAAGACCGTGTCGTCGTAGTAGCCGCGCTGCGCGAGCGTGGCGAAGTTGCGGCACGTCCGGGGCGCGTGGTTGGTGTAGAGCTCCAGGACGATGGTGCCCTGGGGGGGAGGGTTAGTGGCTGGAATCTTTGGTTGGGGGAGGTGGGGTGTGTTGCTGTCGGGTAGAATCTAGGGGTGGCTTACCATAGAGGTATCGAGGGCAACATTGGTGGCCATCTTGGATATCCAGGGGAAGACTGCCACAGATATCAATTGGAGCTTCAAGTGCACATTCGGCTATTGCCCAATTCCTCAAGATCTGTGAAGGTGGTCTGGTACCTGAATCGTAGTGGGGTCACAAAAGTTGCATATCACACAAGGCTGAACACATGGGGTAGCTTGCGCCACACTTGGCATGGGGTCACTGTGGCACAGCACGTTCGTCCTACTGCAAGGCTAGGAAGGCGAGAGACAGGAGCAAGTATAAAATAAATTAAACCTCCTCAAAACTCCCTACTCTGTCACTCGGCCCCGAGATGGTTTGAAAGTGGCTATTTTGACCCTGAGACTATTATGAAGTTTAGATTTAGAGACGCCGATAGGTACCCCCAGTTATAATTTTTGGCAGTGAATAGGAGCATTTGCCGGTTCCCATACATGCATTTTTCTGCAGGGTGATTCCCCTCTGTGCCACGTTTCTCGGAGATGCGGAACGGGCTTGTGGGCATGACAATTATGGGATCCTTTAGATGAGAGGAAAGAGCAAACCATGAGAGATAAAACTCTCGGGAGATGTCAAGCAATTGGAAGGAATGGGCTCGGAAGGCCCTCCCCTGAGGAGAGGCACGTAGTGGATTGCAACTCCATGATTCCGGCGAACATGACCCTGTGTCGGGCTACTAACCCCTGGAAACTGGTAATTGGCACCTACCAAAACAAGACGCACTTTTAAATGTCCCGTTCTCATGCGCCATCGGGTAACGCCCGCTTTCGTACCTATCTCACTCCAATAGTACACGGCATCCAGCTGCTCCTTCCATGATAGGTACATATCTACTTCGAGTCTCTACAACATCACTGCCTCCCCTCCCCAACCGAGCCATCAGAACTCAGCAGGCGCATCGGATAACCGACCGAGCTTACCCTGGAGCATTCCCTCCTTGGCAGTAGACCGTAGTTGTAGGCAGCGCCTGCGAGTATCCCCTCCCCCGGCCCGGATGGCATGGCGGACCCCTATGTGACTCACGCCATAGTCTTCCCTCTCAGAACGACAGAGGATCCAAGACCAAGAGATCGCGAAACTTGAGAGCTCTCCTGACCTGGGAATCGCCCAGGCAGCGAAGGGATCACCCTTCTTCCGGAGTACAGGCTTTGGAAGGAGGAGCGACTCTTGTTCCCTGGACCTTCTGAGTCTGTCGTGGTGCATGCTTGTGTGGTTCACGTTGGCTTTTGGGGTCAGGTTTGGTCAAGGCGGGGGAAGCATGAAAATATTCGGTCAGAGGGTTGCTATGGAATAAGTGAAAGGAGAAACCAAAAAGAAAAAAAAAATCAAGGAAAAAAAAAGGAAAAAAAAGTGTATTAGGGTGGTGCAAGGATCGAAATGCCTGCCTTCAGAACAGACCCAGAGGTGGCTGTCATAGGTGTGACGGTCAGCATCGCATTTGACCATTACACCACCCATTATTGTACCAGGTCACTTAATTTCCTTATCAATCCAAGTTCTAGTCCAGCCGACGAGGAACATGTCAACGAGGAACTATGATGTGGATTCTGAGTTTGTCCGAACAAAGAGGTACGGGGTCCTGCAAGAGCGTGTAAACACTCAGGAAATACCAGTCCCTATGACATAATTTAGGAGGTCTTCTTGTGTCCCTTTGGTGGTCACTAGGTAGGACTCTCAATGATTTTGAAGTTATTCACACGACGAGGTAGGAAAAGCAGCATATAGGATTTTCCTGGGGCATAACATGGTTCTCCCCATGTAGGCTACCTGGGCAAGATTATGTACAAACAACGCGATAGTAATATCAATCACAATACTAAGAAAACGACTAGAAATGGGGCCGAGAGACCTTATGGTGTGCACGAGTGAGATGGGAGCCGGGAAACAATGAGGCTGATGTTTCCAGCAACCCTACCGCAGTCCCGCCCCTTACCGCCCCATATTTCCCAGCATCCTGAGATGGCCAACACAGGAAACATCGGGAGATATCTCGTCCCAACACGACGACATCGTGGTTTCTCCAAAAAAAAAAAAAAAAAAAATTGCATTGCGACAGCCTGCTATTTAAAAAATAACGGGCACCTGATATGTATCGCTGCCCTTCCGTCCGCCTTTCAAGAACACCAAGTAAGAACACCAAGTGCAAAACAACACATATCAGAATGGAGTGGCGAAATACAACGCAAAGCTCCTCTCTACCGGGCCTCAACTCTCTGCCCCCCATCCCCTGTGAAACCCCGAACACCCAGTTTGATAGGGGAGAAAAAAAAGAAAAAAAGGAAAGGGAAAACACAAGGAAACAGCTCTCCCCCACCGAGGAGACGACGAGACGGCCGCTCACAAAGGTGCCGTGCAAGCTGGTAGATGACCCCGTCCTGCACCTCCGCGTCCGTCCGCAGCGAAGTCGCGGCTGAGGTACGTAGGCTTTTTATAGTAGGGACGAGGGCTCGCCTGCGTGAGAGTCATCATCGCCGTCGTCGCCGACGGGGGTGGTTGAGGTGGCGGCGGCGGTGGTGATGCTGGTGATGGAAGTGGAGCAGGAGACTCCACGGCCGACGGTGTGGGCGCGCTGGTCGCCCATCTCTGACCGGGTCGTGTTGCAGACGTTCTCCAGGCCGAGCTTTGTCGGCAGGGCCATGTCGTTAGCTTCTTCTTCTTCTTCTTCGTCGTCGCAGTCGTCGTCGTTGGCTTCTTCTCATCGTAGTCGTCGTCGTTAGCTTCTTCTTCTTCGTCGTAGTAGTCGTCGTCGTCCTGCCAGTCGTCGTCCTCGGCATTCCGGTCGCCGGCCGAGTCCGAGTCCGGCGAGGCGTTGTCCGGCACGTCTGCCCGATGGTTGTCCAAGTCCGAGCCTTGTTCGGCGACGTTAGGGGAGGTGGCAATGGGAGGCGGAGGAACGGGACGGTTGAGTGAAGGACCGGCGTAATTTATATCTGAACCCCAGAGCCCTTCCGGGTATGATTCGTAGGGGGGAAGGTAACCCTCATTGTCGAGGCTTGGCATGGGGATGGGGAAGTGGGTGGAGGTCGTGGGGTTTGAGGGAGCATTGATGGCCACTGAGTTAGGAGAGCTGGCGTTGTTTTGAATGTCCGCATCCGACAGATTTGATCGGGGCGGGGACCAAGGATCGTAGTTGAGGAGAGATTTGATGGCGGCCCGCTTACATTGTGGCAACTCGAGGTCCCCCGCTGACTGCTCAAGCGGGCGCTTCGCCGAAGAAATCATTTTCCTGGGTGAGACAGGGAAGACTGGTGACCATGTCCTGGTAGACTGTTTGACTAAGAAGGTAGATAAGGGGGAAGTTCCTAGGATATGGCGCGTCCAAACCCGTTCTGAGGGGCTAGTTGCTATATAACGAATTCAAGACCCATTTTCTCATCCAACGGAAGGTGCAGCTGTCTCTAGCAGTGGAAGTCGTTAACGTTCGATATGGACAGAGTTAAAACGAAGCGCAGACTCAAATAGGGTTTCGGTCCGGAATATGCATTGCGGTATCTCGAATGAATGGCACACATACCTGCTCGCCCCAGCAGGAATTACTCGCTCAAGTAGGTACCTATCAGATATCAATGCCGGCTAGTGTCTATGTCGTTCCCCCCTTCCTGCCCAACGCCGACCATACCCTCCCATGGAAAACATGCAAAACCGCTAGACTGCGACGCAAGTGCCCGGAACCTCACTCAGCCCTTGGTTTGCAAACAGCTAGTCATCCTCGACAGACGCCGCGGGCGGAGCGGTAATGGAAAATAGAAACACATCATAGCCCTCACCGGGCCTCGAAGTTGCCGCTGGGGATTCACGCGTCTCCCCTTTCTCTGATTGGTTTCTCGCTCTACGGGCAGTAGAACTTTCTGCAATACCCGATTCGTTGACCGAGCCGTTTCCGTCTTTCACGTGTTTTTCGTCCTCCTTCTCACCCTTCTCGGTGATCTCCTTGACCACGTTGCCATTGCCATCCACCTCGACGACAACATCTTCCGTGTCCAGACTTCCATCCTCAGTGTAAGTCCACATATCATGCAGGTCACCTCGAACGGCACCAGTCATCCAAACCGCTCCGGTCACGCAGGGAACGAGGTAGAGTAAGGCGGGTTGACCTCGGTTGAAGACCAAAAGCATGGTCAAGGTAAGCAGCATTCCGACGGCATAACCAGCCATCGATGCGTAGAAATATGGCTTAGAAAATGCGGTAGCAGCGAGAGTCGGCGTGGCCGTTGGCGTGGAGAAGATACTCGTCAAATTCGTCGCGGTCCATATACGATCGCCCCAGCGCCCCCGAGGATCGACATACGGTGCCTTGACAGACCGGTATTGAGTTTCCGTCGTCGTCACCACTTTTTCTGGCGTCTCGCCGGTAAACTCTGATTTCAACTCCGTCGGGATGCGTTTGATTTGTTCCGTGTAATGTCTCCACAGGTCGAATCTCAATGCAAGCCCTATGAAGATGCCGGGGACGACAATATCTCCGAGACCAAGTATGCTCGATCGCGAGGGGCCTTGGAAAATGAGTTTGATGGGGACATCAAGCTTTGTGGCCACTGTGACCATGTAAGGTCTAAGAGGATGCGTTTAGTCCAGGGACCTCTGAGGAAGGAGACTGTGGGAAGAGCTTACGTGTAGAAAACCATGACGATATCATAAATGAAGAGTCCCGCCAATACCATGGTGCCGATGGCGAAGGAAGTTGGCGAAATCATGGTGAAGGCGGCGTAACAGAACGCTGAACCGAGGATGTTGGAGAGCCAGTACCAGCCCGTCAAGTAGTACGCCATAGTCGTCATAATGGCAAAGAGGAAGCCAAGGAGGTCGTTCAGCTTGATGTTGACATGACCCTTGGCAATACCGTGCAATGCCATGCGAACCGTCCACTCTTCCTTGAAAAGGTGTCGAATTTCCCAGAGAGCGTTGTTTGTCTTCTCCGAGAACGACACGCCAGACAACCGGCCAGGGAACGGGGACTTCTTGTCGTCGACGGATGTGTCAGCGACGTCGTCTCCGCTCACCAGGAACTGCTGCCGGCTCGAGGTATCTATCCTGTAGAGCCGTCCGGTTCGATCTGACCAGATGCTTGGGAACGCCATGGTCGTCAGGAAATGCAATGCGTCTGCAGCGAGCTTGCCCAGGCTCGCAACGGACATTACGGACATGTAAGCCCGCAAGAGCTGGTTGAGTATGTCCGAGTCTTGCAGCCACTTGATGAGGTAGTAAAGCCCAATGAGGACGGTGCCTGCCAGGAGCGGGAACATGATGGCGTCGGAGGCAACGAAGCCCTCTGTGAACCGGTCCTCCTCGACTCGCTTCTTGCCCTTGCGCTTGGTGGGAGCGGCGGAGGGCGGCCGCCGTAGGGAGCTATTCGCTCCAAGCCAGATGATGGCCATCGCACTCAGGGTGATCTGTGCGGTAAGGACCAAGAAATCCCAATGGACGAGGATGTTCATCGTTTGCGATGTAGAAGATGATGATGCAGTCGTGGCATTGGAGCTGGGAGCAGTGTCGCCCGTTCCATTCGCCAGGGCCGTGCTAGTCGTACCTGATGAAGACATACTGACGACCTCGGGAGACCGGGAAGATCAACAACTTGGAAATCTACCTATTTGTAGTTGTCCCGATATAAAAAGGATGGAACCGGGGATGACAACGAGGTGACTATGTAGAGGTGTGCTTCGTTTCCTTGCTTACGTAATTCAATATAGCAGGTGCAGACCCGCCATGGTGGGCGACACCTGCCTAAGATGAAAAGTCATGTTTCATGTGCTTCAAAGAACCCCAGACATAAGAGGTTCTCTGGGAAAGAGCTAATGTCTTCAAAAATGAAAGGCCTCTCATTTCCATCACGGTATCAATATATGTCTATCTACTCCCTGCATGAGAAAGGATGTTTCATGCTCTTGGCAACTGTGAGCGCTCTATTGAGGATTGGAATCGACGTGCCTCATGCCCCTCTCACCGAACAAAGCGCACTGGATAGACAGTTGAGAGTATTCTATTCCATTAAACCTATTCAAGATTGATCGATTCGCCAATAGATGAGGTATCACAGGTGGGTAAGGTTACATGCCAAACCATGTCATCCGCCCAATATCTCGTCTGGCCTCAAGTTTCCCATGACCAACCTATATATATATAGGTATATATATATATCCAGGAAATGACGAATCATGGGACACCAGAAATCCCAATTCACACACCCCAACGCCGTTGATCGCCAGCCAGGGTTTCGAGTTTTGCCCCAAAAAAAGGGGGGGAGGCAATTCCTAGACCAACACACCCTGAAAACCAAGCCAAAAACTCCTAGAACGCACAAGTGATTTTGCCGCCAAATCCCGGGAACCACCGATTACGGCCATGTGCTTGGCCCAAACGTCTCGCCTGGAGCAACGGTCGACTTCACTGCCCTGGACAACATGTCTAGTGTGCTCAGCGCGTCGTTGTTGCCGAACCAGTTGGGGGCGCGGGCACCCGACATGTAGAGCGCGAAGAAGACGATAAAGGTCGAGACGATGAGCCCGGTGTCGAGGGCCGCCGACGTGACGTAATTGTACTGCAGCCACCAGCCTGTGTTCCGCCGCCTGATGTAATAGTTGAAGAAGGCGCCCACGCTGCCCCAGCAGAAGTAGATGTACGCAGTCGCTGGGGGGATCCAACCCGATCCGCCAAAGACAAGCGGCAAGTTGATATACCGCCATATGCTGCGCGGGTATCGCCGCGCGAGGAACCAAGTGATGACGGGGCTGACAGCACCGACGAGCCAGAACCACTGTAGTGAGCTGTAGAGGGCCTTGCCCGAGAACATGCGCGCGGGTCCGATGGCGCCCCAGATGACCGAGGCCGTGTAGAAGACCTTTGCGTTGGGGCAGGTGTACTGGTTGGGTTGGTTATCGGTACAAACGTCGGGGATGGCGCTGAGTGCCCAGTTCATGACGGCGATCTGCACGATGGCCGACCAGATCGAGGCTATCAGCTGCGACCAGAAGAGAATCCGCGGCGGCACCTTCATATAGTGACCAAGTTTGAGATCCTGCGCAAAGTAGAGGGCCTGCGACATGCAGACGTAGCCATAATTCTTGAAAATCATCATGGCAAGTGGCCGGCCGGGGAGCATGTATCCGACGATATACTCGGTCAGCACGTTGAGGCCGAGCTGTATGTTAGTGATGGCCTGCACGATCCCGATGGGAATCGTCCATACGATGGGGATGAGCATGCAGACGATGTATGCCCACCACGGTAGGCTTGTCGGCCAGGCGCAGACAACGGCAAAGGACAGACCCAGCATGATCAAGAACAGGAGGGCATACCACCAGTCCTCAGCGTCGCGGTACTTCTTCATCAAGCGCATGTGGATGTCGTCCTCCTGGTTGCGGGCCAGCTTCATCTGCGACCAAATAGTCCTTCCATGATACAGCGCCACGTGGACGATGACGGCGGCGACTGTCGCGAACGCAAGCCCATAGGCGAGAGCGAACTGGGTGGGGAGGTAAAGGGGCGAGTAGGCAAAGTACTTGGCCTCGTCGAATTGGAAGTTTGTAAGGATCTCGTTGACCTCGTATTGGTATCCGGTGTTGTCGTATGCGTGTGAGTTCTGAACGGGTAGGTAGTCGGCGTACCAGTAACCTGAGTAATGGATGCCCATCGATACGACGATGAAGAAGATGAGGATGCCGGCCAGCACGTTGGCGATGGCATGGAAGGGAGGAATGAGCGGGGACATGAGATATCCGGAGATGATGGTCCAGTCCTGAACCGAGTTAGACCCACAAACTCTGCCAACATCGTCCTGTCCGGGGGGTGAGGTAGAAAGCAGCGATAGACTTACGAAAGTGATGGGAAATAGGCCATAGCCACTGTAACCACCGAATAGCTGGTTTACGATGACGTTCTCAGGCCAGATCCAGGTGAGCCAGCAGAACCACGACAGGCCCTGGAAGAGCCAACCCGGGAAGAAGTACCAGACGAAGGAGCCGCACCAGACGATCATGAACCACTTGTGTCGACCAATGGACCAGCCGCCCGTCTTTGCGGGGTCGGAGGGCGAGTGGTCGTGAAGGGTGTGGAAGAGGGCGCAGTTGACGAGATCTGACGGCCAGATCATGGCCGCGGGCCAGACGAGGAAGCGTCGCGCGAGACCGGCGAGACCGTAGCCAGTGCACAGAGTCGTGATACCCAGCAGAATCTGCCACCCCCATCCAAAGGCCTGGCCATACCAGACCTGTTGCGCAATGATAACATCGGTGGCATACAGGGCGCCGCCGCCGTAAGCAGCCTGTTGATATGTCAGTTGACACCGGGTCCCCCGAACATGCGACTTTTGGCCGTACGTACATTTGACATGACCACGATGACGACATGCTCCTTGAAGTTGAAGGGCCCAGGCTTTAAGTTGAACTTCAGGCCGAAGAGGTTGAGCATGCGGTCCGGGAAGATCAGGTCCCAGCCCAAGCCAATGGGATAGGAGATAAGCTGGACGACGAATGTGGTGATGAGGACATTAGGATTGCGGAGCGAGAAGAGCATGTTCAATCCAGACCCAATCGTGCACAGCACCATGCCGATGACCCAGGCGCGGACCGTGTTCACGGGCAGATCAACATCGAAATTGCGCACTGATGCTCGGACCTTTTGAAGCCACCCCAGTCAGCAGGCCGGGACTCTACAATGCGGAAGCGACGCCGAGGATGGAGGATGGAGGATGGAGGATGCGGGCGGCATACGTACCTCGGGGTAGGGAGAGTTGTCCTCGATCAGTATCTGCTCGACTTCGATGCCCTTCTCGGCACTGGCGGCGTTCAGGGCGGCGTCGACCTCGTAGAGCTCCTCCAGCGGCAGGTTCGGGTCGAGGTGATGAATCATCTCGAAATGCTTCAGGGCGTTCAAGGCATCGATCGCAGCCAGGTCGCTGTCGGCCTCTCCGTCGGGCGACATCCGGTCCGGGGTGATGTCCTCAGCATGATGGCGCCTTCGAAAATTGAACGAGACCATCTTGACAAACCCTTGACTTTTTCTTTTTCCGAGCCACCTCCCGCGAGAAGCTGGAAAGCAGACAAGGAGGGAGGGAAATTGACAGGCAGGAGAGGTGGTGGATGGCCGGCCACCTGGAACCTGGAAGGGGTTGAGAGGGAGGATGGACGGCGAAAAACGGCAACGCGGGGAAGCCCTGACTAGCGTTCTGGAGCGATTAATATATATTATTCAGGAGCGACGGCCAGGCCATCGCGTGTTTTCAGCGCAGATGGAACTGTCGGCAGGGTAGCGCAGTGTAGCGTAGCGGCCTGGGGGTTGGAGGTGGTGCAGGGCACAGCGAGCAGCGACGAATTGGTGGTGTGTAAGGGCGAAGGAGGGAAGATCAGAGACTAGCAAACATGGGAAGAAGCAGCCCTCGCTCCATTGATTGTGTCACCAGCCGGCAACTAACTGACTGGTATCTACTACTTAGGTTCTGGGTCCCATCTTTTCCCACTGTAATCCGTACATACAGGCGCATCTGGCCTTTATTGCTATCCATTATCAAGACAAATACCTTGGTAGCCCTCCATCCATGAGCTCCTACGCAGCCATTCCCCCCGTTGCTCCCGTCCGATTTCCTCAGCATGCCCCACGATGGCGGTAGGGGGGGACGGTAGTCACGGTACGCACTAACGGACGGAGTCCCCTGCACTAACTGGGCTAGCCCAAGGTACCTTCGGTACTCTGGGTGGGTTACCCTCCTCTTGGGAGTGCGCTATGATTGGCCACCACGGAGGATGCAACTTTCACCTGCCTAATTCGGCTAAAGCGGATGGCGGTTCGCAACGGCCGATGTCCAACTGCTGGAGTGAGTTGGAAGTGTGTAGGTACTTGTCAACAGCTTCTAGGGCTCTTGATATCTTGCATTGGTAACCACCTACCCCGATCACCAATTCCAACAATTGTGATTCTCGTACGACTTCTAGCTATGCGTACACCACTGCAATCTGGCCAGCCGCTTGTTGTGACCCTTGAGTCGTTGCATCCTGTCACTGGCCTGCCTCGCATGATCTCGCCGTCGCAACGCTGTGGCACGGCACATAGATTACCTTGCCTCTCAGGTAGAAGACATTGGCCCGGTTAGTGCAGCTCCACCCCTCCCACCCCTCGAATCGCTGCAGTGTCCGTCCCCATCGATGCCCTGGAAAGCGCATGAACCCGTCTTGGAGGACCAATGGTGGGGTTGCTCGGTCCCCATTTCGACCTCCCTGCCCATTGCCCAGCCCCTTATCGCTCCCGATAGCGTGCTTTCCCCTAACGGCTCCGAGCCTCCGACATGTGCAACTCGCTTCTCTTGGACATCACCCTGCTCATTTCACTGCTGCAGTGTATCGGAGTAGATATGATGCCGGGAATCTGTATCCTTCAGAATCACGACATGTGACTGGAAATTGCAACTCGATGCGAAAAGAAAGGATTCCATCTGCTGGGAAGCTATGGAGAATTAAGGTTAGCCTTCCCTGCGGGGCATGCATGCCTGAATGATGAATCTGATTCAACATCCTCGTCGCTATGTACATACATGGCGCCAGGCAATCTATTACTTGCCTGGCTTGGGATGTCTCGCTGGTGGTATCTCGCCTGTGAATCAATCCAGCCCTTCCTACTGGAGTAATAATAAACCAGCTTGTCTTGTCGGCGCCCCCAGAGTCTGGTGCCTCCTCGGTTCCGTCAACCCGGCCATGCTTTATTGCTGGTAGCGCATCCCACACGAGAGTGGGCGATCTTCTGATTGACAAGTTCGCGCAGATCTTCAATGCCAGGGCACCGTCGCAACCATTTCGGCCCTTATCGGCCGCGACTGGATAGCGCTCGCCAAAGGTGCCTGGGATGCCTGCAATCTTGCTTGCACTTGGCCTGCATTCAAATGTTGAAAGGTTTCAGGCCAGTCGACGTTATCTGTTGAGTTCAAGGATCGTAGATAAGCTTGTTACGCGGTTATACACAATCACACATTTCAGCTTTTGGGAAGAGTCCTAGCAGGCAGCCAAATCGGTCCGAGGCAGGATGACCAATGCCAACTGGCTGCCCGAACCGTCTCTGGATGGGATGGGGGGATGTGGCTTGCATGTCGGGCAACACCATCTCGCCTGTCTCAGCTATGTCAGCCTCCTTCACGTATCAGACAGCCAATCCATCTGCGGTGTCAGAGTGTATGAGCCGTCTTCATGACCAAGAAAATTGCGCCGTGAGAGTCTCATTGAATCTTGGTGCTCCGTCTGGGGCCAGGCTTGATCATGAGTCTGGCCATGAATGTACTATGTCACTCTATTTTCTACGGACACTCGGCCAAAGGACACTCCCCGGATCCGCAAAGTGCTAACCCGGGAGTCTTGATTTGGCCCCAAGGAAAGACCAACCCCCTACATATAGCAGCCGGCCGGAAGTTGCGAGTCCTCAGCCGCATCACCGGCTTGGCATACCTGTTCTCTTCGCAGTTGAACGACTGCCCGCTGCTGCCAGACGAGGTGAGGTTGGTGTGTCGTGGTCTGCCAATGTCGCCTCCACCCTCAGCCAAGAGTGGAAGATAGCACGGGACGGAAGACTTGACCAAAATAGTACCATACAGATTGGGTCCCCTTCCGGCTATTTAAAATATATTAACCCAGTGTAACCTGTCCCAGGACCCCGCAAACCTTGGAAGCGACCAGACGGGCCACAAGGAAGAAATCGCAAGCTAGATTGTGCTTCTCATCATTGGTCCACTTCTGCCAGCTGCTTCAACCTTTTGGATGCCTGGCAACCTCGTTGTTTTGGCAAGGCTGCATTATGAGCTGTGTACATGAGTAGATAAAACCCCATATTAGATAGTTGTTTTGCCTCTGCCCTTGCATTGATTGCTATTTACTCGTAACCCCAGCAGAGATCAACATGGTTTGGAACGCAAGTCCGGTATTGTGGTACGAGGTACGGAGTACAGCTGACGGAATTATGCCGATTCCGCAAGCCACTGGTTATATATAGTTGTATGCCCCGTCCAAAGCCAAGATTGTCGCCGAGGGGTTCACACCGTAACCGACCTCTCTCAGGATGCTGTTGGAGACTTTAGCCCCGTCAAGTGCATCCGGTGTCACCAACTCCCATGGGTAGGCACGGGAGGGCGTGGAAGTCGTCGTGTATACGAATACGCCAACCCCGAATGCCACGAAGTTGATTGGTATGCCTCGCGAAGAGCCGTCTCGCATGGTTCGACCTCAACCCTGTGAAGATGCTGGTCGAGTGTTGACAACCAGGCCGTGTCCTCTCTTGCCTGGCAGGTCCGAACGAACAACTGGACCCATTGGCTCATTCTATACCCTCCTTAGGGCGCCTGCTCCAGTTCCGTGATCTCCTGGCCGCTGATGCCATCTCTGTTAGCCCTCCATATGCCCCCCTCGCCCTCGAATTCTTCTCGCTTCCAGACCTCGACACGGGCCTTGCAATCCTCAAGCGCTTCCTCTCCAGCTCGCCATGCCGCCTGCCGATGCGGAGCCGAGACGGCTATGAGAATGCTCTCTTCCCCTATGGGTACCACTCCAAGACGGTGCGCTATGGCAACGCCCTTGAGAGAATGCTTAGCCAGTGTGGCCTTGGCGATAGCCATCATTGTCCGCAAGGCCAGCTTGCTGTAGGCCGAGTACTGCAGCTCTTTGACCGGCTTTCCCGCGAAGTTGTCTCTAGTAGTTCCTACACTCAGGGGTCAGAGAAAGGAGATGGGACTACTTTGGGGAGGAGGCAGCAATCATCTAACCTGCAAAAATAACAATTGCCCCAGCTTCCGGGCTCCTCACCCTGTCCATGACGGTCTGGACATCGAGATGGTCTGTTGTCAGGGCCACATAGCAGCCATTCTCTTGAAGCTCTGTACTCTCTTGGTCCATCATGGTGATTAGTAGGTTGTCCACCAGTTCCGTAGTCTCCTGCCTCTCCCAGGGAGGAAAGTCCGAAGGGGCCCAGCGCCGAGACTATGCGCAGTGTAAGGAGACAGTGGTCGCCCTAATCGACCGCTTAGTCCCACCAAAAGAGTTCGACTGAAGCTATCGAGAAAGCCAGACACGTCCACAAAACCAGACACGTCTTCCAGATACTTCTTTCCTTCTTCCAAAACCTTTCAACGGAAGAGCGGGCTGATCACTGATCCTTTCTCTGCGCAAACAACCTTTATCCATCAACCTCTCTGAGTGGAAGCAATAATCATCAATACGAACCTTCAACCCCTCATTTGTTAGGACTCCGTTTTGTTCGTCGGAGCTTCCCGCGCGCCCGCATACCAGCCTGAGCCAGGATCTGCAGTCCGAGCCACAGCACAGACTCGCCGCGCTGACTAAGGCAAGCCAATGGGGGATTTCCTTTCGTTGCCATCGATTAGCATCAATGCACCTCGAGGCTTAGTAGCTTTGGATGAAAATGCCAATATTCTTCATGTCATAGCCCGCTCAGCCACTTTCGATTCCCTCCCGACTTTCCCGACCTTCCTCCCCTCCTCCACGAGGCAGACATTCCCCTCGCTATCACCCATCATGTACCGCTCGCGGTCTCCCGACCGCGACGGTGGGGACTACAGGCGTAGATCTCCCCGCCGGCGGGACGACCGAGACGGAGAGCACTACCGCTCGCGGAAGGGTAAACCATTGAATTAGCCTGGAGGATGGCTCTGATCTGCGTCTGTTGTTGTCGAGCTGGCTGGCTAACTGTCTTGGTTACCCGCGAAGAAGATTCCTCTAGGACGCCACCTAGAAGCCCGCTGTCAAGACCCGGAGAGGACATGTACCGTGGCCGTGCCCGGCACGGCAACAGCCGCGACAATGGACGGCATGGTGATTCGTTCGGAGCGGGACGACCGCCACACCCTCCTGGTCAAGCTGCGGGTGGGCTCCGGTACGACGACCCCCCGATACAAGCCGTGAGTCCCGGAGTGGCCGGTGGTGGTCCTGGCCGCGCCCGGCACGATCGCGACCAGCGCGGCCGGAGTTCTCGTTCACGTTCTTCCTCGCGGCACGGAGCGGCCGGCTGGCCCTCGGAACCGGGCGCTCCACGCCGTCGGTCTCGCAGCCCTGGTGGTCGTGAATATAACGGTCGCGGCCGCGGTGGCGGTAGCCGCACTCGTAGTCGAGGCGGCGGCGGCGATTATCGACGTGATTCGAGCCGTGGTGGCAGCCATGAGCGCAGTCGTGAGAATTCTCCTGACCGTTATCGAAATTATCGCGAGCGTCCACGGCCCCATCGCAGAGAACCAACGAGTCAGACATTGATACTGGAGAACCTCCCCTATGAGGTCTCGGAGAAAGACGTGAGCATACCTTTTTTATTCTTCCTACCTGGGGCATCCGATCTTTCCTCCCATGTGTGGAGGGGTTTTGGGATACACCTTTGCTGACGTTATGTACCTTCTTGGGTGATCAGATTCTCCTGGGCATGGACCACGCTTCAGGAAATCCCCGAATGTCAACCGACCAGGTCCGATTTGTGAGAATCCGTAATAACAAGAGAGGTACGTACAGTCAGTCTTGTGGACCACGTGAGCTGGCTAGAGGTATTTGTTTACTGACTACCTACCTATCTCGCAACCCAGGCGGTAAAATCGCCTTTGTCGAGTTTTGGGGCCTTTCTGACGCCACTGACTTTTTCGATCGCTTCTACCCAACTGTTTCTTTTCCCCTAATAAAGTCCCGAGGCATCGATTCAGAACCCATTCCTGTTGGGCTCAATTACAGCAGGCCCCGAGAAGACATGGGTCGCCACGATCCGCGCGGTGACGACGGTGCTTGGAATTGCCTCGAGGTACGTGGCCAAAACATATCCCCCCCTCGTTCACTTCTTTCCCTCCCAACTTCAGTTCTTCCGTTTCTCACCCGCACGCGACTTTCGTCACCGAGGCAACGAACGGACTTTGCTAACACACTCTCAGTGCGGTATCTCGAACTATCCTCACCGAGCTGCGTGTTACAAGTGCAAAGTAGAGCGACCTGGTGAGCCTCAAGTAGTCTGCTAGTCCTGGAAAACCATGCTGACCAACCTAGACGATTGGACCATGGGTGGCTACGGCGGCTATGACGCCCACCCCTCTGGTGGATTCATCCTGACTGGCGAAACGGACCAATGTCCTCAGCAAGCTCCGTCCCAGTTCATCGTAATCCGGGATCTTGAGCCCTCCGTTACCGAGGAGGTTCTCGCCAAAGGCGTCGCGAAGCTTTTCCTGGACAATGAACGGCCGCCCCCTAAGGAGCCAAAGCCAACCTCGAACAAACTCAAGTCAACTGCTCCGACCAACAGCACCGTCGGCCTTGGTGCTGCGCCGGGCTCTTTGCGTCGCGTTTTCCTGATCCGTGACCGCCGGTCTAACGAATCTTGGAGATACGGATTCGCAGAGTTTGCCACCGTCGAGGACGCCAGAGCTGCTGTCGCGAAGTTCAGGGCCTCGGCCAAGTTCACTATCGCATCAAAGCCGGTCATGGTTGCCTTCATTCATTCGGGTGTATTTGTCCCTGCATTCGATGCCCCGTCTCTGGAAAGCCCCGAGTTCACCTTCGCGCCTATCTATAATCCCGACCTCCGTGTCAAGTACTGGGATGATCGCGCCTATCCCAGCACACTCGTCGTCTCCAGCGGGCCCGATCCTTCCAGCTCCAACCTGCCAGGATCCAGCGGAGATGCCGACAAGAACCCCGCTTCCTCCGGCGGCAAGGGTGGCCCCGCTTCTCAAGATGCTTCAGGGAAGAAGGCGAAGAAGGACAAAGATGCCCTCGCCAGCAAGAAAGCGTTGGCCATGGCTCCTCAGATGCAAATGTGGGCAAAGAAGGCTGCAGAGTTGCACGGCACCCCGAAAGAACGGCGCGATGATGGACTGGGCAACTCCCTCACTGGTGGCCCTGCGAGTGCGTCTGGCCCCTCCGACCAGAAAGTGCCCGGTAGTGGACCGTCTCTAGATGCACCGGATTCCACGAATCCGGTACACCCGCATCCGAGAGACCAGTACGTGTCCTTCGCCGACTGGGACAACCTGGAATGTCTTCTCTGCGGAAAGTTCAGGACCGACGAGGGGCTCATTCACCACGAGGTCAGTACCCACGACTGCTTCAAGGATGAGGCCGTGAAGGCGCAGGCGGCAAAGCTGCTTGCCGATCGTGGGAAAGAGCCACGAAACATCATCCGACGCGTTCCCCGCCTCAAGCGCGACCCGCTCCCCGTCTACACCTCTTATGCCGACCAGGACAAGCTCACCTGCTACATCTGCAAACGGGAATTCACGTGTGTCAACACCTTCCGGTACCACGAACGGGAGAGCGAGCTGCACAAACGAAACTTGGCCATCCCCGGCAGAATTGAGGAGGCCGTCGCCGAACTTGCCAAGGAAGGATGGACGCCGGCCAAGATGCATCCCCTAGGCTACCACGGGCCCGTCCGTCCGCAGCCGACGACCCAGGGCTCGCAGTACCGCGACCGCGCCCTGGAGCGGCGCACGGTCTACAACCAGCCCAGCAAGCCGGCGGCGCAGCCGGCCAAGGGGGGCGGCGCCGGCGCCGGCGGCAACGAGGAGCCTGTGGCGGCGGCGCCGGCGGCGCAGCCGCCCAAGGAGTCCAAGGGCGCGGGCCTGCTGGCCAAGATGGGCTGGGCGGCGGGCTCGGGCCTGGGCGCGCAGGGCGCGGGCCGCACCGAGGCGCTCAGCACGGAGCTGTACGCGCCCCGCGTCGGCCTCGGTGCCGAGGGCGGGCGGCTCGGCGACGCCGCAGAAGAGGCGGTGCGCAAGACCCGCAACGACTTTGGCGACTTTGTCGCAAAGACCAAGGACAAGGCGCGCGAGCGCTTCGAGAGGCTCGGGTAGAGCCGGGGAGGCGGGGGCTTGCCGTTGGCTCCTCATCTCTGTGTATCATGTTTTCTGTTCTTTTTTTTTTTTGGCTGTTTCTTTTTGCTTCGCTTTCGTGGAATGTCCTTCGGGGTTCCGGGGTGGATCAACCACCCGAGGGTTCAATTCCCTCCAATAATTACGTCTTGTCATGATACTGTACTTCTACAAAAGGGGAAGTGGGGAGTAAAAACAAGGGGGGCGGGCGTTAGGTTACGATGTACCATGCCAATGCGTGGTTTCGGGTACAGCAGGTTCGAGCCTGCACCAAAGGAAAAAGGAGAAAAGAGAGCAGGCAACAAGAAAAGAGATTGCGTTATGGAGAAGGGGGGTTCATCTGGACTTAGTATACCCCATAATTCCGTACCAATTCGACGTTTCCCGTTCCTGCAGACACGCAACACGGTCTCGGCAACCACGACTTCCCCTGCCGCACCCCGAGGCAGAGCCGCGTCGTTCGGCCCGGCAACGGTGGGTCATGGTCTGTGTCTTCTCGTCGCACCCCGTGAATATAGGAGCTTCCGAGCTGAGTGCAGACTGTTGCAACAGGTTGATCCTGCCTGCTCTTGCACAGGGCGAATACAGGCGGTACTGATCATTGTCCTCCATACGGGCTAAGAAAGGGCTTTGAATATATTTTAGCGACAGCGACGGCTGCTTGACAACCGAAATGAAAATTGGAAATGTAGGTATGTATGTGTATGTTTACAAAAAGCTACCTAACTCTATGAAGGTGACCCATTCGAAATGCAAAATCACATGCCAAGTATATATATATATTTAATTATTACACGCTAGAAGCGCAAAAATCCCCACCAACACGCACAACCCGCCCGCTCCAAATTTACAGGGCAAACACGGCGCCCCCGACCGCGGCAAGGACGCCCGCGAGCGCCATGACGCCGAGGGCCTCGGCGCCGGGTCCCCTCGCGGGGCCGCCCCCCAGCCCGCCCGCGGCGCTGTTCTGCTTCGGCTTGCCCGTCACGGTGACCGTCTCCACGCCGCCGGCGGAGCCGGTACGGGACGACGAATCCCCCGCCGTGCGGGTGGGCTGCGGGGGCCGGTACGTGGTCTGCTGGGCGGCGACGCCGGTGACGCTCGGGATGCCCGCGGCCGCGGCGTTGAGCTCGACGATGTCCTTGGGGCCCGAGGCGGTGCTGTTGAGATTGGCCTGCGCCAGGCCGATCTCGTTGTGGTCGAGGTCGTAGACGACGTAGGCGGAGCGGAGGACGGTGTCGCCGAGGAGGGCGAGGGAGTTCAGGACGTCGTCGAAGTCGTCGCCGTCGTCGCCGGAGCTGAAGCGGCTCATGGGCTGGAGGCCGAAGACGCAGATGCTGCTGAAGGTCACGGCCTTGTTGGACCCCAGCTCGCTCTGGTAGTCGCGCGCGATGTCCAGGACCATCTCGTACACCGGCACGGCGATGGACGCCGACGCCGAGGCCTTCAGGCCGAAGCCGAAGGTGATGGTCAGGTCGGACTCGAGGTACGTGCAGTCGATCAGGGCCAGGCCCGAGACCTGGTTGTCCATGACGACGCCCAGGTCGGAGTAGATGGCCGCGGCCATGGAGTCGGGGATGTAGGACAGGGTGGTGCCCGTGTCGAGGACGGCGGCGATGGGGTCGTTGTTGGCGAAGGGGACCGCGCCGCTCGTCCCGTTGCTGGCCACCTTGAGAGAGCTAAAGGCCACGGCGAAGGTGGCGTAGGTTCCGTCTTCGGTCCCGTCGTCGCTCGGCAGGACCGGCACGATGTTGAGCGGGCCGATGAACTTCTCCTTGTCGATGCCGCCGAACAGGATCGTCCCGGCATCGGACCGGCGGTCGTTCAACCACAGCGAATAGGCCCTGCTGCTGATCAAACCCTGGTTGACGAACTGGTCCACGAGGTTGGGGTAGGTGTGAATGGTAGATTCGCTAGAATTATAACCGATGCCGAGGACGCCGGTGCCCCGGTCGACATCGGAGACAAGGCCCATCTGCAGGGACTTGATGGTTGTGCCGGCGATGGTGAAATCGTCAGATATGTAGTCCCCCGCTGCGGTGCTCTGGTCGATGTATGTGATGGAGAAGCCACCCTCGCTGAGCAGCTTGTAGCTGGAGCTCTTCCCGGGGTTGTATGTTCCGCCGCACGCCTGTCCGGCGGCCTGCTGCAGCTTTTCATTTGTGCAGAACTCGGCATCGTGGCTCACCACCCACGCATCGCTGCTGCCCGTGTCAAGGACCATGCTCATTTTCTGGGGCGGGTTGCCCACTGCGATGTCGACATAGTAGCCTCCGCCCGTGATATTGTTTATTGCCGTCTGGGTAAAAGTGCCGCGTCGCCTTAGCGGGGCCAGCAGCGGTGGCTTGCCGACTCTGATTCCCGGGAGGGCGACTCTATTGAGGTCGAGCTGGACAACATTCTGTGCCGACGCCCATGACGCGACCGCCAGAACGGCACCCAAAGTGGCCCTCATCTTTGAAGACGACGTCCTGCTGATTGCGTGGTCTCGTGCTTCCGGGCTCACTCAAGTCTGTTCGCAAAGACCCCTCTTCCTTCGGTCCTCTTTGTCTCTAAGCGCCGCTGCCCCAAAATACCTCTTAACGATCGGTTAGGCGGTGGTGAAGAAGAACTGCGCAGGATTTGGCGGCGGTCTAGAGCACATCGACAAGGCTGGCTCGGGGGGGTGAGCAGTTTTAATAGGGTAGTAGGGCCGCAGGGGCACCCCATGTTGCACTGCAGCTTCCCAGCGTGGCGCCCAGATCGCGGCCGCCTGTTTGCTGATGGCGGCCGCTAGACCGCGCCTGGCCCCCCATGCGATGGCTCTCAGGAGCTGAGATGCAGGATTGACAAATGAGTACTTAAGAGTGACAAGCCAGGCACACCTTATAACTGCATCTCCATAAGTACCACTAGGTAACCCCGCGCCAGTGTATGGAGTCAAGGGTCTATGAAGTGGGATTGCTGCGCCTCGCATCAGTCTGCCAAGGCATTGATTTTGAATCCGTAATCTTTTTAGAGGCTATGAAACTGGCTGGGCGCTGCACTCACGGCCCTCTTAATTCCAACCACATGGCATTAAGCGCCCTGTATGCCTGTCAGCTTGCTCTTGGCCGTGGGATTGTTGTAGTCACTTGCGAATCCTCCAAGTTGCGAACGAATCCGTGGGTGTAAATGTGGGCAAGTGGTGGGCCCAGCTGCAGCTCCCACGGTCCCGGGTTGTTGACTGCGGGGTCGGTCCAAAAAAAAAAAAAAAAACCTAGGGCCAAAAGATTTCGGCGCCGAAGTGACGAAATAACTGCCGAAGCTCGGCCATTGAAACTTAGGCTTCCATTTCCTCAGATGAAAAGGGTGTATCACAAAGATTTAAAAGGCACCCAGACGGAAGGAGGCGATGGCATGAGGTAGAATTTCGATAAAAGAGCGCTGTGCTCCCCAATATTATAAGCTGGCTATAGGCATAGGTAATAGTAGCGCTCTTCCTTCAACACTTCGTTGTTATACTTTGTTATTATACTAGAACCCCCCTTTCTTACCACATCAGCAAGCAAGCAAGCAAGCAATCACGCACGCTTCAGGGAAACAGCAGGGGCCAAGCCATCTCAGAATATCTCCTCCAGCCCCTCCCAAGCATCCCCACTGCCCTCAGGGCCTGCCTTGTCCCTCTGCTCCCAATACTTGCCGTTGAACTGCCAGTACTCCTCGCCCGTGATCTCGCACCTCGTCTTCTTGAACCAGGCGGGCACAAACTCCTCGCCGTGGCTCTCCCTCACCTTCCTCCTCGCGCGCTGCGCCTCCTCGAGCCTGTTCTTCTCCGTGGCCGCGAGGTCGTACTCGCCGTCCTCCATGGCTCTCTGGTCGGGTCGGAAGCGCGAGTCCGTCGGTGCCAGCCAAGGCTTCAGCTGGTCGTCGATGTGGTTGAAGCTGAGCACGAACGGCGTGAGGTTGAAGGGGATGCCCGTCGGCCGCGGGTTGGCCTGCCAGACCAGGAAGGCCCGGCTCTGGTCCGTCATGCTGCCGCGGTAGACGGATTCCCCGTCCGCCGCCGGCTCCTCCACCGTGGCCTCGTATCCCGGCGTCATGCGGGCGTACAGCTTCGAGTTCCACCGCCCGCCAAGGCTGACGCGCACTCGCCCGTCGCCGTCGACGATCTTGCCCGCGATCTGGTGGGCGCTCGAGGCTTTCCAGCCGCGGGGCTTGAATTCAATGTAGCACACTTCGCCGGTGGACCAGTTCTTGATCTCCATCGGGCCGTAGTTGTCCACCACGGGATTGCCCGTGATGATGCCAATCACCGAGGACGTGACCTTCTTCCACGTAAAGAAGTCCTCCTTCCCGCCAGCGATCGGCCTGAGCTTGAGGAACCAGGTGCCGAGGGGGTTGATGTCGAATGATCTGCCGTAGAACTTGGACTTGACTGCCGACTCGCCGTAGTAGGTCCATCTTGGCGACTCGGCCCATGCCGCACCGACCGGCGGGTGGTGGCTGACTTGCTCGATGAAGAAGCGGTAGTTCTTGTCTGGGCGCACATACTCAAAGGTTTCGCCGAGGAGGGGGTTGAACGGCTTCGCCACTCGTCCGATGGTGGACGCATATTCGCTGGCGGCGAAGGCAGCCACGTAGATCAGCCGTTCGATTGAGTCGGTACGTTCTGCTGCCAGGTCCAGAAGGTCTGCGTATTCCATGTCTTCGCCGCAACGGTACAGAAGTGAAGTCGGCTCGTTGAACGAGACCGGCAACGTCATTTTAGTCATGTCCTTTCCGATCATTGACTTGAGAATGCCCTATATACGACAGTCAGTTTTCCGACATTCGCTCCAGTCTTCATGGCGTGTCACTTACCCAGAGGGAGATCTTGGGCCGGTCATCGGCATCCATCTTCAGCCTCGTCCTTATGCCATTCTCGTAACCCTTGAAGGAATTGCTGATGTCGAAGCCGGTCGATATGGTCAACTCATCCGTCGAATTTCCTTTGGACGCGAGCTCCGATGGCGGCATGGGGGCAACTTCAACCTCGCCAGCATCAACAGCGTCAAAGAATTCATCCTCGTCATCAGATTCCATGTCTGACATGTCTGCGACATGCGAAAGCACAGTCTCGCGGCGAGTAATGCTCTTAGCAGGAGACTTTTGCCTAAGACCCTCCTCGTCCTCGACCTCCGCAGTCATGACTAAGGGGGGAGGCGTTCCAAGCGTTTGCCTGCTTGACGGCCGGGTCTCGTCGAGCATGCCCGTCCCGATAGCCTCTCTTAGCATGCGTTTCGCCTTCTTCTTCTTCTCCTCAGCCTCGCCGACCCTCGCTTCCAGGATCTCCTGTTCACGCGCTACCTGCGCCATGCTCTCTTCCCACATGCGCCGCATCTCGCTCTCCCTGTCCAGGCGATACTGCCAATATGCATCGCGATCCCTCGAGATCCGCAGAAGATCACCGACGAGACCGGTCATAGAGCGGATCGCCGCATCATACGTGGTCAGAGCCTGGGCCATTTTTGGGTCCGAGAGGGTGAGGCCGGGGTTCTTGGTGGCCTCAACAATCAGGGCGGAATTGACATTGGAGATGGTCTCGAGCTGTAGTTTGGCTGACTGGGCGGTGATGTTAAACGCGTCCTTAGTCGCAGTTGTTGCATCTTGGCGGCTCGAATCATCGCCGTAGTCGTCGTCTTCATCCTCTCCGTACGGGCTGCCATTACCGGCCTTGTCCGCCTCCGTACCCGTATCCGCAAACTCGTAATCGTCATCGACCATGCTGCCGACGGTGCTAGTGCCTGTGGCAGCCGCCTTGTTGGAACTCCTGGTGGCCGAATGCAGCTTGGACAGCTGGAAGCTGTTCCGCTTCGGCTCTGCAAGACTGGCGCTCTCGCTCGGGGACTCGCCGATCGAGGAGGCGGCCTGCGAATGTTCGGCCTTGGCTTGTTTCAGTAAGTCTGCACTGCGTGCACGCTGTCGATCCTCCTCCTTCGCCTGGTCTTTGGTCCATTGGATCGAGTTGTTCAGGGCCCAGAACCAGCGCTTCGCCTCGACCTCGTGATTGGCCTTGAGAGTATACTTGACCGAAGATTTCCCTATAATCTCAAACTTGGTCTTTTCGTCGGCACTCATGTGGAGTTTCGCGATGCGCATGTTGATCGCGCCGCGGCAAGCGGATCCAGCATCGTCCTGGTGCTTGTAGTAGCTCAGGACCCCGTCCTCCAAGACAAACCACCGGAGTTGGTAGCCTTTCCTGTAATTTGTCCACTTCTTGAGATAACCTTTCATCTCACGAGCTTCCCTTCCGGCGAGCGGGTCTCCGGGGGTCGAAGATGCGGCGCTTTGGGATGCAGAGCCCAGGACGGCTTTCTCCTGGATGCCCCTCTGGGCAGCCACGGCCGCTGGCGACCTCTTCAGCATGGCCCTTGTAACGTCGTCTTTCGTGACATCTTGCGGCAGCTTTCCTTTGCGGTCTCTGCGGAATGGATCCGCGCCGTGCAGGAGCAGAACCTGGATCAGATGTGTGTTCTTCCGTCGCGCTGCTTCATGCAACAACGTCCCTCCGGCTTGGACCGTGACCGGGTCTGAAGCAAACTCGGTGCTATTTATATCCAAAACCGTCTTGAATCGGGCCTCTTCAAGCACCTCTTCGAGGGTCTTGAAGTCGCCGTGGAGGATGAGATCCTGAACCTGCCTGATCTTGTTCTCGGCGAACAGAGACCTGGAGAGCTGTAACTGTTGGAAGATGTCTGGGTTTCGCGCCAGGTCGATGGGAAGGCGGCCGGTGAGGTTCGCAATGGAATCATTGATGTCCTTCTGCTCCAGCAGCAGCCTTACTACATGGCCCCGCCCTTGGACTGCCGCGACATGCAGAGGCGTGTTTCCATCCCTGTCCCTTGCGTTAACATCTATAGTCCCAGATCCATCGGAGAGCACATATTCCACGACAGGCTGCTCAGCACATTGAATCGCCAGGTGCAAGATGGTTGTATCCTCAAGGGCTCCAGGTTGGGTCGAGAGAGACGAGGTACTAGCTCGAGGGCCGTTCTCCGCCGTATCGCGAATTGCCTTGGATATCAACGCGGTATCCCCACTTCGCAAGGCTTCAACAATGCGGAATTTCCGAACCGACTGTTCCAGAGTACTTCCCTTCTCGGTGGACAGGTTCGAAGCTGACCTGGCGCCAGAGAGGGAGGAAGTATGGTACGAGGGTGACCTGCCAAGTACACCGATACCAGCTGTAGAGAGTCTTGCATTATGCCCCCTTACAGACGTGGATGCCTGTGAGACTGCCACCGTGGAGGTAGAGATGAGGGCAGCTGTCCCGTGAGAAGCGGGAGAGGTAGCATCCTCGGCGGCAGTGTCGTCGTCTGGTCGGGATTTCTCACGCCTTAGCAAGGAGAGAGCTGCGGAAGATCTCGACCGCTTGTGATGACTGGATTGAGCACAGATAATTAGTTTCGACTGTGACTCGTCATATGCGAACATTAATGGTATAACAAGCCCCGCATCCATTATCAGCAACCGTGGAAGACAATGCAGGCATTGGGTCCAGACTCGGTGTTAGAAACACAAAGGAGGGGGCCATGATGGTAGAACCATAAGTTTGAGAGATGGAAAGACTCCTTAAGATAGCTTACCTATCACCTGCGTCAGACATTTTGAAGCTCTCTGTGGACAACGATGACCAGGCTGGTCTGAAACGAGGACAGGAAGGAGGCCAATGGGAATAGGCAGCAAGAGAGCAAATAAAGAGCTAGAAGATATAGACGATGCAGGTTGGAATAATGTGGTTCGGGAAGCCGGCAGAGACAGCAGTTGTCGTCTACAAGTGCCTCTTACCGCATCATCATGGTGTTCCCTTGTTTCGAGCGGGTGGCTCATCCCAAAAATGACGTTTGTTGGCCTTTGCACGTGCAGGGGGTGACTTTAAAATGAAAGGGCGTGCATAGAGTAGAATGGGGGTCTGCCAAGACGGCCAACCAAAGTTCCAATAAGCCTGCCTGTACCTAGGTTGGTTGAAGTGGGAGGTAGGCCGTACGGAGGGTAGATATCGACCTGGGCAGACTGATTGGAAGCCCTGGCGAGCCTCTGGGTTGTCCATGTCTTGAAACGTAGATCTTCCATGCCACTGGGACTAGGTACCTTGCACGCTAGTGGTGTGCAGCTGATGACCGAGGTCTCCAACTGGCACAACTGCCAAAGCTGGAGGGGGAGGTACTGAAGATATCCGAACCTCGGCAAAACAGCGCCCTCACTTAACAAATCCATATTAAGGGACTCGATATCAATGCAGCGAACAGCAATCCCAAATCAGATATTTAAAAAGCTGTTTCTCCATATAGTCGTTCCGTATTCCCTAGACCTTGGACTCCCGGAACTGTAACCAGAAACGGATACCAAACGAGGCCCCTTGCCCACGTGAATCGTGCACCAAACGCCTCAATGAGTGACCGGCCAACCTTGGTTAAACCCCCGCCGGAAGATCCAAACAAGGCACCAATCGAGAATGTCTTGGACGTAACAGAACTGGGCGTCCTCGGGCCCGTAAGTTGTTGGCCCTTATCCAAATTGCCGCTGTTCCCCTCGAGGCTCACACAAGCGTCCAGAACATCTTCACCAACACCCGCAAACCATGGCAGCCACCCGGCGCCCGGGGCATCTACGGCGGGGCCGTGATAGCCATGAGCCTCTCGGCGGGCCAGCGGACGGTGCCGGATAATTTCACCGTCCACAGCTGCCACTGCTACTTCCTCCTGGCCGGCTCCGACGAGCTGCCCATCCTCTTCCACGTCGAGAAGGTGCGCGACGGCCGCTCCTTCGCCACGCGCACCGTCCAGGCCCGCCAGCGGGGCCGCTGCATCTTCACCACCACCATCTCGTTCGCCCGCGAGGACTCCGGCGGCCGCCCGGACAACCAGGTGCGCCACTCGGCTCCCATGCCGACCGGCGAGGACGGGCAGCCGCTCCGGCCGCCGCCGGACGACTTCGACGGCGAGCCCGACATGTTCGCCACGGGCCCCTTCCAGAACTACCGGATCGACATCCTCAACGGCGACAGCCCGCATCCGCACCTCAAGAAGACGCGGCAGTGGTTCCGGGCGCGCGGCGCCATCTCGGCCGAGGGCGGCCACCAGGCGCACATCGACGCGCTCGCCTACGTGTCGGACAGCTACTTCATCGGCACCATCACGCGCATCCACCGGCTTTGGCGCTTCCCCTTCAAGGTCGAGGACGTGGGCCAGCTGGCGCCCGACCTGCAGGACTACGTGCGCAAGCTGAACAGCTGGGAGGGCATGGGCTCCAGCGTCGACGACCTCCGCGGCCGCCCCGAGGTCGGCATGATGGTCAGCCTCGACCACACAATCTACTTCCATGAGCCCAGGCGCGTGCGCGCCGACGACTGGATGCTCTCCGAGATGGAGAGTCCCTGGGCCGGAGACGGCAGGGGTGTCGTCACGCAGCGCATCTTCGCCAAGGATGGAACACTGCTGGCGACCTGTATACAAGAGGTATTTCTCTCTCTCTCTCTCTCCCTCCCTTTCTCGCGTCCTTCCGTATCTGGCACGCCATGACTAACGCGTTTATTAGGGGCTTGTCAGATTAAAGGACAAGGAAGAGGATGTAAAAAGCAGCGAGTCCAAATTATAGACTTGTTTTATAAGTAAACATTCCGTCTTGTTAGAATGTATTTTCTATGCACTTGGGGGCGCTTTGGGATTGCATGAGCTTGTTAAAGTCGTGTATATGCTTTTGAGGAAGATAGAATAGATGAAGTGCTTTATGCGCTACAGCTCGTCACACTGGAGATCTGCTTTGTCCATGGAAAATGGGATTGGTATGTGTACTGTATGCCTCAGGGTGATAGGCCCCGTGTTGCTTACAGCGGATGCAAAGGTCGATGAATTCCCCAAACTGTTATCCCCAATGGGAATCAGACCCTCTTAAGGACGGACCACCAATTGAAGTAACCATATATGCTTCAAGCGGTTCTTAGTTACCTATACCTCTTGTCCCTAGTAAACTCAAGGCGTCAGGATTTGCCCATGTACCTAGGCAGTCAATCGTCGTCGAAAAGTGCCATTAAACCTAGCAGCCATCGAAACGGAACCAATCCCAAGTAAAATCAGGGGGGATACACTCATCCTGCTCGCCGCGTCGTACATCTGCTCAAAGTCAATTTTGCCATCGCAGGCGTCCTCGGTGGCGTACAGGTAGAGGATGCAGTTGCCCCTGTTGTCGATCTCGAAGATCCGGTGGCTAGTCGGGTTCTCGGGGCAGCCCTGGCCGCCGTCCCCCGAGTAGTGCGCCGACGGCGTGGTCTCGCACTTCGAGTCCCCGAAGATGGTAAAGTCCCACACGCTAGCCGCCGTTGCGAGCATCATCATCTTGGATGGCTGCCTCATCCTGTCGTTCCTAGTCGCCGTTGCCTTCTTGGCTTCGGTCGCGGGGTGGGGATACGCGCGGCCTGACGGAGATGTGCTCGTCATGGTATACCGGGTCGGCGCCGCGCTTCGTGAGGACGAAGTTGAAGACGGAGCGGCGGTAGGTCAGGAGGTCGATCTTGCTAGGAACAGTGATGATGATGTCCTTGTTCCACTGACCCGCGTTGATGAGGTATGAGACTGGGAAGGGCACGTCGGCGTCGTAGTCTGCCGCGTACTGGGCGAAAACAACGTCTCTCCAAGTTCGATTGAGGTTTCTAGTCGTCATGGCGAGGATATTGGTCACAGGCCTGGGATCTTGGCTGCTATTTATTCCTGTTTCTCATGATCTGATCTTGAGATATTCTAGTCGCTGCCCTCTGGCGACCAACTTCTGGCCAAGGCTGTCGTTGAGTGTTTTGAACGGCAAAAGGGAGCCCCGAAATTGGAACAACTGCTGACGGTGCTGCTACCTTGCTTGAGGAGGCTCTCACGGGCAAGCCAACGTCAGCCGCCGATCTTGTCTCCCGGCCAATTGCGGGGCATCCGCGACCATCCGTAAGCGCAATCTGCCTCCGCGCAGCGAACCTACGACAACCTTGCCTTGCGACCAGCTTCACCGAGTGCTATGTGCCACACGGTTGCAGATTCACAGTTGCATAGACTTACGGTTTGTTGGTTATCGCTGGGAAATCGATACATTAACTGGCAACAGGGATCCTGACTGCTTACAACCGAGATGTGGCCAACAAACAGCCGTTTGGCTCCTGAGCCCCGGCCACTTCGGCCGCGTTGCATATAGCCATTCTCGAACACCACCTTGATACAGTCTCCTACCGTTAGGATGTAGTCCGAGAGCCAACCGTCCGCTCTTGGGCAGGACTGCAACTAACGGCGGCGAAGCTACTGCGGGAATCATAGGTTCCCTGGTGAGTCGCGAAGACGGCACCGACGACCCGTTGTCTACTCCCACCGCCACGTCGGATTGTAAATTAAAACATGTGTGCCAAGAGCGCATAATGACTGGCCATTGGTTGATCGGAGGATCGGGGGAGTACGAGTCATCGTCAGCCTCACCGATCCTGGCGGTCGAGTTGGGCCGGATATAGGGTGGAGAGCAGGCGACCTTGACGACCACGACCCAGCACCAGGTTGGACTGGGTATGAGGCACGAGAAGAAGACGCAGCATTGACACATTCGAGGAGGTGGCGATTGTGATCCCATCGGCAGACTCCGATATGCTTGCAAGCGATGGCCGTGAATCCTGAGCTGAGGTCTCACGTAACTCATCAGCGCAGACTCATGACCCTCCACCGGCTATCCGGTAGTTCCAGTGGAACCATCTGTCCGTTGGAGGGCCTCACATGGTCACGAATATGTGTGAACCACCAAGAAATAACAGGCTGTGCTATTGTTAGTAGATCCTCGTTACGGACATGCTCCTGGTAACATACTCGGTCCTCCGATGCCCACCAACCAAAGGTCTGATTCGCCTCGGGTCTATCGCCCACAATGATGTCGGCAATATGCGAGTAAAGCGGGTTATCTTCCGCATAGCGGAGGTGAGCGCAGTGAGAGGGCCTTCAGAGCTGTCGTAGATATCGAGAATGGTGTTTCCATCGGACGGATCCCACTGGCCCAGGACCTCAACAAACCCCTCCTCGTCGTGGTGGATACAGAGGCAGGTACAACGGTTGTCTACCTTGCGTACCCGTAACTTCTTGACGCCAGAAAGGGTCGCCTTTGTCAAGTATGATAGGTGGTGCAAACGGCAAACTCATTAACATCGTCAAAGATCATGGGCGCTTGCCTAGGTTTTAACACCATCGGCTGGTCGACACCGGTGTAGATGCTGGCGCCGATGCTTTGGAAACGAGAACGATATACCGTTAAGGCGTCGACGATCAGCCCAGTGATCCTGCCTTCCCCAGCTGCCACTACTGACCAGGACGCTAGACGGTTATGGTTCATGATCCAGGGACAAAAAGAGACAGACCGGCCCTGATTTGTCGTCATCTATCCTTGGTTAGAGTGGTCCGTCTCAACAGACGGATATGCGAAGAACTAACCATGAGGAATGGCCCCGGTAATTGGATGTTGTCGTCAACCGTACATAAGTAGAGGAACGTGAGACACTCGCCGGGCTGGAAGTGAAATAAAGTGGCTGGCCTAGACGCTTACCGACTTGGCGAGAACGCTTTCCGTGCGCAATAATGCCCTTGACGCCGCCGAAGTCACAGTAGACGCTGAGGCCAGCCGCGTAGCACCTCCCACTTTGAAGAGGAAGATACTGGCAGAGGCGCCAATTTGGGTAGTGTAGGAGTTGGCTAAGACGTTGTGTCTGACCCAGTCTCGTTGAGAAGACCACCCTCATCGAGACGGCCAACGTGTCGACAATCCTCAGGACAGCATTATCGAACAGCCTAGAGTCAATGTTCCATATTGCCATTGCCGGCTGAATTGATGTTCTTGTATCTTCGATATAGTCAAAACTTAAGCGTATCACCTTGAGATCCTAGGGAGTAATTAGCATTCAAAAGCATACGTTAACTTAAGTAGATAACATACATCCTGAAACATGCGGAGGAGATTGAGAGAACGGCCGTAGATAGTACCATAGGCTCCTCTACTTGGTTCCCCGAGCCAGGCAGAGCTTAGCCCATCACCGTAGATCAGGCGAAGAGCTCGAAGTCCGTGTGTCCCAAGCATGAAATTCACACCCAGAATAGCACCGGGCCGGACCTGAATGCCCAGGTTTAAAGCCGTGTCTCTTCCATTATCGGCGAACGCGATCCGATGGAGGTAGGCTTGGCCAAATATTGAGATCGTGGAGGCACCAAGCCAGCTGGCCAAATTACCGTTCTCTTGCAGCAGATGTTTAACCACCTTGCTCGGTACGGGTCCATAATTGATACGTTCGAAAAATGTGGCAGTTTCAGACGCTACGATAAGGCAATATGTCAAATCGTAAGAGAGGTGACACATAACCTTCCGTTGCAATTCGGCCGGTAGGCAGACACAAACAAGTTCGAAAAATATGTGTTAAATCTGTCTCGTTCACGAACAGACTCCGAGACGGGAACCGCGCCAGAGAGACTTGGCTGCCACCGTTTAAAAAGTCTCGAGGAAGTATGGGTTGCGTCTGCTGGCCGAGATTGTACAAACCAAGGCAAGAAAGGCGATTCTGCCGGCGGACGAGCTTCCAGCAACAGACATGCGCGAAGAAGAGAGGTCGAAGTGGATATTCTCGAGAGGTACTCGGCTCATGGCAAAGGCTCACATTAAGAATCCTGCATTTTTGTTTCGCATTTCGGAGTACTAGCGGACTGTCATAGAGCAATGTTGGCTTCTTGCCGAGGTTGGTGCGAAATGCATAGGTTTCCGGACAGAGGCTAGTATCCATTGCTGTGTTGAAGACTAGCAAGAACGATCAGTCAACCCTCTGGCGTGGGAATTGGAGACAACACACCGCCGAGAACATCGAGCTCCCAATCGTGAAAGTCGCTCCTAGGTGGTTGACGAAAGCTCATGGCTGGTGTTTCCGGCAGGTCATGCCGACACAGAACACAGTACAGCTCGGCGGTTACGCTGAGCTTCGCGACAGGAGGCTGCAGGGGGTCCATGATCCGCAGTTGTGATACAGTCCATTTGGATGGTAAAATATTGATTCCTATAGGACGACTACCCCATTCAGAAATCAATAGCGTGGGGGGCTAAAGGGTAAGGAGTAGAGACACGAGGTTTCCATCATTTCTAGTGTTACTGGTGAGGTGAGGTTTGTATTTCGACATAAACTTGCCAAGTGCATAAATATTTATATAAACGCAATATCCATCATAGTACCTCTCTAGTGGCACTGCCTTTTAAGTGTGCTTACAGCTTCATGCATCTAATAGTATCTTGATACAGGCGGTAGAATACTTATCACTTCTATCAAAAGATTACCACTGCTCTACGGATCCGTACGCGCCGGCAAATTACTGCTGGGTTTGAAGGGTAGCAATCGTACACTTCATTGTATAGCGGCAGAGGGTTTTAGGTTATTGGTATAGATGGCAATACAAGCAACAAGGAGTTTATTGGGTCTCGGATTATCTAGTGACGCGCCTTTTGTAGGATATATCCGTCGTAGTGATAAGCATGTCGACTTGCTTGCGGAGAAAATAGAGCAATGACTTCCTTAAAGCGGCTAAGCATAGCAGCGTTGTAGATTGATCAAATGGCGACCCCTTCCAGGTGGAGAACCTTGGACTTATCGCCCAAGAACCGCGATCGGAATTCGATGATCCCGGTGGCTATGGTCTCAAAATCTCTAATCTTGTTGGCACGGAAGTTCTGGAGGAGCTCCCGGAGGCCCTGGATAAACCGGTTTTTCTGTTCACCCGTGTAGTCGTCGGCCCTGCCCAGCTCGAGGAGAATTTGGTCATCTGGAAGGTAGGGGGGGGGAAGGAGTCAGCGATAATGGGGGGGTTTTGAGATGATAGATTGATATTAGTCAATTGTCGAGACGTATGGGATACTCACCGGGCGCAATAATAGACCTGAAATGCTGGAGCTGGCACGACTCCCCTTGCGGGCACGGCTGGCTGCTGAGATCGTACGGGCAAAGCTCCCTGTTGGGGTCGATTCTGCTACTATAGGTCAATGACTTCAGGCCGCCCGAGACTCTGCTGCGGTACTCGGGGTGGAACCTGTAGGCACGGAAGTACTGCAGGGGGCTCTCATAGGCTCCAAAGCTTGGCTCGGATTTCTGCTCCGACGCGGTCTCAACCTGTCAAGGCGGGATTAGTCATGGTATGACTTTCGCTGGGGGGAAAAATCAACGTTACTTCGCTGGGGATCGCAGTAGCTTCCATCTCCTGAACCGAATCGCGGGGCTGTGCAACGAGGGAGATTTGAGCTAGCAATGGTGAAGTCCCTGTCGTGTTCCTGATTCTCTGGTCATCGGTGTTGTCAGCCGCGGGAGAGTCGGCGGCAGGCGCAGGGCTGAAAGGCGACGATGCGCTCGTCACATGGTCTGCCGAGTCTTGTTCCATCGGTTCCGGCGGTTCGTAAGAGTCGGACTGTATCTCGCCGTCCTCCTGGGGAGTCTCGATCGGAGCAGGCTCGCTCATTACGGTACCCATAGTGGCAGATTCCTGTGTCGGTTCGCTACTTGCGGATGGGGCGGATGGGGCGGATGGGGCGGATGGGGTAGAGAATTCGGTTGTCCCTTGCTCGGGGTTCATCCCGACTTCTGCGGTAGATGGTTGCCGAGGAGCATCAGGCAACGCGATGCCGGGGGAGATGACGCGTTCCGGTGGTTCATTGCCTTCATCGTTAGGCTGGACATCACCCTTATGCTCCTGGTCTCTAAAGGGGTGGGCATTCTCGACCAAGGCCGGAGACTGGCCACGAGTATTCTGGCTCGGAGAAGGCGCAGCCTCCTCCGTGACCGAACCATGGATTGTCGGACCAGTGTTCTCGCCAATGGAGGTAGTTAGCTTGGGCGACAAGTTCGTCTGGACGGCAGGTGACGTTATCCTCGGTGCATTTGAGGCGTCTTCAATAGGCTGCCCGACCCCTTCTCGGGACTCGTCCGGAATCTCCTCGTCAAGCTGGATCAGCTCGTCTGTTAATTTGTTCTTCTCTGCCAAGCCTTCGTCGATCTCCGCCTGCAGCCTTGCTTCCTCCTCTCGAAGCCGTTTCAGCTTATTAATCTTCTCTTGCAAGGTGCCATCGATACGTGGAAGGTCGAGACTTGCGATCCGCCCCCGACGTTCGGCCCGAAACTCATCCCTGAGGCGTGTCTCGGAGGGCTTTGGAAGCTTCGCTGAGCCAGACTCTGAGATTAGCTGTGCCGATGGACCGTCAGACATCTCGACGTCACTCGTGGAAACGACTCTGCTTAAAGGCGGCCTGGGCGTCTCGCCATCTCTTGGTTCTGGTGGCGTGACGGCATCTGCGTTGGGCGTCTGCGAGCCTCCAGAGGCCTTCTTGGCCTTTCGCTTCGCCTCAGCCTCGGCGATCTTCCGCCGCATTTCTTGAATCGCCTTCTCTTTCCGGTCCAACTCGGATACTCGCGGCTTTCCATTCGGGAATGCAGTCGGTGGAGTGCGACTGGGCGGCGCGGGGCTAGAATATTGCCGCTGCGACGCGTCTGTCAAGGGCGGAAAGTCGCGAATCGAAGGCCCTTTGCGAGCTGAGCTGTCGGTGCGTTGAATGACGGCAGAGGGCTCGGTGGGTGAATCATCGTCCATGTCAATGTCCATTTCCTCGTCAGATGCATCGCTGACATCAATAACAAGTGACGAGTCTTCTCGTTCTTGACCGAACGGGCGTTTGAGGGAGCCCACTGTCGATGGGTAATCGACAAAATCCATGGCGACGGGACGCTTACGCTGGTTGATGGACTGCACCGGCTGTTCCGTTGATGAGAGAGTGAGACCTGGGATAGAGCCAGACGCTTGGGGCGTTTGCTCCGGCACGACTTCTTGGGCTAAGGGAGTATTAGAGCTGGGTGATGTGCCAGTTGTCACAGACTGGATAGGGGCAGGGCGGTGGTCTGGTTCTGGCTGGTCTGGTTCTGGCTGTGGAGCAGCAGATGCCGACGCTTCAGCGCTATCGGGCCTCGAGGAAGGCGAAGGCTCTTTGGAATCGGCCTTCTGCGCACGAGCTTCGCGTGACTTTCGCAGAGCCTCCATTTTCTGCTGGAGAAGTAGTTCCTTTTCTTCTCTGGTTTTGGGCTTTCCTGTCGAAGCCGATGTCCCACTCTCCATGGCTGTGGCTGTGGCTGGTGGATCCGGTTGAGTAGGAGCAGTCTTTGCAGCTTTGGCGGCCAGGAGACGAGCAATACGGTCTTTGCGTTCCTCCGATCTATCAGCTGCCTCAGGCTTCGAAGTCTCTGCTGGTTTCTGACCGTGTGCGGCGGCTTGGTCGCCTGCGGATGGGGGTTTAGAAGGCATGGCAGCCTGAGCTTCTGGTTTCGAAGTCGAATCTTGTGCCGGGGCCTGCCGTGATTCAGGTTCCTTGGGCCTGCCAGTCGAGATGTCGAGATGGAGTGCGTCGAACAGCGACTTTATCACCTTCTCATCAAATCCTTCGTCGATGTAGTGTTGGAACTTGACGCCCAATGGCCAAAGCCTAAGAATTGCTTTTTGGGCCTCTTTCTTGGCTTCGTCCAAAGACTTGAAAGCCCACTGGCTCCCGTTTGCTTGATGTGCCGTTTGACTGCGTGGGGATGGCAGGTCTTTGACGGTGTAGCCGTTTGAGTCTAGACCAGCCGCATGCTGTAGCCCAGGTACCTGTTGGCTGTGCTCATTGGCCTTCGGCAAATGTGAATATTGGGCTGGTGGGTGAGCTGTGCATAACAATTAGTGTTACTTCACTTCCCTTGTCGCCGTGTCAAGTGCATACCTTGAGGACTTAGATTTCCGTCATTTGGCGTTCTGTCGCATTGGATCTCTCTTGGGGACAAGTATGGAGAATATGATCCAGACCGTTCGCGACCTTGACATGTTGGTTCCCGGTATTCAAGGTTCGAGATCCTCGGCAACTTACCTGCACCCATGCCATTCTTAGCCGCCCCAGCGACCGGTTCTTCCTCTTCAGTCAAGTAGAATCCAGCTTCAGGTGTGTCAACAACACTAGCACCGCGACTCATGTCCGCATTCGAACCCCCTTGTTGGGGAGGAGCTTGATTTGCACTGCGAGAAGTCGAAACCAGAGCCGGTTCTCTTGGCTCGTAGAGATCCTCGAACTGACCTTCACTCAGCTCGCCCTCTTCCATCTCCTCACTGCCCTGCCTCCCCATTTCGTCTGTATTTGAGATTCGATTTGAAGCTTGGGGTGGGTCATGACGGGTAGGAAACTGCTGTTGGGGTTCTTGAGGGAAGGAATCGGGCATAGGGACGGGCTGCTGGACCGCAAGACCGGGCGCGCCTGCCGAATATGAAGGAGTCTGGGCCTGGCCATGGCCCTGTCCCTGGACCCAGCCACCCAGTCCGGGCGGGTTGTACGCGCTTCCAGAATTAGGGGTTCCCACTATGCCCAGCCCTGGTATCGTGTTCGCATTGTGGTTGAAAGAGTTCTGTGACATTGCGTAGTGCGCGGCTGCTGCGCGAGGATCGGGGGGCGAACCATACACCGGCGGTGTGTAAGCTGCAGGAGATTGATACGGATATGAATAATGGGGAAGGGAGCCATGATACTGGCCATATCCGTGGGGATACTGCGACATGATGAGGGAGGTTGTTCTGTTGGCTGGCGTGGGTTGGAGTTGCCTCAAGTCGAAGGGAGGTCGGGTATCGATATCGATCACGAGCCGAAGCGTTCCACTACCATCATTGGGGTTAGGACGATAGATATAGAACTGAGAGTGCCGGCAATGTTGCCAGAGCCTTCTCCTGGCTGTCTTTGTCTCCCCCAGTTGATTATTAGTAGTTGGAGCTTGTCTTTGAGCTTGGGTGGGTTCCTGTAGTTAAAGAAAGTATTCGCAGGGTGCAGGATTGTAAAATCCCAGTTACGCGTCAAGTCGTCAGATTAAGCCATTATACAGGCATCAGCCAGTATATGAGACTGTCCAACGAGATGAGGAAATGCGGCGTGCGACGGCTGAAGCAATAGATACAGTATCAAATTATCGCCGTCTCTGCTTCAGATCGACATTGGATTGCTGGGTACCTCTGAGGCAAACCGGAGAAATTCAGGAAAACACGCTAGTCTTATTTGAGGTTAGTGTTCACAGGGCACTGACGTGATGCCCCGGCTTTTGTTTACTTTAGCGCCCGTGGTCACAGCAACCGCAACAAAGTCCCAGACATACTCGAAGCGGGAGCCCGAAACACCTTCAAGGGGACTAACTCCCAAACCAACGAACCGAGTTTGGCTCTATTTCATTTAGAAGTGCATTCTGCCCATCTGGTGTCTTACTTTCCTTGGGTTTCCCGGTTTTGACTGTGAGTGCCATCATTGATTGCACTTGTTGTCAGCGGGCGAGACCGCGTCTTACACCTTCGCATTCGTTGGTTCAATGTTTACACGACTGGCCTGCGACGACCACACAGCCAGGAGATAACACATCCTCCCCCGACCCTCCTATGATCTTTCTCCACCCCAACCTCTCCATCGAGTACGCACATGATGTCGTCTGTCCGCAATAACCCCTTCTCGAGAAATGCCTCGGCCTCGCCGGCTCCGAGCAGCGCGGGCAGGCCCAAGTCAGCCATATTTGGATCAACATCATCCCCTCTATTAACAGCTTCCACGCCATCACCACATACTAGGAACCAGTCCCATGCTTCATCAGCGACCGCACTCGCTCAACCAAGTTCGGCAGCATCGCGGCATGTCAGGGGCTACTCGAGAGAGAGCACCCCCACTTCGAATACCTTTGCGCCGTCCTTCATAAAAACGGAAGAAATGCGGAAACCTACAGATATTGTCAGAGGTATCGAGGGCGAGAACGATTTCTCCGGCAAGAGATACGTGTGGCTTAAGGATCCACAGGTGGCATTTGTGAAGGGTTGGGTCGTTGAAGAGCTGGGAGGAAACAGGATACTGGTTCAATGTGACGATGGAACTGTGAGAAAAAACACCCCCCATAAGACATCCAGAGACGCTGGAAATCAACTAACAATATGAATAGCAACGTGAGGTCGACGCCGAGAGCGTTGACAAGGTCAATCCAGCCAAGTTCGACAAGGCGCACGATATGGCGGAACTCACGCACCTCAACGAAGCGTCCGTGGTTCACAATCTGCAGATGAGATACCAGTCAGACCTCATCTACACCTATTCGGGCCTGTTCTTGGTGACAGTAAATCCTTACTGCCCTCTGCCCATCTACACCAACGAGTATGTCAACATGTACAAGAGCCGAAGCCGAGAGGACACAAAACCCCACATCTATGCCATGGCCGACGAGGCATTTCGAAATCTCGTCGACGAGGGCCGGAACCAGAGTATCCTCGTCACTGGCGAGTCTGGCGCAGGGAAGACGGAGAACACCAAAAAGGTCATTCAGTATCTCGCGGCAGTTGCACGCTCCGAGTCGTCAGCGGCGAAGAATAGGGGCCAGCAACAGCCCAACCTGTCGGCCCAGATCCTCCGAGCAAACCCAATTCTCGAGGCTTTTGGAAATGCCCAAACAGTGCGGAATAACAATTCCTCGCGGTTCGGCAAATTCATCCGCATAGAATTCACGCGCAACGGCTCCATCGCCGGGGCTTTCATCGACTGGTATCTTCTCGAGAAGTCGCGGGTTGTGCGGATTAACTCGCACGAGCGGAACTATCATATCTTCTACCAGCTCCTAAAGGGAGCGGATAGGAAGCTGAAGCAAGAGTTCCTCCTAGAGGGCCTCGACGTGGAGGACTTTGCCTATACACGCGACGGACACGATACCATTACCGGAGTCTCGGACCACGAGGAATGGGAATCGCTGACGGAAGCGTTTGGCGTCATGGGCTTCTCGGACAAAGAGCAAGCCTCGATCCTCCGCACCATTGCCGCGGTGCTACACCTGGGCAACATCACAGTAGTGAAGGAGAGCCGATCGGCGGACCAGGCGCGACTCGCGCCGGATGCCAAGGAGGTGGCCGCCAAAGTCTGTAAGCTGCTCGGAGTACCGCTGGAGCCCTTCCTGCGAGGCCTGCTCCACCCCAAGGTGAAGGCAGGGCGGGAATGGGTGGAAAAGGTGCAAACCCCCGAACAAGTCCGCCTGGGCATCAACGCTCTGGCAAAGGGCATCTACGAGAGGGGGTTCGGCGACCTTGTGTCCCGAATCAACCGGCAACTTGATCGCAACGGCATGGGCATGGATGATTCTCACTTCATTGGTGTCCTTGATATCGCTGGTTTCGAGATATTCGAGCAAAACAGCTTTGAGCAGCTGTGCATCAACTACACCAACGAGAAGCTGCAGCAGTTCTTCAACCATCACATGTTCGTCCTGGAGCAAGAAGAATACGCGAGGGAACAGATCGAGTGGAAGTTCATCGACTTTGGGCGGGACCTTCAGCCGACTATCGACTTGATCGAGCTGCCCAACCCCATCGGCATCTTCTCGTGCCTCGACGAAGACTGCGTCATGCCAAAGGCGACCGACAAGAGCTTTACCGAGAAGCTAAACTCGCTATGGGACAAGAAATCTCCAAAGTACCGACCATCTCGCCGCGGCAATGGATTCGTTCTCACGCACTACGCCGCTGCAGTCGAGTATTCCACCGAAGGCTGGCTTGAGAAGAACAAGGACCCCCTGAACGACAACATCACGCGCCTGCTCGCCGCCTCGACGGACAAGCATATGGCGACGCTGTTTGCTGACTGCGCTGAGCAGGACGACGAGGTGTCTGCTGTCCGCAGCAGGGTGAAGAAGGGTCTCTTCCGCACCGTTGCCCAGAGACACAAGGAGCAACTGTCGAGTCTCATGGCCCAGCTCCACTCAACCCACCCTCACTTCGTGCGTTGTATTATTCCCAACCATAAGAAGAGGCCGAAGCAATTCAATAATCTCCTGGTTCTGGATCAGCTGCGCTGCAACGGCGTTCTCGAAGGCATCCGCATCGCCCGGACCGGTTTCCCCAACCGCCTTCCGTTTGCCGAGTTCCGCCAACGGTACGAGGTTCTCTGCCAACACATGCCCAAGGGATACCTAGAGGGGCAGGCTGCGGCGATACTCATGCTCGAGAAGCTCGGCCTTGACAAGGCCCTCTACCGAGTCGGGCTGACCAAGGTCTTCTTCCGCGCCGGAGTCCTAGCCGAGCTGGAGGAGCAGCGCGACGCGCTGATTACCGAGATAATGTCCCGGTTCCAGTCCATGGCCAGGGGCTTCACCCAGCGCAGGATAGCCTTCAAACGACTCTACCGGGCGGAGGCCACGCGGGTGATCCAGCGCAACTTCCATGTGTACTTGGACCTCTGCGAGAATCCGTGGTGGCAACTCGTCATCAAGATGAAGCCTCTCCTGGGTGCCACGCGGACGGCGACCGAAGTCAAGCGGAGAGATGAGATGATCCGGCAGTTGCATGACAAGATGCGGCAAGAAGCCACGGACCGCCAAAGGCTTGAGGACGAGCGGCGGAACTGCCACACCGAAATGATGAGGATTCAGCAGACTCTGGAAAGCGAGCGCGCTCTGGCCCTGGACAAGGAAGAGATCTTCAAGCGTCTCCAGATGCGGGAAGCCGAGCTCGAGGACAAACTGGCCGGAGCTATCGACGACCAGGAGAGGTTGGAAGACCAGTTTGACGGTGTCCTTGAAGCCAAGAGGCGCGCCGAAGAAGACGTCGAGAAGTATCGGGCCCAGCTGGAGCAGGCCGTTGCCTTGATCTCTAGGCTCGAGGAGGAGAAATCCGAGCTTGCAGGCCGGGTCGCCGACCTCGAGAGGGCCATCGACGACATCTCCCAGACCCAGCAGGAGCGGACCGAGCAGGAAACGGCCCTGGAAAGCGAGGTCAAGATGCTCCAAAGCCAACTGTCGCTCAAGGATCGCAAAGTTCGCGACCTAGAGGGCAAGCTGCTGAAGGTCGACCAAGATCTCGAGGTCAAGCTGATGACGACCCAGAAGGAGCTCCAGGCATCCAAGGCAAAGAACCAACAGTTGGGCATGGAGAACCGCGAGGTCCAGCAGCAACTCTCCAAGCTGTCTCAGACTTCGACCGACTACGAGGACCTGGTACGGCAGAAGGAGTCGGAGTTGGCCCTTCTGCGCAACGACAATAAGAAGTACGAGATGGAGCGGCGGAATGTCGAGGATCAAAAGAAGGCTCTCAGCGCCGACAAGGAAAAGGCGGCAGAAAGGCTGCGCGACGTTCAGGCTGAGCTTGTCGCCATGAGATCCCGGCAGTCACAGCTCCTGCGAGAGGCGGAAGACGCCCAGACTCTGCTCCAAGCCAGGCTCTCCGAGGACGCCCAGGCAGACCAGACCCGGCAGCTGCTGGAATCGCAAATCAAAGACCTAAAGGATGACCTTTACAAGACTCAGATGGATCTTAGTAGAGAGCGGCAGTCGCGTGACGATGTCCTTCTGCTCGGAGAGCACAAATATGAGACCTTGCAGGAAGAATATGATCGCCTGAACGAGGCCAAGATTATCATTGAAAAGGAGCTCTACGCGCAGCAGGACACCCTCCGACGGACCATGGAAGCCCGCACCGTTGCCGAGAAGGAGCGCGATGAGGCCCGTCAAGAAATCCGAGGCCTACGGGTAGCAAAATCTGAGGCAGAGGAAGCGCGGCGAGAGGCCGAGATCGCCGGTGAGCGGGCAGCGTCCAAAGTTGCCCTGGACCGGGAAAACAGCCTCAGGAAGGATCTCGACGCGGCGCAGGAGCGGCTGAAATGGTTCGAGGCCGAGTGCACCAAGCTCAACCACCAGGTGGAGGACCTCAACAAGCTTATCGTCTCTTCCGGCGACTTTGGACTCAAAAACGACCAGGCAAAGGAGCGCCTGGAGCGAGAACTCCATACCGTGAAGAGTCGGCTCACGGCGTCGGAGAATGACAACCGCGCCCTTCTCAACAAGCTGCAGCAGAAGGGGCTGGAGATCGCAAGGTCAACCTCGCGGGCAAGCGAGGCGTCCCGTGGTCAGCTCCAGGTCCTTCAAAGAGACAGGGTGAGGCTTGACGAACAGAACAACAAACTCAATAAGCAGCTGGGTGAGGCCCAGTTGACGATTGCCGCCCTCGAAAAGAAGGCGGAGAAGCTGCAGCTGAGCCTCGAAGACCTCAACCACGAGGTTGCCCGCGAGGCCAAGACCAGCCGCAACGCGGAGAAGGCTTCGTCAAACTCACACGCCCAGCTTGCTGAGGCCAACAGGACGATTGAATCGGAACGGCAACTGCGTACTCAGGCCCAGGGCACTGTCCGGACTCTGCAGGCAACGTTGGATTCCCGCGACCAGGAGCTGATGGAGTTGCGGACACAACTGCTGAGGGCGCTGAAGACGGTCGATCCCGAATGCGTCCCCCCTATCCAGGTAGATGGCGGCAACGATAAGATCGATAGCAAGACCTTCGACTTGGTCCGGAAGATCGAAGAGGTGCAACAGAATCTCCGTGTCCAGACAGCGGGGAGGGCCAATGCCGAGGCGCAGCTTGCGGAGCTGAGAGCGTCTAGGAATGACTCCCCAAGTCGCCCGAAACTCGAAGAGATCAGCCTCAACGAAGCCCCCTTCAACGGGTCGCCAACCCGTAAGCGGACGACCAAGCTGAACGGCCGCAACTACTCGAACGCGTCGACTCCCACTCGCCGGTTCGGCAACAACGAACACGACCAGCCCCAGGACTCTATCCGGTCGGACCGGACTGCAGACATCCTCAGCTTCAATAACCGCATGGATCTCAAGACGGAGCTCGAGGAGCTCCAGAACCAGCTGCAACTTGCCGAGATGCAGAACCGCCATCTCCAGAGCCAACTCGAGCGCTCGACGCCCGGACCGGACACGTATCCGGACGATAGCCCATCGCTTCGCCGGGTCCAGAAGCTGGAAAAGGCTAACAGCCGGCTGCATGACATGCTCGACGACTCCGCTAAGAAAGTGTCCGCCTTGGACAGGGCGCTTCGGACGGGCGAGCTGTCGCTACGTGACATTCAAACCAAGTCGCACGAGGAGATACTCGATCTCCTCAACAGCCAAGAAGATTCCCGCCGGTCGCTCCTCCACAGCCACAAGGATGCCGTTTCGGAATTGACCGAAATCAAGGAGCACTACGATAAGCTGAGGCACGATCGGGCAAATCTGGAGGTGGACCTCCGTGATGCCAGGTCTGATCTCCAGGAGATGACGGTCTCGCGAGAGCAGGAAGCCGCAAGCCGCAGCCAACTACTGCAGGAGTTCACCGACCTCCAGATCCGCCTAGACGCGGAGACGTCCAAGTTGGTCGACGTCACGGCAAGCCTCAGCCTCTACAAGAGCAGGGCGGACGAATACTTCAACAAGCTGGAACAGGCCGAGATTGCCGTGCTCAAGGCCAACCGTGCCGAGCAGTTTGCCAAGACCCAGGCCAGGGAGGCCGAAGACACATGCGCGGAGATCATGTCGGAGCGCAAGCGCCTCGACTCGACGATCGAGGATCTCCAGCGCCAGAACCAGAGGCTGGAGGAGAAGGTCGAGGACATGTCGACGGACCTCGAGGCGGCCACGCAGGCCAAGAAGAGGCTGCACCACGAGCTGGAGGATTACCGGAATCAACGGGCCATGGACATTGAAGACAAGGAGTCCAGCATGGAGCAGACGCGCAAGAAGTACCAGGCCGAGTTCGCGACGCTCGCCAAGGAGCTGGATCTCGCGCGCGAGGAGAAGCTGTTCAAGCAGGCCGAGATCACGCGGCTGCGCGACGAGCTCGACGAGCTGCGGTCCAAGTGGGACGACGAGGTGCTCAACAGCTCGACGTGGTCCAAGGAGAAGTCGCGGCTCGAGGCGACGCTCTCGGACGTGGTGTCGTCGCGGGACGAGGCGGTGAACGCGCACAACGAGGCGCAGGGCAAGATCGTCAACCTCCTGTCGCAGGTGCGCGGGCTCCGGGCGGCGGTGGACGAGGCCAGCTCGGAGCGCGACTCGCTCGTGCGCGAGAAGCGCAGCGTCGAGGCGCGCCTGGAGGAGGCCAAGGCCGGGCTCGAGGAGCTGGCGGCGCGCGGGGCCAGCCCGTCGCTGCGCAGCGCGGCCAGCACGGACCGGGAGCTGCTGGAGCTCAAGAGCGGGCTGGCGCAGCACCAGGACATCGCGGCGGCGGCGGTCGAGAAGATGAGGCGCGCCGAGGCGCTGGCCGGCGAGATGCAGAGGGACATGACGGCGGAGAGGGAGGCGAGCGCGGAGCTGCAGAGGCAGAAGGCGGCGCTGGAGAAGGCGCTCAATGAGGCGCAGCTGAGGCTCATTGACCTTGAGACGAAGGGGTACTCGAGTGCCAGCCAGGATATCAAGTTCCTGCACAAGCGGATTCAAGAGGTATGTATCGCGCCAAACCCGAAACAGGGCCGGCGTCCAGCAGCTAACATGGAACCCAAAACAAACAGCTCGAATCCCAGCTCGAGACCCAAGAGACGGAGCGCAGCAAGTCGCAGCGGTCGGTGCGCAACGTGGACCGGGTGGTCAAGGACCTCCAGGGCCAGATCGAGCGGCGCGACAAGCAGAACGCGCAGCTGCAGGACGACGTGGGGCGGATGCGCGACAAGGTGGACAAGCTCCTCGGGGCGATCGAGGAGCTGCAGGCATCCGAGTCGTCGAACCAGCTCTCGGCGCGGCGGGCGGAGAGGGAGCTCAGGGAGGAGAGGGAGAAGGCGCTCAAGCTGGAGAGGGAGCTCGAGGGGTGGAAGTCGCTGCGGATGGAGAAGAAGGGGCTCGCGGCCGGAGGCGGGGGAAGCGTCGCCGGGAGCGTGGCCGGGAGCGTCGTTGGCGCCGGTAGTGTGCGGCGCCCGTGGAGGCTGACGGGCGAGGACGGGGCTGTGGAGGTGCCGAGGCGGAAGAGCAGTATTGGGAGGGCGCCGAGCCTGACGAAGGGGTTCTTGTGAGGGAGCGGAGGGGAGCGGCAGCTGTGGAAAAGGGGAAGTGCGGGCGTGTGTGTGGACGTGGATGTCTGTCTATCCAGATGTCAAGTTAATATGCGGCAGTTGCATGGGCTTGGTCGGTCAGGGGCAAGGGGTTTTCTCTCTGTCTCTGTCTTTTTGTTTTTGCTCTCTTTTGGATCGGCATCGATAGGGGCGTATTGTTCGTTACACGATTTCTAGCTCTGTTTGGTAGTCACGATATCGGAGACGGCTATGGCATGTTAGTGACGAAGGGAATGATCAGATCATTGAGTCAGAGAAAGAGGCGCAAGATAGGCCTCACCAGTGACCGGCGTGGGCATACCTCTGAATAACCTCCACTCAGGTCAGGCTAAGTATGAGGCACCACGATCGTAACCGAGGCCCGGATAAGTGAATGTGCTCCATATAGCTGCAACCATCTAGGTCAATGCTGGCTCGAGGGTGGGACAACCTTGACCGACAGCAGTGCACGTGGCGTAGACGGCTACCGGCGTGAACCTGCCATCTGCGGCTGGCCGATGTCAGGTTGGCAAAGGTCGTGGCCTCTATCGCGCCGTAGTCCCTCCTGGAAGGCCTCACCGAGCCGTCGACGTCAGGATGGCGAGTCAGGGAACACAGGTGTCAGTCTCCTGACTTGTCTGCCCCGTCACGGCGAGGCCGTCATGCCAAGTCCTGCGGGCAGGTCGGTTGCCACGTCGGTGCATGTATCGAAATTACTATCGGGCAGATAAGTGTGCGCCGTGACCGCGCGGGCTGCCGTGTAGGCGAGCCGGGCGTCGTTGTTGGGTACTGCTGGACGGGGCCTCAGCCAGGCCGTCATCGGGGGAAGATGGATGTATGTTCGCCACGAGAGCCTTGCCGTGTCGGTTGCTCGGCCCCGGGTTATATATTGAGGGTGTTCTGCTTCTTATTCCTGTTTGCTGTTCTCATTCTTGTTCCCCAACTTGTCTTGAGTCTTTTGAGGCCGAAACTCGCATATATCATGTCGCATTACACTCAACAGGAAACGAAGAGACACGAGGGGAGATCCCACTCCCGCGGACGCAGCTCCAGGCACTCGTCGGGCTCTTCTAGGTATGTCTTATGCTTAGAGAGATAGATTAGTTGTCGTAACTAACATCCTCTAGGTCGCTTTTCAGCGGGTGCTTCTCGGCTGATGACTCGGACGGCTCGAGCGGCTCGGGGAACCTTAAAGTGTCTCTTGGTATATTCAGCTGGATGTTACTGGGCCTGGGCCTGACTCGACCTCGGCCAAAGGTAAGGCTTTGGGCTTTCTAATCTGACCTCCCTCAATCTATTTTATTGTGCCATGTGCGCGGTCGGTTGACATATCTTTAGGAGTATCGGCGGATGCAGAAGTACGGGGCCGATGCCAAACCTAAGAAGCATCACTCTCACAGACGCGGTGGCAAGGAGAGGCTAGCCCGGAACGAAGCCCCCAGAAATGGCCGGGTGTATGAGTACGAGAGGAGGGAAGGTTCGCGGCAGGCGCATAGAGAACGGAGACAAGTCATAGACAAGTCCATAGCCCCTCATGGGCCACGTCCTGTCCCTCAATACCAGCCGTCCCAGCGGTCTAGGAATGAGCGCCAGGTGTCCCCCGAACAAATCGACGAGGACATGTTGGCCGACTTGCTTCGTCCTGAATGGAAATCGCCGACAACCTCTCCCCTACCGCCCTCATTCACTAGCCGCAGTGGCAGATCTAGTGGTGACCATCGTGGCCATTCTCGTCCCTCGGAGAGGAGATCGCATTCTGAGAATTTGTACCACCTCACCCTAACGTATGTAGAGCTCCCTGATCGATCTCCAAATATAGAGAAGACCTTGTCCCCAAAGCGAACAATGACCACCACTCGCAACGATCAAACTCTCACCAGGTCCCGCTCCAGCGCCGAGTCTCGGGAGCGGCGATCGCCAATAACACCAAGGGACCGGGCTGGGTTAGCACAGCTAGCCGTGCCTCCAACCGAACGGGTCTTCAGGGACTCCCCTCCGCGTACAGACCCCAGACCCACAGGTAGATCACGGTCTCGTGAGCAGCGAACACAAGGCCAGCCCAGCGTCCCGCCGACGAATAGGCCCGTCCACACAACAGCCGAGCCAGCCGGGCCCAGAGCACGACGAGCCCCGCCAGCTGCGGCCACACCAACAAACTCGCACGCAAGTACCCCAGCGTCGCGGGCGACTCCCGGTCAATCTCCCCCCCGCCGAGACCCCAGCCCGGGCCGATCCCCGCCCCGCCGCCGCGACAGGTCTCCTACACGTCGGAGCTATCGGTCTCCGACACCGTTCCCGTCCCGGTCTCACTCAAACAGGCTCAGGACACCGAGTCCCCGACTCCGATCTGGGAGGCATGCCAGCGGGAATGGACACGGCCACGGACACGGCGCCTCGCGCAACCGCAACCGCAACCGCAGCCGCAACCGCGACGACCAGGAGGGGAGCTCCTCTTCCTCCTCCTCCTTTAACTACTTCAGCGAGTCTGTGGGGAGGAGGCGCCGTCGGGACGGGACGGGCGGCGGCGTGCGGTTCCGGTCGCTGTCGCCGGAGTCGCCGCCGCAGGCGTATGATGGGAATGTGGTGGAGGGGGTTGACTATTGGTGCTTGTCTGGGCCGGAGATGGAGACTGAGTTGTTTGGGGGGCCGTTGCCGAGGGGGTAAGGGTGGGAATGTTTGGGGAAAAAGGGGGGGTGGGGGGTGGGGGGTTTGGGGGGTTGGGTGAAGTTGGGTTGGCTTGCTGGTCATGTTTTAGATGCTTTTTGAACGGCGAGGTTTCTTGGATTTGTTTGCGTTGGTTTTGCGGGAGTGCGCCCGGGTTAATTTTGGATGCTCCTTTTTATTGCGTGGATGCTCGACCGATGTGTGGGCAGCTGGGCGAGGTAGGCTACTCCCCTTCCCCTGGAATTATGGTTGCTGACGGTCATTCAGGAATATATGGTCAATCTCTGAGGTGGAAATGAAGCCACTCGATCGGCCATGCGGAATGGAAGAAAAATCCAAGTAAGAAAAGAGAGCTGGAAAGTTTTGGACCTCGATCTCATGATTATGAACAAGATACATGGATTGGCATCTTACCTGTGTGGAGACACTTGATCTCAGGAAAGGGGAACATAATAATTTGAGACACATAGCTAGGTGTTGACATGATGAAACCTATAGACACAAACATAATGATGACAATGAACTCAACGCAGATAAATAACAACCAAACACCATCCACTCCCTGCCGTGAGACTCATCCACCCGAGGACTGCTGCTTACTTTACACATAATACCAAAACTATCAGCTCCGAGACAGAGAACAGCCGACCCTCAGCCAAACCCGGCCGAATGAAAGAAGAAGGACCCGGCATGTCGAGGGGTATCGTACCGCAAAGCAAAGCAAAGCAAACAACTCAGCCCAAGGCCTCCGTCACTCATGACCGCATCGCGCATTAACAAAATTGACCGTGCAATTGCCCTCGATCAGAGACCAAGCGCCTTGATACCAGCATCCAGATCTAGCACATCGTCCGCCCTGAGCGCCCTGCCGCCCCAAACGATCTTCCCCCGACCGTCAACGGCCCAGGCGCCGGCCTGCTGCCACTTATTCCCCATGATCGTAGCGGGGCCATCGAGGTCGGAGCCAACCACGCCGGCGCCGTTGCCCGCGATGAGTACGACGCCGCCGCCGCCCTTGGCACCGCCGCTGTCGTCGTCGTCGTCGAGGGCGCTCTGGCCGCGGCCGCGGGTCCCCGTGCGCTGGATGGCGCCGGCGACGGTGCCGGCCAGCCAGCCCTTCTCGCGCCAGGCCTGGGCCTGGGTCTGGGGGTTGAGCACGGACCAGACGGAGCCGAGGCCGAGCCCCCAGGCGGCGTAGACGGCGCGGTCCTCGTCGACGACGACGTGAACGTTCCAGGCGCCGCCGACGAGGTCGACCCACTTGCGCGTCGCGGCCGCCGACGAGTGCGAGACCGCGATGCAGGTTAGCGTGTTGGCGTGCCGGTTGGCGAGGGTGCGGAGGGCGAGGAAGGTCTTTTGCGCGACTGGTTACGGCAGGAGGGGCTGGTTAATCTCGGTTGTTCTTGAGGGTCTTTTTTTTTTTTGTCTTTTTTTGTCTTTTTTTGGCTCTGCCTTCTCTCTCGGGGAGGGGAAACTCACAGGCACAGCCAACGCATCTGAGAAAGACAACCATCACTGCCTTGCCGCCGCCGAAGGTGAGCTTGCGGTCGCGATCCAGAGGTGCCGGGTCGCCGACCTTGGGGGACTCGGCGACGGGGACTGGTGGCGGCGGCGGCGAGAGCCATGGCTGGACGGTGAGGGGCAGCGACTTGACCGACATCCAAGCTGGCCACTTCGACGACGGGTCGTCCTCTTCGTCGAGCCCGGGCACCGTTCCGGGAGGGGCATTCTTGTTCAGCTTTTTGGGCTTGGGCTTCGGCTCCGGCTCTGCGGGAGCAAAGTTGAAAGCATCGCTGGACAGGCCAATCTTCTTGAGTGCGATCTTGGTTGTGAGGCTCGAGAACATCTTTGTGGAGTTACCGCCGTGTTAATTCGAGAGTAGGGAATGGGTCAATGACGGAGCTTGGGATGCGCTGGGGATGTAATGAGAGCTGAATGCGATTGAGATATACAGAATCTATCTACGGGGAACGCGAGGGAAACGGGCAGTTAAAGAAGGAGGCGGGGGGATGATCACTGATCACAAAGCGCAAACACTCGGAAACAAACGAAACATCGGCGACTCATCGTGCGAGGCTGGCTTGGGAATAGTACTCGGTTTCTTGACACGAAGGGTGTCGCAGCCCAGACCCCTGACACTGACCCCTCGATCCCCCCGCGAGGCTGAAAGGAGGTCAGTCCGAGCTAGGGGCTGCCCCTGAATAACATTGAGCGCCACCTCTTCTCTGATTTGCCAGTTGAATTGCGGGGTGATGAGTCAGAGGAAAATCCGTCCAGCCTGGCCTTGGCGGATGGCCTGGAAGGCACGGCCCCAAGATGGCAGCTCAACGTTTTAGTATGGATCAAGATACAGCATTGCCAAGGAAAGGAAAAACCAGGTCGACAGTAATTACCTTGGTGTATCAGACCGCCACCGGAATTACGCGACAGAAGCTTCTTATAAGAAAAAAAAAAAAGGTGTCATCGCTGTTCTTCGAGTAAGCCCCCTCGGTATGGCATTGGCCTTGCGGATAAGAATAAAAGACGGGGAAATGGTATACATTTGTGAAGGTACGTATTCCAGGCAATTTCCTGGCATGCACTTCCCTTTGGGGACAAAGTCCAGTGTTGCTGTCACACGAGGCCGGAAGCCAGGATAGGAAAGCCGAGTTGAGATAGGCTATTTGGATGAATCTGGGGGCGTAAATGGTGTTTGCGGGAGCAGCAGGGGAAGCTATATAAAGAACCTTCTATGGATTGGTGGAAGCTGTGGAGTATGCAATATGCGGACCTCTAGCGCAAGGATCGTGGCCATGGATTGTAGTAATGTCGGGAGCTTGCGCATGTACGCCGGGCCAGAGGCGGAATACCACTACTTGTCAGTCGGGCTCAATCTTGCCAGGAGGGGGATGTGAGCAAGATTTCCATGCGGGTTGGGGCCCTTCTTGGAACATTGAACAAGTGTCCGCTGGAGTGGCTACACAGGGCGCTTGGTGGGTTACATTGCAGCGATCCTCTTCTGTTTTGCAGCTCCACGATCGGATGAGCAGCATCAGATTCCCCCATTTCTGCTCGTCGAGTATGGCAGGGGTGAGCTGTGCCAAGGCATGTCGTTCCTCCGTTGAGGAACGGGCATAGGGTATAGGGTACCACAGATGATAGCCATGCTCAGAGAAATAGGCAGTTTGTCTTGACTGTCTCCCTGTCTCTCTGTCTCTAGCTCGTAATCACTGGAGCAAACCAGCTGGTGCGAAGGCCGGATATGATGGAGGCGGCGACACGACCTCTCGTACTTGAGAGCACCCGGTGATTGGCGTTTACTTGGTTTGGGCTCCGGGCATGTTTCACATGCAGCCAGCACAGGTTGCTCGCTCAGCCTTACCTCCCACCGGTGTGGAAGACGGAAGTGGGTAATGATACTGGCGAGCAAGCAATCCAGCTCAGGGGGGAATTGTTGGATTGATATTATTTCTTTTCTTTGAGAATATTACTAATACCCCTCCCAAGAAATAAAAGAGACCCCAAGACCGACCGATATGATAAAGATCTGATTGATTCTCCTCGTCGCTTTCAGTCTTCACTCTTCCCAGCTTCCTGCTTTGCCTTAGCTGTACTACCTGCCTCAACAGAGATGCAGGTCAAGCCCGTCAGAAACCCCGAGAACCTGAACAGTTTTGAGGGGCGACGGGCCTTAAATTGGAGGAGCAAGTGGAGTGAGAGAGCCAATTGATACTGTACAGGCGGCCGGCTAGAGCCTAGACCAAAGGCAGGTAGCTCAGGCAGGTAGGTAGGTACCTAGCTGCCAATAGTATCCATAGGCAGTTCTAGCAGTAAGCACACAATATTCCCATGGCAGGTTTGGCTCGCAGCCTCCCCAAATTTGGTGGATTAAGTAGGAAATCATGGAGATGCCTATGGATTGGCAACGTGAAGAGATACAGATCGTTCCAAGGAGGAATAAACGAAAGACAAAGCAACCTGAGAATCAGTGATTCTTAGCCTCCGTGCCTAGGTTGGTTTAGCACCCCACCTCTTGTCCAAATAAAAGATCGACACCTACAGTCTAGACCTATTTAGGCAAGGCCAGTCTTCTTCCGGATTAATAAACACAAAGGACCTGCGACAGAGTGCAGAGTAGATACAGTACAAATACAGGTATTTGCTCAATGAGATACCGCGATTCAAGACTTGGAATTCCTGTGTATTGCTTACAGTAGAGGTGCTAGTGCTAGTACGCGGGATTTTCCTCCCCCCACTTTGGTGCAGTTAGCGGCCCTTTCAATATGCGTATACCCTGAGTGAGCACAGTGCATCTTGGAGAGAGGCGTCAAATAATGCAGGTGTTGATATACCAGCTGCCAGTGGTTCTTACCCTTTTCAGACCACATTAAAGTGCTAGGCTGAATATTGGCTGTCTGTTGACTTAACCTCCACTCAACTCCACTTCACTGCTTCCCCATTTCGCAGTCGCCGACTTGCCGTCAACCTCACCACACTTCCAAGCCAAGTCCAAGACCAAACATTCATCCCCCTTTTGCCCATACACGCTGCTGGTCAAGGAGTCACTGTGTCCTTCTGCTGTGTCTAGAGCACTTATTTCGCGTCACTGCCACCTTCGTTGTATACTTGTCACGTCTGTTGCTCATCTTTCATTTTTTTTTTTTTTTGCCCCGATAACCTTGCAAAGACCGCTGGCTCCTTAACTCCGCCTGTACTTTCCCCCATGCTCGCGACTTCTCAGAAACCTGTCAGTCGGTTGTTCAGACCTGTTACCTCGGAATCTCAGCAATAATCGACACGGCCGCGACCAGGTTCGAATCACCTGTGCCCTGTGCTTCGTTCAATCGACAGTCTTCAAGGCATTCTGGTTGCTTATTTACCGCCGCCGACAGGGACCTTGGCTAGGAGAGACATAAGGGGCATTAGGACATAAAGAAGCCAAAACCTCCTCCGGCACAGTACCTACCACACGACCACACGACATCTCGACCTCCCTCGCTGCAAAGTCGCCGTCCCTCCATTTTCACCGCTCCAGTGCCACTGCCACTACCTTAATGGACAGCCCGCCGACGACGGCTGAATCTCCACATCGCTATCAATCGAGCCCCTGGTCGGGAGCCCCTTCCAATTCAGGAACTTCTCGAGCAGATCTTGCCTCTCAGCCAGAGGCTTCACCACAAGTCTCGGGCCACTTAGATCTTCTACCCATATTGTTCCCTCAGCAATCGTCATTGTACCAGGCCCAGCTCCTCCATTACAATAAGCTGATCTGGCCCGGCCGAGGAGGTGGTGGACCGCAAACCCAACCACTCCCTCCTGCCCTTTCCTCTCCCCGATCCCAAACCGTGGCTCGCTCAAGATCGTCATCCAAGGTGTCGAATAACCACAATTCGCACTCGAAACCTGGCACGCAAAACTGCCATGGGAATAGATCAGCAGGGAACCCTGACACCGCCGATCGCGCGCTTATAACCCCGGGGAAAGAGATGGCTTCCAAGATGTCTGGGAAGAAACGCGGCGACGCCGCCAGTGCCGCTAACCCCTCAAATCCGCAGAACTCGCAACATCCGCTCCCAACCCGGCCGGCTGCTCAAACGGTCCCCGGTGTCGTAAGCACCTCTGCTCAGTCGAGTTCTGTCCCCTCTACACCTCACCAGTATGCACGAAAGTTCTCCTTCGAATCGCGCGAACCATCGCCTGGCGCCATCCAGAACCATTCCCCGAGGTCTGCTTACTCGGAAACAAATAGCACTCTGCCTTCGCTTCGACCCCTGCCGCCCCGTTTTGGAGGTTGTCGGTTTGAGACTGCGCCGGCGTACTCTCGAAGGCGGATGAACTACAGTCTGGGTAGCGATAAGCTGGAAAGAGTAGACCTGGGGACGGTCAAGGCCAAGCTTTCGGAAGACGAGGAACGGAAACTTACCACCGACATGCGCGAGTTATACGACCGGCTCCTACCCACGAGGGACATTGAGAAGAACAGGCAGAAGCTGGTGCTGAAACTGGAGAAGCTCTTCAACAGCGAATGGCCGGGCCATGACATTCGGGTGCATTTGTTTGGGTCCTCTGGGAACATGCTCTGCTCGGATGACTCGGACGGTTCGTGACAAAGGGCGCCAACTTGATAGCTCTAAGGTGCTGACTGTTAGCAGTGGACATTTGCATTACGACTGAGTGGAAGGAGTTGGAGGGCGTCTGCATGATTGCTGAGCTTCTTGCAAAACGTAATTCCGCCCAATCCATGAATCTGGGTAGAATCAGTCTCACTGACACTAACACCGGACAGATGGTATGGAGAAGGTGGTTTGCGTCTCCTCGGCCAAAGTGCCCATTGTCAAGATATGGGATCCGGAGCTGGGCTTGGCTTGCGACATGAACGTCAACAACACCCTGGCTCTTGAGAATACCCGCATGGTCCGGACATACGTTGAGTTGGACGACCGAGTGCGGCCCCTGGCAATGATCATCAAGTACTGGACCCGCAAGCGGATAGTTAACGATGCCGGCAAGTCGCTCCCTCGATGTAGTTGTGTCCCCGCCTGCCCCCGCCCCACGCTAACCTCCCCCCCAGCTTTTGGAGGGACTCTCAGTTCCTATACCTGGATTTGCATGATCATCGCCTTCCTCCAGCTGCGAGATATTCCAGTTCTCCCTGCGCTCCACCAGCAACGTCACAAGTTGACAAATAAAGACGGCTGCAAGAGTGCCTTTGCAGATGATCTGGACAAGCTACGAGGGTTCGGGCGCAAGAACAAGGATAGTCTGGGCGACCTTTTGTTCCACTTCTTCAGGTTCTATGCCCACGAATTCGACTACGATAAGTTCGCTTTGTCGATCAGGTTGGGGAAGCTGGTAACAAAAACGGAGAAGAAGTGGCATTTGGCACTGAACAACTGCCTATGTGTCGAGGAACCATTCAACATTGTCCGCAACCTCGGCAATACGGCCGACGATACATCCTTCCGAGGACTGCATCTCGAGCTCCGCCGAGCCTTTGACCTGATTGCTGAGGGAAAGCTGGAAGAGTGCTGCGAGCAATACGTATTTCCCAAGGAAGAAGAGAGGATATGGCAGAAACCAGCTGCCGCCCCGAGACCCATACTTGTTAGGAGCTCTTCGCAACAGCACTCGAACAGAGGTGGCCGTGGTGGTTACAGGGGAGGCGGCAGGCAGTTCCACCGAGGTGGCAACAACAACCGGCGAGCGTCATCGAGTGTGGCATATGAAACGAATCCCTCCTTTGTGCAGTCTGGCGTGCAAGCCGCGACCATGACTCCTCAGGAGGCACAGTTTCTCTGGTACCAGGCTCAGCAGCAAGCTCTCCACCAGGACATTTTTGGTACGGCCTTGAATGCGCTGCAGGCTCAGGAGAGCAATCTACGACTGCACCTCTACTCGCAGCAACAGGCACTGCAACAACACCAGGCACTGGCACACGCCCAGAGGATGCAGGGTGGGCCGACTCAATCAACAGACAGGCCACGGACGAACTCATTTGACAACCCGCCACTAAGTGCTCCGCTTCGGGGGGATATCCAGTATATGTATTCGTACGCGGTCCAGCAGAACCCGTACTATATTCACCCTGGGTTTACGACGTATCCCTCATCACCTTCGGCAACAGCCTCCAGCACTGTACCGGAATTCAGGAGGAGCCTGCACAGATCGAATGCCACGACCGACTCCGGGACGTCGACAGGCAGCGGATCGCTTAGGTCGCAATCCCAGCCAGCCTCTCGGTCATCAATGCCAACATCGCAGCCACTCCAAAGTTACCCCACACCGACTCAGCCTCCAGCTGCAGTTCCCACTTTCCCATCTCGACAAATCAATGGCGTACCGATACCGAGCTTCATACCTGATGAGGCAAACGACTCGGAATTTGACGACTCGCCAGCAAAGCCTATCTCCGACTCGCCTCCTGAAGACGAAGGTCCACGCTATGTCGGGTACTACGTGAACGAGACCTCCAGTCCGGGGCAGAAAGCTAATGGCAATGCCATGGGAATTCCGACTTTTGGAGACCTCGGCCAGAGCAGTCAGGGGGGCCGCCGGCGACTGTCAACAGATCAACTGCCCCAGTCGATCCTGGACCGAAGGATGAAGAGGACCTCCAGGTCTCCTTCCCCTCTTGGCCATTTTCGGGCATTCTCTGTCGGCACTCACTCGGCACCACTTGCTTCAACCCCGTTCACACCGTCTGGGAGCAAGCTTTCTGCAACCCGCAGCCCATTGATCGTGAACGGAACCGGCACTGGAGCGAAGCCTGGTGTTGGATCTGGATCTGGATACGGTCGCCAGCCCCTGGCAGGCGACATCACAGGGTCTGAGGACTCCAGCTATGATAACCCGCTGCGTATCAACCAGCCAGCCAGGCTACCTGACTCTTGGACCGGCCAACTAGCTCAACCCCAGGCGCCGTCTGACTCGAGCACAACCCCGAAGGATCGACCTGTCGTAGTTAATGGCTCGACATCAACTTATTCTCCAACAGCTGCACAAATCTTTTCCGAGGCGCAACTCTATGGCCACCACATGGCGATGAGCGGGTTGAATGCCCCGTATTACCTGCCTATGGCTCCAGAAGGCCTGAATGACCTGTCAAAGCTCCCACCAAGCAGTCGGTTACGGACTACTTCCCGCCAGCAGCAGAGCGGTATTGCCCCTCTGGATCTTGCCACTGGCGAATTTTCCAACCACCTTTCTCCAGTCTACGAGAATCGCACTTCGCCCCCAGCACTGATGCGCAAGCCTGAAACTCCCTCGCGAACCGATAAAGTGCCTGCCACTACAAAGTCATCTGTTTTGAAGGACAGTCGCCTAGACCTCCCGTCTCGCCCAGCTCAGAAGAGCCCACCTACCAAACAGCTATCACCAATGAATGGGCCTATTTCGAAACAGGAAATCATGGGGAATGCTTCAATGTCCAACCCGCGTGTCAACGGGATCTCGAGAGATCACGGTCACATGCGTAACTCCAAGAGTGAGAGTGAGAATCCTGCTGGCTGGCAGAAGCCGAAGAACAGGAAGAGGGGAATTGCCGATTTGAAGAGTGCAGCAAATGGTTTCCTGCACAGCGAGCAGCTACCTAAGAATGATGCTGATCGGAAGGGCGGTTGAATGGTACCAGCTACCCTTGGTTCCAAACCTGCCATTGTGCTTTTCAGGGGCTTCATTCGGCCTTTCGGGGACAGCACAATCATGGACAGTTTCTTGGATACCCTGGGCCTTTTGGCAGTCAGGGTCTAGCCTGGCCTGGGAAAGTCGATGCTGTGCTTCATTGGACACACGTCCTTGTGTTCAGGATCCTTGCCCTTCCCCGAACAGAGCACGAGGTGGTGGTTGTTGGCAGACGAACAGCCTGGCCAATCAATGCCCTCGAAAAAAAACCACAGTCCCAAAGCATTTTCCTCTGGGACTCCCCGCCAGGGGCGAGTAATGTTCTGCACTGATGATACGATCTCGACGGTGGATGAATGGAGCAAACCAGTCCCTCGTCGCTGGTGACGACACGGGGGTTGATTTTCCGGTTGGCTGGGCCTCGGTCTCGCGACTCCTGTTCACTGTCGGTTCTTGGGTTCGACGCAAAGTGATGGTACGTTTTTCTTTCAGCAGGTTTTGCACATTATGAGTTATAGACCGAGTTCATCATCTCCAAGGAGTCGGAGACAAAGACGGAGAGGACATACCCCAAAAAAGGACAGAGAGAGGGCAGAATGGTAGATCTGCGTCTGACGGATTCTGCGAGAGAGTTTTCCAGCCTCTTATTTGAGGCTTTGTGGAGCCTGCTTTTGGGTTGCTGTGGATGAGTTCACACGGCTTGGGTTTAGCTGGCCAGCAATCGCACGAGGGGGTGATTCATCCTCAGGGCAGCTACTCTCGGCCCTCCTTTTATTTATTTATTTATTTTTCCTTTTGTTTCCCCCCCTGTCATGATATGTCAGCTTAGTCGCGTTTGGGGTTTCTCGTGTTCTGGTATACTGTGGCCTAGGACTGCATGCATCTGCGCATTTACAAAGGGAGCGTCACTCTAAAGGAACAGGCGATTGCTTAAGGGTGCAAAAGGATCTTGTTTTCCCTCAGCTATTCTTTTTTTTAAAACTTTTTTTCATTGCAAAGAATCACTCAGAGATATCAATCATGGAATCCAGAAAGGGAAAGGAAAGGATGGGGGTGGGGGCTTGTCTGTTTGTTCTTTATTAGGTCATATCCTCCAAGAGTTCGAACCAGGTTCTTTTCTTTCCACCACTTGGAGTATCGCGCGGGATGAGTGTCATGGACAGGACAGTGACAATGGTGGTGACGACGGTGACGGTGGCGATGACTCAACTTTTGTGGTGCTTTGCCATATGTGGCTCATTCAACAGCACGCCTGGCATAACACTGGTTCAATGGTCCTCTCGATTTCAATCCACGAAGCACACAAGGTGCAGAGGTTGCGTGAGATATGGCTCCGTAATCTCCACATTTTGTTCGCATCTCGGAGGGCAGCATTACCTGAGGTCATGGCGATGTTGCCTGACAGGATACATTAGGAGATGGGCAGGCACTGAGGCTGGGAAAGACAAAGCTCTGGGGCGGAGGATGAGAGAGTGGTTTCTGGTCAGATACTATAATATAGACAACAGGGAATCAACACAGTGGAGGGAGAGAAGAGGTTGGGCTGTAAGGAGATACATCATACAGGGGCGAGAATTCAATGAAATAAAATCAAAATGCGTGTCGGCCTGGTCAACCACGTGCTGTGACCGAGTTTAAACCAGGCAAATAAATCCCACAAAAATTGAAGCAGTTCCAAAAGTGCCAGCACGAGCCACTCGGCACCTCGCAAAGTGTATGTATCCCTTCCCGTCAGGATGGGACTAGAGAGACGGGACTAGAACCCGCAGAAAAAGGGGAAGTTGTAGCTCGGCGGGACTTTCGTGTACCGCCGATCTTAACCTGTCATCAGGCCTCCCGTCTTAGCTCCGTATGATGGCACGGACCACGCTGCAGGTGCCTTGCGGTGAGCACCTATTCAAGGGTTGAGCGGGGGATGGCAGGGCATGGGTCTGGGGTTGACCTCGTGTTCTGGGGGGCAGGTAAGGCGCAATGCAAGGCAGCCATTGCTGTGAGCTGTGATGGCGCATCTGTAGACCCCTGCCCGTATGCATGCATGCTCGCACCTCAGCTGGTGTTATGCCCTCCCGGTTCCTATCTATCTACCTTTTTTTGCAATCCCATCTACCAACTCATTCTTCATGTAGGTCTCGGGGATCATCATCACAACTAGCCGTCCCCCAATGCCGTCACCCAGGACGTCTCAAAAAGGCGAAAACCACGCCGACGTGCCAGAGCCAACCCACCACTCCCGGGATCAGACCGGGGACCAACCCACTGGCCCCACCAGGACGACGTCGCCGACAACTATAATTACCAGCACCGCCGCCGCAGCCGCCGACATGGCGACGGACCTGCCCGACCCCGCCGACATGACCCGCCACCACCACCACCACCACCAGCAAGTGCGCGAGCTGCGGGACCTGACGCGCCTGGTGCGCACCGCGCTGGACGCCGCCGGTGAGGAGGACCACGACGATGACGACGGCGTGGACGCCGCGTTCGCGCGTCTTCGGGGGCGGTGCGGGGTCCTCTGCGGCGAGCTGCTGGGGCGGCGGGGGGGGCGTGGGATTCGTGGGCATGGGCGGACTGCGTCGGCGGTGTCGGGAGCGGAGGTTGGTGGTGTGGCCGCCGCTGTCGTGATCGACCGGGCTAGGCGGAGGAGCGTCGCCGTTCCCGCGGGTGGCGGGGTTGAGGGATCCGAGGGTGTCTGTGACGGGGTCGCGGGGGTGGCGGATGTCGACGGCGCTTCGCTCGAGGCGGTGGGGGAGTGGAGGGCGTGTCTGGAGGAGCTGGCTGTCGCTCATAAGAGTTCCCTTGCCAAGACTTACAGGCGGTTCGAGCACTTTGCCGCGCCCGAGATACTGGATGCCCTGTTTGCGGAGAGGAGGTCTAGGGCGCAGATCGTGGGCGGGTGGATGAAGAACTTTGGGGCTTACAAGAGGATGGATGCTGAGGTGGTAAGTGCAGGCCCCGGGATGTTGGGGGGAAAGGGAGAAAGTCTAGGGTGTCCCATGACTGACTTGGTCTTTCACACAGAGGTCTAAATGGGAATCGCAGTTTCGCCAGTACGAAGAAATTGTCTGCGAGTTGCGCAAGATCACCGAACTCGTACAGCCGTCTGGGTCGGGCATCTCTCCGGACCGGACGATACGGAAGTGCATCATCGCCCCTCGAGGCGACACCATCCTCGAATTCGCAAACGCGTCCATGCCGTGGGAGCCCGTCCTGCGGTTCAAAGTGTCCTCGCACATGCTCGCCGAGACATCTCCCATCTTCGCGCGCATGTTCTCACCGCACGCCGAGGAGTTGGACGAGGACGGGGAGGCGGAAGAGCTCGCTGGCGATCTGCCGCCCCCGCCGACGCCTTTCGACTGCGAAGGCGGCCGGCGCGTTCTACTCTACAGGATGCCGCAGCTGGAGCTCAACGAGCGGTCGTCGCTCTCGATACTGCTCCACGCGGCGCACATGCACAACGACCGCGTCCCGCGCGAGGTGCCGTTCGAGCAGTTCGTGGCCCTCGCCGAGACCAGCCTGCGGTACCGCTGCACGTCGCCGCTCGAGCTCTTCGTCGAGCACCGCTGGCTGCCGCAGTGGGTGCACAAGGCGACCGAGGACATGCCCGAAGGCCTGCTGGTCATCAGCTACGCCTTCGGGCTGCGGAGGCTGTTCACGCGTCTCACCAAGACGGCCATCCTCAACCTCGTCGACGAGCGGGAACTGGCCGGCAAGAAATGGCCGGCGCGCGTCAAGGAGAGGATATGGGCAGTGCGGTGCGCTAAGATGGCACAGGTGTACGATGCCTGTGCCCGGGCGGTCGTGGAGTATCTCCGAACCCCTGAACGGGCCGGCGGGGCTGGAGGAGGGGGAAGAGCCGTAGATGACGACGAGGGCGGCGAAGGGGGCGAAACCGCACCACCGATTTTGCGCACTACCTCCATAGCGCCATCTTTAAACCTCTTCGCAACTACCACCACCTCTACCCCCTGCCCCGGCCCTCGCATCTTCAACACCCCACGCTGCGCCAAAGGCAACCACTGGTGCGACGCCACCAACCTAGGCTGGCTCATGCTCGTCTATAACGAACTGGACCTCCTCCCAGCCATCCTCCACCCGTCCCTCTCCCCATCGCAGACCGACTCCCCCACGACCGCCCGGTCCCTAGCGCAGCTCGTCGACGCCCTCCGCGGTGTCACCGGCCCGCCCAACAACAACGCAAATCTCAACTCCAACAACAACCCGGCCGGGGGCGGCCGTGGCTGCGGCTGCGGCTCCGACCCGGCGCCGGCGCTCCGGGTCGCCGCAAGCGACGTCTACAACGGCGTCTCGGGCCTGACGCTCTTCGAGGTCGACGGCAGGAGGCACGGCTGGGCGCTGTCGCGGCACCGGAGGGACGAGCCGCAGGCCGTGTTCCCGGTGCTGGTGCGGCGGCCCGCGAAGGGGGAACACGAACGCGGAGGCACCGGCTTGGCTGGGGATGGCAGTCGCGCGGCGACTGCTGCTGCTGCTGCTCCTGCTGCTGCTCCTGCTGCTTCTGCCGTGCCCGGTGTTGGGAGGGTGGGGGAGGATGACACGACGATGCCCCCGCCGGCGTCGGCGGTGGAGAGAGTGCTCGCCGACGAGTCGCTGTGGTCGAGGATCCTAGGCGCGCTGGACGGCACCGATTACCTGCACGCCTCGGCGGCGGTCAACGGCGGCCACGTCCGCAACCGCAAGAACCACGAACTGCGCCGTTGCCTGGCGAGGGACGACGACAGCAGCGGCGCCGCCACCGCCGCTGGGGACCGAGATCCCGCCGACGACGGGGGCTCGCCGTCGTCATCGCCGCCGAGGCTGGAGAACAGGCTCCTCAGGCTCATCGTCGGCCGGGACGCGGGCCGCTCGACGATGCGGACCACCCGCGAGCGGCGTGGCGCGGGCGCCAACCGCGCCGGCGATGATGGGGGGCCCGAGGGCGGGTACTCTTCCGGCGAGGAGGGCACCCAGGGGCTTCCGCCGCCACAGCTCGGCTCGCCGGCGGCGCCCCCGTACCGCAAGCTGGCCGGGGATGCTGCCGCGGCGCGGGGCGCGACCTCCCCCATGACCGAGGAAGAGGCCTTCCGGATCCTGTGGCCGCCGGAGCCGGCGCCCCCGGAGCTGCGGGAGCTGTCGGTACCCGATGTGCCGGCAGTCCAACCGGACGGCTTGGCTGGTCTGGATCTGGATGGGTCTAAGTGCCAGGCGAACGAGATTGTACGGATCGAGGATAAGACTCTGCTGGTGGTGGGTAATAAGCAGCTTAGGGGTGACCTGGATCGGAGGATAGGACTGATTTCGTGACCGGTAAGTACGAGGGAGACATGCAACTGGTATCGCCTGGGGCTCTTATTTTACTTTTATTTTCTGGGGATTTGGTTAAGCCTGGCGTACGTGGTTTAAGCATGGAGGTATCTCTCGAGCGATGTAATGTGCGCTTAGGGAACTAGGTATATGTAGAATCAGAAGAATGCGCAGTCTATGGCCATTCAGGGCGGACTCGTCCCGCAATCAAAAACAAGGGGTCATCCTCCGGAAATCCCCACGCCACAACTCCTAACCCGTTTAGCCTGTGGCAGACGAGAAACACTCCGGAGTCAACTCTTCGAGACTCAAACGACCCAGTACACGTCCATCTGGACCCTCTGGACCCTGTTCTGCCACCCCGCAAATCTGGCCCGAGCCCAGAGAGTGACGACGTCGCCCAACTTCAGACTCCGCACAAACTTCCCGTCTACAGAGTTAGTGCCCCGCCCTACACGCTCCAGACTCTCTGCTGCCTCGGTAGACTGAGGGTCAATGTCGTCGAGATAAGACCACTCGACACGATGCTTCATCACCCTGGCTGCTGCCAAGAGGTTGAACTGGACCAGGTGTTCTGGGTCGGAGAGCAGGTCTGCGTGTATATACTGCTCTCCTTGCTCATTGGTCCGCACCTCGGGCCAAATGGAGCGTAGCTCGGATGCGTCGAGAGCAGGCGCGGACGCAGAAACTGGGTGCGCAGATTAGCCGCCTGCTCGCGGCACATTGGTGGGCAGGTTAGGCCACCCAGACAAGAGACTTACCGCCATCGCCGGCTTCGAACCTTTCCAGCCCGGCGTCGAACCAAGTAAAGGAACTTTTATAAGTTCCATGGTCTTGCACATTACCGCCCCATCCTTGGTCACGACTGTGGATGGTGAAGACAATCTTCCTGCAAGGGTGCTCGACCAAGGTCAACGGGCATTTGGCCAGGTCCTGTAGTTTCTCTCTTGGGTGTTCTTTTTGGAGTTGGATCGGCTTGGGCTCCTCCTCAGCCCATGCTTGGGGATCCGCTCCTGCAGGGTGCCTGGCGAAGCCCAGAGGTTGGGAGCGAGCCTGAAGCTGGTATCAGTTCATGAACCGTCGGGCCAAGATTAGATAGACTCACGAGGAAGAGGTTCTTGGATCCCCTGCTAGAGCTCCCAACAGCAGCTTTCATACCCCCTTGAAGTTGTCTGTAATCGCCAATAACGGTCGAATGGGGCCAATATTCGGCCGCGTCGATGACTGCATCGACGAGCTCCGGTGCCAGTCCAAATGCCTTGTTTATCATTGCCCTGACAACCAGCACGTCCAAAACGGTAGGCTCATAAAGGTCGTTGCCATCAAGCGCTTCTAAGTGCTCCATTTTGGCCGATGCTAGACTTGGCCAAATAAGGTTCCAAAACAACCGGTTCATTCGGTGGGTTGGGCTCAAATGCTAGGGATGGTGGTAGTAAAGAGTTGTTGGTTGTAGTTGCCTAGAATCTGCCTTGTAAATGCTTTGAGGAGGGGCTATTGAGGCAGCGACGATAGCATGCTTTGGCAGGCAGACAGGGGTCAGGAGGACAGGCAATCAGAGTGATAATCCCGGTCCGATATGAATGAGATACTTCACCAACTGTGATTTTCTAACAAATGCATTGAGTTATCAAAAAGACCTATGTCAAACACTTCTCATATTTGTGCCTAAGCTTATTCGATTCACAACCTCATCCAAGGTGCGTCGCTGGAGCTTGCGTGGTGCCGCTGCGTCAGCCCCTAGCATTCAGCAATGACATCACCCCACATTCCATAGGTTATATAGCCTGGACCCTCATTCTAGCTAGGCACACACCGGTCGTGGAATAAAGATGCACGTGAAATGATACCATCGCGCGAAAATGGAGCTTCATTAAGTGAGCAGGGGACCTGCTTACAAAAGTTATCATGGCCTCTTAGCATCCCTCAACCCTCGCAGCCAGGGTCAATCGAGGTCTTTCTAAGACCGCATACTTCCCTCAGAGGTCGCGATGCATTCCCATCGATCTGGACTGACTGGGTTTCGAAGCCTCTTTGCAGCCATCCCCGCTCGCGCGGGCAAAATCCCTCGCCCGCTGCAGATCCACCACCCCAAGCCACCAGCTTCAAGTCTACCAATCCAGCGCCAAGCTTTTGGAGGGGTAATACAGAATGGCGGGAGGCAGTTCCATAGCCTGGGGCCGCTACGGAGCGGCGCATCAAACCCGGCAATGGCATTTCCATGCCTCGACGCCCTCGAAACTCGATCGGCGACGCTGGAGGCGAGGTCCGACAGCACTGGGCCGGAGCCCTCGTACACGGCCGGCGCAACGCTGAAATACCACTGCAAGGAGCCGCTGCTGCTCGACTGGGGCGGCACCCTGCGAGAGTTCGACATCGCCTACGAGACGTGGGGCGCGATCAACGCCGACAAGTCCAACGTGATCCTCCTGCACACGGGCCTGTCCGCGTCGTCGCACGCGCACTCGACGGACGAGAACCCGCAGCCGGGCTGGTGGGAGAGGTTCATCGGCCCGGGACTCGCCCTGGACACGGACAAGTACCACGTCATATGCACCAACGTCGTCGGCGGCTGCTACGGGTCGACGGGCCCCAGCAGCGTGGACCCCGCCGACGGCCAGATGTACGCGACCCGGTTCCCGATCCTGACCATCGACGACATGGTCAAGGCACAGTTCCGGCTTCTCGACGGCCTGGGCATCGACAAGCTCTACGCCAGCGTGGGCTCGAGCATGGGCGGCATGCTGTCGCTCGCGTCGGGGGTGCTGTTCCCGGACCGCGTGGGCAGGCTCGTCTCCATCAGCGGCTGCGCCCGGAGCCACCCCTACAGCATCGCCATGCGCCACACGCAGAGGCAGGTCCTCATGATGGACCCCAACTGGAACCGCGGCTTCTACTACGGCCGGGTGCCGCCGCACGCAGGCATGAAGCTCGCGCGCGAGATCGCCACCGTGACGTACCGGTCGGGCCCCGAGTGGGAGCAGCGCTTCTCGCGGAGGAGGGCGGACCCCAGCAAGCCGCCGGCGCTGTGCCCCGACTTCCTCATCGAGACGTACCTCGACCACGCCGGCGAGAAGTTCTGCCTGACCTACGACCCCAACAGCCTGCTCTACGTCAGCAAGGCTATGGACCTCTTCGACCTGGGCCGCGAGAACCGGCTCGCCACGGCGGCGCGGAGGGCCGAGCGGAGGGAGTCCATCAGGGCCGGGATCCAGCCCACGGCCACCGACGCCGCCTGCAGCCTCACGCTGCCGGAGCGCCCGTACGAGGAACAGCCGGGGGTGGTCGAGGGGGCGGCCGAGACGGTCGCGCCGCCGGGCCAGGGGCCACCCGAAGACCTGGTTCAGGGACTGGCCCCGCTGCGAAGTCACCCGGCGCTGGTTATGGGAGTCGCCAGTGATATCCTGTTCCCGGCCTGGCAGCAGCGGGAGGTTGCCGAAGCCCTCAAGATGGCCGGCAACCGGGACGTGGTCCACTACGAGCTGAGCGAGGAGCAGAGCTTGTTTGGCCACGACACGTTCTTGCTCGATGTGAAGAATGTCGGGGGGGCTATAAGGAAGTTTCTTGGGTGAGCTGATATGATTGGCGAGTGCATTGCATAGGGCATGGGCGTTTGGGGATAAGCACGTTTTGATTACTGGTGGTCAGAGTTTCTCGTCTTGGGTTTGGCAGACCTAAGAATGGACTAGCCTGTTGAACATTTGAACATTTCGCTTGGGCGATATTTACCGCATGGTTTCTGTAGCTTGGCAGGGTAGGAACGGGCCGTCGTTGTGCCACAAGTCTTGTCGCTGTCGAACTGGGTCGTCTCATCTCGCCGTTTGCACCGGGCGGTCTTTCTCATGTACATACAGACACAATGGAACCTGTCCTGCATTGCCAAGGTTGCCGAGGACTGGGGATGTGGAGGTCATAATAAGTTTCCGAGGCCGTTGACGCCGGGTTCGACTTCAGACTCTGTCTTGGATGTTTGGTCAAATCTAGGACAGGTCTTACACTTGAAGACACCCAATGAGTCTCATCTCACTGGTAGGGCTGATGGGATGGGGTGTTTTATGCACGTCATCTGCAGACCCCTGCTAGTAACGTCGATCAGAATTTCCAGCAAATTCCAGCAGACGTATTGAAACCACCACCAAATGGGAACCAAACTCTATCGCGGTCCTCTCAGGATGGGACGGGTTTGACTCTCGATGCATTCCCTGCCATCGACCCTTGCACGGCTGAATGAGAGAAGAATATATGACCTCGGCCCTTTAGCTGGGTCTGCTCAAGGACGTTGGGTAAATCGCATCATCGAGCATTTCACTCCACACGATGCAACTCTTGCCTGCGACACAATGTCTGGCCGTGGGTTATTGTATCTCACGTTGCTCCTCCAGCTCCTCGAGAGCTTAGATAGCACCCTGCTCATCTAGATTAGGGTGTACCGAAGCCCGGGAGGAGATACCCCGGAGAATCTGGCCTCCTCGTGGGTTTGCGTATACTTACGCAGCAGCGTCTTCCACTCGGTGTTCTCGTGTCACAAGCCGATCCCTGCGCAGGCGAGTATAAGATGTCGAGGGAGGCATCCTTGCGTTCAAGTACCTCACAGACCTTCTCTAGTGTCCCGCTCGGTGCCTTCGCCATATCCCCAGAGCTCATCGTCTGTACGCGGCCGGCAATGAGCGGTTCCATAGCCGACTGGGAATAGATAGGTCCCCTGCTTAGGCTCTGCATCCGAGGCAAGCAAATATCTCGAAGTTCCGTCAGGTAGAGCTGGCATTGTAGCCCAGAGTTGACTCGGTGGTTCTCCAGAAATGTGTGTCGTGAGTAGCGCTCATTGCTCTCAATCCAGTTCTTTGCAAGTCCACACCACAATAGTAGTCTTCTCATCATTAATGAGGTTCGCGGACATCTTCTTAAGGACCACCTTCAAAACTAGAGTACACACGCCGTAATCGATCACGCTGTAAAAGAGCCACATAGTTCTCGTAGCTGCAGAAGGAGATTTGACAAACACATCGGCTCCCAAATCTGGCTCTGCAGGAGACTGTGTGGGCAGCGCGGCCATTCCCAAGAGGATGTGAAGTCCGCAAAGCACCTCCCGAGCCTTTTTACACAGATCAAAATCCAAGGACCACTTGACGGTCCCCGGCAGCACTAGCAGTGGGCCGAACCTGGTATTGATTTGGGAAATGGCCGAGGCCCGCCTGATCATCTGTACTGGGCTGTCCATGGGCCAGAGGTGAAACGGAAACGATACTGCGACTGGCTGGTGTCTGTGTTCGTAATTGTTGCCGGAACCATCAACGAAGAGAGCATGTGAACTACCCCTGAATACTCATTCATCCACGGCTCCTCGTTCATGTTTGACTTTGTTAAGAACGCATCAGTTTGCCAAAAAACACTCTCCGCTACATACGAAGAACTGCGGCGGCCAACGGCCGAGAAGAGACAACAGACCCTAATGAATACCAAATCTTTTTGAGCAACTGTTAATCTACAAGCCCAGATCTGTTAAAACGGAATCGCACCACAAGCAAGGGACGGCTCGCCCTCTAGATAATATCTCCGAATGGATCAGCCACGTCTCTGGCCAGGACCACGGGCCCCATCCCACCGATATCCTTATATTTCTAGCGCGTAGAGAAAGCTGAGCCGAATTCCGTCACAAACGGCCCAGTCATTAGATCCCGAAGGTATCACCCCCACCCCACATATCCCAAGCCCCAAACAACCATGGAGGGGAGCGTCCTGATTTACGACTTGATGGCCTCCTTCACCTCGTCTTTGATCTCGTCGGGGTTCACGTGCAAGCCTTTCTGCGACTGGTTGTACATGACGATCCGGGTGACCTGGATGACACCCACGACGCCGAGGAAGAAGTTGACGGCAGCGAGGCTAGGGGAAACAAGGTCAGCACCATGGCCTCAGGCAGGGACCCGGGGGGGCAGATGTGGCGATATTGGCAAGCGGCCCGGGGGGACACCCACAGATAGTTCTTAGGCTTGATGATCAAGCACCACCTAGTCCAGATTATACCGGTAGCGGTCAAGGCGCCGTTCTGGGTAAGAGAGAGCTTCTCGGCCGGGCGGGCAAAGTCGGAGACGCCGGCCAGGACGATCGCCCACTTCATGACAGGGGCCCTACAATCATGATTCAAACCAGTCCGTCAGCAAAAAAATTTCCTCTATGCTTGGGGTGTGTGCATGTATGCGCGCGTCAGGGGACCGTCCGTCCTCACCAGAAATGCACCGTCTTCAGGCCGATCGGGCTGTCCCACATCCTCTTGAACCAGCTCGCCTTCGCGGCGGCGGCGTCGTCGGCGGTGGTGCTTTGGAATCGCCTGCCCGCATTCTGGCGGAAGCCGCCCGTCCGACCGAAGGCGTTGCGGGCCTGCGACGCGGTGAACCCGGCGCGGAAGACCGGCCGCGAGGCGCGGAAGAAGTTGCTCGTCGGAGGCATCGCGGGAGGAGGGTGGGTTGTGAGGGTCGGTGGCTTTGTCTGTTGAGGATTAGACAAACAAACGATGGATGGGACCAGAGATGGTCCTAGGAGCGGTGAAAGTGTACCGATATAGGAGAAGGAGGGCTCGATGAGAGGAGAGGGGATAATTCGTCGTTGCGGGCCCTGGGCAGGTTGACTCAATTCCACATCCAGGTCCGATGGAGATTCCACGGTTCTTTTTGGTTGAACTGGACCCGCAATTTTTTAGCAACCCCCCAGACCCCGATAAGTACATGCAGGATAAGTACATGCTACTGTCTAAAACCAATTGTGGTGGTATTTACAACAAGGCAGTAGAACCATGGCAAGTGATGAATATATTGATGATTATAACAGCCAATCTGCCTCGAGGCATTTTTGGTGTGATTTATACTTTCCCAGAAGGTGGTCTATAATGGAGTCGACAAAAAATTCAAGGTTCTCCTCGGCTTCTTCAGCGCTTTCCAAGTCTACGATCATAATCTTATTGCCGACAAGGTGATAGTTGTCGAGCTTAGCATCATCATGGATAATGCTAAGCGTAGCCAAAGCACCAAAAGGGTCATGTAACATCCTCAGCAAATCGCCTTCTTTCATCGACGCCGCTTGAGGATGGCAGAGTGGGAACCCGCCAATGTCCGAGAGAAGGAGCGCCAGTGCGCCATCGTACTGTGCTTCCCCGAAATATACGGGAATTACGACACCCTGGAAGGCCCGGAGTCTCCCGTACATCGTCTTTTCGTTCTCGAACTCGTCATCCCAGCCTGGTTTCGCCTTCTTGACGATGATGCTTGGCGGTAGAAACCACTCTGGAAAGCAAGCACTGAATTACCTGGGGCAGGATGGACAGGAGGCAGAGAATCAGTTGGTCCGTCAAGCTCGGGTGGATGTGTAGACGCAGGACGTTTGTGTGTACTGGATCGACGGGTGTCACTGATACGGATAGAGTACGGGACCGAAATCGGAAGTGCTAAAGATGAGGTGAGTATTACGAGACAAACGGGAAACGGCGGATTACCTTGGATACTTCATGAGCATGGCCGCCCAGTTGGTAGAGGCGAGGAGAAGTTGTGGTTGGAGAAGAGGTCGAAGACGGGATAAGCGCAAGACCCCACCCAGAAATAGCCGCCGACTTATAAGAATCTAATCACGTGCCATTTGCCAGGGAAAGCATGCAAAGAGTTGTGCATTCTTGGCAGCTCTTGTGCACTTGCAAGTTTATGCATCCGCTAACTTTCAACCTCCCTCAAATCACGACTGCTCAATTGCTCCTTGCTCGCAGCAGCTTCAGGCACCCCATCCCCTCGAACCGCAATTGACTCCAACCACGCCCACCCACCCTTGCGCGGCACCGCCGGACGGTTATTCGAAAGAGATGTCGAGCAAATACGCATTCACCAAGAGCCTCAGGGAGATCCGCTTCCTCTTCTGCCAGACCTCGGAGCACAGCGCCGCCACAAGGTATGCGCAAAAAAACAATCCCCCTCCAAAGTCCCCCCCTCCCCCCAATCCACTTCTAAGTTTTGCTAATACAAGACTCCCACCACCCCCCTGTGGATAGATCCTTCCTCACAAGAGCGTACCCGACGATGAAGAAGAACAACCCGGCCACGCTGATCATGCTCCGCGAAGCCGCGGGCACGGCGCCCAAGGTGTACGCCCGATACGGTCAGTACAGTCCAGCAAAGCCCAGCACAGCCCAGCCGGCTAGCTAGCTATACAAGGGGCGCGGGAGACCAGTGGGGTGGGGGCAAGCTTGCTGATTTTGTGTGTGTTCCCAGAGTTCGGCCAGGAGAAGAGCCAGTCATTAGAAGGTATGGTCTTGTCTTGTCTTGCCGTCCCTGCAGTTGTCATGGCAGAGAGAAACTGACTGGTTGCTTTTCAGGGCTGTCGGATAAGCAGATCGAGGATACTGTCTCTACGCTTGTAAAGACCGGCGCATGATGGGGGTGCGGAAGGAGGGGAGGGGGATGGGATGGGATGAGATGGGAGGGGACAGGTTCCTGTGTGTAACGCCTGAAAGAGAAATGGGCTGTAAATATACTCGGATGGATGCCAATGCCGTGATTGGTACCGTTTCTGCGTATTGCTGTGACTTTGGATCATATCTGGATGCCGTCATCATCATTCATATGAATATCAATTGCGTGGGTGTACAGCAACACATCAATTAACTTATTATGAGACTAATAGGATTCTCCCAGTCCGGTAGGTCCTGAAAGCAAGGCATAATAAAGCAAAGTATGACCCCGGTGGGCGATGAGCAAGTGTCCATCCCTCCCCCCCTTTTTTTGTACATGATAAACCTTTCAACCTTTCCCCCTTCGCCGTTTTTCTTTTTCCTCTCTCATTCTCGGAGTCAGTCATTAAGTTCGACCAATTGGCTCCTTTCCCCTGGTGCTCTCCTTTTGTCAGGAGCTCAGTTCTCCCCTCGACAGCCTCCAATGCAGTGGCTGAAAATATCACGACAAAATAGCTATACAAAAGCACATACAGAAACAGGAAAAGAAAGAAAGAAAGAACACGTAACTCCATTGCCCATAGTCTGGCTGCGGCACACACTGCTGCAACTAGCAGGTGACTCGCCATCAAGCAAGCCATCCAAGCCTCATCGTCATCCATCTGTATCCCCCCTGTCCCCCCAGTCCGACTCGCAGACTCGGGAAGTCGTAGGTATCTCGTATTCTCGCCGGGCCAGATGTTGAATGTCGCACATACACCTACAGCAGGGTGAATTCATGTGACGACCACCCTGCATACAGAAACCCAAGGTCCTAGACCCCCGGGTCCCGAACCTTGAACGCGGTGTCCGAGCGAGGCCTGGACACCACAGGGACCTTTTCCTTGCCTTTTCCCTTGGGCTTCCCCTTCCCCTTTTTCTTGGGGGGGCTGTTGCTCCCTCCAGGCTCGCCCTGACCATGGGCTTGGACGTCAGGCACCGCCGAACGAGAAGGTCCGTGATCGGAAACCGGAGTGGGAGCCTGCCCGGCCAGGTTGGTGGCGCGTGGAGACCTCACAATGACTGGGCCGGCGGCGGCGTCTCCAGGATCGCCCCCGGGCTGGGAAGGTGCAATGTTGGCAGTGTCCTGCCCGGAGGACTCGGTCACAGTCACGCTGGTCGCCTGCGAGGAGGTCTCTGCATTTCCGCCGGGGGCGACGAATGGTGCTGCTTTCGGGTTGAGTGTGCTGTTAACTGCCAATGGAGACCGCGAGCAGCTCCCACTCTCCGTGTCGCTGGTGGCGGTGGGGTCTGCGACAGACCGGGCTGTGGCACCGTCTGGGTCACAGAGTTGCTGGACTGACAAGACGAACTGGGGCTGAGGCTGTGTGCTCAGAATATCGGGCACCGCGCTTGGTGGCGAGTTCTCTCGCGAGGACGGGCCGCTCCTGGCGGTCCAGTATGCGCTTGTTACACGGGAAACAGACGTCAAGGGTGGGTCGTCCTGGGAGGAAGGCCGGGAGGGAATGGCATGCGAAGTCATGCTGGTGGGTTTTGGGTGGCCTGGACCCTGGGTGTCAGGCTGTGCAGCAGACTGTGCCGATGCCTGTTCCGATGCTGGGGTCGGGCCCCGGGAGGGAGCCCGAGGGAATGGATCGAATCCCCTTGGCAGATTCCTGTAGGATCCGTGGGGCTTGTGCTGGCTAACGAGTGCCGGCGACTCATCCACCTCCTGGACTAGTTCACTATGCTGCTGTGCCGGCGGCTCATCCGCTGCAGGCATCGAATTAACCTCCTGTGCCGGCTCAGAGATGGTGGGGAGTCGCTCGCTGCCATAGCCCTGGGCTCTATGGATGTCGATCATCAGCTGATTGTTGCGACGCTTGGAGATGAGGATGGTTCCACCACGACGCTGGGTGAAGTGGTCTTCCTCTCCCTCTGATGCATCGTCCTCCTCAACCATGTCGGCCCACCTCGTCTTCTGTGTCGGAGCAGATGGTTGTTCCATGGCTGGGCGCTTGGGCATCTTCCCCCTGGCCTTGGCAGACAGATGCGACATCTCGCCTTCCTCCTGGGGAGTCTCATTTTGCTTGCCTTGGTGCGTGCCGTCCTGAGATGCCTGGTATGCGTGGTTCTGCTTCCAGGTCTTCTTCTTCTTAGGCTTCATCTTGCCGGCTTCGGGCTTGTTCCCCTTGTCCTCTTCCTATGAGGCTTTGGGGTTAACCAACTGCGAACGAGAAGGGCGGCCATCCGACGGTCCAGCCAGGACAGGCGACTTGACAATGTGTGAGAATGATGCTGCAGATAGGGAAGCATTGCTGCCGCCACCATTCTTGAATTTCTTGGTCCGTTTGCCCTTTCCGATCGTCTCGTGCTTGGCAGAAGAAGCGGGAGATGCAGGTCTCGAACCATAGGCAGACGCAGGCACTGTCAGATAACCCGAAGCCTTGTTATCTGGCATTGGGCCAGCACCAGAATCAGGACCAAACACAGCTTGAGACCTGGCATAGATCGTGGGCCGGCCATCTGGACCCCTTTGCAGCCACTCTGAAGGGAGACGCCGGGCTGAATCCTGCGTTGGCTTGCGATGAATCACAGTGCCAAAATCCTGCACGTCCGGATCAACATCAGGAAATCCCTCGAGGGTAGGTGAAGACGAAGGGGTTGGGGTCGCTCCCGAGCCTCGAGAGGGGCGGAGTCTGGAGGTCGACCTGCATGGGCTGCCCGTGCGGATGGCGTCATCAGGCTTGACCGGAAGATTCTTTGGCCGAGTCTTCCTCTGGCTTACGCTCATCGGCCGACTCAATGGGTTTCCAGTGGTAGGGCGGCTATCATTGCCGCTGTTATCACCATGGTGATCCCTGGTCTCTCGCTTGGGAGTATCTAGGGGGCCTGAACTGAGGACAAGATGGGTGGACTGGAGGGCCAGCCCCGGTCCGGGTTCACCGCCAAAACAGTCATCGGGTGACAAATCCATGGCCGCCGACGAAGTGTTCTCTGGTGGGGGCACTACAGGGCCGACCGGAGTCTGGTATCGTCTCGGCGCCGGATGTTTATGTTGCTGCTGTGCTGATGCAGTATCAGCTACCCCCGGCAGGTTGAATGGAGGTGGCGGCAACATGTGATGTGGCATTCCTGGCGGCATTCCATGTGGCATGTGGTGCGGCATGCCATGCATGCCTGGAATCATCATGCCAGGATGCATGTGTTGGGCCGGGAAATATCCATGGGGTGGGTAAGCCATTGCCTGGGGCTGAGTCCCTGGCGGTGGGAAGTGGCCCCGACCCATCGGAGGAGCCCAAAACGGCATTCCCCAAGGCGGCATCATGAACGGGTATGCTGGACCTTCGTGATATGGATTCAATTGATGCGATGGGTCGGCCTGTGTCGTAGCCTGTGTCGGGGCTTGAGACGGGGCTGGCGCTGGCGCCTGAGCTGGAGCCGGCGCTTGAGCCCGTGTCGGACCTTGTGCCTGTGCTTGAGATGAGGCTTGGACTGTAGCTTGAACCAGAGCTTGGGACTGTGTCGGGATCTGTCCCAGAGGTGCCTGTGTTGGAGGTGGTTGAGCCGGTCCAACACCAGATGTGATGGCCTGTCGAGTAGCCTTTGGTGGACGTGACTGAGCCGGACCACGTTTCCCATGAGATACGCCGCGATGGCCGACCTTTGGGGATCTCGGCCGGTAATATTTCGAGTAGTATGGAAAGTTGATCTTGAGATTCTCGGAGATAGGCAACAGTGTGAACTTGAACCCCTGCCTGGCAGCCCCAACTGCGTTTAGAGCCGCTCCTTCCTGTCGGAATCTATGTCCTCCATGTTAGCAACACAATCATGGCCTCTCATCACAACTGGACTGGCTTACCTAACAAGGGCTGTCGGAATCGAGCCCCTCTCATTGAGAGCTGCCTCCTCCACCATCCCATAGTTGCTGTCGAAGAAGTCCCGGATGACTTTGATAACTTCAGCCCGGCTCTGCGAGGAACGCAGGGTTATCCCAGCTACAAAAATTGTGCGGTGCTTTGGCTCGTAACGTCGGCACCTGCAATCTTCGTACGTGGTATCTGGACCATTCCGCGAAAGGTTCAGGCAAGTAGCTGGGGGGAGTTCTCGAATAGCCGACTGTGAGGAAGGAGACGCGCTTAGCGGATCATGGCCATGGTCCCTTTCCTTGGGGGCTTTGCGGGCCTTATTGTTGGCACTAGAGTGCCGATACATCTGGCCATGGAGTGGATCAAATGAGCCCTTGTCCTTCCAGCCAGTCTGGGCTTGGGATGCAGACTGGTCGTTACTCGATGGATGGGCGGCATCTGCAATTCCAGAGGCCTGGATCACTTCTTGCGGGCCATGATCATCTTGGTGCTGCAGAGCGGACTGCGATGCATCCGTTGGCAGGAGCGGAGCTAGATGCCATGTATCCATTTGGGGCAATGGAGCTGACTGCAATGCATGCACCGGGACCAGCACTGGCTGCGATGGATATGCCAGTGCCTGTGGAGCTGGCTGCAGATGGGATGATGCAGACGGCATACAGTTCTCCACGCCCTCGGGAATGCTGACCATAACCTCTGGACCTGGAGCCATCGGTCCACTCGGCTGAGAGTGTTGCTCTGTTCCGTAGCCATAAGCCTCGGTGGCTTCGTAGACAGGCTTCCCGCGTGCTGTTGGCAGGAGAGTAGGCGAGGCAGACTGAGTTCGGATCGGTATATCCTTCTTCTCAATCGGCAGCAGGCCATCCTGTGATCCCTCCTCTAGCTCTCCACTGCCATCCTGGGAGGCAGATGCACCTTCCGAATTATTGGCCGATTTGCTCAGGAGGTTCACTGGACGAGACAGCACGGCTGTCGGCTGATCAGACTTTGGATAATCGGGGATTGCCTCAATTGACGGAGCAATATCGTCGTTCGCAGGAAGTTCAGTTTCTTCTAAAACCACAAGTCAGCAATGCTCAACCAGTTGGCAAAACCAGAACATCAGGGAGAAAACGAAAGGAAATCCAATTAGCAGGGTGTGTATGTATGTATATGCATACATATGCGGATAGAAAGGGCACCTACCAATCCAGGCCCGGACATTCTTGGTTTGCTCTGCTCCTCCTTTGCGAGTGACCTTGGTGAAAAGGGGAGAATACGTGGTCTTGTACCAGTGAACAAGCTCGGAGCGGACTAGTGCTCTCGTCTCGGCAGAGACTCCAAGCAGTCCACCATCGATCCAGTCATAGGCAGCCATGATGTCGAGAACATCTGAATTAGAGTCCCAATACGACAGTTTGTCGCGGTTCGTCTTTGTCGTGAGCCATTTGTATACCCACTCAGACACAGCAGAGCGCTCGATCTCGGTTTTCTCAACCAAGCGGTAGATGACAAGCCAAAGGTTCCAAGCTCCGCTGTGCCACAAGTCTGCTGCATCAAAGAAGTTGTAGAGATCTGCCCACTGGCTTGGAGGTTTGACGTGGATAACCTCCTGGGGATAGCTGCGGCAAATGCTCTGCACCTTCTGAGCGATACGTTCTTCAGACCACTTCTCCAGCTTTCGCCGAGGGAGAATATGGGTCATGACTCGCTTCTCTGGATTGTTCCGACTGATGGAGAAGGCACATTTGGCATCCTCTGGCATGTTTGTGTAGAGGCTGACAAATGGCATTGGGACGTCCATCGACTCATCTTCAGTGAGCGCATAGACCGAATCAGCGGGGACGGGGACCGTGTATACGGCAGGATCAGGCTTATAGGACGCCATCATGGTAGAAGGTATCCGATACAGTAAAGCCGATGCAGGGAGAGGTAAAGATGTGACGAAGTGCAGAAGTGAAGGCGACTGTCAACAGACGCGAGAGGTGCAGAGTGGGTGAGGGAGAAGGTAGACAAGGCCTTTATCTCTGTGAGGGAATGTGAACAGTTGGAGGAATTAAGAAGGAAATCGTTCTCGCAGGGGTGCTCAAGGATATTCGGATGGAGTGTTTGGGAGATAGGAGGATGGAGGGCGTTTGCAGATTTTCTAGGGTGGACTGGCCAAGTGAAGGTGAAGGGGGTCAAGGGAACGTGATGCCAAAACCTGATAGGTCCTTGACAGGTAAAAGCGCTCCAAAGTACCTTGCACCCCTCAGAATCCAGGAGGCAGAAAATGGATGAATGGGAGAGAGTGGCCGCTATTCCTCTTTCGTCTTGAGGAGCCGGAGGACTGTTGTCTTGGTGACGCGGTATGTCGCGTAGCCAGTATCTCTGTGATGATATTCCGCCGGAGTACTAGGAATCTCACCAAGTACCCTGTGAAGGTGTGCAGAAGGAGGGAGAGCAGCCTCAATATCCTTTTACCAGATTAAAATCAGTTTCATATCTCCTCCCCCTCTTGCAGCGGCAGTGCAATGATCTTACCTGGAGGATATCAGGGGCGAATGTCGATGATGTCGGTGATGTCTGCAACCTTGGGTAGAAAACAAAGCGATATGTGCGAGAGGTAGTGCTTGTCGGCGAGAGATTTCTCTTTGTATAAATGGAGGTTAGTATCTGTACAGTCTTGGGTGACTGAGGTCTGGCTGGTCTGCTGTATCGAGGGCTGTCTTCACTGCGGAGCAAGGGTCGCAGGGAAAGAAATACCTTTGGTTTACTTGTCTTGGGAAGATGGAGATCTCCTCAATATCGCCGTGGCACAAGAAGGGAAGATATCTTTTTGCTCGGGGTGTAGTGCGAAGTTGATGTTTTGGGTTTTCGGGTTTCCGGTTTGTGGTGGTTGTCTTTTGAAAGTCGCCACAAAGGTCCGTAAACACGGCGAGGAAAGTAAGGTGACAGTTCCCCGGTCAACATGTCACTTGTGAGAAAGTGAAGTACTTGACCTACAAGCCCTGGCCATAAGGCAGCCAAAATCCTCAACCCCCCTTTTTATCGGAACCCAAGCAAATCGACAGCGATAGTGGGATCCAAAAGAATGGCCCTCGCACCTGGGGCGAGGAAAGGGGAAATGGGGAAAATATGATTTCCATCTTGGCTACCCCTGAGACCCATACATCAATATCTCAAGGAATGCAGCAAGCCTGGCCACTGGCCAGCTCACATTAAAACATCATCACTGCACCGGTGTCACTCAGCTTCATTATCGCCGCCAGGACTCCCCAGCAACTACATCACTGCCCCAGATCACTCAACCCTGCAACAGTTCTCACCCCATTTAAAAATATGTGCGTCCATTCATGGTATCCATACAACGAGTTGAGAGTATTCGTACAAAGAAGACTGAAATAGCAATGTAGAGTCAAGACCTCTAAGTCTTGGGGAGGGCATTCAGCATCTTCAATATCTCTGACTCGTTGTCCCCAGCATATGCTTTCCCATTGTTCCAATCAACAGTCTATACAGGTCAAGTCAGCAAGGACGTCCATCAACAGTTGGTGAGGGGATTGCAGCAAGAGCAAGATCTTACCACCGGCCTTTGGAAATTGCTGTTGCTCTCCCTGAACTTCTTCAGAGCCTCATTCTCCGTGTGTGCACCCTTGACTACAGTAGGAATGGCAGCCTTCCCAACATACTCGAGGATAGTCTTGAGCTGGTCCGCCGTGGGCTGCTCCTCGGTGACGTTGAGCTCAAACTCCTGCCGCTCGATGCTGCTTTGGGAAGAATGGTCGCTGGCCTGGTCCTCGGTGGCAGTCTCACTGGCATTGGCTGAGACCTGCTTCAGAAGGGTTGCTACCCTTGTCGATGCCGGGGAGTTGGCCTTGTGGAACAAGGTGACGATGTCGAGAGATTTGTGCTAGAGGAGGTCAGTGTCGAATCCCATAACTCCAAACCTCAGACTCAAATGGGAAGAAGTGCTGCTTACGAATCGAAACATTTTGACAGCCTGTGATGCTTCAATGCCAATGTGTGTGTTTTAAAAGTCGTACGAGTTGTCGAACTGGAGGTCGAATAGCATGAAAATAATGATGTCAGATGAAAGCTCTTGATGCAACCTACGAATAGGACGTGCCCATTGGGAGCTTGGGCCATGTGGCGTAGCCATGCGGCTAAGAGCTTTTCAGCCCCATCCCACGTCCAATTGTCTGTGGCCCCCACCCTCGGCCTGAACTCCCTTCGATTCTAAACCTCTAAAGTCTTATTAGGAATTGGTTTCGTTGCTTTGACTGTCCTGGAAACTAACCTTGTATTTCGGATGATTTCCGAGCTGACTATCCTTTGCATTCCTTTACATCGACTTCTTGTATCGCTGGTAGGAGAACGAGTCAGGCCCATCCACTGCGTTTAATTATGACGTACCTACTCCACAGGGTTGCCAGCCATGGTAGGAAAACGGACATCATCTAAGTCTCCAGTAACACACGCTGTTGATGATCCCTAGAAGCTTCTCTTCTAGTAGATGACGTAGAAACAGTGGAGACGTGAGATGTTTATATATTCAAGACGGCGCCTGGATGCCGCGGATTTTCAACAAGCAATCTTCTTTTTTTTTTTGGTGCTGTACACCATACTACTTCCATCGTCATCGAGTAATAAGATATCATCAATACCCCTCCCAATATGTCGAGCAGTTCAGCATACTCCAATGTAGGCGACAGGCGCGTCTACGAGGCGGGCGACCAGCGAAACGTGAGCAAGGCAGACGTCGAGAAGCACGACCAACACCACATAGGCAATCTCAAAGCACATCAACCCACCGACTCCCGTAAGCCTCGAGGCCTTCCAAATGCCACTGTGCGTGCTTGTGCGTTTGACTGACACCGTCCAAGAGGACCAGAGAACCATTGCCAACCGTCTCGCGGCTGCAGAGGTATGTCGAGCAGAGGCCTGGCGTTGTACACATTCTAAGCTAATATCCCGTTACCTAGCAAGCGCCCGAGCCAGGTGATGACGCCGAGACGGCGGCGTCAAAGAAGGATCCGACTCTACCGGTAACTACATCCCCAGTCCGAGAGAAGATTAATGACCGACGAGAAACCTCAGGCCAAGATGCATGGAAATGAGCCTTCCCGAGGCGCAAAAATTGACGCCGAGCTTCAGGCTGAGGATGAGGCGGCGTTGAGGAAGAAGGCTGATAGTGTGCCAGGGAAGAAGTATTGAGTTTCACACATGCCTGGGCGAAAATGTCTGGCATGGGGAGTTTGGTTCTTCAATACTTCTTTTTATGCTCCTCCCATATGTGTATGAACAATCGAGGTGGTCTCGGGCACTTCGGTGTAACATATAAATAAATTGAAATCATACGGCATTGGGCGAAGGTGTTCCATTGTTGCTAACCTGGGACTCGTGTGATCAGGACCTACCTGTGGTATCCCTCCTTACTCAAATGTATGCAGAGCCCCCAGCCCCAGTTGAACGTCATTCCACAAGAATCTCCGCTGTAGACCAAGATCAAGGCCTTCTACGTTTCCACGCGTGCTCAAGGCACATATCCAGGCCTTTCCCCGTTCAAAATTCTGCCTTGCAATCAGAATTAGCCAGAGCGCCAAAAACCAATTGATTGTTCAGCGAGACGTGGAGAAATGGGACAATGGTGTTCATTCAGAATATGTAAGAATTGAATTTCATATAACCATCGGATATAGCGACCCCGGCGAGGGTGCCATCCGGGAGGTATCAATCGCAAATTTCTCTCATCATATGAAGCAGGGGAAAGAAGTGAGGTGGAGGTGTATTTGCAACACATACCTTTATTGGTTAGCAACTTAGTGTGATGCAGGGCGTATCGCACCGAGTTTGCATCTCAGCGAGGCGAGGAAAGTCGCAACGTAATGTGGAAAAGAAACAGAAAGAATTTTGGACACCAAAAAATTTGCGGTGGTTTTATAGGTCGTGGTGGTCCGTGCGTATTGGACCAAGGCCGTTGTGCAGCTGGCAGACTGGCACCAGATGACAGATAAGAAAGAAACGGACTGTAGCAAAATGGACGGAGGGTAATAGTAAACAGCGAGGCAGCATCGCCTGCATATATTTTCTTGTCATGACGAGGCTGTATCTGCTTTGAATATCTCTCCCTTGGTTTTCAAATTTCCTTGCTGGTATACTCATTTGATTCCAAGCATAATTTGCAATTTCCAAATCCAAATTCTTCCCAAAACCCCTGAGGTGTTGACTCCGCCGTCGCAGTAGATTTTGCCCTGCAAATAGGTGATCTATTCCGTAGACCCAGTATATTCATGACCCTGTCCTCCTGTCGTAAGTGTTGTCGGTCTGGGAGCCCTTCAATTTTGTGGTCAAGAAAATAAAAGCATAGAAACGGTAACGCCACGCTCCTCATCGAGACAGAAGATTTGTCTCCGTAAACCGTGACCCATAAAGTACTTGTACAAATCCACGGTGTAAACCGCGGAACGTGGAAAAAGGAATGCTAGGAAAGAAGACCCAAAGTCGCATTGACTGCTCTTGCTTTCCGGGGCCATAGGGTGTCACTGACAAACGCCAAGGATGCAGATTAGATGCTTGGTGGAATGGTGGAGTATCTCGCGAGACACGAAATGACCAAAAAGGAAGGATGAAAACAAAAAGAAACATAGTGCTAGTAATGAATGACGGGCAGGGCCCTTAACCCCAGATAGGGACATGACGATAAGCCGGGGAGTTGTAGCTGTGTAACACCCGGTACGGTACCACCCCTGGATTACCGTATCCGTTGCCCACGCTGCGATTCCGGTGGTGTCCACGAGGAACGTATGGGTATCGGCCGTATTGATCCCATTGTTGCGATGCAGGACCGAATTGATGGCTGGTCCAAGGATCGAGTTGAGGCGGTGGGGGAGCGGTATATCCATTTGACATGGATGGGGCGAAGCCACTGCGCTGACTACGGCCGAAGTCATCGTGGCTCGATCGGTGTCTGAGTGGTGGGGGAGCGCTGGGAGGAGCTCGGTACGCCTGGGCACTGGATGGCCGCTGAACCCATCGGCCATTGTGGCTCTGACTGGAAGAAAGCGAGTTGGCTCTGCCGCCGTGCTCAGACGAAGACCTATTCGATCGGCCAGAGAAATCATGATCGACCTGAACCTCCCAGTTCGGGGCCATCTGCTGAGACCCAGCGTACTGCTGGGGCCTATGGAGTGATAGAGACCTTCGGGGGTTCTGTGGCGGAATGGGAGGCGGAGAGCTCAACATCTCTTCAACGCTCAGGGCCACGGCTTGCTGAAATGGCGGATAGCTTTCTCGGCTGACTTTACGAGTCAGTGTCGGGCCATTCGACGAGGGATAACTATGAATCTCCTCGCGGCTGGCCTTACGAGACAATGCTTGTTGGGCAGGATCGGCGTGGGCGGGCTGTTGTCGCAGCGATGGGGGAACCCTCAGAGACATTGGCCTCCTCGTCATCATACTGACGGGAGGCGGGGCATTCAGCCGTTTCGGAGGATCCAGCTCCCTTGGCAAGAGAGGACTCGGTAGGTAAGCGATGCCCGGATCAGCAAGAGACGTGGATGACTTGGATTTGTGTGGCATTTTTCGGATGTTCCAGTTCCTGTCCGAGGAAGATGTCAGGCTCATGGTCCTGCCAGGCTTTGTTGGCGAGAAGTAAGCGTGCTGCCCATCCGCCATGGCTTTTAGTGCCGCGTCATACGCGTTGTCACCCAGGATATTGTTGAGCGAGTTGTACGAGATTAGCTCGGCTTCGACAGGGGGACTCGCATCGCGCTCGTCATCTCTCGGCAATTCCCTCTCTCTCAAAGATAAATGCCGGGTGGGAACAGGTTTCCGCGTGATTGGCTTCCCAGAGAACAGATGAGCAGCCGCGTGGGCAATTGGGGCAGGTAGCTCCAGGACGGCATGCTTCCGGGGCGGATCCTTGGTCTCAGTCGTCTCGTCAGAAGGCATCTCAGCAACTGTGGGCACAGAGGGGACGCCGGCCAAGGCATCAAGGCTCTGCTCAAAACTATCCACGCTGAAGATTGTCTTGAGGGTATCCCTACTCAGTTGCGGCTTCAATGCGAGTCGCTTGGCAGCGGTAGGGAACAGCCCGTTGTGCTCACGCAACTTGGTTTCTACATCCCGCGGGATGGATGGGATGGCGGTCTTGTCGAGGGCGTGCGTGGCATGGACCATTGGTGGGCCGTTAGAAGCCCGGCGCGCGCTGCTCAAAAGCCTCTGAAGCTTGGTTGGCTTGTGTGATCCGCTTCCGATGCTGAGAGCAGAAGTAGAAGTATCCGACTTGCCACTTAGCGGGGTTTTGGGCGAAGAGACTGGAGACTTTTGCACGCTGTCGCTCGACCGCAGACTGAGGATTGGCGACGGAGTGTGTCTGGATTGCCGAGACATACTTAGGGAAGAGAGCCGGGATTCTTTAGCCCGCACACTTCCATGGAGGCTCTTTCCCATGCCTGAGCCATTGGCCTTGGAAGGGGACCTCGCAATGTAGTCTTTCGGCGGCACAGGAGGAGGGGGTGCCTCTCGCACAGGTGGGTGCATAGCAAGTTCGTTCGACATCAACACCACCGGGCTGCGTGGAGGGTTCTCGTTGCTTTCGCTTGAAGCAAACTTTGACTTTGTCAGCATGAGCTTCTGGTCGAGAGACTGAGAGAATTCATTTTCCGGCATGCTTTGCTTCGAATTGTTGAACGACCGTAGGGACACGTTAGAACCGTAGCCCGAGTCCGCCTTGGTCAGCGGCCGGTGCGAGTATTCGGACGAGGGGCTGGCAGTGGAGACAAACCCACTGTCTGTCCTTGCTATGTGCTCGAGGCGCGTTTTCGAGTCGTCTGTCACTGCTTCCGACACCGATCTGGCATTGGGATCCAAACGTACGTCCAAAGTCTCGACTGTAGGATACTCGGGATGGCCATCTTCCTCAAATAGCTGGTCCTCCAGAGCAGTGTGTTTGGATGTGGTTTGAAGCTCGGGGCTGGCGGGCCTGGAGTCAAGCAAGGAGAACGGGGAGAACGCTATCTCGGCCAGGTACTCCGGTATCGCCTGCGTGACCTCGGTGATGATGGGAGACAAGCCTTTGACAATTGAACCTGAATCCGACTTGTCCTTTCCGGAAACTGCGTCTTGGAAGGATATGGCGATGGGGCTGAGATCCAAGGCAAGGGGTCGGGGTGATTGGATCCCCACCGACGATTCTGATGCTGCGTATCCCCTGTCACCCGGGGTCCACCCTGCCTCACCCTGTGATGCAAGAACCGGCGACTGCGTAAAGTAATCTACCTGGTGCCTAGAGGCATCTTGGTCGATCTCTTCCCTCCTATGGGACTTGCCCGGTTCAGGGCTGCCAGGGCTAGCAGCACCATTTGTGATTCGGAGTGAGCCTAGCTTATAAGCTCCGATTGATTGATAGTCATCTTCACAAGGCGTCACCACTCGTGGCACAGAGTACTCATCTGTTAGCCGCGGAGGCATCGAGACTATAACACTCCTGGTTGACTCAAAGGACTGCATCCGCGAGAGGCTTGGTGTCGGGGGATGGCTGTAGCGGAAATTCGGCAACGATGGAGCAGGGCTTTCACGGGCGCGTGTTGCCACGCCTGGTGTCTGTATTATTGACCGCCTCCGGACTGGAGTGTACAGTGACAAGTCCGAGTTTGCTCGGCTTATCGGTGTACTCGCGGCCTGGCGCTTGGTAGGGTTCGAGCTCTTCCATGTCACCTCGGAAATCGTTCCCATTCTGTTCTCCGACATTGTGGTGGCTTGTTCAAATGGCGCGTCCTCAGCGACGTTTAATAGCCTCTTCGCCTCGTAGGATCCCATGTCGTAATTCCACGATGTGCGTGAACCGGCAAGTGGCCAGCTGCGACAGAGTAAGCGTTAGTTACAGTGAACCAGGACGGGGTTGAGAGCCGGGACCCGACTTACTGTTCGGTGCCCTGTGGTCCATATTGCGAGCCAAGTGAGGACTCGTAGGGCATAGAGTTTGCCCTGCTTAGCTTGTCCGCCGTGCGTGAATTCCTCCTTCCAAGACCGCTATGCCGACTTCGCGATTTGCCTGACGTCCCCTGCGAAGACAGGGAGCGGAACAGGCTCCAACTTCTAGGCTCCCTCTGCTGGACGGTCACCACCATCACCATTTGATCCGCCGGGTGTTCGAGACCCCTAGAGCCGTCCAAGGTGACAGCAGAGGTTGGTGTTGTTGGGGGTGCTTCGGGCGAGAGAGGGAGGGGTTGAGAGCTCAGGCGGGGGTAGGAGAAGCGTTCTGTGCTGTTCGACAAGCCATTGGGGCTTAACAGGCCAGCTGTAGCGTAGTTGCCCGTTCGAGGCTTAGAGAGCTTATGTGTTGGCCGTCGATGGACATCGGCGGAGGGAGCGTTCCCCATGGCGGCGTTGGTGTGTTGTGGGGACGAGGCGGGTCAACGGGTTGAGATTACTATGCCGATATTGAAACTTCCATGCCGCAAATCCGACCCCGTGGCCAGCAAGCGGTGACACACGGCTTCATGTATATGAGGGCACGCGAGAGTCAAGTGCTCGCGGAAGAATTGAGGACAAGGGGGATCGGAGCGCAGGTTAAAGAGGTCGGGTGGGGGGAAGGGGGGTGGGAAGCCAGGAGCTAGAAATAAGAGACGAGGAAACAAAAGATGCAGGGCGAATCCACCAGAAACCTGCCTGGCTGGCTTCAGGAAAAATAAGAATCGCAGATGGGGCAATGGCTGGCAGGAGAATGGGAGGCAGGAGGCAGGATTCGAAGCAGAGGTGCAGAACATGTAGCAAGGCAAGGTCCGTCTCAAGAAGCAGGCTGGGAAGACGCCCAGCTACTTGGGTCGGCAGGTACCTCGCAGGTAGGTTGGTAGGCTAGTAGATACTGGGCAGGTACCCACCCCACGTGTTAGCGTACCCCAGGTACGCTTAGTGCTAACCTGACGTGGGGACACATACCTCATGCAAGTGATATGGACGCCAGCAACAAGGCCTGTGCCATAAAGAGTGTCTGATCCCTGCCTGGCTCCATTCTGTGCGTAACTCTAGACCTTCGGAGGGACGGATACCTACCAACAGATAGAGTAACCTGCCATTGACACAACCTTAGTTGACAAGACAAATCTACCAACCAAACCCGCAGTCTGGGCGGCCAATCTGGCGCGAGGCTAATAGCAAAGCACCCTGGGATGAGACACTGGCACACACTAATTGGCTAATCGACAAAATCTGGAGAGCCTCTCAGCACGTCAGTTGAAGGAGGACCTCACTCCTACTCCAATCTTTTCGGCGTATCTTGCAAAATTTGACGTCTTCCTGCCACGCGTCTCCCATGGCGGTCAAGAAGCAATCCGCAACCGGCGTTGCACAGCAGAGGCCCATGAATGAGGCTTGGTGACCGAGGTGGGAAAATCGCATCAATGGGTCGTTCGGGCGCGGGCATAGGCGTTTCAGATCGCTTCCCAAGACGGTTATCTGCGAATCGAAGGCTCTGAGTTTCCTCCGGATGCATCCCATGCAGATCCATCAGATTTTAAACTACTCATAACCAGTGCGCATTCGTACAGCGGCGTCTTCAGCATGCGGCCTTTTTTCTTCCGACCATTTGAATTGTCGCAGGCGGTGAGTCGGATCTATCCCATTGCCACTGTCTCCTCAATAAGATCCATGGTGATGCCGGCATGAGCCGATGGGTCCAATTGGTTCCCCCACTGAATTGGTCAGTGCTTGCCCTCCTCCCATGCAGCCACGCTACTTCCTGATGACGCGCCTCCGATGACATCAGGGCTTTCCAACATTCTCCTAGGATCTTGAGATTTGGACCATCCAAGGCTCTCATTTTTCCAACATATTTACCCTCTTACCAAAACCAAGGCCTGACGCAGAATTCTAACGCCTTTGGTTGCCTCTGACCCTGTTTCGCCATGCCAAACTGGGACCAGAGATCTTGATGCGAAAATCTAAGATTAGAATGTGGCTACGAATATTCCTGGACGAAAATCCCGGGATTGGCGAGCTTGTTCTCTTCAGATTCTCACAGATCCACAACCCGAGCAACCACCCATACCTAGCGCGCCTCTTTCTTAATAATAACCTCTGGCTGAACCACCAGACAGATGCGCATAGTGTATTGTACTGTACATACATACGCAGATAGAGATCAGACTGGCGATAGTGCCCGTGCAGCATGCAGGGTGAACGAAAGAGCGAGCGCGCGCGCGAGAGAGAGAGAGAGACGAGGTCAGATCCGCAAGCCAAAGCTCTTCCAGGCTGTACGGAACCGGAATTCAAAACCTCGGTCAAGATACCAAGTCTCGCAGAGCGCAGCGTTGTTCCGGAAGAAGAAAAACTTCCCCATGGAGTCCGTCCCGCGTATCTGCCTCATCTCCTCGATTGGCGATCAGTGGTCGCTGATCCCCAATTTGAGAACCGAGGGAGAGAAAGACAGAAAGAACACAGAAGGCAAGTCATGAAGTTCCGGGCTTTCCGTCCGAATTTTGAGTGTCATGGCGGCTATCGGGCGAAACATTCGCAGCCGACACGATATCCAAACCAATCCTCACACCTGGCTCGACCACCAGTGTTGCAGTTTCCGTTCGTTCTCCATAAAATTGATGTTGTCGCAAACGGAAGACCACTTGCCACGAAGCAACTCGAAACAAACACCGAGAATCAACAAATGAGAGGAGAGGAAAACTGAGGTGATCCAAAGGTGCTGTCGAATCCCCATGACCCCCTTATGTAAGATATTTGCTGCACACCTTCTCAGGCCGCCAATTGATTGGGTGCCAGACGCCAAATCCGAAACCCATCTGCCGCAGATGCATTAAATTTCCAAGACTCACTCTGCCGGCAAAAGGGTTTGAGACTGCCAGACGACCATAGGCGAGCGAGCGAGTTCGAAAAAAAAAGCCGAACCGCTGCCTGCGCGTGAGCCTTGCCGTCGCCTTGAGGCTCGCCTGAAATATTCCGGATCGCCTTGCCGCAGAACCACAGGTCTCTATGGTCCCTTCAGCTAACCGTCTCTCCACACTCTTACTCTCTGGCCGCGTTCCAGAACAGCCCAAAGTCGGCCCATCGTTTTCGCCTCGTTTTCGCCGAGTCTCCCCCGGGTTGGACAAGTGTTTCCGGTCAACAAGCCACCACTCCTGGATCGACGAGATGGCTTGCGTGAAAGTTTCGCTCATCGCCTTCCAGAACGTGAGGCAGGACCGCCTAGGGACCGTAACTATCGAAAATTGTCCAAGATCCGGGTGTCTCAACTTCGAGGGAAGATCATTCGCCCCCGTTTCGTCACAACGATGTCTGTCCTCGGGCGACAACCGGCCAAATAGTTACGCGGCCTTTGGAGACATGATGGGTACCCAGCTCCCGCCAGCCTTCCCCCACAAAAGCCGGGCTGGTTCTCCTGAGCCTAATTCTTGGATTTTGAGAACCTATTCTTCCCAGGCTTCGGGTCAAACACTTAATTTTATTGAAGTGTTCAAGCCGTCCCCCAGTGGACTGACTACATGACTTGTTCCATGAGTCGGCTCCCAAATCTATCGAGATCGCTAAGGGTTAAGTCTAGCGAACGTTACTCTAGACGTCGTTGGGGACCATAGTAGCTTTCAACTGGTACTAAATGCACTACTTCATCCAATCTACCTAGGCCTGGACTCCGCCGACGTGCGTGGGAGCGGGAGCGGGTATCTAAATCATCCTGATCTTATCTATCGGCCAACAATGTCCTGAATAAATGATGTACTCAAAATATAGGGCTATGCCAGATTAACTTCCCGTGGTCACGGGCATATTGGTCAATCAATCGCGATTTCCGGGGGAGGTCAAGTGGTCACCGAGCCTCTCTATAGTTGCTTGACCTCCCTAAGCCCAAGTAATATAGGCCAGACGTCATGGGCGCCACCGCCGGACTATATTTATGACACCAGCTTATCAAAACCAGGCAGCAACCTACAAGGGCCGGAGAGGCCTAATATATCCAATACTGCTGGCTCTAAAGCATCACGTTTTCTCCTCCCATGGAATGTCAAGCATTCATGGCCCCTTCACGTAGACACTCTCGCCCTCTGACTCAAGGCTCACAGCGGCTTGTCTCCGATGCAGCGCAGCACCAAGGGAACTTCCCCGAGACCCGTCCCATCCAATTCTTCGGCAGCCCTCCCTCCACCTTCCCATCTTCTACTCCCCAATGACGTACGTGCACCCCTCCCGCCCGGCCCAGACCTCGTGGACGCGCCCGGCCTCGACGTCGATCCGGTCGCCAACGCCATGCCGCGTCGTCGTTTCCCCGGGCCGCGCGTCCGCGGGATACGCGATGGTCAGCTCGCCGCGCAGGATGAGGTGCGTCGTCGGGCCCGGGTGGGTGTGCGGGCTGTAGTATGCGTTCCTGGGGGGGAGCCGGAAAGGTGGTTAGCTGGGGGGAGGGTCTGTGGTGAGTCCGTGGCTTGGGCTGGCTTTTGGGGATATCCCCGTGCCGGTTGTGCTCTTGCTTGGAATAGCTGAGTTTTGCTGGGGATGGGGAATTTGTGGGTGCTATGTATGGATGCTATTCGAGAGAGAACGTACGGCCTGTCAGTCCAGGTGAACACATGGGAGTAGCCCCATGACCGCACCTCGTTTTCATAATCCTTCCGGGATTTCTGCTCGGACATCTTGATCTCTCGCGCGTACTATCTTCGGTACGGCGATTGCCAAACCCTCTGCGATAGCAGCCAGCTCAGCTTCGAGGTAATTTCCTCCCTTGGGTAAGACAAAGAGCCTCTCTTCCTAGACTTGAGCAACTCCAGAAGACATGTAACAACAGCGACGCCTGAAGCTTTCCCCATGTCCGGAGCACGCACTCGGCTTTGATGGTTGAGATTAGGCTTGGAATTCTTCGTAGCCGTAAGAATGGCGTCATCTCTGGGCTGGACGATCATGTCACTGTAAAATCGGAATTTGGTTGTAGCATTTAACAGCGCCATTTCTCTGCGAAAACTTGGCTTTTTTGTTGGCCTTTTTGATACGTGACATGTGGCATGCGATTTCTCGAGCAATGATCTTCTCGCTTCGTTTCATCTTATGGGAATGAATCCGCTGTGGCATGTTCTTTGTTGCTCTGGGCGTATTCCGCGAGGACTCGGGCTTACTTGATGAATCTTCCGTCGATGCAGTTCTGAACTCGATTCTTGAAAGTGGTTGGGTAATGGCTTTTGACCCTGGCGTGACGCTCTACGCGGAGGCCGTGAGAGTATAGATAATCAAGGCTGGTTTGTAAGGAAAGACTTAGGCTTTAGCCATTCTGAGGCCGCGGTCCTCTTATATCCGCGACGGCCCCGCATCTTCGGAGCAAGTCCGGAAAGAGGCCCGCTTCCCGTCCCTGATATGTAGGTCTGCTCCAGTCAAACGTGCCGAAGAGATCGCTGGAGTAACGTACATGTCCGGGTCCAGCCTTCCAGGTTATCCCCAGATACCTTTTAAGTTCACGTTTGCTAAAATATCTTCTTCTGCAATCTGCATGAGCCCTGGGCATGAGGTCATCGATGTTACGGATTTGCCCCTCGATCTTTAAACATGACAGACCTGGAGCAGTTTAGAAGAATCTCTTATCTAACCCCGTCGCCAACCTTGTCCTGATTTCCAACTCCCTCCCTCCTTGACGCTCACCTGACTCCTGCACGCCTAACCATTTTCTCAGCCACTTGGCCCCATTTCCCAATATCTCCCGACCGACGACATGAGAAACGAGAGAGAATCAAAGAAGACCAGCTTGGCAGAGTTGGAGATGGTGGTCATTGTGCCCGCCCTCGACTTCGACAGATGCCCAACGACGGTGGGGCTTGCATAGGCCGTGGCGGCGTCCGCTCGAACCTGGCTAGCCTGCACGTTCGGTGTCTTGATTCAGATTCACGTGAGACCTGGAGTGGGGATTCTATTCATGGAGGACCAATGGCGAACCTGGCAGCCCGTAGGGCTGTGCCGATGGTGTTGTGGGACTGCGCCTCGGTCCGCCTTAGTGGTGCATTGCCTAAACGTAATTGGGATTGAGGAAATGTTCACTTCAATCGATACCGAAGCCAGGAACGGGCTGGGCTTTTGGTCTAGTTTGTATTCTCGAAAACGACTGGCCATGCTTGCCCAAGTCAGGAGGAGTCGTTATCTTGCCTCGGAAGTGTACGCCAACGCATTGGCATTGGGATTGGCATGCTGACTGCTTGAACCAATCAAAGCTGGCATCCACTTGGATCCTTGCTACACCATCCATTAGCACAGTGCACAGTATAGGTAACTTATGACCTTGTTGCTCTCGAATTTGTAGGCGAAGAAATGCATGTTTGATCTTGGAGGAATCCCAAAAATAAAACAAATTCAGAGCTTGCCATCTATTGCACCACTCTCGATACCACTTTGTTACCCCTGGTGTTCGGCTGTCTGTCCCAGCTCCAGAGTTCCGGGTTCTGGAAACCGCACACAGTGCCATCTGAATCGCATCGTCACTTATCCATTGGCTGACACCGGTCTCCGTGGGGCGAGGCTGGATCAAGCTGAACCCATCCCTTTGCTGACAGGGCGATCCAGGAGGGGGAACAAAAGGATTCGACTCCTCGAACCTCTCCTTCCCTCGAACCTCTTTCTTTCTGGTCATTTATCAACTCCTTATCCACATGGAATGGCCTAATCCCACCTCCACTAGCTGCTCCCCAATGCTCGACCTGCCCCACGCAAACTGGGCTTCAAGTCCTACATGAGACGGCTCGCAGAGCCAATTGACTTCGAGGACGCTTTGGGCTTCCAACTATAGTTTCAATGTGTATCTACTTTGTAAGTTCACGGCGCATGAAACATCGGTTTTGTCACTGCATCTCGACCTTGGGCACTCCAGAATCACGCTTGGCTAACTCGCTTTTCCCCGCCATGCCAGCCCTCCAAGCAGAAGAAGAAGGTCGGCCGAGTCGTCCGAATGCCGACCTTTGGCCCGCGAAAGCACCCGCTGCAGGCGCTGCAGCACCTCGTCGACGTTGCGACCCTGGTGTCGCCTACGCAGGGTGGCTTCCACAAACCCGTCCCGGTCACGAAGCCCGCTAGCGACGAAGGGACCACGGTCGGCAGCGTCCACAGCAGCACCGACACCAGCGGGGTCGGAAACACCACCGCCGAAGGTGCAGGGGCGCAGAAGCTCCTGGTGCTGAGCCCCGCGATAAGGGAGCACCTTCGGCGGGTGTACGATACGCTGCGTGGAACGCGGGCAACCCTCCACCAGGAGGAGATTGTCCGCTTCCTGAAGGGGACGCAGGGGGAGGTGACTGTGGCGCCGCTGGATTGGGGTGAACTCACGTTCGAACAATTCCTCGAGGTGTGGTCATTCCATTATGGGTGGGACGCGGTGCGGCCGCTGAGAGAGGACGAGAAGGACCAGACGAGGCCCTTCAGCAACTATTTCATCAGCAGCAGCCACAACACGTACTTGTCGGGGAATCAGCTGACCTCCACGAGCTCAGCCCATGCTTATCGGAAGGTGAGTGGTACTCCAGGATCGTTGTCAAGGTGGATTGCAGGCGGCTGTCTGACATCTTTTTTCCAGGTCCTCAGCCGCAATTGCCGATGTATCGAAATCGACGTCTGGAATGGCGATGCCTCCCGGTCAGAGACGCCCGCGGGGTCAAGATCCCCTAATCCCGCTCACAAGACGAACCTATCAACGTCGTCATTACCGAGATTTAGAATCGAGCCGTCCAAGTCGATCGAAGGAAAATACGAAACAGTTCGGCAACTGTGGTCTGGGAAACAAACCCCTGGCCATAGCAGGAGTCGCAGCTCAAACGAGCCGGCCCGGCCGTCAGTGCCTGGTAGGGAGAGCACACAGAGCCTGGACCCGAGGGACCTGAGCGAGAGATCACAGCGGTCGAGGGCCTCGTCTAAAGGATCAAGTACGAAGACTGAGCCGATAGTTATGCACGGACGGACATTGACATCCCCTGTTGGCTTTCGGGAAGTGTGCCGGGCAATCCGGGAAAATGCCTTCAAAACCAGCCCCTTACCTATTATTGTGAGCTTGGAAGTCCATGCGGACATGGACCAACAAGAAGTCATGGTCGAGATCATGAAAGAAGAGTGGGCCGGCATCCTCCTGGACCAGCCTTTGGAAGAATGCGCACCTCACCAGCGCCAACCTCGACTAGAAGAGCTCCTGAACAAGATCCTGATCAAGGTCAAGAAGCCACCCGCTAAAGCTTCGCTGCCTACCGGAACCAACCTCGCCGTGCTCATGCCCCCGCATGAGGACGACCTATCGGGGAGCGACGATGAGCGAGATCCTACCGCCAAGAAGCTGAAAGTGCCGATTTGCAAGTCCCTGAGCGCACTCTCAGTCTACACGCACAGCGAGCACTTCCGGAGCTTCGAGATCCCTGCGGCGAAGACGTTTAGCCACATCTTCAGCATCAGCGAGACCAGGATCCTCGAGCTGTACACGACCAAGCAGCGCGAGATGCTCGCGCACAACCGCAACTTCTTCATGCGGGCCTTCCCCAACGGCATCCGCGTCGACTCGAGCAACCCGGACCCGTCGCTGTTCTGGCGCAAGGGCGTCCAGATGGTCGCCATGAACTGGCAGAACTGGGACGAGGGCATGATGCTCAACGACGCCATGTTCGCCGGCTCCCAGGGTTGGGTCCTCAAGCCGCCGGGCTACCGCAGCGGCGACCTCCGGTCGACGACGAGCCAGGCGGATGCCGCCGTCGCCCACCGGACCCTCGATCTGAAGATCACCTTCTATGCCGGCCAGCACATCCCTCTGCCCGAGGCCAGGCAGAAGAGCGACACGAGCACGGGCGTGGCCGTCGGAGCCGGATCCGGCAGCAAGCGGTTCCGCCCGTACGTCAAGGTCGATCTAATTGTCGAGAAGCCCGAGGAAAGGGCCGGGAAGCCGATCGAAGGCGAGGCCAGGGCTCGTGACGGCCAGTATAAGATGAAGACCGAGACCGGCGAGACTGAGAATCCGGATTGGGGCAAGAAGGGGGACTGCCTGGATTTCTCTGGGGTTCGAATGACCGTGGAGGAGCTCAGCTTTGTCAGGTAAGGCCCTCTCCCTCATCCTTCTTCCTTCTTCGTTTATCTCTCTCCCATCCCATCGTATTGCCCTCCCGTGTTAGAAAACCTGCGATGTAAAGCGCTGCAAGCAATTTTCTATCGGATATTACGCAATTGCCTATCCTTCCGTACCCGCGTCTCCCCGATCCGCGAAAGTGGGAGCGGGAGCGGGAGCTTGACGCACCAACACCAGCGACTAGCCGCGCTTCCTCGTGTCTTCCGGAGCGCTTCCGGAAAAGAATTGTTTCCCAACCTTCCTTCAACGGGAACCTGCTTTAGTGGCGGGCCGGAAAGGGATATGGATAGGGGGTGCCGGCCGGAGTCCACCTCTCGGGAGCAGTCTCGAGTTTGACAAGGTGCAAAATGGCGTGTTGGACGCGCCTTATCTGGTGTCAAGTGACACATCTCCCGGCGCATGTACCTTCCCGGCGCCTGTTTGCCTGCTCCCATTTGTTTTACCCCCTTCAAGGAAGACACCAGGAAGTTTCCCCCTGGGATCCTGTGCTCCCTCTCGGGTGGGAACCTGCCTCGTAGACGTGCTCCTGCCGTGTACATTTCGCCCTGCATCTTCCGACACAGCTTCCACCCGCTTTTCTACCCCCTTTTCAGCTTATTAAACAAAAGTTGTCAACTTGGCAAATGGAGACAAGAAAAGAAGGGAGAAAAAGAAAAAAGGAAGAAAAAAAACCATCTAGCTGAGACCACGATTGCTGACGGGGTGGGGAACAGGTTCAAGATCGAGGACGACTCAGCCTACTTCCGGGGCACGTCGGCCGCGTGGGCGTGCGTGCGCCTCGACCGGCTGCGCCCGGGATACCGCTTCATCGACCTGCTCGACGCCAGGGGCAAGCCCAGCGCGGGCAGGCTGCTCGTCAGGATCGAGAAGGCGGTCAGATGATTATGGGAAGCGGGGGTGGAGAGAGAGAGGGAGAGACGTGTCCTTCGAGAGAGACAGCGCTTGGTTTGTTGGGGGGCTAGCACGAGGAGGCTGATGTGGCCCCCCAATCCCTGCCTTGCCTTGCCCTCTCCCTGTCCACCCCGATGGCGGAATTCGTGTCAAACCTCTTCTTTGCCGCCGGCTGTCGTTTGGGAGGGGAGTTTCTTCTGACGATGTGCTATGAGCTCCGATTGGCGGTCCTTGTTGGATGGCGAGATCTAAACACCAGGTTAGCCGTCTTCTGCCTTGTTTTCTTTTTCCTTCTCTTATCTCTGTTGGAGCCTCGCTCCCCTTCGGCGCAATTCGGATCGGCGTACGCCATGTATACATTGAGATGGTCATGGGAGTCACAGATAGGGGACCTTGACGGGACCGAGCATTATCCAGGGTCGGTCTGTTTGATGTTTGGGGAAAGGGGCAGGGAACATCATCCATTTGGCCATCGAGAGAGAATGTGTTGCGCAATTCTTTTGATATATTTGTTTTTATTTGTGCCGTGATGGCCTGGATCACATACTAGCACAAATACGATACCCAGCTACTGCTTTTCTAGTACACAGTTGTCGTCTCGTCTATCAACGTGTGAACCTAGCTTTCTGACATCATCGGAGAGCCATCGTGCAGGTATCACAGGCATGAGCTCTGAGACGAGGCGGCCGGGAGGCTTACTAGGGGTCGAGCTGGTGATGTGGCTAGCTGAGCTGAGTCGCCCGACCCTCCCTAGTAGCCCTCTCCCCGAGTAACCCTTGCCACGGCATGCACTCTGACCGCTGATCATGGCCTGATGTTCCCCCGCCGGGGGCCTGCTGTTCGGGGGCGGAAACATGCAGCAGACGAGGCGCTGCGTTGGCCCGGTCTCGAACTCGAGCGGCGGTACTGTTTGCCTGGGTTGAGCTAGAGCCACAATGTATATACAGGTACCAACATAGGGAATTAGTCGTCAGGTTTCAATTGTGGTGTGGCATCCTTGGTCATATCTTTCAAATTAGTGATGTGAGTGGCCTGGGTTCTGCTCTCCATCTGTACCCTGGAGCAAGGAATGACATGCTGGCCAGCCATGCTTAGGTCGAAACGTGCGCATGTGGCGCACCGGTGTGTGGGATTGGATGTTATCGGATCAGGGTCGAGCGAGGCGGGCTTCGGCTCCAGAGGTGATGGAAATAGATACACCCATTAGATGTAATAGGGGCTTCATCTCCCCCAAGCGACGGGTAGCTAAAGATTTAGACATGATGACGTTTGGCGCGACTCGAGTGCACCACGTGCCGAGAAGCAAACAAGCAACCGATTCCCTTACCGGTGTGGATGTCCAACCAGGCCGTGTCTTCCCGTTGTGGGGATCGCCATGGCGTTCGCTCTGGCTTCCAAGGTAGTAGTAAAGCTTGTGTGCGACGCCGGTAATTCGTTCCCAAGGCAGCGGTCCCACGCCATGTCGTTAGTACGATGGGACTGCGCTCTGCAGGTCGGGTAATACCAGATGCCAACATTATGTTTAGCTTCAACCCCTGTCTACACACACTCAGTGCGGCCAGCCGTGAGAGGAGGTATTTTGAGATGAGAAGGCGCTTAACCGAGTGGGCTAGATCCCGGGCGTACTTTCCGGTTCAAAGTGGCAGTTGTAGACGAAGTGAGCCGTGGTGAGGGTAAATCGAAAATGAGGAGAGAGAGCGCGCGGAGATGTCTCCAGTAGAGAGCAATTACTTGAAGTGGAGATGGATATGCTCCGAGTTTTCGCAACACCAGACCCGCAAAAAGTGATATATCATATTTCAGTGAGCTGAAAAGCCCCTATTCTCAGACGATTGAAATTGGCGTCTCTGGGAAGGACCCTCAAGGGCAGAGGCTCAATTTCTGACGAGATAGTGTTTAACTGTTTTGATTCTGTATTCAATATGTTCGTCTAGACAGCTAAGATGAATCCCATGATTGGTCGACATGGGGCTGCGGTCTCAAGCTGAAGAGCTGTCGCTCACGGCACTAGTTATCACAGATCAGCAAAGGCCAATCATTTCGAGGTTTTCGAGGTATTATGCGCGAAGGATCCGCACCCGGGGAGAAGGTCTGCGCCGGGCGATTTTTTAGCTGAGTGCTAAGATGATCATGCACCCCCAAGAGGCCTGGCTCACCGAGAGAGAGGAACGACATGGAATCGTCAGCGGGGGCGGGGGCGGGGGATCTGCCAGCAGCTAGTGGGACCAGCGTGATGAGCAAACAGGAGAGCGCAGAAGGGGGAGCGCAGAAGGGGGAGCACCTTGCTCCTGGACCTCTAACAATCCTATCAGCGCAGCAGATCAGGCCACCGACAGAGATTGTGCAAGCCGGGAAACGTGCGGGCTCTTGCCGCACAATTTGTCGTCTATCTCGGCACGTCGAGTCGAGGTAAAACATTGTGTATCCGAAGGTAATTTCGAAGGAGGGTGGTGAGTGGTGACTGGTCACACGCTGCTCAAACAGCCCAGCGAAAGATGAACGGACCTACTGCATGATGCACGCACCAGGGCTGAAATGATCAACGATCGTTCAGATTTCTGGAGCTGTGGAAAAACCGCTTATTGGTTCCAGCGACCCCAAAACTTGGTCGCCGGGCGTTCTGCAAGCTGCATGCAGTGGGCAATCGGATTTGAAAGGTCCAGTGGTTCTTTGCGAGCCTACAGCCCGACCAGGGATGAGGGGATTGAGGGCCTGAGCGCAGAAATACGACCCCCGCGCCAGTAGCCAGGGAATGGAACAGGAGAGGGGGAAAAAGCAAGTATTCCTTACGAGGAAGGGAGGGACTTGGGAGAGGTGAGAAGTGCCCGTTTTGTCAGGACTCAGGAGTTGAACCCATGCCCATGACCGGGGCAGATACAGCCGAGTTGAGCTGTAAGAAATGATAGAACGTCAAGCAGAGGCGGTGTAACCCCCCCTTCCCCCTTCAGCTACATACCTACATCACGCAACAACGGGAAGGGCATGCTGGCTTGCTGGTTTCATCGGCCAGGGACAGGAAACAGTTCAAGAAACACTTTGCATGACGGCTGTTCGCTGTCGGTCGCAAACGTTGCTCCCTCTCGTACTCGCCTGCGCGTGGGAACCCTTGCAGCCAAGAAGAACATGTACCGAAGCCTGTCATTGTCAGCAGCCACCCAGGAGGGCAGAAAAGGGAAAGAATGACAGAGCATCAAGCAGGTGCACATGACATGATGGCACCCCAGGCCAAGCCCCACCCGCCTGCTTGGGTGATGTGACCACACATTTAGGATCCCACCCTTTCTTTCCCAGTACCCAGGTTCGGTCCCTCCCTGGCATCATTGGGACACACTAGTGTGGGTAGGGCGGGAATCCTGACAAAATGCTGCACGGACCCACGAAGGGTCACTCTTGAAGAATGCGAGACGACGAATGAACAAACGAACCCCCAACGGCAGTTGGCAATGACTAGTCGCTGAGTCGTCACTGCCCAATATAACCCGGAAGTACAGGTTTGTAGAGCTATGTGTATCTGATTTGACGGCTACCCGAGTACCCGGTAGGCTTCTGAAGTACCTAGGGACGGGGATCTGAGGAAGGTAGGTACCTGGATACCTTTGAGCTTGGCAAGTCGTCTGCAATGGACCGAGGCCATATCCTAGCTGCGCGCGCATCGACAGTATTATGTCACAACTCACAAGTCTGCGTTTACTTCCATATCAGCCCTTTTTTTTTTTTTGGTTCGGCTTTCCTTCTGGTCCCTCCTTCAGGCATCACCCCTGCTTGTCCGATCAGATCATCTCGCTGCAATCCAATCGACCCTTGAGAGACTGTTGGTTCTGGGATGGGAAAGCAGGATCTAGGGATGGGAACCTCGACGAGGGATGATATGGGACCCAAGTCGACGGGGAGGCTAGCATCGACTAGTGCACACTATTCCATACACTAAAACTATAACCTTTCAGATCTACTGCGTACCTTCCCCCCGATTGCCAGCCCTTGCTCGGCTGCTCCTCATACCCTCGCCATGTCTGGTCATGGCATTCCCGCCGTAGGCGGATGACATTTCGAAGAGGGCTCGTCGTCCCACTCCGGCAAGGCTCTCTGCAGGCCGCCTAGCGTATACCTCACCGGCGGAAAGTTGCCGCTTACCAGATGACAGAAAAGTCTGTATTGTACGGCATCTGACGTGCAACCGACTGGTTATTTCTTCTTCCTAACGAACGCCCGTCCCATCCGTTCCCGAGGCCAGTCCCCGTCAAGTACCTTTCTCCCATCAACGACTGGTCCGGATAGAGGGGAGCCAACAAAGAAGAGAGCACCGAGGAGTTAGGTAGTTCTATCTCCTCTTCGCAAACTATAAATATTCTTCTCCTCCCACCCAGTACCGGTTCCCTCCTCCTTCCACCATCTCCTCCTCACTGTCCTCACCACGATCCTCAAAGAGTTTCACTTCCTTATTAGACTTTACAGTCACATATCCGCGACTGCCAGCTGTCTTCCAAGTCGACGCTCCATTTGCAATCATAATACTTGACCAAGCAACCCCCCCCCCCCCCCCCCCCCAACCACTCCGATCAGCATCATTACACTCTCTCAACGGGCCAATCAATAACGCAGCCATGAGCGGCTCTTTCGAAATGTCTCGCCCTTCTTACTTCCAAGACCCCTTCGATTTAGGATCCACTGGAGTAATGCCACTCGCTGTTGTTGAGCCCCACCGCCCACGTCTGCCGTCGTCCAGCGGCGACATCCGGACAGTCCCGGTATGTCATGCAGTGCCAGCTCGTCATGTGAGATGACATTGGACGGCTAACGGAATCCCGCAGCTCCCTGGTGTGCGCTGTCCGACCTGCGCCGCCAAAGGCCAGGAGGTCTGGGTGATACCCGGACGGGCCTGTGGAAACTGTGGCACCCCGTGCTGTTAAACGCCGAGCCCGGCTTCCTGAAGCACGGCAGAGCCAGAGACAGAAAGGTAGAGGAGCCGTCTACCCGTGCAATGGGGAGAAGAGGGGACTGTACCATCAAAGATCTTTGGGGTTCTCTCGCAGGTTTGCGGTGTTAATGGGCACGAAACAGAGGAGGAAAAGAACGACGAAGGAAACGAGTCCATGTGGTTCTGCTTAATATGGGAGTTCGGAGACTGGCATAACAGGTGTATCGTTGGGGTGTCGTGTGACGGAGTTACCCTTTCACTTCTAGACTGTCTGGAATTACCGGCCAACGCGGATCTAATGAATAGAGGAATGAACGACTAGATTTGAGATTTGCAATCCTGTTGTCATCGTCGCTCGTCCAAGCAGCCAGAAGCAGGAATCACCGTAGCTGAGACGGACGGTCGGGAGGATCCTAGGTTGTGCGAGTGCGTACCCCATTCCATGTCCACAGCCATCGACGTGAACTCGACGTGAACCACGTCGGCAAACCATCCGAGATGGGTCTGGTCTTGCCAGCCCTGCCAAGTCACCGCGCACCTCGGTGGTCCCTCAAGATCCCAAAGGAACGTGCTTGGGCCGCCATGCTGGGTTACACGAAACGGCTCAGTCCATCCGACTGGATGCCTTGGGCCAGAGCCAGGCCATCTTGGACAAGACAGTCCGGTGGTGGGTGACGTAGAGCGCGTGGATAGCATGGATGTCGGATGGACGGTTACCACATGGTAGCACGGTCGAGGTGGCAGTCCCGCCTCGATGAAACCCGGCGGCGGATTAAAGGAGGAGTCCAAGACGATATCGACATGGCACCACGGCCAGGCATGTGTCATGGAGTGAACCCCTAAATCAATCCTATCTCTGTGCCACCAGGTTGGTGACAGGTCAGATAGAGCGAATGGCAGGACCGCGAGACAGGGAACCCCAGCAAACCCCCGAGGATCTTTGCGTTGTCCCCCTGTCTCTTCGAAGATCCAGATACACTAGAAGACTCCGAACCCCAAGCGCCGAAGGCGCCAAAAAAAAAAAAGGAGGTCAGATCTTCGAAAGTGAGCAGCTCCCATCTTTGGCTATCATTAACGTCAGCCAACTCTTGGATGCCCCTGTCTTACAACCGATGGCCAAATGCTGCTGTCTTGTCCTGACACATTTGACAAGGTACTATGTATGTATGTACTTGGGCAATTCCAGGTTGTTTCATAGCACCACCATGCAGGGTTGAGTTAAGTGCCTAGGTAAGCATAACCCCCACGCTTCCCCTCACCTTCCAGGTTGATGCATACCTAGGTGCCAGGTTATATATAATTAGACGGGGGTATATGTAGCTGCGCAAGGGTCAAGGCTCTTGCTCCACGACGCATGATTTTTCCGATTCTATAGGTGTTGATGTGGTCGGGTGCCTATGAACAAGTCGGTGGTGACATGAGGACAGCCGTTACGCAGCAAAAGCAGTTTGGGCAGCAGAAATCTGCCCCCTAAGCATGGCTATAGCAGGAAATTGGTGTGTCCGGCTTTTCTTCATACAATTGGCGAGCGTGAGAAAGCGTGTGTTCCGACATCCGCAATTAGAATTGTCACACCGGGGCTCGGTGGTACACTAGACTTGCCTTATGTTCTAGATGTCTCAGTTACCCCCCAAAAAGGGGCCGTATGATGTCAGGGGAATGCGGCGAATCCTCATTCTAGTGGTGGGAGAACTCAAATGAAAGGAAGGAAGCCTCGCCGGGACCCGAGCCGGATCCCTGGCGCCGTGATCTGCCGGGGGTCCTTGGTCTTGTGGAGCTGGCAATCCCCATCCGCTATTCTTCCCTGGTGTTACTAGGGGTTCATGATGTACATGAGTACAGAAGTGCAACGTATCCCGGCGACGGACCTCAGTAGAGTTCGGGATCTCGCCAGGAGTGAATGATAGGGCGGCGATGGAGGAAACCAGTCTTTTAAAGCTGCTTTGATCGACACCAAGAGCGACATCAGCATCCACACACATGGTGCATTCGGAAATTATTCTCTGTCCAGGATAACCTGCCATTGTCAAAATAAATAAGTACAAGCCCATGATTTGGTCATGGATGGAACTAGCCTAGTCGGCTGTAATACTGCTGATGCTCTTCCCAAGCTCAACATATGCCATGTTCAACCCGAACCAGGCCTCCCAAGGCGCCCTGAGTGGCCGGCAAGTCGGGTAAACAAGAGGGGAGATTTTTGATGGCTTTTCCTCCATTTATAACGGAGTGGTGCCTTTACCGGGGTGACGGCCGGCATATAGTAGCGCGCCTCGTTGGAGACCAAACGCAAACATGGAAGAGCGCTCAATGGCACTACAGCCCTCGAGTAGTGACGCGGGAATATCCGATAGACCCGAAGGCCGGTGCACTCGGGTGTCGGGGGTTTCCAACTAGGCAGCTCAGCCAAGCTAGAAGCCCAGTTATTGACGTTAACGAAACAGTCCGGTATTCCAGGGGTATCTCGAATTTCCCATCACGGGCATCCTTTACTAGGCGCCGTAGAACCAGCCCGCCTGGGCGTGTCACAGAAATAAGGTGCACCCATGTTGCATCGCGCAGCAATTCATTAATCATTGCGTTTTGGCCGATCCGTGCTACCATCCGCCCCCTTCTCCCTCTTCAAGATAACCTTAGACACCCATTCTTCGATTTCCCGCTCGGCCTGCTCGTCTATCACGCCGGGCGTGTAGTCGAGATTCCGACGCGCCATCTTCCGTAGGTCCTCTAACGACGAGATATCGAATGCGAATGAGACGCCTCCTGTCGCCATGATGCCGAAGCTTATGACGTTGAGGGTGGCCAGGTTGAGAGCCTCGAAAGCGATGAAGGGGCCGTCGGGATTGTGGCCCTTGCCGACCATTGGGCTGTGGCTTTGTTGGTAGAACTTGGGGAGAGCGGCGATTTGTTTCCGCGTGACGGCCCGGCGCGTGATGAGCGTGGAGAATGTGAGGAAGCCGGCGCCGGCGAAGAAGAGACCCAGTTGTTTTACGGATCGTGAGGAGAATATCGGGGTTTTTGTAGGAGGTTCGACAACCTTGGGGACTGGTTCGACTGGACTCGGGGCTAGAACAGGAGGGGCCGGAGGAGGAGGAGCGGACTGCTCCTTCGACAGCCTCGATCTGAAAGGGAAAGAAAGCATCGTGGTAACGGATGGACGGGGCGAGACGACGTAGTGACAGAGAATGCCACAAGGGTCCGGGCCTCTCAAATGGGGCAATTGGTTTTATGCCGGTTGGGGGATACCGAGTGGTTGCCCCAGGAAAACCTGGGTACCTGGTAGGCCTGGGGTCGGAGAATTTTGTCCCCGGCCCGAAAGGACGTGCGTTCCTGGAATTAATATGCAACTAAGCAGCTATTTCAGTTAACGCAGCAGGTCAAGCAAATAGAATATTTCTAATAAAACAGTGAGATGGGAGATGGCATCGATCAAGTGACTACTCAGCCCAAGTATCATATCAACTTTAGCTGTGATATTCTATTTCTCGTTACTTCCTTGTTGTATCAATCTCCTGCCAGGCCGGACGCGACGGCGTACTCCGCCGACGCGGAGACCCCGCGATGCCCGGAAAAGCGGGGAAAGTATTCTAACGAAAACTCCGACCTCCGACTGATGACAGGCTCCGTGCACGGAACTCGGTCCCTTTATATCGCTCCCTTTTGGAGGACCGATGAGTACTGAGAGACCAACGTGACCGATACTTTCTCTACTTGTTGTATCCGCGACCGTTTCCTTACCCAACATGGCAAAGGATAAGAAGTCCAAAGCTCCAAAGGGCAGGAGCGTCGAAGCCGTTGCACCCATTGCGCCACCATCATGGCCACCGTTCAAGCCGTCCCTCCCCGTCTCCGACCTCCATGCCGAGACGCTTGTGGAATCCAAGATCGTGGTGTTTCGGAATTTCTGGCCACGGAATCTATGCAGGGACTACGTCTCCTTCCTCAAGACCCTCCCGCTAGTAACCACCCCGGGCAAACCGAAGCGCGGAGAGGCCGTCAGGGTGAACGACAGATTCCAGATCGACGATCCCAGTTTCGCCCAGCGGCTGTGGCTCGAGACGGGGTTGAAGGACGCGATACTAGACAGTTCCGTATCTAGCCTATGGTAGGTTTCTACATCTCTCAGTTTTCCGAATCGTAAATGGAAACAAATAGGTGTCTCCATTAATCTCTCTTCCATCCCCTACACAGAGCTGGCCATTTGACAGGTCATGATAGGGTGTGTCGAGGTCGTCACAAGGTGCTTTCACTTTGACATTGAAACACTTGTCTTGGCAGTGACAATCTAAACTGACCATTCTCTCGCCACTAGGGGAGGAGACGTAGTTGGCTTAAACCCGAATATAAGGGTATACCGATACTCCAAGGGCCAATATTTTGACTGTCACTGTATGCCTCCCTTCCCAGCCCGGCTTAATTCCCCCGTTTCCATCGACCCTTTCCGGATGAGCCTTGCATCTTCATCGTAGAGCCAGTCATACCGCAAAGCTTCCTTATTTCTCCTCCCCCTTACATATCCCCCTTCTCAACACCCCCCAAACCCACCACCACATCCCCATCCCAGCTAACCACCACCACAACCTCCCCCCAACCTAGACGACGACTCCAACAACCTAACCCTCTCCCCAACAACCGACGCCCCCCCGCCGCAACAGCAGCAGCAGCCTTCCTCCCTCGCAGCAAAAACGACCTGGACGCTCCTCCTCTACCTCACCTCCGCCTCCGACGGCTGCCTCGGCGGCGACACCGTCTTCTACCGCCGCGACCGGCCCCTGGCCTCCGAGGCCGTCGCCGTGAGCCCCGAGACGGGCATGCTGCTGCTCCACAAGCACGGCGACGACTGCATGCTGGTCAGTTTAGTTTTTTTGGGGGGACAACCTCCCCTAATTGTCTCTTCCACACACCTTGGCTCCCCATTTGTCTTCTTCTTATTAAGCAGGGCGCTAATATATTCCGCCGCCAGCACGAGGGAAGGGAAGTCACCGCCGGGGAGAAGTGGGTATTGAGGACAGATCTCTGTGTCCGGAGATAGGTCGACGTTCTGCGGGCTGCTCTTTCGGAGGGAACATCAGACACATATCACGCGTGTCCCGCGTATGAATACCGCGCAATTCTTTTCCTTCTTCTTCAAGACTCGCGAGCATGTCTTCGGCGCCTGTGCAATAGCTCGTCTATCAGGCAGGAATCCAGCTATCTGGGTTTCAACCAGGCAATCCCATTGATGTGCTCGTCCGTGTATTGATTTATTATGTCTGTGGGATGAAGACCCTCCCGGCCAAGCATTCAGGAAGCCCGAGTCCTTTCTCTCCATGGGTATCAACCGACCCCAAATCCCAGCACCAGATTTACGACCCGACCCCGGGACTAAGATGTTGCGCACCCAGCGCAATGCCATGACCCCAAATATGCTCCCTAGCCCACGTAGCCATAGCCCGTTTTCCATGTGCTCCCTTGCAAATTGCAAAATCATCGTCCGACGTGTTTCCATCTGTGGCTGGCTGATCTCCTTCGCTGGAGAATCGAGCCCTGATATTATTGGAGAGTGTCGATGAGGTAGAAAGAGAGGGGCCAAAAAAGGGAATGAAAATAGAATACAACAAATAAAAAAGATGAGTTGGCGGAAAGGGGGTTAGACGAAGTGGCCGTGAAGCCCACCCCAATTCACTCTTCAGCCAGCTTAGCGACCCGGTCCAATGCAGACATTTCGGGGAGGTCCAGAATCGCCTCTTCAAACTCTGGCTCATCCTCTTCCTCCTCGGGGGCTGTATTCGGCATACCGGCCCGACCCAGCACAGACAGCTCAGAGCGGCCGAAAGCCACCTCTTCAGACTCGGGCCGCTCCGAGGAGGAGGAGCAGGCTGTATCCTGCAATCTGGGAGCTGCATGGGCGGGGATAGGCTTCAGCACCATCTGCTTCTTCGCCGTGCTCTTCGACCGAGGCGACTGCTCGGTCCAGTCCCATTCCTGCACTTTACGGCCCTGGCCCCCATCCACGCCACTTGCAGCAAGAGTCTTGGCTGGCCGCTGAGTCCTACTGGGCGGGCATGGTGTCGACCTGTCGGCTAGGCTGGCGGCTCGGTGAGCGGCTGACAGGAACGGATCCTGGTTAGCTAGATATGGCAAACTCAGTTCATGGAACGGTGTACCTGTTGTGGTTGGCATGTCAGCATACTTTCCCACTGCCGAGTTCGTGATCGCCGTACCTGAATTGCCGGCTACCGTGTGGATGTTTTCTGTGAACAGATACTGGAAACGATCACCTGACAGCGTGGTCGTGCCCTCCTTGTCGAGGAATGGATCGGGTGAGGTACTTGCGTTGACTTTCAAGCCGACGATGCTCTCTCCCTCGGAATTATTATCCATCGACGGGTCAGACTGCCCAGTAGAAGTGGTATATTCTCCTGATCCGAATTGCCCCTTCGGAGATTCATCGCCAATCGAGTCTGTGGGAGTGTAACCTTGCTCGTCGTCAGTTGTCGTGAAATTGGTTGAGCTGGGCTCGGATAGGTCAATCAGATCCGTACGCTCCAGATTCTGTTGCACCAGGTTTATCTTGATTTTGATTTTGAACGATGCAACCGACTCGCCCACATCCAATAGAGTTGGGCTGCCCGCTCCATCGCTTGAGGGCGCAGCGGCTCCTGCTTGTCGAGCCTCGGTCTTGCGGTGATTCGAACCTAGACCGTTTTCCTTTGCCCCTTCGCCATGCGCTCCAAACGCTGATCCTGCGTCTGTCAAGGATGGTTTAAGCTCACCATTAGCGTTGGAGACAGAAGGTGGAAGATCCGTTGCGTGAGATACACACGTCCCTGTCGTTGGCTGGAGAGAGATCGAGGCTGGCATGTAATTATCCAAGTTGGCAAGACAGGGGTTCTCTTCTGTCTGGCTGGTTTGGGGCACTTCCTCGGGCTCTGCGCTGATGTCGTCTGTTGACTGAGGGCTAGCGCTAGTAGGAGAACTGTGCGATGTCTCCCCATTATAGTCGTCATCCTCATCATCATGCTGGAAGAGACGAAGGATTTCGCCGCGGTGGATAACCTGTCCGTCACTTGTGCGGGCATAGTCCAAGTCCATCACAGACTGAGAGTCCACCTCTCGAGGGAGAGTTGTCGCTGTTGCCGTCTTCGATTTTAAAGGGGCACCCAAGCCTAGCTCGTAAAGACCTCGCCGGGTGGTTGACCTTGACCCTGTTGCTATTTGACCCAACTGCGTATCGAAGAGCCATGGGAAACTGATTAGTGGCATCGAGTACGGCCGGATTGGTCGCCTTCCAATAGTGCCATCTTTGCGGATGTGGTCAGTCCGAGATTCGTGAAGTGCGATCTGCACCTCTTCCCATGTGACCTGATACATGGCGGCGGCAAATGGGCCGAGGGCTTCAATGTCGCGAGACCCTCCCGCTTCCTTGATGCAGATATCTCGGTGTTGCTGCTTTAGCGCCTCTGACTCGCGGCGTACCGTCTCGTGCAACTTGTATTGAGTGCCAACGCGTGGTTTTGAGAGGACAAAGGCAGTCCAAATCTCGAACTCGGTCTTTATCTCCATCTGACCCATGATCCTGCGAAGTGCAGCGTCGTACTGAGACTTGATCCTTCGGGCTTTCTTCAGCAATTCATTTGGCAGCTTGTATCGCGTCAGGATTCGGCTGTCGAAGGGCATTTCGTAGCGGGGCCTGAAGTCGACTCTATGGACCATGTCGTAGAGTTGGCCCAGAACCCTCGATGAATGGTACGTGGCCTTTCCGGCCTTCTCCATGAAATGCGGCCATCTCCTGGGCGCCAATTTCTTGTCCATTTCGGCCTCGACACCCGTCTTGACGTAATCAACAGCCTGCGAGTGCAATTCGGCCAACCTTATACCTGTATGGAATAGTCAGCAACGGGACTTGGAATGCCGGCGACAAATGGAACAACTTACATCTGGGGTCTTTAGGCCCAGAGTCCATAAAGTCTGCCTGGGCGAGATGGGCATGGGCTATCAGAGGTAGTGAGTTGTTCTTCATATACAAGGCGAAGAAGGTCTTCAAGTCCTGGACAGTGGGATCTCGGTTCAGCTCTTTCGGGGGTGGCCCAGTGTAGTTCATCGGACCGTTGAACCATTCCTGAGGCAGGAGGTTCTGGTCCCAGATGACGAAGAAGTCGTCTCCATCCAGGTCTCCTCCGGAGCACATGCTTGGGATATCCCTGCTTCCGTGCAAAGGGAAGACGACCACATCTCGAATGTGTCTCAAGGCCGGTACGTCTACAGCCTCAACGACCCGGATATCTCCAGGGTGCAGCGATGGGTTTCGGCCCACGGCGCAGAGTCCGGTGATTACCTTGTAAGTGCCTCGGTCTTGAGGGTCCGGCACCTGGATGAATATCTGGGGAAGGTATTTAGCCTTCTGGCTGTGGCGTCGACCAGTCGTCTTATCGTATCCCCTTAGTGTCCCTGTTTCGTCGACGCAGCCAAGGACAAAGGCGCTCTTCTCAACAATGATCCTGGCCTTCTCCTTGAGAGCTTTTATCGACCATGATCTCCATAGCTGAAGTAGAGCCATCGTGAAGGGTTCCGACGCCTCCATGAAGCCATCGAGAACCATGCGAGCAAGGGTAAGGGTCATCTGGTTCTCATCCACATACTGGGAGAGCAGTTGCACTGCCGTCGTGTGGTTCTTCATTGCTTGGTCGTAGCTTCGAAGCTGTTCAGCCAGCAGATTTACGAACGCCTCATCCGGGACGCCAAGAGATGACAAGATGGTGATGGTCTGGCGGTTCAGCGTGGCAACCGAGAAATGAGAACACCTGATGATCTCTAGGCCGTTGAACTCGGCATGAAACTTCTCCTGAGACTTCCTGATGTGAACTTCCAAGCCGGTAGCATCTTCCCAGACCACAAGCACGCCCTTGCACCCTCCCAGCCTGAACTGGTAGGCCGAGAGCGCCGTATCGAGGTCCCAGTCGCGAGCTATCATCTGGGCCAGAAAGGGAGAGATCTTTCCAACCCCATCTGTGAAGCAGTAGCCGTGACTCTCAATATCGGGGATGCGAACAACTTTGGGAGCCGGTATGCCACGAAGAAGGCGGGTAGTAGAGAAGCATTGCCCCAGCCTCGCGGCATACTTTGCAACCACCTTGATATGGTTGAATTTCCCCATCCACTGACGGATCTTGTCGCATGTCACCACATCCTCCGGCTTGCCTTCTGGTTGGCAGAAGAAGAAGGCTCCGCTCTCTCGAATTTGAGAGCTCCCAAATGCTAGAAACTGCCAGTGCCATCGGCCCATCCGGATACCGTTATTCAAAACCCGGAAGACGCGAGTGTAGATTTGGTTGTCTCGTGCTGCATCCGAGCCATTGATGCGACCGTCGTTGAGTTCGTCGGTGAACTGTACTCGAAGGAAATTATCCTGTTGCTGTTCGAAGTGTCGAATGACTCGATTCGTTGTCTCGACGGTTGGGGAGTTGAAGTAGATCCTCGTTGGCGTCACCGTCACCTTCCGGACCAGGGCGCAGTAGTGCGGTATGTTCACCGTCGTCGGGCAGAATGTCAAAGCGGCCTTGTCCTCGAACAGGCTCAAGGGACTGAAGATTTTCTTTCCCCTGTCTGCGGCGTATTCGAGAATCAGCCGAGCCCTGTCCCGATCTTGCGGGCTCGAGTTCGCGAGTTGAGCGAGCTTGGAGAGAAACTCGGCCGAGATGTTGTGTTCTTGCAGGATGTCTTGCGAGATGCAAACCTCGAGTTGATACCTGACATCGAAGGGGAGGCTGAAGAGCAACGAATGGGTGAGTAGCTCTGACGCTGTACCCGAGGGTCCCTGTGACCGTGGGCCTTCGAGCATCGACCAAAGCTTCGAGTCTGATCTTGGGATTAGCTGGATGGAATTGTCAAGTCTGGTCTTGATGTTCCAGTCACAGATGGCAGACTCGGCGGCAGACCAGTCGCCAGCCGCCTTTTCGTCCATCTCGAGGCAGTATGTTGTCCACCGGCCAAGGTCAATGAGTTGATGGTCGTTGTCCAAAGAGGCAGCTACCGCCCTCGAGATGTCGGGATTTGGGGAAATCTCGACCGTTCGAGCCCAGACGTCTTGCTCGCCCCATGTCAGTCTTCCGGCGGAATGCGTCCTCTCAAAGTCACCCTTCTTTCGCCAGAACTGGGGGGGACAGTCCAAGGAAATCATAACAGCCCTTTGGCCATCCTTGGCATCCATCCGGTAGAACTTTGTGATGTTTTTGAACCTGATGTCGAGCCTGTATTGGCAATCAAAGGCCACAAGCTCTGGATTCAGGGGGTCCTGGAACCGAAAGGGGAAGTGAATGACGACCTTTCTGCGACTGAAATCCACGGTAAGACTGAAGTCACCTTCGGCCCCAAGAGAACCGAGGCTTTTCATCTGCATGACAGTCGTCGGCTGAACAAGAACCCCAAAGCTGAGCTTAGAAGGTTTGATGACAACCTTTGCAGGCACCGCATTTCTCAGGGGGCTCCGGATGGCACCCTCATTTGCAGTTGGAGTGAGCGCCTCCACGACCACCACGACCTTGGTTCCACCAACCTCAAGATGGCACCATGAGTTTGCCCAAAAATTAATCCTAGGCGGAGGTTCAAAGCGAACTCTGGCCAACCCGGTGCGCTCTCCATGCCTATCCTCGTCGATCTCCACATATACAATGTTCCCAAAAGGAGAGAGCGATTTCCAGATATCCCATGTCGAAACCTCTGGGGGTACCATTCTCAAGGCCATTAATATGCTCCGGTATGTGCTCCAGTCACCTATCAGTTGCCCTTGATGTTGGCGCCCTGAGAGCCCCGGATTTCTTGCATTTCCACTTCTCGGGCGGGAATGCCGGTATTGGGGGCGGCTGTTCCGAAGGTGGTTATTATTCTGGGCTCTTGGATAAGCACCAGCATTTGTCGCGGTGTGACTTGGCCAGCCTTGGGTGGGGTTGGTTGCCATGTCTGCTTCAGACTGTGGTTGAAGTGACGGATACCTGGGCGGTACCTGATCCTGTCGTTGTGCGGCTTCTGAACGCCACGATGTGAGAAGGACGCTGGTGGAATAATTCTGAGGGAGACTTGCACGCTTACCTTTGTGTTGAAGTTGAAAAATCCCAATGTCAGCCGCAATACTGAAAAGTGATTTCCCTGGCAAGCCCTTGCCGTCCTTGTGATTGCTGCGGCCGTGGCAGTGACCGACGGAGGAAATTACCTTGAGGTACGTATCCTGTGAAAGGTAGGTGGACTTAGAACCCGGCGGTAGCGCTTTGTTTGGAAGGTTCAAAGTTACCTCTGTGAGGCTGAGATGACAGGTTCGAGCGAGAGGGAAGGATCGATGGGCAGGTTCATGAACAACTGCAGTTGTCCAGTCAAGCACCAAACATATACCTAGGTACCTCTAGATATGAAAGGTAAGGTATGGAAGAAGGTAGGAAGGGATGGGTAATTGGTACCTCATTGAATAGAAGAGTTGAACTCGGCCCTCTACTTTACCTAAGGTGCCTACCTGAGTAGATATCGGGATCGGAGGTGGATCGCTGGTGAAGGACGGGTGGAAGGAAGCCAGGAGTGAGTGAAACCTATCCGTCACTTTCTTGGCCCACCTCACCAGAAGCCAAGGTGCCCAGATGCTCCGCGCGAGTGAGAGTAGAACGGTAGAGCGCGAAAGTGGGCTGGAAAGGTCAAGGAGAGTAGGTAGGAAGGGCAGGAAGGTCAACACGTGACGGTCCAAGGCGTGAAGGCAGGGCGAGATGGAGTATCACCGACCTGGCGGGGAAAGACTGAGTAAAACTTGTTGATATTCTCCCAGGTTGGCCGCTTGATTCCATATCAAAAGCGTTTGTCGCGAGAAAGCCAACTACCCGGTCGTGCACGCAGATAGCGCCTTGAAGTAGCCGGCTTAGGTCATGGACGAATCGCCCGTGCCTTCCATCTTGAGCGTCTCTGATCGCTTCCCCCCTTCGACCAGCAGTGCCGCATCAATATTCCGATAAGCTGACTTTTAGAGCGGAGGAACCTACCACAGGAAATATTCGGTGGCCACAGGCTGGATGCGTCGAGCTTCTGGAAGCTGCCAACAAACAAGTTGGGAAGGTATCTGCAGCCATCCGTTGTGGCGTGACGCCCTCAAATGATCCGGCAACCACATCCTGAGCTTTGCTCATTCTTCCAATTTCCAGACCAGAAAAAGGCGCCAGAATTGACTGCAGGTTGCGTGTCCAGATCCACGGTGAAGGTTACCTGTGAGTAGCTCTGCAGATAGGTAAGTCTCTTGGCAAGCAACCATTGTGTTAAAATGGGCAGGTCAGCATTTTGATGTCGCTGGTATACCGAAAACTCGGCAGGTATGCAGCCCACACACAAAGGTCATCACGGAACAGCAGAAGAGAAACCGGGGGACTCCAGAGATGCCGATGCATACACGATCGTTGAATATATAAGCTGCAGAGCCGTTCGACAACGAAGTCTCAATGCTCCCAAGGGCACTCCTGCCCTGCCATGCAAATGAACAGAGTAAGCTTCCATTACCCTGCATGGCCCATGCTGTCCCGGCTGGTTGCCCAATCCTTTTTATGATGCTGAGTTATAAACTTGCCGATACCTGCGGTTATATGTCCGTGTGGTTAACTTTATTACTGGTGGTCAAATATCTTGCCCGGATTCCTGGGTATCTGTCAGTATCCAAAGCTGGCTGGTCTTCCTTTGAGACAGAGGGAGGTACGGGGCTAACATAATCCAGTGAGGGTCAAGGGCGGACTTGATCGCTTTCTGTGCTAGAATTAGTCAAGGGAACCAGCGAAAAGGGGGACTCGGGGAACTGACCATGACTCCTAGCGTTTCAGGTCCAACCTCCCAGAGAAGGGATTCCTTCTTTCCCCAACCGATCGAGTGTTCACCGGTACAGGTACCCTCCATCTCGAGAGCTCTCTTGACCATATTCTTCACGCACGTCTCGACCTTGGCTCTCTCGTCCTTGTCTCGCCGGTTGTACATGATGCTCTCGTGGAAGTTGCCGTCCCCAATGTGGCCAAGGATGCTGGCGAACAAGCCGAGATCATCCATTTCCTTCTTGCTTATCTCAATGAGCTCGGCAAGTCTGCTGAACGGGACTGCGACATCGGTGCTCCCTACTGTGCTGTCAGCCTTCGGAGAACTCGCCTCGTGAATAGGATACTTCGGGTCCAAACGCACAAACTTCTTCGCCATCCTTGCGCATCGCCAGCATCGACCAGAGGGACTCCTTCCGCGCCGACCACAGCAGTTTCTGTTCCCTTGCGTCCTTAGCGAACTCGAAATTACCACCCTTGTTCGACTTAGTGATCTGCTGGACCATGCTGATGTTCTCCTTGACGCTGCCCTTGGTCCCCGAGAACTTGAAGAAGAGAGTCGGCAGCTCCTTCCACACCCGCGGGGCTGTTGCGCCGCCGATGTTCACAACCCTCATTTGCACCTCGTCCATGATTTCCATGGCGGCGACGGGGATCCCGGCTTGCATGACTCCCGCAGCTGCTGCTGCGGCGTCTCGAATGGTGGGGAACGTGACAACGGCTACGGAGAAGTCTTGGGGGACAACGGCGAGCTTCAGAGTGGCTGTGATCATGTTAGCTCCCCTTTACCGAGCGAAGGCGAGAGAGCCGCCGACGAACCTTCAGTCACCAAGCCCAGGGTACCTTCTGACCCAACGAAGATACCGTTGAGGTTATACCCTGCTGATGATTTTCGAGGCCGACGACGCGTCTTAATGACCGTTCCATCGGCAAGCACAACGGTCAGGTTGATGACCCAATCCTTCATCGTGCCGTACTTGACGGCGTTCGTCCCGGAGCAGTTTGTGCCAATCATTCCGCCGATTTTCGCACTCGGGCCTTCGCCGCGGTTAGCCAGCCGGTCTCCCGTCACTGCAATGCAGGTGGAATTGGCTCACCAGGGTCGATGGGGAAGAAAAGCCCGCTGCCCATCTTGGCAAGCTGCTCGTTCAAGTCCTGCCACCCGATACTGGGCTGCACGACAATGTCCATGTCCTCCTTGTTGAACTGGACGATCTTGTCCATGTAGGCAAAGTCGACACTGATGCCCCCAAAGGGGGCAGAGAAGTTGCCTTCCAGACTCGAACCCCCCGCATAAGGGATGACGGGTATGCGGTACTTGTTGCAAACGCGCGCAATGGTCGACACCTGCTCGGTGGACCGCGGATACGCTACTGCGACTGGGAGGCCCTCCGGGTTCGTCGACGACCACTCCGAGTAACCATGCGCGTGGAGGTCCTCCGGGTCAGTGGATATGATATCCTCTCCTATTTCCCGGCGGATGTCCTCCAGGGCCTTATTATATGAAATCACCATGTTTAGCACGGTTCACCGACAGGCAGGTGGAGGCGGGGAACCGATCTGGTTCGAACCTACCCGGTTCATCTCACGCAAGCTCGCATATCTGGGCGCTTTGCTATCCAGCAACATGGCGCCGGGGAAGCCCCCCGAGCCAAGCGACGCCAATCCCCACCCGAAAACCCCGGTCGCGGCGGCGACGGCCAAGACGCGCTGCCCGGTCCATGCCGGCGCCGATCTGGCCGCCGCACCGGCCTTGCCGGCCGCGCTCCGCCGGAAGGTGGAGGCGGAGAAGAACCGGGGCGTCCTCCCGGTTGCGGGGGCTGCGGAGGCTGCGGAGGCGGTTGCGGAGGCGGTTGCGGAGGCTGATCGGCCGAGGGGCTTTAGGCCCCTCGCGAAAGAATTGACCGACATGCAGATGACAATTGCGCCGCTGCCATGCGCATCCCAGGAAAAAAAAAAAAAAAAAGTCGTGCTTCTGTTGAACCTCGGGTCCCTTCGCACCCTGTTGGTGGTGGGGGAAGCAAAGCTGCACGAGGATTGGCCCGTCCGGTACTATTCGTACAGCAGCAGATGCCAGCAGGAGGGGAAATGGCAATGGCAACGCGGGATTAAATATGCTCGGCAGAATGAGGCTTTTTAGGTACTCTTCCTTTTTTCTGCTCCCACAATGCTGCCCCTGCTCGAGGTCCCCTTATCCTGGGACGTGTGGTTTCGACGCGGTACAGAAGCTAACGGGGAAAAGCTCTAATTTAAGCTCCGGGTTTATGATCAATGACGATACTGGCGAAAGCCTAAGTTTGGGGACGAGCAGATGACTCGGGCTGGCGCGAAGGGAAGCTATATGAGATATAAAATGGCGGAGGTGGACTTATAGCGGAACCATAGCGGAGCCCCGGGGGCTAGTGGCGACTTGGATAGGGCATAGGGGGGACTCAATCAACAGCTGGGGGAGGGGGGAGCAGGAGTAGCGGCAGTAGAGGGTAGAGTAGAACATTGCCAGGTACATATACGCTCGGCAAGGCCATTGATGGCACTGCCGCGATCTGTACAACGGGTGGAGATGGGCGACGAGGGGGAAAAGAGGAGGTGGAAACCAGCGGAGAAGGTGATTGCTTCGCAGGTGCGGTATGGACCTGGAATCTCCAACCCAACCCTCACGCCTGGTCTATGCTTTGTGGGTGGGTTTTGGATGCAGCTAAGATACTTAGTTCGTCGCCATAATCTCGAAAGGAGGTTGGGATGTGCACTAAAAAGACATCCTGGCCCATGGTGGTCTGGCCTCTGGAAATGCCCGGCCATAGCTTAGTGGATGATCGATCGTGGGGTGTCATGCCAGCGGTGGAAAGACCCGATGGGAACCCAAAGTGCACCGGTATGGAGGTAAGCTGGTGCCTGCACCTTAAATTCCGCATGTAGTGTACAGTACCTACTTCCCGTACGCATATATACCTCTGCCTGCCTCGCCTAAGCCTCGCTTCCCACTACTGCCCATCTAGAACTCCACCCGGATGGATGGTCCCACGGCCGATTCCAACTCGATCACACGACAACGAATCTCACCCGGCTTGGCCCTCCCGCGTCTCGAGTCTTCGTCCGGCAATCTGGTTTCAATCCCATTCAGCCCCGGTCATGCCCGAAACAATGAAACGTATCGAGATCGGTGTGTTTAAAAATAAAATAAAACTCAGCAGCTGAGGCCTTGGCTAGGTCGCCGTCGCGAAGTTCAAATTATCGACGCAACAGTGGCGCTTAGTCTGACCGCGTTCCCTGATACCCTGACTACAAGCATCCGTTTTCATTAGGTAGTTTCCATTGGATCCCCGCAAGCCCATATTTCGGTCAGCAACCTGGCGCTGGCTTGGGCCGGAAAAGAAAGGAGAAGGAAGGCGGGAGGGAACCTGAAGGATTGAAGCCCAAGAACGCGGGAGTTGTGGACTAACGTCAATGCCGTCGACAGTTTCTTTTCTTTCCTCCCCCCTCCCATTTTCCTTCCCTCGACGGAATAGGCACAGTTCCTACCTACCTACCTACCATTTCCTTGACATAGGTAGATCAGACCCCACTGACAAATGGAGGCCATATGTGGGATCCGTGCCTGACGTGTCAGGTGGGTCAGGCAGGTCCTCTCATGATGATGTGCATGTAAACATATATGTAAGTTACCGCCTCCGGCATCAACAGAGCGAGATTCCATCTTGTACGAGTTCATCGATGTCGCATCGTCATACCCTGCCCCGGACCACAGACGTCCTGACAAGACATGTCGTGTGACAGGAAAGCAGCGCTCTGTCGCTCTGGGGTTGGTGGCACAAATGGAGTGGTGGGAGTCGAACTTTGTAAACCATTTCTCTGCCCACTTGCTTAGGGTCGGGTGCCTGCCCGTCTAGAACACCTCGCGCACCCGAAGCGTAAGTATTCTACCAACAGATAATCACGGAACTTCAATCCATTTTGGTCTTGGACGTTAGGTACCAGTACGTACTTGGGACATGAGGCGTGGGGGTCTTCTCACCGTCTCTTGGCCCCCCAAAACCCGAGCCTTGTCTTCGCCTTACCCTCAACCCAACTACTAACACTAACAACTAATACCAAAGCCAGATGGGACGGGCCTTTCCCTATTTCAACTGACGAGCATGAGCTGACGGGAGCGACTGCGAAAGCGGGATCGACTTCTATGCAACACCGTAGCGAATTACAGGGCTGCTAGGTCGGTAAAGTTCCATGCCCCATCTCTAAGGCCCCTTTCTGGCACCCGACATGAACACACAACCTCTCGAAGGCTTCGGTTACCTGGTACAGATCCTCTGCTAGTAATGCCGTCTATCTGATTGGCTCTCCCAACGCGGGGACGTCCCAGTCCTGTACGTCGAGAGGCGAAAAGCTGCCCTTTCCATGCTGTACCTGCCCGACGTTCAGCCTCCGCCAGTTTCCACCTCCCCTTATCCCGACCCTCGGGACACCCGATCGTCAAACCATTACGAAATCTCGGCCGCCTCGTGGTCAAATCCTGCAGGAGCCCACATGCCCACATGCCCACATGCCTTTCTTGTCCACCGAGCCGCCCGACTGCCGACCACTCGCTGTGAAACAAAAGACGAGTAGCATTATCGAACAAGAGCCTTTATGGAGCCGACTTCCGGCTTCGATTGGCTTCGGGGTTTTAAGTCCTTAGGTGCGTAGGTACAGTACCTATCCTCCCTGTGTTCCATGTTCTCCCCTGCCATTTGTGGGGAAAGGGTCTGTCCCAAACTCGGGGTGGATGGTTGCTGACCGATGGGCAGGACTTGACATGACATGGCCCCATATGGGAACAAGAAGGCTATGCAACCTCAAGACGGACCACTTCAAGGCTTGTGTACGGGCGAGTACGATACAGATATCAACTAGGTAGGTTGCTTACCCCGCTCGCTTGTCCACCATGGATATGTACGATGCTAGGTAGGCTGGTAGGTAGTTGTAGACGTCCACATTTCCCGCGGAGCAAGAATGCCCTTGTCCCGGCACAAAAGGCCGAACTCGGCATGCAGATCTCGCCGGCTTGCAGGACAGGGAACTAGGACAAGCCCATGTATCCACCATCAGCACCAAAACAGAACCTCACCATGCCCCCCAGCTCGAGATTTGAACCTCATCGACTCGATTCTAGTAAGCAGAGAGCCACAGGAATAGTAAGACCCACCCGGCTGAAAACCAGGACGTCGATGTACCTGCCCAATACTGTCGATTGCTTGACAGGCCGTGAGCAGGTACCTATACCCGGACCTGCTGCTGCTACGGAAAGAAAATAAAATCCGGGGCTAGCCAGGCGATTGGGGGCCGGCATCCCTCCCCCCCATGTCACCCCGCAAGCATCTACCCGCACGTCAACAGACAGTCACGAGACAGGTGATGATGCCGGGCAGCCTTGAGCCCAATTAAGGTAAGTTCCTTTGCCCCGCCTCTGGATCGGGATAGGCCCTGGGCATGTTTGGCTGGGCGAGAGGGCAGAGGTAAAGACCCCGGAAAGGAGGGGAAGTGTTGATCCTCTGCAAAGTACGCACGTACGGACCAGGTGGGTTCCATGGTGGTGATACCAAGTCATGGATATTACCTACCTACCTGAGGAGGTGCCGTTGGCTCCGCTGACAAGGTTACCCACCCACAGCGTATTTGTGGCAGTCATGCAGTAGTAGCTCAGCGAGGGAATGGAAAGGGCAAGCAAGGTAGGCAGGTTGGGATAGCAGCAAGGTGAGCTAGACCGACACTGAAAAAGCAAAGAAAGAAAAGGAAAATAGAGGGGCGGCGTGTACGGACAGGATTCGGCGTCGACATCCAAAGATGTGCATACCGACTTTCTCCCTTCCAAACGCCAGCCACGGGCGTGCGTGTAGTCGTCAACCCCTAACAGAGGTAGGTATTGTACCGTACATCTACGATCAATGGGCGGTAAAGGGCTTGACGGGGCGGGAGGTCTAGAAAAGCCACATGGAACGAACCAGCCCAGGGGGCGCAACTCTCACCGCTTGAACGAGGAATGCAGAGACTGACGCTGTGGACGGGAATCTAAATGCTGTCACATTTCTGCGGCTGCAGCAGCCGTGGACGGATGCGAAGTGAGCACACACGCCAAGCCTGATCGTAACCCAGTGAATTCCACCAGCCCTCTGGCTTGTGTCAAACTAGTTTGCGACGAGGCTCTCCGTGTTAGAGCTCGAGACTAAAAGTGACATCCGGTACTCCATCCACCATGCTTTTTTTAGTTAAGCAAACCAGACCGTGAACAGTTTCCTCCCAGACTGAATTCCCTTTTTAGTGACCAGCCAGAGCCTGGGCGCGTCTGCGGTCCCTCTCCTCGGCAATGGAAAGTTTGACACCCTTGCCCTTGGGCAGGGAGATCCACGGCTTCTCGCTGCCGATAACGAAGACGTTGGTCTCACGGGTGGCGAAGGTGTTGTCAATGGCATCCTTGATGTGGACGATGTTGAAGCCTCCATCGTGACGCTCACGGTGGGTGATGACACCAACACGACCCATGTTACGACCACCGGTAACCATGGCAATGGCGCCAGTGTCGAACTTGATGAAGTCCTGGATCTTGCCAGTCTCTAGGTCAATCTTGACGGTGTCGTTGACCTTGATGAGCGGGTCGGGGTAGCGGATACTGTAGCATGTTGGGTCAGCAATCCGAGGGAGACAGACATACCAACCGTCGAGATCTCGCTTTCTCAAATCGTGATCCCGGAGGATCTAACGATATCTACCAAAGCTTGGTCCAACGGCTGACAGATGTCGACAGAACTTACGTTCTTGCATCATGCGTAACCAAGAATGGGATTCCTCCACGGCCGAGCTGAACACGCTTGACCTTGCCCAACTTGTACTTGGCCTCCTCATCCTGGATGCGGTGGACGGTGAAGCGGCCCTTGGTGTCGTAGATGAGGCGGAAGTTCTCGCCGGTCTTCTCGATGGTGATGACGTCCATGAAGCCGGAGGGGTAGGTCATGTCGGTGCGGACCTTTCCGTCGACCTTGACCAGGCGCTGCTGCAGGATGGCCTTGGTCTCGCGGTAGTTGAGGGCATACTTCAGCCTGTTGCGGATGAAGATGATGAGGGGCATGCAGTCGCGGAGCTTGTGAGGACCAGCCGACGGACGAGGGGCGTAGACACCCGACAATTTGTCGAGGAGCCAGTGCGACGGCGCGCTCAAGCGCTTCTGGTGCTTCTTTCTGTGAAGAAACGGTCAGCCTTGGTCTGCGGGAGGGAAAGTGAAAATTGTTCTCGCTCGAGCCCGTCTACCTGCTGGCTGGACGAGATCGATTGCGAGCATTGTCGAAACCGGCAAGAGCAGCCTCTACGCTTCGGTAGGGATTGGAGTAGTTACTTACGGTCCTCTGCCCATTTTGACTGAATTGGTTGTCGAACGGGAAAAGATGGGTGGAAGGGTTGGAGTTTGGAGGGTTGAAGTCCAAAAGTTCGCGGAGGTCCAAGGCTCTAGAATTTGAGAGGTGGTTTTTTTTTGTGTGCTTCCCAAGAAACCCTACGCCAAAAAAGGGTGCTGACCAATCAGCAGCGTTACGGACCCACTATCACATAAGTGGGTCCTCACCACCAAAGACAATGATCGCGAGCATAGGGTTATTGGTATTCCTGGTCAAATGAGCCAGGGAAAGTCGCATAACATCAGGCAATCATATGGATCATCTAGACATGCCGACGGCCTCTCCACGTATTCCTTCAATCAGTGACGTGAGACCGAGGTATTAGACCTCATCTGGGGCTAGAAAGCCGCAAGCAGAAAAAAAAGACATTCGAGATTGCTCCCTTTCTAAAAGTGTACCTAGATATCCCACGCTTTTTTTCCTCGTGAACATTCCCGGCGCCATATTCGCTCTTTTTACACCTGTAATGACAGGAATCCATAGTCTAGTCCGCTCCCCGAACACCAACATAGCCCTCCGCCGTGAGGGTTACCCTTTCTGATTCGCATCAAAACTTTAGCAAGGAAATGTAGACACAAACTCCGTACAACCCAAGAGCTCCTAGCTAGGCCCCACTGGTAAATCATCCGCGAGATCGAGTATGTGTAAAACGCCCCGATCCTAACATTGGATGTCGTCGGGACAGCGGCAGTCCTCATCATCAAGACGAAGAGCACAGATGAAAGGAATTTCTGGTACAATCTCAGTGCCCTGAGATGAATCGTCCCCGGAAGATGAGGCCTGTATGCAGGAGCTCGGGGAGGTCCTGAAGAATCAGGTGAGTGGCCTCCTGCCAGTACGGTTATGGGATCCAAGGCGACGTGCTGGCCTGAGGTGATGCAGCTCGGCCGCTCCATTGGCTGGTGATGTGTTCAAAGAGTACTCCAGTGCTCCGTGTTTGTTGTAATCACTAGTAGGCCCTCGTGAGTCATCCAAGAGGAGGCGGGATATATCCATTTCCCCCGCAGTCAACATGAACACGGAGGCCGAGGGTTCGGCATGCATGTCAAGAGCCGAAATGCCAGGGATGGACTCGGATGATTCCACCAAACTTAACGGAAGTGGCCACTTGGGCATATCTTCCTTCGAGCTTGTCCGATTTAAATGAGGCTCAAGAGGATTGGACGTGGAAGGATTGAGCGAGTTCCCGATGGTCGTATTGACGGACGGTTCCAATAGATCGCCTCTCCCCGTGTCCTTAACCTGGAGGCTCCCTTTGTCTATCCTCAAGTAGATCTTGGGATATTTGTTCCGGACACGATCCCTCAGATCCGTAGGCTGTCTGGTAGATAGGTTGAACAGCGGGTCGCGCTGAATTTTTGTCCATGCTGGACCATATTTGTCGAGACCTTCCAATATTTCTTTGTCGTCTTGCTCAGTAAATGGCCGTCTCTCTCGGCGATGGGACTTCTTGAAAGGGCCATGGATGCCAAGCTCTACCAAGTCTTCCATCTTTTTGCGATGAGCCCGGCTCTTCCGCGGTTTCGAAGGAGAATCAGAATCCTGCTGAGTCGGCAAAGGCTTTTCTTTCTCGACAAACTCCTCGGTGTCGATGAGGATGCCTTCGAGTAAGAGCCCTTTCTTGGGCTTTGATCTTGGCTCGGGCACGTATTCAGTGCCCGACGTATCTGCCTTTGCCTTTGCACTCCTGGGCCCGGACTGGCCGCGTAGCTCAGCCGGGCAGCAGGTGCGGAACCGGTCCTTGAGGTCCCCCGCGGTCCGGTTGTTGAACCTAAAATCGGGGTCCTCCAGGATAGTGGTCCATTTCCCAACCCCGTGGCGACTCACCCCAAGCAAGAGGTGGTTTGTCTCTTCCTCGGACCATTTTCTCCGCGGCTTTGCTGCCCGTCTCTTGATCTTCTCGATATTTGTCTTATCCGATTCCAACTCAGAAGTTGAGACCGCTCTATCCTCTCCAACGTTGTTGAACTCCTTCAAGATGCCCAGGTTGGGAGCTTCCGTATCATCAAACGACCCTGAAGCTATGGGTGGAAAGACAGCAGCGTCGGGTGGGGGTTCGTGCAGGCCATTGATAATGGGCGGGACAACTTGTTGGTTGGATTTCTGCTTCTTGAGTGGTTGAGGTAGTTGGACGAAATCATCTTTTACCGTCATGGCCCGATGCCTCTTCTTTCTCGATGCATCATCCGCTATCTCCGGCGCATCGTCGAGGATCATGCGCAGCGAGTGGGAGGATCCATTGAAATCCGGGTCTTCGAGAAGCAACTGGAGTGGATGGGAGGATTTGTTGGTTCGGCTTGAGCCCTCTTTGGAATATGCACCGTCCGCTCGGCATGACTGTCTCGCTGAAGTCTCATCGGCAATTGTGTAAAACGGAGGGATCTGCTTCGATGAGGGGTTCTCTGCCCTCTGTTCGGTCTCAATCGGGGGAAGAGATAGGGAGTCGTTCGAAGAGGGCTTGAAGGGGAAAAGTTGGATGGGCGGGAGATCAGGTGTCTTGGAATCGTTCAGCAAGTGCATCAGCCGTGGCTCGATGGTAGCCATCGCGAAGCAATGCCTTCGGAGATGGCATCGGGGAAGCAGGCGAGGCAGGCAGCGCCTTCGGCAAAAGACTGGTGGCTCAATTCGGCGATCCCCGTCGAGATGCCACTGTAGAGTAGCAGTTGGAAGGTCAGCCCATAGATGCCTCGTCGTCTGGGATATCAGAGGTTATGGTGGCCTGAAATCATGAATTGGTTGCTTGGTGTCGAACTTATTAGATTCCCCGCATAATTTGGCAGATGGCGTTGCCCGCCGTTGGCGGCGCGTGTCTTGGCACTGTGATTTAGTGCGACATCCATGTGGCAACCAACTGATCTCACCTGGCAAGCACGGAGCCGCACCAATCAACCATTCAACAAATGAACTAATCGTCACCTACTTACCAAACACACAGTATTGTATCCTTCAGGGGCTATCGTCTTCGCACCAGCATGGCTTCTCGTCTCCCAGCATTTCCTCGCTTTGTCTTTACAGTGTTCGAACCCATCTCTCTGTAAGTTACTCGGCTGCATCGCACAATACATGCTTTCCGCCTGCAGAAGCTCACACACCTCGCCATAAGTCTCGCTGGGTTCGTGCCGGCAGTCTTTTTGTCGGATTGGTTTGTCTCGGAGCAAGTCGCACGATCTGTCCCAGTCCCCTTGACGGACAATAACCGCCTGGTGGCGCAGCAGCTAGGAAATTGCTATGGGTTGGCTTTCCTAGTCGGGATAGCTGTGTTGTACAGCTCCAACGAGCTGCACGTTGTCAGAAACTATCTGAGAGCCCTGTGGCTAGCTGACCTTGGTCACCTGGCTGTGACCTACAACATACTGCAATATGACCGGTTCTTATATGTCGCAAGTTGGAACCCAATGACATGGGGAAATGTTGGCATTACGGTATGTAGGATCAAGGATCTAATAACGTCGTTCACTAACCAGCTTGAAGCTTTTTCTTTGCTTGACTAGGACAGCGTATCTTCTGGGTTTGTTCGGGCCGGACATTGATGCTCCCCTGGCACCCAAGAAGTCTCAATGAGGCTGTCGAGCTCAGCAGGACTTCCACCTCGCTGGCCACAGTGGGGAATATCTGTTCTGTTACATCATTGCTCCCAATGCTATTCAACTGTAACCAGGGAATAAGACGGGCCTCTCCCAATTTGAGTTGGAAAGAGAAAGTAGTTGGGACATCCACTAGCATCCGGCTTTCTACCTAAGAGCAGTGGACGAGATACTTATCTACCTACCTAACGCACATGGAGACTTCAATTCTGCCTCTGAACCCGTCCAAATTATAGTCGGATGATCGCTCTGAAGCTAAAGCAGATGCCTCCAAGTCAAATGCCAGCTGATGCAGTGGATATCTGGGAGAGATGTCATCCGTAATGCGCTAACTACCTTATAGGGATAGTTAATTAAAATAAAGCTTTCTGGTTTCATCAATTCATCGGGCTGTCGGTCTAGTGATATGATTCTGAGGCTGTCTCGACGGCCAGGGATGGCTATTCGTGAGGCACGGAGGGTTCCGGGCCGCCAAAACGTTTTTGACAGGTGGCATGCGTTTTTGGCAGACGTTGCCGTCGGGGCTGGCAGCTGGTCTCTTCCATGTCTACTTGTCAAATAAATTGGCGGCCTGGAGCCCCTGCCTTGCACAGACCCCCCTGCCCGAATGCCCCTTGATTTTTTTCATCTCCATTTTTTTCCATCTCTATTTTCCTCCCTTGCTTGAATTCCGTCTGCGCTTGCCTGGGACAATGTGCTAATGTACCTATTATGCTGTGTCTTTTTTTTTTTTGTCTCTTTGCTGCCAGTCGTCCTTGAGACTTTGTTGGGCTGTCTTGAACCTCCTAAGTACCTAGAAGCTGGGAATATTCAGCTATCCACCTGTGGGATAGTCTTGGATATTACTGCTCTCGAACCAAAATATCAGCTATTTCCTAGCTCGCATGCTGTCAATTGAGTCAATCCCTACACCCCGTATAACCGGGCCGTTGCCTTCATGCCAAGGAGCCGAGAATTACCCCTGAAATGTGAATGTGTTGGCCTGTGACACCCCTGAAGTAATCCTTTGATGGAATTAACCAGCATTGCGGAATACACACAGTGCCCAAGGTTAGGGTCTAGTTATACTGTAGAGTCAGTCGCTAATCTGCCTTGGTTTTTACAGCGAAGGACGAGGAAGGTCTGGAGAGATGCAGCGCAGTGCAGTTACGTATATCTTACCATCTCGCCTTGAACTTCGTTGGGAATTGATTAGATACAGTATTTTAAGATCAACCACTAATGCAGCCAGTTTATGGGGAAAATTGGGGCTACGTCAGGGGCACCGTGGTTGGAAAATTCGAACGCGTGGCGGTGCACCTAGATCTCGTGCCGTTCCGTTTCTGGCGCGCCCAAGTATCACCCTTTTCTCGTGCATCCCGTGCATCCTGTCGACCTCTATCCCTTGGTTTATCTCCTTTGATCTGATTACTGGCGAGTTTGACTTGGACGCACGCCGACGTACGGGTAACGGCATCTCTCATTGATTCTTTTACGGTCCTTAAATCCACCCACGAAGCACGAAGACGGCACCACCCGCAGACATTAGGATATTCCTCTCCACTGTCCCTAATTCCAGAGCGTAATCTAGAAATACCACTTTAGAGAAACTTGCCCAGCTTAACGAACACCGAGCCTTTTCCCTAAATAAACACTCCCATACGAGTAACGACGTCAATATTCTCCAAAAGATATACACCCTTGACCCCCAGAAAGAATTACCATGAGGCTACGACACCAACGATCGCCACTTCTCCTTCTCCTCATCCCTTCGCTCGCCGCCAGCGCCGCTCTCGCATCCTCATCACCCGACGTTGGCTCTGACACCGACGCAACAGCAGCCACCGCGTATGAATCGACGGGGGCCTTTGGCCCCTCGCACGTAAAGAAGCATGAGGTGGGAACCAAGGATGCTCCCGTGGACGGGAAGGACGGGCGGCCGCACGAGGGCCCGTTCGTTGAGATCGAGAACCTCCGGAAAAACGACGGTGGGGACCCCAACAGGGACCTCCCCGTCATCAAGGACAGGCCGACCGATCCCACCATGATCGATGGCAAACGCATTCCCGATAGCAACGATGGGGTCATGGACGATAAGAATCGGCCGGAACCAAAAATAGGCACCACCGGGACATCCGGAGGCGTCAGCGAGAAGGACAAGGCTAGGAAGGAGAGGGAGGGCAAGTCTGGCGGGAGGATGGAGAACAGACCAGATCCGCCGAAGGAAGCGCCCCCGTTGCCACACAGCGAACAGGAGAAGATTACCCTTGGGGATAAGGAGGCGAAGAAGGACAAGTCAAAGGAAAAGAGCAAGCCCGATGGCAAGCTGTCTGACGATGTTCGGGGACTCGAGGTCAGTTTTAACTTTGCACCATCCTATCTTCCTTTCGGCGGCTTTTTCAATGCTAACACTGGCGCCCACATAGAAGCCAATTGATCTCCCCGACAGGACCGACGACAAATCTCCTCCCTTGCCCAACTCGGCGAACAAGGACCACCTCGATGTGTCCGACAACTCGAAATCTTCCGGGAAGTCAGGGGCCGGGGATGATGCCAACGATGGCCTTCTTCATCCCCTTCATTCATTCTTCCTCTCCTTGACCATGATCTTATTTTCCGAGATCGGCGACAAGACCTTCCTGGTGGCCGCCCTCATGGCCATGAAGCACGACCGCATGGTCGTGTTCTCGGCCGCCCTCAGTGCGTTGATCGCCATGACCGCCCTCTCCGCCATCGTCGGCCACGCCGTCCCGACGCTGATCCCCCAACGCCTGACCAACCTGATGGCCTCGGCCCTCTTCTTCGTCTTTGGCGCCCGCCTGCTCCGCGAAGGGATGGCGATGAGCCCGGACGAGGGCGTGTCCGCCGAGATGCAAGAGGTGGAGATGGAGCTCGAGGAGAAGGAGAACCTCGCCCGGAAGCAAGGCCGCAGGAGGTCGAGCATCTCGCCCTATTCGCTGGAGATGGGCCTGGGCAGCCGCAAGTCCCGATCCAAGTCCCGCTTCCCCACCCCGCCTCGCAGCCCGTCGACCTCGCCCGATCGGAGCCCGTCGCCGAGGAGGAGGACCATTTACGGCTTCCTCGGGGGGCTGAACAACCTCTTGTCTCTCCTCCTCAGCCCCGCCTGGGTCCAGACCTTCGTCATGACCTTCCTGGGCGAGTGGGGCGACCGGAGCCAGATCGCCACCTTCGCCATGGCCGCTGGTCAGGATTATTGGGTGGTAACTCTCGGGGCTATCTTGGGACATGCCTGCTGCACCAGCGTTGCTGTCATTGGAGGCCGCGCCATTGCGGGACGAGTCAGCCTCAAAGTTGGTATGTCGGCCCGCACCCCAATCTCGATCGTGCATATCGTTACTGACCGCCCCAACAGTCACCATGGGAGGCGCCGTTGCCTTCTTGGTCTTCGGGGTCATCTACCTCGTCCATGTCTTCTACTCGTAGCCTCACCCGGGTCAGACGCCCTCCAAACAGCCCACAACAAGCATTCCCCCGCCCACCCGTTGTTCCTCCTTTTATCATCCAAATCGTTCATTGTAATTCTCGGCAATCATAGCCATCCAGACATCTTACGTTTCTCGCACCTGAGCAGCTGGTGGTGGAGGGTTGGGAGTGGGGCTGGTTTTCGTTTTCCCCTCAAAAACAAAGACCGAATAGAACAAGGAAATACATTATGCCCGACCTACGTCGGAGGAACTTGGCTGGGAGCCATGTACATTGAATTCATAGGGCGCGGCTTGGTCGGCAAGCATGGAATATATATGGAGGGGATTATGTGTTCTGCATCGGCTGGAGTTTGGTCAAGAAAGAACAGGCGGGAAATACACGGATCGAAAGTCGTCTTCTCTGTGTGTGGGTGGGAGAGAGGGGAAGAGAGAGAGAGAGAGAGAGAGAGCAACGCTGATAATACGAAAGATGCCATGCCATGCCCATTCCCATGCCCGGATCTCGATGCTCGTGCTGCCCTTTTTTTCGGTGACGTGACAGTAAAGAGTGGCCCTCGGCTTGAAGCTAGGTCTGTGTCTCCAGACTTCGGCCCCGGGAAGGAAGGTTGATCTCTCAAGCTACACAAGTCTCTGTTCGGAATGGACACATGAAGTTTTGGTCGAAATCGTTCGAGGTACTTATTTACAATGTCGTTTTGCATATACAGAAGTATCCTATTCGGGTACCTATTTACAGGTTGCCTCGCACTATATCGCACAAGATCCGCCGCTGGGGAAACACAACCATGAACCCTTGGGCTCGATACAATACTTCCACCACAATATCAGAGCATCAGACGATCTCGTCATTCTTCCGACGGCGATCTCCTGGATGTAGAGTCAACCGAATAGCAACGGTGCTTCCGTCCACCTTCACACTCTCGTGCCAGGGTGTGCCTAGCCAGCAAAGCAAAAGACACCCTGCCCCACCCTTCCTCACCTCCATTCATCCAGATCCCCACCCCGTATCAACCCCGGGCGCGCCCTCCGACCCGCCCCCCACCGAGCCCACCAGACCCACCACGCGGCCCCGGCGCCCAGCACCGCCAGCGCCGTAGCCGGGTAGGCGAACCAGACGAACCGGCCGCCGCCCCCCGCTGCGGCGCCTCCGTCTCCGGCGGCGGGCGAGGGCGGCACCCAGGGCAGCAGCAGCAGGAGGCAGTTGGCGGCGGCGGAGACGACGATGGCGAGGCGCGGGGCGCGGAAGGCCGGGGACCAGCTGCCCGTGGCGCGCAGGAGCAGGAGACCCGCGCCGAGGGCGAGGCCGAGGGCTGAGACGGGGTAGCCGCCGACGTCGACGAGGAAGGCGTAGATGGGCCCGCTGGGAGGGAGGACGATGGCGAGGGTGGAGATGAGCCAGTGGAGCAAGAGGCCGCGGGAGGGCGGGGTGGGGGCGGCGGCCGTGATGGCAGTGGTGTCGTTGCCGTGGTGGTCTGTCTCGGGAGGAGTGAGGCGGAGTTTGGGGAGGATGGTCGTTGGGAGTGGGATGGATGGGCTGGGAGGAGGGGAGGGAGACGACGGATGCGAGCTCGTCCAGAAGTCAGACCATGGAAGAAGACCATCTTTTGCAAGCTCCTCATTTACCCGTGCCTGGACAAAGCTCGTGGCGGCAATGTTCCCCGCGGCTGAGATGATGACAAACATGGGGAGGAAGCGTGCTCCGATCCCGGGACCGAAGACGTTGCGGAAGAAGATGCCAGCAGTCACGACTCCCGCAGACCGGAGGTCGTCCTTGTCGACCACTAGGAAGAAAGCGACGTTTATGGCGAGATATGCCAAGGAAATGAGTGTCAATGCGACCGGCGCGGCTACCTTGAGTGTCCGGACTGGGTTCTTGACATCTGAGAGAACCTGGTTCGCGGTGCTGTAGCCCCTGAAACAGTAGATAATCTTCAGGAGCGCCGTTGCGTAATCATACGGCTGTGTTGACGAACCAGCCCATATGTTGCTGAAGTTTTGCTGAGCAGTACTTTGAGGGACAGCGTCGGTAAAAAGGGGGTCCATTCTTCGTGTCGTTAACATTTCCCGGTCTGCCCTGGTTCCCAGGATACCCCCAGCAAACCCAGACAGTACGACGATCGCAAGCATCAGCATCTTCATGACGCCGAAAATATTGATCAAATACAGGCCAATTTTTGGATGCTTTGCGTGAGTGTAGCAGAGGCAGGAGACAGTGGCTACTGCGATTGCTCTCACATTCCACCGGTTCACCTCGATGTCCAAGGCGTAAAGGACATACTCGCCAAGCACAATGGCATTTGGCGTGGAGAAGCCGAGGAGGACCGCGTACGCCATAAACATGCATGTGGCGAGCATGTACGGCTTCTTGAACATGCGCTCTAGGTAGATACGTTCACCACCACTCCGAGGCATGGCGGTACCAAGATCCTGTTGTGCCATGTAAGTAAGGTTGCGCTCGTCGGAGCCGGGGGAAGACAAGTGTCCTACAAGATATACGGCGAGGCCGCAGAAGGATATCAGGCTGCCGATGACCCATAGTAACAGGGTCATGCCCACAGAACCGACTCCGGCGAAGATGGCAGGTGGCACCGTATAGGCCCCTACGCCAATTGTCTTGCCAACTATGATGTTGATGGCAGATATGACTCCAAGTTTGCCATCTTCCCGTCTGAACCCGCCATACTGGATTCCCGGTGATTGTGGTGGAAGGAACCAGGTTTGGTCCGTCGGCGAGTCTTCTGATAGGGTGCTCTTGGCATCCTCATCGTAGTTATCATCAAGCTCGCCCCAAGCGCCTGCTGAGTTGGGCGTTCTGACACTCAGCAGGAAAGACCCGGAACCCTCTGAGTACTGGTCGTCACCGTGCCTTGCACTGACACTCCTTGTATCTGTGCTTCTTCTGGCGTCGGCACCATACGACGGCCGGACTGGGGAGCGACAAGAGAGATTGAACGATGCATTTAGGGGGGATGCAGCCGTCGAGATGGCGCCATTGAAAAAGGTGCTGGAAAGTCGCCGTACAGTGGAGGTTGTGGACAAGGGTGGTGGTGCCATCTGGTTAGACTGTTCGAAGCATAGGACGGGGTGCCCCTTCGCAGACTGCGCTCAATTGAGCACGTTTCGCGTTTGAGGTATGCCAAGATATAAACCTGCTCACAGGAGAACGGGGAAGAGCATAAATACTCGAATAGCCAGCGCCGAAGGAGGACGGGATTGAGATGGAAATATAGAGCAAGACGAAAGCTTTCACTCGACGACAAGCACTCGACTTGAGAAAACTCATGGAACTCTCGTCCACGAAGCAGCAGCACGAAGATATTAAGCGAAGAGCAAAACGTGTTTAGAAAGTCTCAGACGTGCCAGCATGAGTACCTATCTTGATGAGGCGGACCGCTTGGTACTTGATACATCTTGTGAGCTGCGATACCTACCAGGAAGGCTCGCATTCTTCTCCTTTCTGGCCCAACCTTGAAGTCAAGTGGTTCACAACATCTGCTAGTGCGACCTGGAGTCGGTCCCGCTTGTCAGGAGCAGGGAATCTGGGGCAAGAGTTGCCGAATCTGGTAACTGCCCCAATAGCCGACAAGAGCTGTCCTCGGCCACTGAAGTGAAAGGACGTTTCAAAGCCTTGGCGTGATCGCTGCCCGAGCAGGGACTTGAAACTTGGTTCTGAACTTCGATGCGGGGAGAGGAATGTTGGCTTGTTTCAGCCTTGGCGACGACCCATCCAGGGGTTCCTTCCAGGTTCCTTCCATTCGAAGCTAACCGACGAGGGCCAATCATGTGCCACAAACTTACCTAATTTTTCGAACTTCACCTCAGTCTGGGATCTTCAATCAAGCCAAAACCACCGGGGACCTGAGCCGGTCCAGCCAATCCACGCCTTTCAGGATTGGCGACGTTGATGCCAACCCGGCGTATCGTCGATTAAAAAGCTTGCTTTCTCGAATCGGTTTATGCAGTCTCTGGGGGAAAAGCCTACGGCTTTGCTTGCCGCGTGACTGCAGTCGTGCATCGGATCCAAAACAGCCCTCATAAGTCTGGAGCCAGAGTCCACGTTTTTTTTTCCCCCGAGGAGAGGGGGGAAGGGGGTGCAGAGAGGACGTCGTCTGCTCACGGCGAAAGGGCTATCGCGGTATCTGTTCAGTTATTCCACTCTTCTGTGTTCCCAACACAGCTCATGCGAAATTTGCTCAAAAGTCAACAAGCTTTAATATGGGACCTGATCCTCGGAATCTCAGGCCGCGAGGGGACATAGGCTATTTCACACCCTAGTGTCGCAAGGTTGAATGCGAAGGCTCGTGCTGGAGCAGGCAGTCTCAAGTCTCCTGGCCCTCGTCAAGCAGCTTGTCAAGCAGCTGCACATCGGGACAAATGACAGGGGCCAGTGCGATCTTCAACGTGGTGGAGCTTGCTTCAGGGATCGTCTCGTTGCCCTCGTCGACTCCTGCACAGGTACGGATGTACAGACCCACAAACCACTTGGGGTCAGATGTCGACTTTGACAAATTCCCACGAGTCTCTGGGCATCTGATCTACAATTATCACAATGGTGCGAAATTATCAGCCTCATCTCCCCGGTGGAGCTTGAAATCCAACGGAAAACACGCAGAGAGGGGGGGGGAAAGATAGGCAACGGCTCGATCTATTGGACCCGAGGATCTTCAAGTACTCTACAATTAAGAATGAGTGTCTCAGAATACATAGGTGTCGACAGTGTTCTCGTCGTTCTGCTTCCCAGCAAGCCGTACAGGGTTCCTAACTGACCACCCCAAAGTCAATGGCCCCCACACACATTTTCTTCAAGCGTTACCTTGTGTAGGCCAGTCGTCATCCCCGCCATGTTTCCTCCTAGCTGCAATGCTGCAATGCTGTAATACTGCAATGCGGAATCATCCACCTAGACCGCATCAGTCGCGACAATTATATTGGGACCAGGCGGCTGGGACCGCCACGACTAATAGCACGGAGCTCTGACTTCGAAACGGATATACACTAACCTGTCGTCCTAGGCCCGGGCTCTCCTCGAAGGCGAGGTGCTCGACCAGGGGGAGTAGCTGCGGGCATACTCTGCCGCAGGACTTGCGAACAGAAAGTTTATGAAGGCTTGCAAGAGATATCGAGCTGTTGCGTGCAACTAATACATCGCGGTAACAAGCTATCTTGAAAGCGTTATGCTGTCGAGATTTGTTTGCCTACCCGTCGACGAAAACTGAGGTAGCCCCTTGAGATACTCCTCAGCTAGATGACGGTTGAATATGTCCTGTGTTTCCTACCGTAGTAACTGAAGTCAGAAAACACAACACAAAGACGGCTTCTCAGCCTATCATGGAACAAGGTGCTCGTGAAGAGGGAATATTCGAGTACTGTACCTTGTGTGGTCACGCGTCGCGTGTGAACTGGAAAGCGGATGGACTCGACAGTCGCTCCTTCCTTGTTGATATTCGTGATGATACTGTGTAGGTACAAAGCTTAGGTACCTTGCCTGGCGAGTTAAGGGGAATGTGACTATATCTACCTCTAGCCCTAAGTTCCTCTAAGAACTCGTCGAGGAGCGTCCCCTTTCTTGTCGCGTCTACCCAATGACGCGACCTGGCATCAGCTACCCAAGGAAGCCCTCCTCTCAATTTCACCTCCACCACCAATCCCAACCTCCAGCCCCCGACCCTAGCCTCACCTTTCACTTCGCCGACCGACAAGCAGCCGCGGAATCTGACCGGATTACCCCATCCCTTTCTTCATTGCATCTTTACCCAACATCTCCTATTCGACATCTGCGGCACCTCCCCTGGATATCTAGCCACCCTCTCGAAAACCGATCTTCAGGAGAGTTCACGGAGTATCTCAATCAGAACTTCCCCTTGACACGCGTCGAAGACGCGTGTTTGGCCATGAACCACTATGTTCTACAGCCACGAGAGTAGGTGACTGTCCTAGCCACGTTTGCTGAAGACATGGCTGATCATACTTCACAGTCCTCACCAGCCGGCGTAATGGCGTGTCCACGATTTGGTAAGACTTCCTCGGAACTTCTCGCACATCATGCTCTGGAATTCTGACAAGAACCAGGCTCGCTGCGACGGTGGGACCCAAATCAAGCACGCGAAAAATAACGCGAAAGGCAATCCAAGACGTGAACATTCCGAAAGCATGCCTCACAATCATTGATCCCGGAGCACCCATAGCCTTGCGGTTGCAGAGCAATCTTCTCTATGGCGTTTCCAGGGTGTATTCGCAGCAGTACGCATACATGCTTGGAGATACGGAGAAGGTACAGGCTCACATACAAACCTTCTACCGTGTCTGGGGCAACAGCACAATCGATCTGCAGGCAGACAAGACGACCGCAAGGCAAGTGAAGCCATATAAGGAAGGAACAATGTCAGCTTTTACTAACCAAGAGCAGGTCCTCGCAGTTCATTATTCCGGACGACCCTGCCTTTGAGCTGGAATTCCGGCTCCCAGAGTTCGACCTTGATGGAGACGGAAACGTGGTCATCGCCCAAATCAGTCAGGCTAGCCGCAAGACTTCCTCACAGCTTTCACCGCTCATCCGGGACGGTTCATCCGGAGGTTCTGCGTCCATGATCGCTGGTCTCAACATATCGAGGTCTTCGGAACAAAGGAGTTTCCAGCTGGAGTTGCCATTCGGACGCGACAGTATGGCATCCCAAAAGCGGGGGGAAGGAGCATTGAATTTAGGCGGCGAGGAAGAGCTCGTACCTGCCTTCGACGATTGGGGCATTGAAATCGATACTGACGGGAATGTGATTCTCGCGGTTGAGGAACCCGAACTACCACCTCTCCCGCGCCTGCCTGGCCAGGTTGGAGGTGAATTGGCGCAGCCCCAGAACGAACAAGGTGACGTCGTGATGAACCTAGGCGAAGAGTTCCTACCCGAAGTAGAGGCATTTCCGAAACCCCCAGCCGATCCACCCGCTGAGGAGGAGCAAGGCCCCGAGGCTGCCGCAGCTCCTATGCGACAGCGGAGGGCCCGACGACCCGTTCTACTCATGCCCGACGCGGAGACCATAGTTAGCAAACACGAGTTCCGAGCCTGGGAGGCAAATTATTTAGCCACTCAAGAAGAAGCCCTACGCAACAAAGCAAGCATTTCGACAGGTCCTGTTCAAGCCAGAAAGAACGCATGGACTCTCTTATTCGGCCGCGGCCTCATGGACGTTGGACTGCCAACAGGCATCCCGGATGGCGTCCACCCTCTTGCCGAACAGTTCGCAGGCGTTGGCTTGGCAAAGTCACTCGGAATCAACATCAGCTCTGAAGAGTTCAATGGGCTTCATGGTCGCCGCCGGTCTGCCGACGAGGCCTTCGACATGGAAGATGAAGATCGCCGTGTCCGTGCGCGATTTGCCGATGGGGAGCAGGTTGGCCGAAGCATTCAACAACAGGAAGATATGCCTCTGATCTTTGACCAAGACGTGGAAGTCGGGAGAGAGCCGGGTTCGGCCCTGTCAGATATCCCATCTTCAGTGCCCTGGAATCGGCCCGGCTCCTCAGTCCATGGCAGTGCCAAGGCTACCTCTTTCCTTGCTGGCCGGCAAGTGAGTGCCAGTCCTCTTCACGGACGAGGAAGCACTTTTCAAGAAATCGAGCGCTTCAGTGACCAGCCGGACTTCGGATCTGACGACTTCGTGCCGCACAGCTCGTCCTTCCTGCATGGAGGACCAGTCGGCGGCAGCGGGCGTCAGGATGGGGAATTGATTCAGGAGGCCAGCGATCTGGAGAGCCGGAACTTTCTTGGTTTTGTGGAGCGCGTTGCTGGAGAAAAGGGGGCAATCCGTGCCGATGATGAGCACGACCAACGCCTCTGGGTCTCATTCAACGACCTCTTCGAGCCGGCGGACAACAAAAAGGCTGTGGTTACCCAGGCCTTCTGCAACGTCCTGTCGCTGGCTACTAGGAACAAGATCAGGGTTGAGCAGGAGGGCGAGAACGAGACGCCATTTGGGACGATTCGCTTGGGTGTTGTTATTTCGGAGTAAGGGGGTGTTGAGCTTGGCAACATTCGAGATGACGACTGGACGTCAATTTGCTGGGTCGTCTGGGTAACGATCAGGCAGCTCTGATTGGCCGGAGTTGGGGCCATTATGTGGGATCGGGATCATAAGGTTCGAGGGCGGATTTGCACTGGGTTTATGGACCAACGGCTTTATGGGAAAATGTGCTATTGCTTGCTGTATCTTCGACGGGATTCCTCGCATAAAGATCCCACAGGGTAAATACCCACTAATAGAACGTCAATCTGGATGCCTCACCCCGCCTCGCATGATTTCATCTGACAGAATCGCGGCTCCGTCTCGGCCCCACACACACCGGTGGAACGGAAGCCGGATGCCTGCACCTTCACAACTAGTTGGCTCATTGCTGACATTGAATGTGGTCTAAGGCGGCATGGGCCCCGAGTCAGTCGGTGCTACCAAGTCTGTGCCTTCCAGAGGGAAACTCCCCGTCACGCGGTAAGGGCTTCGAATTACCCCTTTCACGCCGTCTCCATGTCCGATGCCGCCAACGCCGCTGACGTCTTTGGATGCTCAACTGGAACTCTCACGACGTCGAACATGGAATGGCACCTACTGCTAGTAGTGTCGAGTGCTTGCTGCAGACATGAGATGCTCGCATTATCTTGGTTGCAATAAAATATTCATTAATTTCATCTAACATTCGCAAGAGCGTGATTCATCTATTTATTACAGTCGTATTAACGCCACTAGCCGGACCTCCATCCGGGGATGTTACACGTGTGTGCGTTTTCAAACGGCAGGTATCATCAAATGGTCACTCGTAATCATCGTCACATTCTTCCGCGCCTTCGCGGTCGGGAAAGATCATGTACTCGGTCTCAGGATCATCGGCTGCGGAGCCCATGACCACTTTCCAGGCCTCATGTACTGGCTCGAGGGTCGAGTCATCAAATGCAAGACCGGGGGCCGAGCCGGGTAGAGTCAGAACCTTTCCATCCGACTCGTTCCCGATGCCCCCCGAGCCAGACAAATACTCGTAGTAGAACCTGTACAGGCATTGCGGCTTTTTGGTTTCATCAACGGCCGCGAGGAAGGAGCTGACTGCCGCTTCAAGCCGGGCCCTGGCCTGCTCGGTGGTGTTCTCGGTGAGAGTTGTGAAATAGAGCACGCCTGAGGAACTAGTCAGTATAATTATTCCCAATTCCTCGATAGCAAATAAGTTGTGTAAGGAATGAATGCGAGTACATCAGACTGTCAGAGGTATGTTTACGTCATGGTCCATAGGACTCAGACAATGTAGATAAGTATTCAAAATGTGTATCATCATGATACTCGGCGAGGGGATTATGAAGGGTTGGGGTCAGCAAGAGAAATGAGACTCACTTTGTCCGGTGGGACACTCGCCAGTTTCGCTCGAGTGAGTGAAAGCATAGATGGGCGAGTCCAGTGTATGCTCGGGATCCGAAGATCCGGCCAGAAATGCGATCACAGCAACAGCCGGGGCCGGAGCGCCCTCAACAAGTGGCTCGAACAACGACCTCAAGGACGAATCGACGACTACCACGAGCCTGCTTGTCCGCTTGCTATTCTTCCCACCATCCGTGTGCTCGCTGCCTTTCACCAGCAGCTGTGTCTCAACTCGGACATCGCCCTCTGGCTCGGTTGACAAATCAAGCTGGAGTTTATCGGAGCCTTGAGTATGATGGACCTCATTGAGCCTCGTGCCAAGCTTGTAAACTGCTCCGCCCACGGCACCTGCCCGACATGCCACCTGGGCAATCTCGGAAATGCCCCCCCACTTGGGATATACGGCGGCGAACCCGGGGCCAAACATGCCCATCGACGTGAGATGCTTGTGGATGATGGCCAGGCCTTCTTTTGCCGTGATTGACTTGCAGAGTGACAATGTCAGGGTGTGGACAAACATCTGCAGCTCGGCATCCAGGCCGAATTGGCTCCGCAGTAACTCGGCCAGCGGCTTCTCCGCAAACGGCTGCCAAGTCTCCCTCTGCTGCGTGCCTTCGTAATCGAGGACGAACTTGAGAAACTTCATAAGGGAGCGCTTCGAGCGGGCAGGAATGGCGGTGGCGGAGAACACATCCTCCCGCGTCGAAGGGATGCGGGTAAGGGACGGAGCCTGGCTGGGTTTGGACGATGTCTTGAAGACGAAGAACGAGCCGACAGCGAGGAACTCGAGCTGCCGATAGGCGCGGGAGGAGACAAGCTGCGACAGAAGAGTCGACCGGCCGTGGATGATCTGTGGGGAGAGGGCGAGAGAGTAGGCACGTGAAAAGGAGAGACCGGATGTCTCGGGGGACTTGGTTACGGACGCCGATCCGAATGAGGGATTGGGTTCCAGTGACGAATGCTTCTCGGTCCAACCCTCGGCCTCCTGGAGGCTGAGCGAGGCATCTGGGCCGCCGTAGTAATCATTTGGGTCTAGGTGTAGAACTTTCTTTCCAGACCGTGAGAGGGATCTTCATGGCGGAGCACGTCTAGGTCAGTCAGACGGGCGATATTGGAAATGCTCAGTCGCTTGAGGTGCTTACAATGCCAGGAAGGACTCCTGAAGGCCAGTGCCATAAATGACAACGTCCCAAAGGGTTTCAGTTATTGACTCCATCTTGGCCGCAAGACACACATTTTTCTGTAGCCTGCAGGATTTTGGATGGGTTAGGGCCAGAGATGAAGACTGCAGAATTTGGACGAAGCTTTTAAACAGGTCCACTCCAGTCACTCGGGGGTGATATCGGGCATAATATAATCCGTCTATTAAGCGCGGGGCGGGGCCCCGTTAGAGCGATACCAAATTTCGTACATCAAAACTGAGCGAAAACGGCTCCAGAGAAAAATTCATTCAGCAACCGCCTCAGCAAAAGCCACGATCCGCTGCTTGCACTCCACAGCATTGCTGGACTTGAAAACACCTTTCACTAGGCATTTCACGAGCTGGGCGGGAGACCAAATTACTCCTCCTGTATCTACTGCTCTGGAAATACCAACTGTAAGGGCGGTTCGAAAGGTCGAGACATTCATCTTGGAGGGCCATGTCTTCTATATAATTCACGAGTGCCGCCTATGCGCGACCTCTAGTCATCTGCCGCATCTCGTTGTAGTCCAAACATCTTCATCGACTGGGCAGAGTTGCGGTAGCTCCATCGACTTTGATATCGGCACCTTGGAAAAGGCCGTACGCAGCCTGTTGGCTTGGAAGCAAGTACTGAATGGTTGCAGTTACCCACCATCTAGGACTGGGATAGGAAGAATCACTGGGTATAGGACTGCTGTTACTTGTAGTCGCCATATGCTGCTCTTTATACGGCCTCTCATGAGCACCTGCTAGAGAGCTTGAGCAGGTCTACGAGACTGACCTTGTGGCCGATGTAAACCAGGAAGCAACACCAAAAGCGAACGTGCGAATTACAACCAAATCAACCAATTGCGTAGATATCGTACATGGGTTTCTGGTTGAACAGCCACGCACTTGTAATTCCGCAACAATGCCATACCCTCCCAGACGCCAGTGCAGGCCAACCCATCTATATGGCAAATACAAACGTGAGACAAGTATGCAGAGTGGTACAGTGTGTTGAATCAAGAAACGAGGCATTTGGGGGTTCATAGGGAATCCCGCTTGTCTTGGTCAAGAGCAACAGCCTTGCCAAGAGCATCAGCAGCCATGGGTTTCTCCCCGGCACGCTTCCGCAGCACGTTCTCGATGAAGGCCTCGCCGGCCTTATAAGAAGATCGTACCAACGGCCCACTGGCACAGTAAAGGAAGCCCATGTCCAGGGCCCGTTGCCGCCAGAGCTCAAACTCATCCGGCGTCACGTACTTTTCCACCTTGAGATGCCGCTTTGTTGGTCGCATGTACTGGCCGAAAGTGACGACATCAACATCCACCTTCCTAAGTTCTGTAGTTCCAAGTTAGATTTTCGTTGCTTGACTGTAAAAAGTTCAGGTAGGTGGGTGCTTACCTCTGAGGGCTTCCCAGAGTTCCTCCTCTGTCTCGCCCAGACCGAGCATGATACTAGTCTTGGTGATGATACCCTCCTTTCCACGAACCTCCTTGACATGCCCTAGGACCTTCAAGCTCTGCCTGAAGGTCGCCCTCCTATCCCTGACATACGGCGTCAGGCCCTCGACCGTCTCGACATTGTGCGCATAGACGTCCAGGCCGCTCTCGGCCACGATCTTGACCATGTCCAGGTCACCCGCGAAGTCGCCCGTCAGGGCCTCGACCAGCAGGGTGGGCTTCTTCTGCTTGATCCTGCGGATCGTCTCGGCGAAGTGCCTGGCGCCGCCGTCGGCCAGGTCGTCGCGGTCGACGCTGGTCAGGACGACGTACCCGAGCCCCCACCGGGCCAGGGCCTCGGCCGTGTTCTCGGGCTCGTGCGGGTCCAGCGGCGGCGGGCGGCGGCTCGTCTTGACGCTGCAGAAGCGGCAGCCGCGCGTGCACGTGTCGCCCATCAGCATGATGGTGGCCGTCGCGGACGCTTTGTTCGACCCGCCCCAGCACTCGCCGATGTTGGGGCACCGCGCCTCCTCGCAGACCGTGTGCAGGTTCAGGCCCCGGAGGTCGGCCTTGATCTTGGCGAAGTTGCTGTTGGTCCCTGCCGACGGGATTGGCGTCTTGAGCCACTCCGGCAGCCGCGTGATGGTCCGCTTGCGGCCTTCGGGGCCGACCTCTGCGGTGCGGAGGGTGTAGGCCTCGCTGGCCGGCAGGGGGGTAGTCTGTGATGAGGAAATAAACTCGGAGAGCTCTACTACGGTCGTGTCTTTGAAGTAGGTCGGTCTTGGCCGACTGTTGGAGGAGGGGGGTTTTGTCTGGGATGACTCGGAACTGGCGGCAGGTATTGTGGCGTAGGACCGGACGGAGGAGACGCCGGGCGCCAGAGAGCGTCGGAGCGGTGCACTGATGCGCTGGAGAGACGGGGCAGCGGATGCCATGCTGGCGATATCGTAATTGGCAAGAATTGGCTAGAGACGAAGTCGCCGTTGATCAACGTTCCGTGTAGGTTGTCGGTGACGGAACTTTCACAAAAAGTACTTATGTCGGGGTTTGGGCAGTCCAGACCCAAAACAGTATCGGTTCTGCCTTCCCAGACCACATTCCTCGCCACATTGAACATTGCGCTAGTATCAGCCCTATGCCTTGCCAATCACTTAGGTAGTTACCTTCTATGCATCATTACCAACCGAGCTGCTCTGTTTGTTTCCTGCGCTTATTCCAGGACGTTTGCTCTCCGTTCGGGGTGGTTGGTGAGCCTGCGTGTCCCGACAGCTACTTGGATTAATGCAAGGAAATCGGTCTCACGACCCGGGGGCTTAGAAAAGAACGTGTTGATGGTTCGTAACCTAATCTATATATATATATATATATCTCTTAAGAGATTTGATTTTCTCTACTAGATAACAAATATACAACTCTACAAGCGTGAAGCGTTACAGCCTGACCTTTAGGACAGACAAACTGCCCATATCCTTCGATATGCACTGGTAGCTCAATGTGCGGCATCTCAAACCCTTGCAGCAGCTTTCTGGATTCGTTCTAGATCGCCCGACTCTTCACACAGGTAGCGAAACACGGCGTCGGGACCTTCGCGCTGGAGAAACTCGTCGAGTGACCCTTGTTCGACGATACGGCCGGCGTCTAGAACGATGATACGGTCGTAATCGGCGATGGTGTGCAGGCGGTGCGCGATGGTCAGCAAGGTCGTATTGGCGGACACGCTCAAGCGCAGTGTCTCCTGAATCATAGTGTCCGTGTCGTGGTCGATGGACGCGGTGGCCTCGTCGAGCACGAGGACGCGGGACTGCCACACGAGCGCGCGGGCGATATACAGAGGAGCTGCCGCCGCCCCAACGAAAGGCCCCCGATCGGGCTGTCGAGGTTTGTGTTGGGTGGCGTCTCGGCCAGACGCACGCTTCGCAACGCGGCACGCAGATCCTCGTCGATGTAGTGGTGCAAGGGATCGAGGTTCTCGCGCAGACTGCCCTTGAAGATTGAAGGATCCTGGCACCACCGTCACGGCGTGACGAAGCTGCTGTCTGCCTCTCGAGGCCCCTGATCAGAGCGAGTGTCAGGGTGCTCTTCCCGGCGCCGGTGCGCCCTACGACGGCGACACGCTGTCCGGCTCCCTCCAACGGCCGCTCCGAGGACTGGCTTGGGCTGGGTGGTTCTGCCGCCTCCTGCTCGACTCCTCCGTATTCGATGATTCTCTCTACCGAGTTGAGGCTCTGCTGAACCTCGGCGTAAAGCTGCACGAAGTAGAATATATTCTCGGTAAATGTCGCGGCATACGTCAGGACGAGACCCCAATCCCGATTCCAATATTCGATCCACGATCCACCCCATCCTCATTTCCTCGTAAAAGTTGCGAACAGCGTCGGCAGAATCTAGACGTCGCGGGACTTGAGGACAAAGCTTCGAAACGATGAGTAAATCTCATCCTACATAGATCCATGGCTTACATTTAGCTTGGCCTCCCTAGATATCGAGTCTAGTTCGCCCAAATCTCTCGTCCAAAGTCGGTAGTGTCTCCAGCACAGGTACGTAGAGACCCGCCTCATTGGGAATAGCAGTTGGGAGATCTGTAAACGTCTTGAGATCCCAGGACCCCGCGCGACCGCAGACAATCTGGAACTGTGTCGTCACGTCTTGCACTGTAGACTCAATGAAGTGGTCTGCTCGTGAGGCGCGAGTGCGTAGGGTTTCGTATATCTCCGGACTGAAAACCGGGTCCGCCCACGCCAGTCCTTACAAAAAGTAGGGACTGGCTTGGGCTGGATTACCATACAAATCACAAAGGTTTTGGCCCGCCTAGATCCGCGCGAGGTCATGCAAGCCAGGTTCCTGAGGAAAAAGATGGCACCTCGATGAATCAGTCAAACTACTGTGGTACGTGCGCGGCATGTCTGGCAATAGGTTCTTAACATAGTTTCGCGGGAACACAACATAGCAAGGTGCTAGATATGGCATCAGCATTTAACGTAAACGCAAAGGAGCAGAGAGCATTCTCAAGACTCTCATTGCAACACACGTGAAGGACAAGCCAATCGACGCGTGGGGGTCAGTATCAAAGTCGTGGGAAATCCCATGTCACTGTGAGAAGGAGCCTGTTTGAGGACCGTGACCTTGGTTGTGGCATATATTTCGATGTTGTAGAGACTGGTGGTACCCTGATTAGCAAAAGCACCCCGAATGAAAGCGTCAGAAGTAGCAGAGCAGGTGATGTAGTTCATACATCCCGTTCACAGCACGTCTGAATAGGCTCGACGACGGCTAACGTGGAAACTGCGAATTGAGGTGGAAATCTAATCATGGTAACGTAGAAGACGGCAATGAAAAAGCAAATGGTACATACCATGCGGAGAACGTTTGGGGCGGATGATGGCGACGGAAAGATGAGCCGGGAGGGTAGAGGATTGCGGGCTGAGTGAGGCTCATCTGGGTTCAGAGGAAGAACGCATGTGCAGCTTAGGAGACAGGTAGAAGAATGAGAGCAATAAATCTTGAGACCGTCTCGGAGCCCTTAGCATTGGCTGCAAAAGTGTTGTGTATTTGGGAGAAAACTCTGTAGTAGAGCAATGGAGCTTTTTATACGGGCGCATAGCGCAAGGACCCTGTTGCTTGATCACGGAAACGGGCCGGTGCTCCTGCAAGCCGAAAGTTTTGAGCTTCAAAAAATCGGGAAGATTTGGGGTCACGTGCGCCGATAGTATCCGATCCAAGCCGGAGCTGGTCCGGTCTTCCTGCTCTCATTATAGGTAGAACATAATCGATGATTATTACGGAGGTACATGTCTCCAGTTGCTTATTGTGCAGTAATAGTCTATGTAATGAAAGGAGAGGCAGTCGCTACTACTACTGCCTTATGTTGCAATCCATAGAAAAACTTGGGTGTTTAAACGCGGATCCTAGCAAAAGTGGAGACCTTGTCTGCCAGATGTCTACAGATTACATAGGGACGTTATCTTATCTTGCTCTCCAGAGAGGAGCCAGAAAAGTTGGATCATTTCTTTATTTGAATGTCCAGCAGCCAGACCAGAGCGAAGGCGGCGAACTGTGTAGCGAAGGGATTGGATGGCGATGAAACAAAGGTGCAACAAGGTTGGAGAAATGGAAGAATTTGCCGCTGTCTCGGCCTGCCAAAAGAGAACGAGACGGCCTTAATTGACCGCAATAAGGAAAAGCAAAACAAGAGGTACCTAACTGCCTCCTTTAGTCTCTAGTGTATCCAGAAGGATGCACACCACAGCCACAACCAGACGCTGAGGCTGACCGCTGACGAGGATTATTGCGTAATGCCACATTGAGCATACTTTGGAGGCTTGCTTGATGCAAAGTAAGAACGAACTTGATATCTCAGCCCGAGCTACACAAGTGCAACTAGTTATTGTCCTTGTTATTGGTTTTCCGTGTAATCTGCAGTTGTGATACGAAAGAACAAACAGAACCAGAAGCCAGAAACAGGTACGGAAAGCAGTGAGTGGTCCGACCAGGGTCTATTCCTACACAGACCAGCTCCCTTCGGCTCTGGGTTCTCTTGTACTTCCGTCCCTCCCAAAACGTCTCACGACTCGACAAACCTCTTTCAACCTCCGAATTCCAAACTTCCAACCTTTCCCATTCCAACCTTTCCAACCTTTCCCGTCACCATCCTCAATACCTGCGACCCCGCCGATTTCGCATTTTGCATCGATAGATAAAAGACTGCGACCTTCCGATCCTTCCGCGATACCGATAACCAGGCATTCCCGACATAATCAACCTCGCCAATATGCCCGAGGACGCCCCCTATGATCCCTACATCCCCAGCGGCCAGGCCGCACCACAGCAGCAGCCACAAGGTACCGGCAATGCCAGAACACAGGCGCTGCAAGCGGTGAGTGGTTTGACTCTCTCATGATAGTTTTGGCGATGGAAACCGGGATGGGTCTTTGGGTTCTGAAATGGCCACTCGATCGCTTGCGCCGGCTGCGTCCTCCTTGTGATCGACAGCGCTCATTTGCGACGACACTACCGAGTCTACACCCCTTGTGTAAATCACGGCATCATCGGAATTGCGGTTAATCCTTCGCATCTCCTTTCATGGGGCTCCCGACAATCCGTGTTGTCCCGTTGAAAACGAAACCTATCGAAGCCACGAGGATGCAGCAGACCGGTGCACTAGATTGAGGTGGCGAATGCATATCTCCTCTTGGCCATGGCACAGATAGACTATTCAGATGATGCTTGTCTTGAGACTGACTTGGGAATCAATAGCAAATCGACGACACAGTCGGAGTGATGCGCGAGAACATCAACAAGGTCTCACAACGTGGCGAACGACTTGATGCTCTTCAAGACAAGACCGACAACCTGGCTGTCTCTGCCCAGGGCTTCCGACGTGGAGCCAACCGAGTCCGCAAGCAGATGTGGTGGAAGGTATTCAACTGGCTCCTGCTCGGTGCCTCTTTGCGTTCAAGCATGCTGACGTTGGCCAGGACATGAAAATGCGCATGTGCATCATTGGAGGTGTCATTATTCTCATCCTCATCATTGTCATCCCAAGTATGCAACTACCCTACTGCTACCTGTTCGCCACAACCATGGCAGTGATCGCTGACTCGGCTCATAGTCGTCGTAACCCGTTAGGAGTACCCAACAACCCCCCAGCTTTGACTATGAATCGGATACGATTTTGGGCGGCACGAAACTGGATTTCGACGACTACGAACACTCGGGAAGACGGGATGGGCATTGTCATGGATTGATTTTGAGGGGAGTTCTTGCTTTCATGGTCTCATTTCTCTTGTTCGGTTCAGCCCACGAGTTGCTGCTTTTCAATTGCCCGGTCTTCGGTTTTCGAAGACAGTAGCTGTCAATTGCGACTCGACCGGACACCCAACTGTACCTATGATGGAAGGCGAGGAGGCGTTTCGTTTACCCAACCCCGATTAATTGTGATGGATTCCAAGATGACACCCTTGTTTACCTACCACCTAGCTCCCTGTGAAACGTGTGACTCGGAACATTGGTGGGAATGGAAGCAAGCTATTGCCGGCCGGCCAACGCCAGATGTCAAGTTGTACAGCATTGCGGTCGAGTTCAGGAACGCGCCGCAGACATTGGCTCACCTTGCTCCGATTTACTGGAGATGAAAGGCTTGTATGACCTGAGCCTCAACTATTACACGGTATGTAGGTAGGTAGAGCTGCGCGTAAACCCCCATTTCACGGGATCGCCCGTCTCTCCAACATGCACAATAAGTATCATGCATGACCTCTCAGGTACAAGTCGGAGCAATCTACTTCTAGATAACTCGAAGTTCGATCGTATTTCAGGGTATTTGTAGAGTATTTGGGGAAGGATGACATGCACAGTGTAGGTACCTGTATGTACGTAACTTGGTACCTTCCAGGTTATTAGTCCCAATGATCAACCCACAAGGTACCTTGAGCGATTTCGGGGGATGAATTTTTTTCTCAATTGCCCCTCCTCCAAAGCCCATACCTAGGTTGTCGGTCACTTCGCCCCGGCCAAGAGCGACCAGGGCATTCGATAAGGGACACTCCGGTTACCGCCATTTCCTCCCTCTTACAGTTTCTCCTTCCGATGGTCTAGGAAACCCAGGACTGAGAGCTCAATTGACCCAACTAGCTCTCCGGTTGTGAGTCACTGAAGTGTTGGGAATAGCCTCCTCAGCACTATGTCCTGACCGCCCATCGCACTTCACATCCAGAGTCGCGAGTCTGCTAATCTAACCTGAACCCAAGAGTCACACAGTTGTTTTTGGCTGGGTGTTAAAAGAACCTCCTCAACCATGCTTTCTGCATGCTCCGTGTCTCTTCGGGCGGGCGCCCGCCGCGCCGTCCGACGCCTGCCAAGGGCTCGAGTAGCCGCCATTCGCTCTCACCGACCCTTCTCCGTTTCCGCCTCGCGAGCCAACGACCTCAGCACTCGGGGCATGATTGTCCAGACCCTCAGCACCGTCGGCTCCAAGCGCGAAGTCCAGCAGTACCTGTCTCTGTTCACCTCGGTCTCCCAACAACGATTCGCCGTGATCAAGGTCGGGGGTGCCATCCTGACCGACTATCTCGACGAGCTGTGTTCTAGTCTGGCATTTCTCTACACCGTCGGCCTCTACCCCGTCATTGTACACGGCGCCGGTCCGCAGCTGAACAACCTGCTGGAGCAGGCCGGCGTGGAGCCCCAGTTTGAAGAGGGGATCAGGATCACGGATGCGAAGACCCTCCAGGTGGCGCGGAACCTCTTCCTCCAGGAGAACCTCAAATTGGTCAACAAGCTCGAAGAGAAGGGAGTCCATGCTCAGCCCTTGACCCTGGGCATGTTCACGGCAGACTATCTCAACAAAGACAAGTGGGGCTACGTTGGCAAGATCACCGGCGTCAACAAGGAGTCGATCGAGGCGGCCATTGGCAATGGGTACCTTCCGATCCTTACGTCGATGGCTATGACTGAGGACGGCCAGATCCTCAACGTCAATGCCGACGTTGCAGCTGCCGAGTTGGCGCGCGCTCTGGAGCCGCTAAAGGTTGTCTACCTCTCCGAAAAGGGTGGCTTGTTCGATGCCGCGGGCCAGAAGATCTCTGCCATCAATCTAGACGAGGAGTACGATCATTTGATGTCACAGGAGTGGGTCAGGTACGGCACTCGTCTGAAGATCAGGGAAATCAAGGAACTGCTGGACACCCTTCCACGCACCACCAGTGTCGCCATCATCCACCCGCAGGATCTGCAAAAGGAGCTGTTTACTGATTCGGGTGCCGGTACTCTGATTCGGCGAGGTAGCAAACTGGTTTCGTCGAGCAGCGTGTCTGACTTCAAGGACACAGAGAAGCTGAAGGCCGTCCTCGTTCGCGACCGGGAGGGTCCAGATGCCAAGGTTACTGTCGATCAGTACGTAGAGTTCTTGAAGGAGAACCCATTCAAGGCATACTACGACGACCCAATGAACGCCCTAGCTATCGTCCTTCCGCCGAGCGAAACCCGGTCCCAGGCTACCCTTGCCACCCTGACCATCACCAAGTCGGGCTGGTTGACGAACGTCGCCGACAATATCTTCACCACGCTGAGGAAGGAGCACCCTAAGCTCGTCTGGACCGTGAAGGAGGATGACGAGAATCTGACCTGGTTCTACGACAAGGCAGATGGCAGCATTGCCAGGAATGGCGATGTTATGTTTTGGTACGGGATCGACGGTGGTGACGAGATCATCCAGTTGATGAAAGAGTTCACCATGCACGGTCGGGCCATGCTGGGAGACTCGAATCTCGAGTCCCGTCTGCATCGCGCTGCCAGCATTGCTTCACAGGCAGCCCGCCCTGCCCCAGCGCAACAAGCCCGCGGCTACTCCACGCTGGCACGGCGCCCGGTCTTGCCCACGTGGTCCCTCTCGCAAACCACAAGGGGATACGCGACTACGACCAACCCAAACCCTCCATACGGGCGGAAAAACGTCTCGAAGACCCAGCCTGCCAGGGTCGCGCTCATTGGTGCCCGTGGATATACCGGACAGGCCCTAATTTCGCTTCTTAATTCCCATCCCAACATGGACCTCCTCCACGTCTCGTCTCGGGAGCTTGCTGGCCAGAAGCTGGTGGGTTACGACAAGCAGGACATCACCTACGAGAACCTCAGCCCCGAGGATGTTCGAGATATGGAGAAACGGGGGGAAATCGACTGTTGGGTTATGGCACTGCCGAATGGCGTTTGCAAGCCCTACGTTGACGCCATCTACGAAGCCCGGAAGTCGTCCGAGCACAGGAGTCTGATCGTGGATCTGTCGGCCGACTATCGGTTCGACAAATCTTGGACGTACGGTCTCCCGGAGCTGGTTCAGCGATCCGACATCGCAAAGGCGACTGAGATCGCGAACCCCGGGTGCTATGCAACGGCCGCACAGCTTGGCATTGCGCCCCTTGTCGAATACCTTGGAGGCCAGCCGACCGTCTTCGGCGTATCGGGCTACTCTGGCGCCGGCACCAAGCCGAGCTCCAAGAACGATGTCGAGCTCCTCACCAACAACCTTATCCCATACAGCTTGACGGATCATATCCACGAGCGCGAGATCAGCAGCCAGCTCGGTGCCGAGGTAGCATTTATTCCCCACGTCGCCGTCTGGTTCCAGGGCATCCACCACAGCATCTCCATCCCGCTGAACAAGACCATGACCTCCCGCGACATCCGCCAGATCTACCAGGACCGGTACGCCGGCGAGAAGCTCGTCAAGGTCGTCGGTGAAGCCCCACTCGTTAAGGCAATCAGCGGAAAGCACGGTGTGGAGATTGGCGGCTTTGCGGTGCACAGCTCGGGGAAGAGGGTCGTTGTTTGCGCAACCATCGACAACCTGCTCAAGGGTGCCGCGACACAGTGTCTGCGTATGTTGATACCTTTAATCTCTTTCCCCCACCCCTCCCCGCCCCCTTCCCGGTCTCCTGGATGAACCGCAGCACTAACCGTCTCACAGAAAACATGAATCTCGCTCTGGGTTATGCGGAGTACGAGGGTATCCCAGTCATGTGATAGACTAGAGTTTTGGGGAGATGTGTCGCACAATGCTCATTGCACGCGTCGTTACCGTTTTGCTTACCTTGTTCCTTTTTTTTCTCCTTTCACCCTTACTAAGGCTTCAGCGCGTCCACTTGGCTGCGGGTCATGGAGTTTACTGGACTCGAATGGGTCTGACCGGCTATCTTTGAGTCAAGTTGTATCCAAATGGTAGCTGGTTGTATATAAGAGAGCTACCTATCGCAGCAAATCAAAGCATTAGAATTTCAGGGTTTAAAGACTTGAGGAAGACGGCTGGACGGATAGGTAATTGAGGCAGTGGAAGAGTGGGGCCGGTTGCGGCGTGAATACTTACGTAATCCAAAAATCATTTATGGACATCAACTCCATGAACGGGCCAGCTACCTTGATCTTGAGCAGAGGTAGTCGACAGCTTCAACACCGCCAAGATGTCCATGTTTAGGGCCAAAAAGCTCGATCTGGGCTGCTTCGTCAATGTCAAGATTATACGCGATCACACCAAGCGGAAGGTCTTCGAGGAATTCGAACCTCAGAGGTGAAATCCCCCGCGCCCTCGATCCCATCACGAGCCTAGTTGCGATTCTTAGGATTGAAGCCAGAGAGATTGGTATTTTCCCCCGGGACATGTGCTGACAGTTTTCTTCTTTCGATCATGCAGGCAGGCACTCCGGTACATCGTCCGCAACACGGCGCTCCCGGTGCGAACGAGGGCCGAGGCCCAGCTGCAGCTGACCCAGATGCACTGCTACACCCGGCCGACGCAGATCCGGAACCGGTGCGTGATGGGCGGCAAGGGGCGCGGCGTCCTGCGGGACTTTAAGCTCTCGAGGGTATGTTTCGGCCTGGTCCAGAGGCGACAAAGGGAGGAGTTGATGCAGTCTGGATACACATGCTGACGATGGGTGCGACTACAGTACAACTTCAGAATGCAGGCTCTGGAGGGCAATATACCTGGCGTGAAGAAGGCTAGTTGGTAATTGCTGGGCTTTGGAGGGATGGCTCGGGGGATCAATCCGGCTGGTCTCTCCAAGGATCGGGGAATCTTCGAGCTGGCTAGGGTTGGGACGAAGTTGGGGAGATCAAAAGAGGGGGAGAGTGTGTGTGTACGATCAAGGCTGGCGGTTGTGTACAAACACCCTGTCAAACTACCACGAAGAATCTATGAACCTCAAACGAACTTCTATGCTGCAATGCGAGTGGCTCGTCGGTGTTTGTCTGGGGCCGTCGCGTTTGCTCTCCATACAGGTCCCTAGTATCGGAAGCTACCTAGGTTCAGCAATCTCTCCGCGAGTGGGAATCCCTCTTCCAAACAGTTACGTCTTGTCACCTTCCTGGAGACCACATAGCTACCTTGAGCAAGGTACAATTTTCCAATATCTGACCCAATTCACTTTCTTGACTTTCCTTCCCTATCCTATCTAGGAAGCAGCTACCTTGACTCCCTCCCCCGCACACCGACTGCTCACCCTCACAGTTTATCGATCTGCGCTGCTTGACCTTTTCCGACCTCTTCTACTCACACATATCACCTTCCGATACCTGATACTTGGATTCTTGCCACTCATTTTCTTCGGCGGCATTGTGATCATGTTTCGACGCCGGTGGTCGGGTCTCCCGGCCGATCCAGTCTATCCTGCCGATCTGACGGAACTCGGGTATGCCTTCACATTCAAAAGACTTGCCAATCAATACGCATCTGCTAACAATGTACAAAGCTACTTTGTCAACGGCGACGACGAGATCCGCTCCATCGAGGATCCCAAGAAATACTTCAAGTACTTCATCACCAAAAACGACCGCTGGAACGAGAGACAGCGCTTCGCCCTGAAAGGTATGCCCTCCCGAGCTCAGTCACAGCTCACCCAACCCATACTCCACCATCCCCGTCCCTCGCTAACATACCACCCCCCCACCCGAAAACAGAAGCCATCGAGAGACTCATCCACGCCCGCCTCGAGGGCCTAGGCCTCGAGAAACTCCGCCTCCCCCTCGGCGCCCGCCCAGCCGACCGCCACATCCCCATCTTCGCGAGCGCGGACCTCGCGACCGCAGACCGCATCGTCGTCATCTTCGGCGAGCCGGCCCAGGACCTCGGCATCCTCGCCCAGCGCGTGGCCTCGGGGCCGGGCGGCCTGGACAGGGGCTCGATGGTGTCCGTCGTGCGCAGCGCCATGACGATCATGGCCGGTGCCGGTGCCGACGAGGGAGAAGATGGGAGAGGGAAAGGGAAGGGAGAGACGCGGCCGGGGATCGTCCTCGCCAACACGGGCCAGCTGTGGTGGTGGCCCGAGGGCGGGCGGCCGCTGACGCACGCGGGCAGGCATGCCATGCCGATGGCGAGCGCCGTGCACTGGGGGCGGGCGGACGGCGGGCCCCGCAACGAAGTCGCCGGGAACGAGACGGTGGGGGCGCACGTGCGGTGCGTGTTCGAGACCGTCGTCCGCGGGCTCGCGGCCCCGCGCGCCAGGATCCACGTCGTCGCCGTCGGGGACGCGGCAGACGAGGTCGAGGCGTACCTGGATGGCGAGGAGGCGTGGCGGGAGTGGGGACCCAGGATGGAGTGCCTTGCGCTGCTGGGGGGGTTCTACAAGGCTGCAGATCTGAAGTGCGAGGGGTTCAAGAGGTTTATGAGGGAGGTAAGTGTGGGCCCGGACTGCTTGCTTCCCGTTTGGCAATTCCTTCTTTCTTTCTTTCCCCCCTTTCTCTCCGTTGGAAACCCACCTAGCAGCTACTGACCGGCATTTGCAAAAGCGAGCCCGCGCCTACGTCATCCACGACGACCCGCTAGACTTCCCCATCTCGGGCCCGGACGGCAACCCGAAGGAAGTGGCCTTCACCGAATTCGGCTGCCCCGTCTACAGCGCGGGGCCCGACGCCAGCCTCGTCGAGCTGCTGCTGATCCACACGCACCCGGCGGTGCTCGGGTGGACCCGCGAGGTGGCCCGCGCGGGCGCCGGATACAAGAACCCGCACATCGAGGTCGCCGCTGCGCGCGGCGCGGAGGAGGAGGGGGAGAATGCGCTCGCCGCCGACGGGTGGGGTGGCGGTCTGGATGGTACGCCGGTCGAGGAGGGCGGTACGTGGGAGAGCCTCGCCTCCAGCAGCAGTAACACCGGGGAGGCCGCGGCGGTGGAGAAGCGTCGGCCTTCTGTTGGCGAGGGTACCTGCGCCGGCGGAGCTTTGAAGCAGAACGATGGTACGGGAGTGGAAGCCGCCGCCGCCGGGAACGGTCAGATGGCGGCCACCGCCAGCGAGCGGGCGGCTGAGACGGACGGAGCCCGCGACGACGGCGTGCCGGCGCACAAGGCGGAAGTGCTCGCGCTGCTGAGCTCGATGGAGAAGTTCGCGACCCAGCGCCTGGACGAGGCTGGTGGTGAGGAGAGAGACGACGGGGTAGTCGACGAGGGATACTGAAGTCCCCTTTTTGGCCGGTGTGGCTGCTTTGCTTTTAAAGACCGAAGAAGGCCCTTGGGGTCTTACGGTCTTTCAGGTGGGCCGTCTCGAGCCTGCCGGGAAAGGGGGGATGGCACGCTGTGCGGGATCAACCATGGCTACATAACGCTGAACTCAAGGGATACAGCCCAGATTACGCCAGTTACACAACACTCGCCCAGCTTTAGAGTGGTGACATCGTAGTGCGTATCATTGAACCAAGATACAGGCAATAGCCTGAACGAACGGTCCCATATTATATAGATACATTCTGTACAAGTCGCAGGCACGTAAGCCATATGCATCGGCACGCCCTCAAGCATGGAAAATGGAGCTCGTCCCACTCGGAGGCGGCTCCAGATCGTCCAGCAGCTCCGCGGCCCGCCTCTGCCTCTCCTGTATGACCTTCTCCTCGGCGGCCCACCTGTCCAGGTCCTCGGGCTTGCCCTCGCCCCACAGGCCGAACCAGCCACCCCCAGATCTGGGCTGCGGGCCCTCCTTCCTGGCCGCCTCCTCCCGCGCCAGCCTCGCCACCATGGTCGCCCAGTTCGACAGGCCCGTGGCCAGGCACTCGCGGCACGTCGTCCTCGCCCCGCGGTCCGATACGCCGCCGCCCGAGCCGCCCAGCTTGTGGAGCTGCTCCTCGGCCATGTCCACCGCCTCCCTCGTCCAGCCGAGTCCTTCCTCGCGGCTCGTCGCGCGCGTCGCGTACATGATCTCGCCGATGTGCAGGTTCAGGGCTGCCTCCTCGCACAGCTCCTTCGGGCCGCGAATCGGCGGCGTGTTTCCGTCGTCCGGCGACGCCGGGTATGATGGGGGGAGAAGGATCCCCTTTAGGGACTTCATGACCTTGTCCACCGAGAAGCCCGGAGCCTCCTTTCGCGCAAACGGAGATGGGGCATCCGGCTCGTCGGCGATTGGGAGGGACCGCCGTGCCTTGAGGATGGAAATGAAGATCGGTAGTGCTGCAGATACGTTGCCAGCGCGAGCTTGGAAGGTGGCTAGCGCTGTGAGTGAGGTGAGGATATTGGCAGTTGGGTTGCCTGCAGCATCGTTGAGGATCCAGGTTTTATTGTTGACGGGATTGGGGGTGTTCGGAGGCCGAGAGGAAACCGCCAAATCAAGCGCGCGTTCGTACATGATACTTGCAGGCCCAGCGAGCCCCTTGAACTCCAACCAGTTGGCATAGGCGAGTGAAGCATCCATCCGTTGGCGGTCGGTAAACCCCGGCGTCGATATTATCCTGGTGTATATATCGTCTGGAGATGTGTATGCGACCTCGCAGTCCTCCTCTCGGGGAGCGCTCTTGGAACTGGGAGGAATCGGCTTTGGGCGAGGGTTAGAAGGGCCGATCACAACCTCCGGAGGAAACACAATCTTGCGCGTTCTATCCACCACCCATCCGTCCAAGTGCTCGGCCGCCGCCGCATACAGCATTATGGCTTCGTAGTATCCCCTCCTCCAATGCTCGGGCATCGCCGATATATCCTTGGTCCTAGGCGGGGCGTCAGAGGCGGCATTCGTGACGCCTTTCCCGTCAAGCTTGGAATCCTCCAGCCTCTCTACAACACCCTGAATCAGCTCCATGATAACCACCCAATCGGGCATCTGGGAGTCCTTCCTGTCCTTCTCGGCATGGGCGCTCTTGAATCGGGTCCTCGTCAGGAAACGCCACTCGTGCGGGGTGGGATATTGTCGCTCGAGGATCTCCTGTTGGACGGCGAAGGTGCCGGCAGCAACGCAGACAAGTGCAATCCAGAAGTACACGGTGTATTTGATACCGAGCTTAAACTCGTATTTGATCCATTGCTTGCGTTCCGTGGTCAGGTACCTGACTCTCTGAGATTGGCGGGTAGTTGTTGGGATGGAGAGGAAAGGGAGCTGTGGTCTGGCTCCCTTCGCTCGGACCGAGGTATTCTGGGTGAATGTGCGAAGTAAGGACCGCTTCTGCGACAGCCGCAGGGGTATCTGACGGATGAGGAGGCGCGGGCGCATGGTGAGGAGTGGGTTTGATGCTGGGGATTGTTTAGTAAAAAGCCTAAGCTAGATATGCCATTGGCGACTCTCAATTCGTTGAACAAAGCTCGCTGTCGTGACGAGGGTTCATCATTTCACTCATTCCATTTGATCATTAGGGTAGGAATTTGGCATATCCAATTGGAACAGTAGAATAATGGACGGTCCTTAATCTGTGAATAGGTAGGTAGTTCCTCGATGACGGCGGAGCAGTTTCGATTCAACTGGTGTCACATGATGTCCTTGGAGGGTTGGCCCAAGCTTCAAGTCGGTCTCTCTGCCCGAGTACGGACGCAACCCCACCTCATCCCCCTGCCCTTGCCGCCACCGGTTGCCGCCCCCGGCGGTTAGACCTTCCTTGACCAGGATCGGGGGCCTATGAAAATCAACTGTTGGTTCCTATTGCTTTGGGAAGGTTCAGCTACTTGGCTGCTTCTTGTTGGCCTGCCTCCCTAACCTAGGTAGCTTGGCGTCCTGGCGATGCACATATATCATCGCCTTTCTCCGCCTCTCATAACTATTTACCACCTATCGAGCCGTTCTTCCAGTCTCCTCTATGAAGAGGAATGGTCTTCCCCTCTTGCTTCTGCCTATGGCCCATCGGTCCTTGATTCGATTCGTCCGTTAAAAATGATGGTTGCTCTAACGACACCCTATTCAGTCCTGACTCAACTCCCGAGAGCACAAGGGGTTCCTACTACGCAGTATTTCGTGAGACGCGAATAAGTATAGAATGGGAGCGATTGGTGTAGTCCCCTCTCCGATTGGTTTCGATCGTTTCCTGCAGCTTCCCTAGGCGTTGTCGTTCGGGTTAGAGTGGGATAAAAAAAATATAGAACTCTCGAACCACCAAGCGGTGGACTTTCAGACCGGGAAAGCACCCCAGTCTCTTACAATCAACTACAATGGGTTTCCCTACCTGGTTAACGGAGCCCATTCCTGGGTTGCGCCTCTCAACTGGCGGCCTACTCGCCCTCGCAGATCTGTCCACCATCGCCCGGCGTACGGTCATAGTAGGCGGTTCCAGCTGGCTGGACAGCTTCCTCCTCGCGCCGGGCCTTCACTACCAGCAATCCGCGGACGCTCTTGTCCAACAGGGCGCCGCCGGCGAAGGGAGCGTTCAAGGCGCCATCAATGCCGTTGAGACGCTGCAGGACGGTAAGGCCATTACCTTCGCCATCAACAACGCAGCAACCCGTCACTACATCCAAAGCATCGCGCGACCGGGCCAGGTTGTCACGCTGGGCGTTGGTGCAGTGCCACAATCGAGAATTCGGTATCGGCTCATGAGGTCGAGCAGCGGCATGCATGCGACGGTCTGGGCCGAGGACACGGTGCGGGATCTGGGGTGGATGTCACATGTGCTTTACCTCATCAGCCCGGTCTTGACGGTCTTTGCGTTGGTAATCATGGTTTTGTTGCGGGATTGTGAGTAGCAAACTCCTCTCACCCCTCCCTCACTCGTGAGCATCTTCCAGCACTTACCTAACCCTCGGCCTCAGGGTGGAGTCTTGGCTCCCTCGTGGCACTCATTATCACCCGGGTGCTCAACATATTCGTCATCAAGCAGCGCACCAGACCACACCCACCGAAACGGACCCCCGAACTCATCATCGACCAGGGTCCTAGTACGACCCCGTCGGCAACGCCATCCGAGTATTCCCAGTCCCGCCCCACCGAGTACATCATCACCCTCGGCGACGGACACTCTCGGGTGCGTCTGCGCGGCACGCCGGACGACCTGCAGGCCATCACGGCAGACGCGTGGCTGCGGGCCAAGACCCACTTCGACGGCTACCTCGAGGCGGCGGCCAAGCTGCTGGTCTACGTGGTGGCCGCGCTGAGTGGCAACATGACGCAGGCCGGCGCCGTCATCTTCATGAGCCTCCTGTTGGTGTCGGCGGGGCTTCTGGCCCTCAGCAACTCGTACGCCAAGAGCTTCCAGATGAACGGCCGCGTGGCCGCGCCGCTGCCGGCCAAGGGGGGGGCTGGGATCCTGATGGGAGAGAAGGAGGAGGATCTAGGTCCGCATCCAGGCGCGGCCGGGGCGGGGGATGATTCGGGGAAGAAAACCCCGCCGGCGACGAGCCAGGCGGGAAGCACTACGGCGGCCACGCGGGGCGGTGGGGCGGAGGACTTGGCGGAAAAGGGGCAGGTTGGAACGGCCACTGAGGGCCGCCATCCGGCCTCCTAGAAATCGGGACGAGCCACATTGGGGTCACTTGTTGCGGCATCCCGCAGGATGTTAATGTTATTGTTAGACGGCGCGGCTCTAGATAGACTGACCAAGAACCCTCCCCAGTTCTGTAGACTCCTCCAATGCATCATCATCTACGACATTTCAATTGCACCTGCCTCTTCCCCCAACCACTCTGCAAGGGCTATACAGTTTCACGAAACTGTAGAAGCCGAAAAAATGGCCGAACCCGTTGTCTAGTTCGGTCATTTAGCCACAGGTGAAGAAATCCTGCGAGGCTTGAGATCGGCAAACGACCAATTCCAACCTTTCTTTTCCGGAGTTACTCTTGGCTAGGGTTGATACATTTTGAGCTGCAATGGCTTCATTATTGGTTAGCAGTGTCCAAACACACTTGAAGGTGACACACTTGAAGGTGGTGTTTAACCCCGAGGGATAAGAAGGCGGCCCGGTCTAGAAAGAGATATTGATCATTCAACTGTTAAGATAACTTGCCCGCCCACGGTATCGAAACCATTGCGCCTGATATTCCCCAACGTGACATCACAAGCGGTCATGATGGATTCTTTGTCATGATGAGTGGTCGCCTGTAGGTATCAGTTGGGGGGACAAATGAGGAGCGGTAGGGTGGGGGCAAAAAGGAACGGGCTGAGACATGCGTGCTGCTAGGTGAACTTGATGTCAAGATGCGACCAAACCCACCTTCATGCAGGTGTGCTAGGTTCAATGCAAGGGAGGTTCGGGGCTCTCGGATTTTCAAAGTATGTACGTATGTATGTATGTACATAGGCGTCCTCTACTAAGGCAGCCCGCTCGAAGCCTTCCCAAAAGAGGCCGACCACAAGCTGTTTCCTGTATGCCCCGTGTGTCTCCGGCCGGAAGCGCCAAGCCCATGTCCAATCCAAACCCCCAAGTCTGCCACTACGGATGTGCCGCCTTCGCGTCGATGTACTTCTGCAGCGTCTGCTTCTGGAGGGCCCTCTGCTCGTTGATGATCCCCCACAGCTCGTCGTTCTGCCTCGCCAGATCCTGATCGCCTGCGCTCTCAGCCGAAGGTTGTTGGAACGCGGATATTGCGCCCTCGAGGACGTCTTGGGGGAACCCTGTGGCGTTCAGCGAGGAGTCGAACCGGGTTTCCGGCCCGAGCTCGGACTCTAGCTGGGCCGTGAAGGTGTAATGCCGCCCGCCCTGGCCAGGCTTGACGATGTTCATCGCCTTGGTGTTCTTCCTGCCCGGTAGGGGCGACGTGAAGATGATGTTGGTGACGGAAGCGTTGAGGTTTGCCAGTTCCACGGGGGTCCTGTTGTCGGCCACGTCCCATTTGAGGATCTGGCCGTTGGGGTGCCCCGTCAGTAGGAGCGTGCCATCGTAGCTCGCTGCCAAGCAGGACGCTGGCCCGGCGTCTGATGGCATGACCCCAAAGGCTGACGACACTTGAACTACAGTCGCAGAGTCCTCCGCACCTGGCCCGAGCAACGGCCTCTCGGCGAAGAATTCTACCATGTAGAGAGAAGAGTCCTCGGATGACACGAACAGTGCCCTTGAAGACGGGTCTAGGTTGACGCAGAGGGGAAAGCTCGGGAAGAGCAGGGTCCGAAGAGCATCGCCCGTCAGGTAGTTCCAGACGATACATGATTTGTCCTTGCTGGCAGAAACGCAGATGCTCGTGTCCGGGTTAGCACTCTGGCCGACGACCAAAGACGTTATCGCAGCTCTGTGGTTGGGGAGGCTGCGATCTGGCTCGTGCTCGGCCGTAGAGTCGAGCTCTAGGAGCTGAGAGAGCGACCAGACGTGGATGTCCGAGTCATCGGACCCTGTGATGACATGGTACGAGGTTGCAGCTACGCACGAAACGGCCTGCACGTGGCGCGGCGGAGTCGACACTAGCCTACCGGTGCAGATCTGGTTGGGTGTCAGGACATCAAGAGCGGCCGTTTTTGGGTTTCAGGGGTAGAGGGTCAAGCTTACCTCCCAGAGCATGAGACGGCCTTCTGCCGTCCCCATGATGAGAACATCGCCAGCTAATGTCAAACAACGAATCCTTTCAGGAAATGAGACGAAAGCCTCCTGGTTTCCTCGTAGTCTCGAGTAAACGTGGACATAAGCCTTCTCGTGCTGCGCAGCGAAGGCGTGGGTATCGTTGACTGCGAGGCAATTGACCGGAGTGGCGCTCTTCTTGAATGTGGAATTTACTGAATATGCCGGGCTGAGGGTGTGGGAATTGATGCCGGCATCTTTTGCGATGGCGGTATTGCTCGTCAGAGGCGGTCCGCAGATGGACGACACAAACTCTTCTGACAGCATCTCTTCTGCCGTAGCCAGGGACAACGACGGCGAGTAACGGTGACTAGACCGCGAGATCCGAGGCCGGCGAGGCACTTCTCGACTTCCCAGTCACACTTCGGGCGGGCTGGCAGGTGTGCAAGTACTTGTCAAGCAAGGGATGCGATAGGCCGAGTCCCGGGGGTATGCGACTCGCCAAGCTGGTGGATGTGTATCCCCTGGAGCGCCGACTTGGATTATCTTTGGGGGCTGTTGCAGACGAAAACGGAACAGGTTATAACTCCGGTCTTTTCAGCCAAATTTACAGTCTTAGAGAACTTCTTCTGTTCTGGATTGAGTTCAGTACTGCCTTTCTATTCGAGTTTTCGATTCCAAAGACTTTGACGAAAACTCGGTATAAATTTACGTACGGCTAGCCACACGCTAAGTTGTGCGCTATGACCACCTCATTCGTCGATCATCTTGGGATTCTTCGGGTTCAGCCGCAGGTTCCGGAGTTTGACCCTTGCAGTCGATCATGGATCGTGCTTTCCAGCCTCTTTTCGGCGCCTCTGTTCCCCACTTCACAGTCCACAGTCCATAGTCCGCCCCAAGAAAATACTATTGGAGTTTGCTCCCTTGAGCGTAATGACAGGTGCCTCTTGGCTGGCGTTTTAACCCGATTGGCAACCCTCTTGCGAGGGATTATTTTACGCTGGCCCCCTTCTGGCGTGAACTGCATGTTCATCCTACACTACAACTACATCCCACCTCGCTCGACTGTTTCCCCCATCCTCTTTGCCTGTGGTCAGGAGTCCAGGACAGACAGACTCTCCCACACTGTATTCACCCGACAATGTAACTCGGATACAGGGGGCAAACCACCTAGAAGCGACCTGGAAACATCTCCACTCTGCCGGACTGGGCGAGTTCGGAAGCACGAAATGTTGTCCCCCGTTCCCTCGAAGGCTTGTTTGAGTGGCCGAGCGACTTCGACTGCGACTCGACTTCGCACGCATGAGAGATCCTGCTCGCCGAGACATTTGCTTTTTTATCAGGCCATGCCAATCCGGGAAGCAGAGTGGCTTGCCTTAACCTACCCGACGTTTCTTCTTTTCTATCAAAAACTGGTTTGGGCGGGTTGCCCCGCATGCTAGCCCATTCACACGCAGCCGGCCGTGGACCTTTGTGTTACGTGTGTATCCACCCGCCCTCCAAACCAAGGGCCCCTAAGGCCCAACTGCCCAGATGTGTTCGCCGACTGTTCGGGTGTAATGGTAGCCCTCCCTGATTTCATACAGGTGGTCAACAGATGCATGGATGCCAGGCGAGACGAACTGGCAGGCTAACCTGGAGCTAAAACTGCAGGCTGGATTTAGCTCCAGGCTGGATGCAGTCTAGAGCGCCATTAAGCGGGGAGGAACCTGTCCCTGCTGGTGTTGGTGTTGTTTGTTTATCCTTGCTAATTGATGAGATGCTTCGCTGGTGCGCGCAACGGCGTGGATGGGTGCCACAAATCCGATTGTTCCCTGTCTCATATCATATTTTTCGTTTCTTTTCCATGCATTCCCCTCTAAAGTCCCAACATCACTACTGCAAGTAATGTCTCGTGTGCCCTCCTCTTCGAACAATGAGTGCGAACCATGTGTGGTATTACGACATTATGTGTGCAGAGAGCCGTGTGCTATCCCTGAGAAGCAACCCTCTGTCTCTGCTGCCAGTGTGCTCTGCCGAGCTGAGGTGACCCCAGGCCTCTTGAAGCGGATATATCAGCACAAGAGGCACCGCACTGCTCCTTCGTAAATTCCAATCCAGTCACCCTACCGTCACCCGGCGTTCTCGTCACACCGGCTCGTGTTCCATAGAATATTGTGCGAGGCAATTCTAGACAGGGATCCAGGCCACCAAGGAATCTACCCAAGAGCCAAACTCGCGAACAGCTGTGTTGAACATGAGGTTCGTCAGGCGCTCATCGACTTCTTCCTGCCCAGATCTGCCTCTTCTGCAATCTATATCTGCGGAAAGAAGAAGGCAAGGCACCATGGATTGCAACCTCCCCGAGAGGCTTGTTCAGGATCTCGAGATGTCAGAAGCTGTCTTCATCTCGAAAAGTATGACCGCGGGCACACCTTGTCCGGCTTTGGCTGCGGACCACCATGAATCACTGCCCGTTAGCTTTGGCAATTCCATACGCGCAGCGCAGTACCATCATATCTTGACCACCATACGATCACTTGGTGAGCTTGAGGAATGGAACTCCAAACTGGAAGCCGAGGAAGCCAGGGACTACAATGAATCGGCTCCGGGTGCGGATCAGAGCTCGGACTCGACCAGTGAATCATCAGCGGGAATGGAGCCTCCGTGTATTCGGTTCCATGAGCCATCAGTAACGACGGCGCCCACCTCAGTCACCTCCCGTCGTTGTTCTTCTCCGTCACAAGCACCTCATCTGCCAGATCACTCACCAATGGAGAAGAATCCCGAGATCACTTGGGTCGACCTCGAACCTGACGACGTTGGCGACGAACTGAGGGCGAGCTTTGAAGTACGATCCATGGTTGAAGCGGAACCGCGACCAAATTCGAGCTTGGGCTTCAATAACCGCGGCGACATTATGGACGACAGACAAGTGCAGGCAAATTCTGCCGGCAAGGAGGGCATCATCATGCCCTTTCACCTTCCCGTCAGCTACGGACCTACAAAACGGCCACACACTTCGCCGGGCTTGCCATCGCAGGACAAACCCCGGCTGATGGATGCTCAACCGTCAGTCCCCGTACCCAATAGGATGTCCTCCCTGCGACATCGACGCACTTTCCAGGAGCCTGACAGTGGCCATAGTGGCTCGTCGAAATCATCTTCGGGTACCACAGTAGCCGCACCAGGCACCTCGGATGGCATGAAAGGGTCTAGCTCGCCATCATCCGTGGGACGTGGGACAACCTTCACTTCTGGTAGGACCATGGTCGATACCACAGTGGTCCTTGACGAACCCAGATATCAGAACCCATACCATACGGAAACCGAAAGACTGACACCAAAGCATGTGGTGGTCACCATGGGGAACGCAGTCAGGACTGAGAAGGTGCCCGAAACGGCTTCTTGGGTAGATCGAAGCCCTCCACAGAACCGTTCAGGGGCTTCTCTTGGTCATGTCCACAACTGGCTCTTCGAGTCCAGCGGCGGAGTCGAACTTCCTCTACTGCCTAACAGACATGCCGAGCGCTGCATCCCGGGTGTCCCACTGCCCCCAGAAGTCATCGAGACCCTCAGAATATCAGTAGTCTGCTTCCCCGAGACGATGCTCCTCTCTTCGAGCCTGACCATCGAGACGATTCGCAACTACTCCAGGAAATTCAGGCATGATGACGATCCTTACGGTCCGGACGATCAGTCACTCCTCTCGTTCTCTACGTCGACAGGCGAGACTCACAGGCGCTGGAAGTTGTCAAACCTTCTATCCCCAAGAAGAGCGGCGTCGCCGAAGATACCCTGGCCCAAGCAAGCGCCCACACACTCCTACGAGTGTCGGGACGCCTCGGGCGGCGCACCCAACTGGTCATCCCTGAATAACATCTTCCCCTCGGGCTCCGACTATCTCTGCGATGCTCTATACGCCCACCTCGTGGCGTACAACTACATCGACACCCTGTGCAGACCGGGCCCTCCAACGAGCGGGGCCGAACAAGACCAGCCAGGCGGATCTCCCGGCGCCGCCAGCAAGTCGGCCGACAATGCGAAACAGGACCTCGCCAGCCCCATCCCCAAGAAAGCGGCCAGCCTGCTGGGGCTCTCGGGCGGCGGCGGTGGCGGCGTGGTGCGGCCGAGGACTCCGGCCGGCGCGGGCGGCGTCCTCGGCCGCAACAAGAAGACGACGTGGATCGGGGCTGACGGGTGTCCGATGGGGTTGCGCCCGCCGCCGGCCGACGACCCTTCGATGCGAGAACTCCGGACAGGTCTGGGCAAGTGCATCTCGAGACTGGTCGCCACGCTGAGGCTGACTGATGGTTCGGAGGCCCCGAAGGTCGAGGCCCCGGCCGAGGTGGATCCGCTACTTCTACGGGCGCTGTGCGAGGTCGTCAGGTGCTCTGAGGAGGCGAGGTGATCTCGAGGTTTCTCTGCCTGCTCTTTTCTGGCCCGCACGAGGGTGGGTGGGGGGGGGGGGGGGGGGAGTATCTATCTTGTACCAACATCTTGGCTTTTCGTTGCTTTTTTGAAACCCCGACAGAGCTTCTGGCTCACAACCGATTAGGGGTCGAATTTTGGAGTTTAGTAAGGGATTGGTAAAGGATTCGGAGGGGGAAAGGGCTGGCTGGCATCGAAGAAAAAAAGGACGGGATGCTGCTGTTTGTTACGTGCAATTGTCCGCTAGCTTATGCAACTAGAGGTACACAATGAGATCAACGATATTTTTTGCTGAGTTGTGTATATGCAGCAACCTAAGCGAACGAGCTGATTCATGTGCCTTTCTCAGCGATACCCGGGCTGCCTTGTACGTGTCCGACAAGTGTCCCCACTTCTGTGCCCAAACCTCCGATGGCGATCGGAGGTTAAACAACCCCTCCGGCCCCGTCCCGACGACAATCGACAAATGAAAAGTTTGGAAACAGCCGATTTGCCTACCACCGAGATTCCTCGGGCCATTATCAACTATTGGACAACCTCATCTTGGAGTTGGGAGATTTTACTTGTTTTGCATTCTTAGTGATGGTTTCTCATCAGTGACCTCTCACTAGCCAGGTATCCCGCAGGTCCGCATATCTCCAGTTGGAATCATCTCACTGTCAAACCTAGGCCGAGCCTCTCATTCAAACCCCAGCCATGGACGCTCAACAGGATTCCCAAGGGGTTCCCCATTCCCGGCCTACCAATGCTTGTGAGGCTTGTAGAGCAGCCAAGGTGAAGTGCCAGGCCAGCATCCAGCTAGGAATCTGCCGGAGGTAAAAGCTCCCCCATCCCCTGCTGGCTTTACCAGTCAGGCAGGCCCCAGGGAAAACACGACCCCACTCACGTCTCTGCTTTGCCAGATGCCTAGACTCAAAGCGCGAGTGCATCTTCAAACCCGGTCCACGACCTCGACGACCCAGACAATCCAAACTGTAAGCTCCTTCTAGCTCGTGAAGCCAGACACACAACAACACCCATCCCTGGCCCCGTGCACCACATAGCTGACATGCCCGCCTCCTCCCCCCTCCCCCATCCAAAAGAAACAAAACCACTCCCCGACCCCCGCCCCCAACCGGGCCATCGAAGACATTCACAATCGACGTCCCCATGCCCCCCGAAGACGACGCAGAAAGCAGCCTCTCAGCCCTCCGCGACACCCACGCCATGCGAATCAGCGCCCTCCTACCGCCGGGGTACTCCTCGTCTGATGACGACGACGAAGGCGACGAAGTGCACCCGCAGTTCCCCTTCTCCTCCTCAGGGGGAACACCGCACGACTCCGCAACAGCACCCCCACGCTCGACCGCCGGATCGGCCACCACATCGACGGCCTCGTCCCTGCCCCTAGGTGCGTCTGCGCTGCGGACGCCACCCGCCTCGGACCATCCCGCCCCCGGCCGACCCGCGGCGGTGCCTGCGGTCGCCGCCGGCATGGGCGTCCGGCCGCGGTTCAACCTCGACTCTGCGACGGCGCTGCTGGGGCGGTTCCGCGGCCGCATGCTCCCGCACTTTCCGGCCTTGGCGGCGCTGGACGACGGCGGCGGCGGGGAGACGGTGGCGGAGATAGCGGGGCGGAGGCCGTTCGTGCTGCTAGCGGTGCTGGCGGCGGCGAGCGGCGGCGGGGCGGTGCTGCAGGGGCATAGCCTTTACGACGAGGAGTTTAGGAAGGTGCTCGGGCTGAAGTTCGTGGCTGCTGGGGAGAGGAGTTTGGAGCTTTTGCAGGGGGTGGTGGTTTATTGTGCTTGGTGAGTGATTTTGCCCTTCCCTTCGTCCCTTTTTCTTGTCGCCATCTCTCTCTGGATGCTTGTTTAGGTGTGTAGGAGACCAGTTGTCTCTCTGATCAAGTCTTCTCGCTGCTATTGGGATAGATTCGAAGTATCATATGCCTTGCTAATATAGCAAAACAGGTACCCGTTCCATCTCAGGCCAAAGAACAGGCAGGCTCGTCAATATGTTCGAATGGCAGTTGATATAGTTCATGACCTCGAGCTTGACCAAGATTCAAGCATCGAGGGGGTCACTATAGAGAGTGTTAGTGAGAGGCGGTTGGAAGAAATCAGGGCATACTTGGCCACTTACTACCTCGTCGCTTAGTATGCACAGATTCCTGTCACCATTTCTAGTTCCTCATCTCACTAACCTTCATTCTAGCTTCTCCACATCATGGAGCAGGACGTCTTCGCTTCCGCATACCGGATACACGACACGGTGCTGTGATCTCCTTGAGAGAAGCACCAACAAAGGAGATCGCGTCTTAGCCTGGCTAGTAAGGCTCCAACACGTTGCCGAGGAGATCGGCGACTTACGAAAAAACCGGGACAACGCCCAGAGCGAGTATCAGCTCGATTTGATGCTGAGAGGCATGGACGCCCAGCTGACTGAATGGGAGGGCCGAATGGCCCCCGACATTAGCTCAAACAGTATGTCCCCTGTCCCTCCCCCCATTACAAAACAAACCTCAAGCTAAACCCACCTCCCCGCTCCCCCTCCCACGCCAGCCTCCATCCGCCTCTCCCTCCTCTTCGCCCGCGTCTTCCTCTCCGGCGCCCCGCTACTCAAGCTCCCCGCCCCCAAGCGCCCCCCCACGGACCCCGCCCTCGCCACCGCCTCCCGCGCCGACCCCGTCCGCCTCGCCGCCGCGATCCCCCGCCTCCACGCCCTCCTCGATTTCGCGCTCGCCCTCCCCGCCGCCGAGCTCAACGCCTTCACCGTCGTCGAGTGGGGCGCCTTCATCCTAGCCGTCATCCTCGGCTTCCGCATGAGCTTCCCCTTGCCCGTCGCGTGCCCGGCGTGGGACGACGGCCGGGCCAGGCGAGAGATCGGATTTGGGGGGTATCTGGAGGGGATGGCGAGTATGGGGGGTGGGGGACGGGGGGGCGAGAACGTCGCGGCGGCGAGTGCCAGCAGCAGCTGCAGCAGAAAGAATGTAGATGTCCTGAGTGCCAGTAAGGTGGTTCTCGAGGTCGTTAGACAGAAGTACGAGAAGCGGTTGGCGAGGATCGAGAGGCAGCAGCTGGCGAGGCGGAGGCAGTCGGAGATGCAGTCAAGCTCCGGAATGGGTTTAGGTGCGGATCTAGACTTGAGCATGCCTTTAGATCCTATGGAGCTGGACAAGGCTATGCAAGGGTGTCCGATGATGGACGGCAGTCTTGACTCGTATTTCCCACACTGGGATGAGAGCTTCACGACCGCGAACCCTAGCATGTTGGCGGGAACAGGCATGGATAACTCACCACGGGGGGGCGAGTCAAAGACCCAGCCTGCGGGTTTCCCGGATCTTTGGGCGACGATGACCATGGGGTGGGCACTGCCGGACTTGGACTTTAATGGGTTATATGTACCCAACTAATCGGATGATCGAAGGATTTGGGTATTTCGATACGGCTATGTTTTTCATATAATCTATCATAGTAACAGGTTTTTTCTTCCAAGCTAGAAGTACAAATTTCGGGCATCTACATCCCGGTTCTATGATGATTCCCCGTTCTATTATGAATCCTCCTTCCTATGCCCGGACTTTACGACGGTAAACTATTACGCTTAGGATATCCTTCAATGTACCGGCCCAACCCCTGAGTTTGGTGAACTGATTCAGCAGGCGAACGTATCGCTGCGAAAACAGGTCGACCTTCTCATAGTCATCAGCGTAGCACTCCCACACCGCCCGCGACCGCACTCCCCCCTCCTCCCCACCAAGCGGCCCCAACCCATCCCCGTCCTCCCCGTCGACCACGCTCAAGCCCGGGCCGATGACCAGCGCCCTCCCGACGACGGACTCGTCGGCCATCAGCCGGGTCCCCGCGTCGACGACGTCGCCGATGCTGGCGAACCCGGCGCCGGCGAGGAGGAGCATGCCGGGGCGCGGGATCAGCGGCGTCTCGACGAAGTAGGGGCAGAGCATGTTGACGCGGACGCCTTGGTTGACGCGCGCGGTGCCGCGCAGCGAGCGAAAGAGGCCCGTCACGGCGTGCTTGGACGCCGTGTACTCGGGCTGCCCCGGGAGCGCCATGATCCCCGCGACGGAGCCGGTCAGCAGGAGGTGGCGGTCCCTTGGCCGGGTCGCCGTTGCTACTGTGTCTGGGGCGCTGTAGTCGCCGTCGCCGTCGCCGTCGCCGACCCTGGAGTCGGTTCTCCCATGCTTTGGTTCCTCGTTCCGGGGGAGCCAGTAGAGCGCCAGGTGGACCGTGTACATGACGCCGGTCAGGTTGACGGCGAGGCACCGGAGCGGCGGGGGCGGGGGCCGGGGGTCTTGGTCGAGATCAAGGCCGCTGGGGTTCTCGAACCCCTTCCCAGTGATTACGTTGTCTGTCTCGAGGACGCCGGCGTTGGCGACGACGGCGTCGATGCCGCCGGTCGGGCTCGCGCGGGCGGCCTCCTGGAAGAGTGCGAGCTGGTCTTCCCATCTAGTCACGTCGCAGTGCTGGAAGTGGTGGTGGCCCGACGAGCCCGGGAGGGAGCGCAGCTCGGCCACCAGCTCCTCGCCCGCGGCGTCGTTGATGTCCCCGATGGCAATGTGCGCCCCGTGGCTCGCCCAGTGCCTCGCGAACGCGGCCCCGAACCCCGACGCGCCGCCCGTGATCAGGATAGACTTACCCTTTAGACTCGCGGTGTCATATGGCTGCGTCACGTCGACGGGGGCGGATTGCTGGACGACATCCACGATATAGGATTCGTCCCTGTTGGTTGTGGACATGACTGCCAATCTAGAGCCGATATCCTCGGGCTGGCTTATTATTACACAGAGGGGTAATTATACAGAGAGGTAGTCAAGAAGAAATCTCTGCGCCCGATACCACACAACCTTCCTTGTTCCTTCGACGTCAAAATCAGCCTCAGGCTCAGCCCTGCTGGGCCAAAGCGTCCGTCTAGAACATGAAAAATACCAGGACCCCCTGCCCCTGCGGTCTCAGCGGGCCGTGGCTTGCTGCGACCCACCTGCTCCGATCGCGGGGCACGTGGAGGGGCGTGGCGGGGCAGCGGCAGGAAGATAGGGAAAAAATAGTTCGACACCTCTGAATTTTGTTTGACTCATGCTGGGACTCCGTAGGTCTTTATCTACTCCTCTAGAAGTGGGATCGCAAAGAAATATACCCAATTGAATCATCTACGACCATGACCTCCCAACTTCCAACCAAGAACTGCGGTATGTCTTTTCCATACCGCCCTGCTGCCCGCCCTTACTGAGATCCCGCCCCTCTCCCCTCCTGAATTCCCTCTCGCCGTCCGTACTGACCTTTCTGGCCTCTCTTCCCCCCAGGCGTTCTGGGCTGCACCGGCTCAGTGGGCCAGCGGTTCATCCTCCTCCTCCAGCAGCACCCGACCCTGCGCCTCGTCGCCGTGGGCGCGTCATCCCGCTCGGCCGGCAAGAAGTACCGCGACGCCGTCCGGTGGAAGCAGGCGCAGCCCATCACGGCGGCGGTCGGCGACCTGGTGGTGCGCGAGTGCACGGCCTCGGCCTTTGCCGACTGCGACGTCGTCTTCAGCGGGCTGGACTCGGACGTGGCGGGCGAGATCGAGCGCGAGTTCCAGCTGGCCAACCTGGCCGTCTTCTCCAACGCGAAGAACTACCGGCGCGACCCCCTTGTGCCCCTCGTCGTGCCCACCGTCAACCTGTCGCACCTCGACCTGATCCCCCACCAGCAGAAGACGTACGGCCTGCAGAAGGGGTTCCTGGTGTGCAACAGCAACTGCGCCGTCATCGGGCTGGTGATCCCCTTCGCGGCGCTGCAGGCCAAGTTCGGGCTCATCGATACCGTCTCGGTCGTCACGATGCAGGCTGTCTCGGGCGCGGGATACCCCGGCGTGAGCAGCATGGACATCCTGGACAACGTGGTGCCCTTCATCTCTGGCGAGGAGGACAAGCTCGAGACGGAGGCCAAGAAGATCCTGGGCACCATCAACTCCGAGGCCACCGCCTTCGAGGACCAGAAGACGTTGAGGGTCTCGGCTGCGTGTAACCGTGTGGCGGTTTTGGACGGCCACACAGCGTGCGTCTCGTTGCGCTTCGCCCAGAGGCCGCCGCCCAGCGCGGAGCAGGTGAAGGACGCGATGCGGAGCTACGTCTCCGACGCGGAGAAGCTGGGCTGCCCGTCGGCCCCGAATCCTCCAATCCTGGTCTTTGATGAGCCCGACAGGCCGCAGCCTAGGTTGGACCGCGATCTGTCCAGAGGCTATACTGTGAGCGTCGGGCGGGTGAGGGAGGACGAGAGCGGAATTTTCGACATCAAGTTTGTGGCATTGAGTCATAACAGTGAGTTTACCCTACCCCAATGGCTGGCAAGGAAAAGAGGTTGATTTTCGTCGCTGCGTAGCTGTCATTGGAGCGGCTGGTTCCTCCATACTAAATGCCGAAGCGGCGATACTGAAGGGATACATCTGATCTCGAAGCTGAGGTTTGACTACCTACACAGGGAGGTAGTCACGCACCAAAAGAAGGGGTGATATGTTTCATGCACCAGGCCATTCTTGTTCATATTATGGGCAGAGCAGCAGGAACAGGAGCCATCAACATCAATGTGCGTAAATAAATAAATATAAATACATAACCAAAATCTAAGGTATCCATAACCAAGATCTAAGGTATCCCTCACCAAGATCTAAGGTATCCCTCACCAACTATCTTGTACATACTTCCTGAGATTTCGTCACCTGGGATAACACGCCGGCTGCCCCTCCCCTTCACCATTTCCCGGCCGGCAAGCGTCGTGCGATTCTCCCTCACTCGGGTCGCTGAAACAGGCAAACACTCCCCAGCTTAAAAAAAAAAAGGGAAAAAATAATCAGGATACCGGCCACAGGGAACCAAGTTGTATCATTATCTACATGATAAAGACCCATCTCTGTTTGCGCAATTGATGCATGGGAGCTGCACACTTCATTCCCCGCCGCCAATATATGCATGTACTATTATAAATATATATACTTCCGCCCGCTCTCGATTTTGTCCCCCACCCCCGCCGCCCCTTAAACACCCGCCCCTGCAAGCCCTATGCCTGTGTGGGGGGGTCTCGGGTATATGGTAGTAATGAATAGATGCGCGGCTTTACATCGTGCATGGAGGCGAGAAAAGAGGCGAGCCCGCACGTGTCGGACCGAGGGTCTGGCCTCGGTGGGCCAGGAGAGCTAACCGACCGAGTCTGCCGTCGTCACTTCGGGCCGAGTGGAATGACTTGGCACCATGTTCCCGAGACGTGCGTAAGGCGTGAAATCTGGGGAGGGGGGCGAGGTTTTAAGCCTTGGTGAGGGAGGGAAAGGTCGGGGGAGCGCAGGGGGGTAGAGTAGACGATAATGCCCTTATGGCGATGATTGCATTGTCTAACAGCTAAACATGTCACCACCGTATAGGTTGAGACTCTCCCTTGGTAAGGCTATGGGAGGTCCGATAGCCAACCATACGACAGCGTGAAAATGTGATGCCGCGGGTCGTCTCCAAACCAAAGAAACCCAATACTGCCAGACTCCATGTGCCGCCCCTTCGATACCCTCAAAATCTCTCGGAGACACGCCATCTGTGCAAAACCAAAGTCGAGATCGAAACGGGAAACCCTTGAGAATGTGCTCGCTGCCAAAGGGAATAAAAAACTGCCTAGGAAACAACCACCGCCATGAAATGTTGGTAAAATAAAGCCAGGTGCGTGACGCCAGACCCGGGGGTCGATGAGTGAGAGACCAGATAGGCATCTGGCCTCCTTGCAAGCTCGCCGAGGACATGGATCTCTCAAGCCCCCGATATATGCCCCGCCATCTTGACCAAACAATACCAAAGTTGCCATCCCAAATACTAGACGAAATCAACCAAAACCAGAGAAACCCACGATGTTTTGTGTTCTCGACAATGCTCGGTGTATAGCAAATCCCCCCTTTCCCAAGTCTTTTGCCTCCACTCCGATGTGCTCCTGTACATATGCCGATGGCCTCGTTTACCTCTTTTGACCTTTTCTGTAGCTTTTTTTCTTTTTCTTTTCTTTATTTTGTTGCATTTGTGTCGATTACCCCGGGTTTGCCGTCGGGTCCTTCTCTCATGGTTCGTGCCGCCATCAGTGTGATGAAGTGTTGTTGCCGTGCAGCTCAACATCGGTTTCCCCATGTCTTTTATATCTCCACCGGAGAAGTTGTCCGATCCCGCAGTGCATCAAACCATGCCCAAAAAACTCCAACCGGATCCCACAGATACGCACCATGCGTGCTCGCTTCTTCGCATGAGAAAAACAAAATGGTGTCACTCCAGAAGGCCAATGCCAGCCGAACCCCGCGCCATGCTTGATTGACATGATGAGACGTGCCGAATGCACCGAGGTCGAAAGCCGTGAGACAGTCGCCTGAAGGAAGACCAAACGCAGCCAGAACGATATGCCCCTGCCCCTCCCAGATCATCTCTGGGATATAATAATCTCTAAACTCCCTCGCCAAAAGAAAGGAAGCAACGAATTTGGGGAATCATTCCGTCTCGAAATAGGAAAAAAAGGAGAACAAGGAGAGAAAAAGGAGAGAAAAAGGAAGACCTAAAATATGACCCATGATTTCAGTACCGTGCGCATTTCCCGTGGTGTAGTAGGTAGGAATGTCGGCGTAGATGCAAGCCATTGCCATCAAAGTCAGATGTCGCCAACCAATGCCGATTGACACCGAAAGCCATGCTGTGATGTCCAAGTAGCCCGAGACCCAGTTGCAACCGAATAGGTCAATCAAGTCTTTTGCCTCCCAGGAAGCCTTCCCGGCATGGCCGTTGTGGAAGTTTGCAAGGGCAAACGTCCTCTTAATAACCCGTTAACGCCAAATAGCCAAGCGGCCGCATGCAAAGAACAGCAGCTTCTGCGAGCGTTTAATGTGCAAACACCCCTATCTTCCCATCATGTGCGGAGGGAAGCCCGACGAGGCGGCCATCATTGATGTCGGGCCACCGGCTGCCATTGCGCCATTGTACATGCCCCAGGAATTGCTAGGCGGGTTGGAGAAGCCACCAGTGGCATAGGAGCCGCTCCCCCCTGGAGAGGAGAGGTTAGAATTGCCCGAGTAGCTGCCGCGGCTCATCGCAAGGCCAGGCGGTGCGCTCAAGCCCGGCGGAGGTCCGTTTGCTGCGGCGAAGCCGTTGGCAGACCCGGGTACCATGCCATTCATGGCAGACATTGACCCTGGGGAATTTTGACTTGGTGTTTGACCGCTTCGGACGCCGAGGGGGTTCTTGGAGAAACTCAGTCGGATACCCCCCTTGATGCTGTTGTGGAGCGGTTGCCCGTAGAGGTCGTGCAAAGCCTTGGTGGCAAAGGAGACATCCTCAAACTCGACAAAGCACATGGGCCCGTTCTGCTTAGTCCGGAAGCAGAGTCGCTTGTAGCCACGCTGCTTCGAGAACATGGCTTTCAGTTCCTCTTCTGAAGTATCAATCGGCAGATTGCCGACATAGAGCGTATTACACGGCGGGTTTTGATCTGCCGGGTTAACGGGGGGGAAGTTGGGCCCGCGATACCGTTGATTGAAACTGCCGAGGGAGCCCGGGCCTGGCACGGCTGTCGGCGACATGGCATTCGAGTGCGCAGACAAGGATGGCATGTTCGGATGTCCATAGGGAGGCATGGAAGACGGGCCCGGTGCCACGGCCGTGTTCAGTGACAGCGAGGCCATGCGTGAGATGGGTATCTGCGGAGCGGTCGCTCGGCGTTGTGCCAGGGCCCCATTTTCGGCATATGCCACGGGGTCCTTGAGCAGCTCACGCGTCTCATCGTCGTCGGCGCCGTCGTTGTTGATCAGCGTCTTCCCCGACATTCGCGTCCGCTCCGTCAGATGGTTGCCGATTGGAGATTGGGGAGAGAAGAAGTTGTGGTAACGATTGTTAGTCTCGGGATTGGAGAGCTCGCTGCCGTCATACGCCCCGTTCATCGACGATGAGACCTTCTCCAATGCCTGGAAAGCCCCGTTAAACCGCGAAGGTTGCCTGGAGGAGGTAGTGGAGGATGCGGCAGACGACGCGCTCGTGGATGCCGACATATTCGTATCCATGGCATATCTCCTTCCCGAGATGATTTCAACAATCATTTCGGCATCGTTTGAGATGTTCGACTTCCCATTAAGCATGTTTTGTGCCTCCTGGGCGCCAGCCGGAGTCTTGAACTTAAGAATCGCAGCGCGAAAGCCAGGGTCGTCGGTCTTGCCCGGGGGCAGGACTTCGACATCGGTCAAGTCTTTAGAGAAGACCATCATCAGCCGCAGGGACTCTTCGGAAGTGTTCAGCGGGAGGCGTCTGATCAAGGCCGCAGAAACAGTGGCTGGCGTCGCGGAGTACGGGGTGCGAGCCCCGCCGGGCATTTGACCATCGTTATCGAAGTACGGGGTCATGGAAAGAGGGTAGGCAGACTGGGAGGTGCCAGTCGACCGGAAAGACTGCGCTTGAGGAAGGAAGGCTGGCGCGGCCATCACATTCTTTGTCGCAACCTGCGCTGGGTGAAATGGACTTGCGCGACTCGAGGTCAAGGCGAAGGGAGGGTTGGAAGACGGGATTGACGATGCGACTGTTGGGTTACGGGTCCCGTTCATGCTTTGCGATGCATGTAGAGCCGCCTTGCGATGGAGGCGACAATTGCGACGATCGCGCTGATCTAAAAAGTGCACAGGTCGCGCGTCGTAGGTCGGCAACAGGTGTCGTGTGGAGATAGATGCACAGTAAGCGCGCAACGTCAGGGGACTTTTTTTGGGGCTTTCTTTATCTTTCCTCGCTGGGCAGGTTGTTGGGCCAAGGACAAAACCGAGGAAAAAAAACACAACAAATGATCCAGACCCTTTTTCGCCCCTGGCGACAAGTGTCGGGCCGGACGCGATAAGACAGCGGGGGGAGGAATGGAGTTGAGTAAGGTACGCGAGTGCGGTAGAATGATGAAAAAGTTGGGGGTTGGAGAATGGTTTTGGTGGGATGGGGGATAGCTTTGTGCGAGAGACGGGCTGTTGCAAGAGCAGGAAGGTTTATAGGTGTAATAACGGAGGTACCGACAGGGTCATGGATGTACGAAATACGGCCCAGCCTGTCCCTGTCAAAGTATGTACGTATATTGTAACGGCGAAGGTTGGCGGACAAATGAACTAGTGGCGTATAACGTTAGATCGCAAAGTGTAGAGGTCCTGTGCGTACCATCAGAGTTTCTTACGAATCCGATGGGAGGTGGGATGCCCGGTTGTCTTGGAATGTCTCGGTGACAGGTGAGTGAGGTGAGGGACAGAACCGTGCTGCGCGACAGAGGGGATCCTTGGACTGTGCGGATACTCCGTAGTGTACCTAGGTAGTTGTAGGTTTCGATGGGCCCCTGTCTGATTCGACTGATGACGATAGTTAATTGATGAGCGAGGTGGGTGGGAAAGGGCGACTGGGCTGACCGATGCCAAGAAAATGACTGATTGTGGGTATTGTATGTAGGTACCTGTGTACAGCCTGAGAGTGCCGGGTGTGCTCCTTCTTTTAGGATCAACTGACCAGGGATGGATGAAATCTCAATGGCCCGAGTCTCGGTAGAACTGAACGATTTGATAAGGATAGAGGAAAGAGGGAGCAGACGCTTCATTGAATTTGTTGATGAGCTTTGGAAAACACTGGGATTGCCAGTGTCGATACCCTCGATACTATGCAGTAGTCGGGACTCGAAGCCAGTGGGAACTGGTACATGCTGTGGTATGCAGCTACTATGCAGCTTCATACGCTGCATGGAAGGGACCCGGCAGGTGAAGGTACGCGTACGTGATTTGCCAGTTTCCAGCGAGGCGCGTGCCTGCTGTCTGGTGTGTGTGGGACCTAAACGCAGACAAGCCTAGTGCCACACTAGTGCTTGTGTACAACTACACCGAGTGTATGTACAGATGTATGCTCCTTCCCATCCCACAATGTAACATCGACATTGGTGGGCAAGGCCCGCCGGCTATGTCTGAATGCGCTGTAGCGTCGGTCTAAGGAACAAGGTTCGCTCACAGGCCCCCCATCAAAAATGATGTTCATGTTCTCGTCTTTTCCGAAAGGTACAGAGGTACTAATTATGGTATATCGCCGCAGCGGTTTTAGACTCCTCCTCCACGCTGCCAGGTCCCGGTCATTAGCGGTTAAGGTTCCTTGTGCTATAGGTATGTACAAGTAGATTATCGTGGCTTCTACCATTATTCGCCTCCATCTCAACTTGGCGGGATGGGCCATTTCTCGGTGTCCATTCGAGAACAGGGCCACAGGAAAGGATCAGAGCTAGAGGTAGCTAGTGTGCACTTTGCGCTGTGCAAGATACATGGATCCATCGGGGGAGAGATCTTGCTTGGGTACTTGCTCCTAAAATTCGGGGCATTTGGGCTGGGATGGGGAGGTACAGAGTCCATAGATCCCGATGGTGACAGCGGCAGCGGAGAGCGGAGCGGAAATAGGCGGGATGGAACTCGCTCGAACGGGGGGTATCGATCTAGCATTATCTACAGCCCCCGCCGAAACTTGACGTCTTGATTGCTTGGACGTGGTACGTTGTGGTTGAGGCCGGCTCGGTGATGGTGGGCACGATGAAGCTCGATATGATGACCGGTGAACGGATTGAGGGGCTTCCATGCGCTGGGTAGGTTGGGTTCCCCACCCTTCCCAAACCAACGACGGGACCTACTGGAGGGATGTTCCTCATCGCCTCATCGCGTGCCAGCCCGCCCGTGCAAGTTACCTACCTAGGTACCTGCTATCTCCTTCCTCCATCGTTTTTTTCCCTGCCCGCTTCCATTTTACCTATACCATAGTATGGAATGCGTATACGTCTTCATACCTTCCATAGTGCCGATTAACCTACTTAGAGGTACCTTGCCTACCTACCGAGGTAAGGTCGGTAGGTCGGTACCTGTGTGCTATGGCATTTATCTCCCTTTTTTTCCCCCCCATCCGAGCCTCAAAGCGGCCCTTCAACGGTTCTTCGGCTTGGCACGAATCTTTCTGTTTTGTTCTACTTAGTACGGGTACAGAGCACATGACGAAAACCCCTAGCCTAGTGCCGTGTCTCCTGGGCCGCAGTCATGGAATGGAGCTGCATTCGGGACCAGGCGAGTTTGAAATTCCCTCTTCTGTATGGGCACATTGGGGTGCGTGGGGTAACCACCTCGAGCTCACTTCACGGTAATTACCCACACACCTGCCGTCTCGGAGAAAGCACACACAGAATGCCATGTATCCGTAGTGTAGTCGCGCCATAATTAAGTAGACGCTGCCCCTGCGTTGTCACCGACAAGATTGGACCGCGAGAAGGAACTAGTGCCCGAGACCGTACGTGTACGCGGTACCTTCATTATTTAGGTCGGCTGGGTGGCCACCTGTGCCGATCATCAAACATGTCAGCCCTAGCGTTGTGTCCATCAAGATTGGTGCTTGTTGTTGGTCATACTGTGTCTGCACACCGCGGGGGCAGAGAAGTTCGAGTTGAAGTCCAAGCTTTATTCTGTGCGCATATCCATCTGCCTGCTCAAATGTATAAGGTTTTACTATTTACTATTTTCGCAAGTTCTGTTGGTCATAATAAGCTTCATTCTGTGGCGAAGCTGGGAATCAGCACCGCCTTGCATTTCCCCTCACTCACTGAGCGGAGTTGCCTCCGGTTTGCATGCATATCTCTTATTAATTACATGCTTGGCCATAGGATTGTGGGTTTGGCGATGCTTGATTCAATTGTGATGGTCAGAGATTAGAGCTAGTTGATCTGCTTTGAGAACACCTGGTCGTTGGATCGCGGATCGCGGATCATGTAAGGCCGTTACGCGAAGTCTTTCGAGGTCCAATACGAGGTGCCTTGGACGTAGGTAGGTGGTACCTTTATTGGTTCAGTCTCAATGACGACTGTGGGACACTATTTCGGTACCTTATCTAGGTACCTTGGCTTGGCGCATGGGGAACAGGGTCTAGGCCTCCGAAGAAACCGCAAAAGAACCTATGAAGCAGCCAAAACAGTATACAACGTCTACCTACATATCCTCGAGCTTCTGGAGGCTTTCATATTGTTATCGAATAACAAAGCGATCGATCTCCGTTGGGATGCAACTTTGACTGGGGAAGACTCGGACCCTGGCGGCGCCTTACTTATCTAGGAACAACACGCCAGACCATTCATCGCGTGAAATCCAAGGGCCATTGGGTTGTTTCTCTAGACTACCTGGTACCTACATAGTATGTGGTACGGCATATATCTCGGAACTGTTATACCAGCGCTGGCGGTGCGACGGCACAATCTAATTGGTATTTAAATGCCCGCTGGCGGCACATATTGGACGAACGATTTGCAATCGACACAACTGCCCGTGGCCGGGCATGGCCGTAGAGACAATCCCTTCCATTTTAAAGTTTCACACCCTAAGGAATCAAAGCCGTGGATCTCAAGCACGTGCGTCGAATCTGCCAAGACTCAGCCTTTCAGGGCATGGGCGAACCTCATTCGACACGCGAATCAGGAGGGGTCAGTCAGTACTTGCGAAGCGTACGTGTACCTAGATTGTCCTTGATTCGTCATGTGTCGCGGGATACTTCGATGCAGGGATCTTCTTCAAACGGCCTGTGTCCCTGATTGCTTGCGGCAGCTGATTTGCATCCTCGGGCATTGCCTCCCTCCTTCGACAATCTCTAGCTCTCCTCAACCGCAATGGCGCAGGAAAAGGACACGCAAGGCCGAGGGGGAACACATGCTCTGAGTCTTAATGTACCTAGGTAGGTAGATAAGACACTTTCTGCGGAGATGACATGATTGGTCGTTCGATTCTCATGGCAGTTATTGCTGCGGGCGTGCAAGGATGCAGAGCCCTGAAACAAGCAAGGGTGCACTTCTTGGGTTCGAATAGAAGGACCAGATTGGCCCTCTTGGACAAGCGATATTGGCGGTGTGGATGCTGACCCCTCTGCCATCCAAGTTTCCTCCACACCTCAATCTCATCTCTAGTTACACACCACCCACTCCACTTGCCAGGTGGTGTGGAGGCCTATTCCGTAATAGCAGATGCCTGAGCCCTGCCCGATTGGGTATCCCCCCCTGTCCCATCTCAAGATCCTCTTCCGTGATAAGTTAGCCGGCTCGAAGCCGAGCATCCTTTCGCACATCCTCCAGGTCGAGGGTACAGCAGGCAAGACGGAGGTGTTCCCGGGCTCTATTCCGTTGATATCTTCGCCCTGTTCTTGACAGCAATTTCATCTTCAAGCGCGTCGTCATGAGGTGCACGGTGCACGCTCTCTCACCTTCACGGAGCTAGTTGGCCCAAACAAGGATCTTCCCGTCTCGTCTCTGTACTTACGATGCGCCTGTGCGCCTCCACCGCACTACGCAGTAACCAGGCCATGGTTGGTCGAACCGGATTTGGAACCGTTTCTTAGCTCCTGTGGCTACTCCATAGTCGCACCTCCACTCGCAAGCAAGTGAGCAAATATCAAAGATTCTCAGGACGCCGATGGAACCCTTCCGGCCTCGAGCCAGCGAAGTTGGTAATCGTCCCAATCTAGTGCAGACGGTAGGTTAGTTCTTATCCTTGTGGGGAGAGACAGATCACAGAGAGGCCCAAGCATGCACCGTATGGCGATGAGTTGACGCGGAGCTATGGACCGCGCCAAGACGTAGGGCTCAGAGTCGGCATCTAACGGGGTTCAGCCTCATCACCTGTCAAACATCCATGCTTCAGACCCCATGTTCCACCGCAACAACGACATGCTGCTCGGAACAGACATTCTTCCCTGGGTAATGATACGAACCGCAAGCTGAAAGGTAGATAGATGGATGGATGTAACTCGGTTATGCCACCCCCTCAAAAACAAGCCGGCGCAAAATAGGGTGCACCCTCCAATCATCCAACAGTCCAAATCCGTACATCCATATTCAGGGAGCGCACTCAAGATCGGAAAACGGGATCGCTTAACCTGCTAGATGACACAATGCCCAAATCTGGTTCCCAACGAGTATGGAAAGAGGTATAACGCTATCCATATCGCACACACCAAGAAGTCGCTGAAATAGCGCATCTGGACAACGCTTCCCCGCCAAGCCACAAGAGAGGGCCTGGGTGGAATCGGCTCTTCGCGGCCTGCATAGCCGTGCGAATCGTGGGGTGGGAACATCCTTGAAACAAAAAAGAGAGCAATGCCACACCTCCAATGCCCTACGAAATACAGACCACGGTCCAGAACTTTTCGAAGTCTGAGAGATGGGACACCAACTTATGAATCACATATCCTTGATCGATATGCCCAGCTCTGCCCCCGGGCCAAAACACCGGAAGAAGGATTCTCTGGGGAGTTCAAAACAAAATTCCATCTCAACCTGTCGATCACTTCCGTCTTCATGCCTCCCCCAGGGAGGGCTATTGACAACCTGCAGATCGTTGCCGCGAGCTCACTGGACCCGAGTCACACGAATAGTGTGCCGCCGATAAGCCTGCAAATCCCAGACCGCTCTGTGTGGGTGCCCAACCATTCATTATTATGCTTGGCGTGACCTGCGTCGGTTGATTGTCACATGGTTTTTTTTTTTTTGCGGCTCTTATTAATTCCTTGTCAACACTCGAAGGCGGGAACGCATGACAAGGGCTTGAGCATCCATGGGCATCCACCTCTTCGCAAGCGCGAGGTCGAGATTTATGGGAGTAACAACTATGACGACGGGAGCTAGCTGGAATTGAAATATGGTAATATGGTACTAATTGAGATGGGACCACTCACATCTATTTGGATTGCGACGTTTAGGGATCGGAGATGCAGATATGACAATGGGCCCGTCTGCTGCGGACACTGCGATATGAATTACAGTCAGCCTCCCTTCTTACTTGACACTCTTGTCATTTCTCAGGGTGTTAGTGAATGGCTCACCCGAGTATCGAGACCCCAGGACAGGAGGGTTTTACCTATGTGCTTTAAGGGCTGTCTCTCGCAGACGAGAGGCTGGGTATTTTCATGTCCCAGGAAACAACGCCCTCCAAATTGATCTTGTCGGAGGGTTAGGCGGAATGTGTTTTGCTCTATATCCTGAAGCCACCTACCTCACTTTGGACCCTTCTGCGATCCCCCACCCCCCCGGTGCACCGGCTGCTGGCACAAGGTCGAGTCGACGTCTTGAACTAGAGCAACTCCGTTAAGTAGGTAGGTACATACACAGAAGGACCGCATTCTCAAGGAGCCTCCAAACGGTCCGGGAACCGCAAGAGGGGGTAGGTACTGCCTACCTACCTAAGGTAAGTGCCAAGTTTCGAGTCTTTTGTGGAATGGACGATGGGATGGAAGGTGCTACCTGAGCAGGTACCTAGTGCTTCTGTCAACCGTCTATCACAGCTGTGCCTTCCTCTCGTAGCAATACTATGGATGGTAGCAGGCTCGTTGCAAGTCCCAATCCCTTCAGGTTCTCGCATGGTAGCTATCTACTCCGGATGTGGCTTCCATCTCTTTCCCCCTGTCTTAGAACTACCTCGTAGGGACTGAGCTGTTCGTTTATCAGGTTGGTATATAGGTAGGTAGGTCTATGCCAGTCGCACACTGGCCCAACTAACACTCCCGTCCGTTTAGCAGCTTCATCGACAGATTCACGGCATTGCTACTTTTTCGCTTGTATCCGTCTTGGTAATTCAACTGCTTTAGCTTCCATATTCTTCCCCCTTTCTTACTTCGCTGTCATGCGAACCTACGTGCTCATCGGAGCGCTCGCTCCCCTGGCAAGCTTGTTGAGTGGCTTTCCCATACGCCTCACACTGGCCAACCTGCCAGCTAGACTACCCGGTCATGTCACTACCCCTGTGGATGGCTCTCGCAGTGGCAATGTCAGGGCACGCTGGCCACCGTACATCCCTCATAACTCCACGATCCCTACCATACTAGCCGACGACCCGAAGAGTGAGTCAATGAGTGACCAAAGCAGTCAGCCATCCCAAGTGGTTAACCATTGCCTCTTTAGTAAATGGCGAACGTGTATTCCAGGGGAACGGGAGTCGGGAAACCATCCAACACGAGCACCACAAGGTTGCTGGCGACACCCGTTGCGGCATTCTAGTGAAGGATTCTGCCGAACTCACAATTCTTCACTCGATTATCGACAGGCCAACCTACGACGGAAATAATCATCTTCCAGGAACATCATCGAATGCTGCTTTCTGTGTGGTGAGCCCTTCTCACGTCTTGCCTGTGCATGTGTTCCAAAGTATTGACCGATATATTACGTTCTAGACGAATCACTCCAGTCTTTACATCAACTATGGCTCGGTCACATCTTCCGGCAACCTGTCGACCGGGGTCTGGGTGTTCGGTGACAATGCTGAGGCACGTCTTACCAGCCTGGCGGTTGTGAACTCGGGGTCATCTCCAACTTACGGCCTCATGGCCTCGCACAACGGTCACATCTACGCGAACAACATACAGTACAGCGCAGATAATGCAGGGGCATGCGGATTCGTTTCGGATGGCGGGATCCTAAATATTGGCCAGTCTAAAGCGCACACGAAGTCGGTCGGCAGCTCAGTGTTTTGCTCCGTCGACAGCAAGCACGAGGCGGAGATATACGCTGAAGGGGTTGTCGCAACGTCGGACTCGAGCGCCGCGGTCTAGTTTACCGGACGCACTCGCATGGCCGCCTTTACCAATTGCGACATCACGGGTGCCGGCCCTGCTACCGTCATCTCATCACCTGTCAAATCCGGCGACTCGCCTCAGACACTTCTCAGATTCGTGAACACTCATCTCTCCGCCACCGGCAACCGGTCACCGATATTCCTTCTTGCCAAGAGCGATGCTGACATCCACCTCTATAACACCAAGTTGACACCGTCCGCTTCCAATCTCATCGCTGCCACCGCGTGTTATGGAGCCCTGGATATATCCTTGACAGCTGGAGATTGCGACCCCTTTTCGGCTACATTTACTATATCGGAATCCAAGCTCAACGGCGATGTTGAACCTCGGTGGCCTTCCACGTTTGTCTGGGCACTCGACACTTATACTGCCTGGACAGGGAGTGTCAGGATGCCCGGCAACTCAACCGTGTGCCCTCAGATAAACATTTTCCTGGACGACACATCCACGTGGAACGTCACCAAGGAAAGCTAGGTGCAGACCCTGAGGACCCCACGTCTTGACTTGTCGAATATCTATGCTGGCCCGGGTGTCATTGTTCACTACAACGCCAGTGCCCCTTACAATGCGTACCTGGGGGGCAAGAGATTTGTTGCACAAGGCGGTGGCTCTGTAGAGCCATTCTAATCTCTGGCTGTCCGTGTGCGCGTTGGGTTGTTGGGGAAATGATCACTCGACTCGATGTTATTTTTACGAAGTTTCGGATGGACAAGATCACAAGAGAGGGAGGGTAGTGATGGTATTGTTATGAAGGTTGTCCAAGACTCACTTGTGATCAAAGGTTAGATTACTGGATGCCTCGTGGTTTAGCCACTCCTGGCACCTGCTCGCTTCCGGCATGTCAATAGCCAGTTGTAGGAGCATGGATAATACCACGCACCTTTGCTTTCCATCTTACCTTGCAAACGCTGCCCTGTCTTGGTGATTGATGAAAGCCAGCTCTGAGTCGCAGCCTCTACTAGTCCTGCCTGCGTCGAAGTAGACTCAACTCCGGGAGACTAGAAGCAAAGAAACTAAGCAAGTTCCCACTATTGTCCCACATTGTGTGACAGCAACGTGCGCTTCCCAACCCGTCTGCTCCCATCACATAACCGCGAGGAACAGTAGCAAGGGCCATCGTCAGCTTCCTACCTTCCACTTGCTGGGGCTCAGAGAGCCTGGCCCCAATAACGTCACTCAGGTCCAGGTCAGGTCCAGGAGGCCGCCGAGAAACCGTGCGACTCCCGGCCCCCAACCGCCCTCGAGAGGTGTTGGATCTCTGCCAGGGGGTGTCAGCCGATTGTTGGCCCGGGAGGTGAGACCTCAGACGAACGCCGTCTGTTCGACTGTGCTCTCTCGGGCTCCCGCTCGAGGTGCATATCCTGAGGGGAGTCTGGTTGTTGGCCCTTGGGAGGATGGTGTTGGCTGGCTGGCTGGTTGTGATCTGCCGGAAGGTTTGGCCCCAACGAACTGTTCTTGGGCCCTGTTCCGAGGAAGAAAGGTTCGCGCTCGGTCGGTGGCGTGGGGTTGCGCGGGAGGGACCTCGGAACAAGGGTTGGTGATCGCTGATCGCTGGGCGCGGGCGAGGTGGTTAGGGTGAAGATGGGGGGCCGGGTGTTCGTCTGATGAGGGAGAGGTGGGATGTCAGGTGGGGATTAGGGACGGCCTGATGTTTGTGATTATGTACGTAAGAGGCAGGAGAGCACACGAGCCTCGGGGTTTCATATGGGGTTGGCAGATATGGGATATGTGGTGGGTTGTGGCAAGTGTGTATGTAGTTGGTGGGAAATCTTCTCCAAGGTAGGTATGGGCAATGATACTGCTCGAAGTGTGGCGGTGCAAGTACGTCAGGAAGACAAAGAGCAGAACCTGAGACCACTGCCCCCGGGCCACTTGGGCATCCGAATGCAGGGGCCGTAAGAAGATAAAGCCTGAGCAGTGAGCACGGTTGGGGAGTTCATAGTTGGAAGAAGTTCCAGTCCCTTCTCGAAGCGTGGACGTGGGAATCAGAATGCAGCGGTCCTTGGAATCTGTCTGTGGGACGTGTGTGTGAAGGATTGGGAACAACCGGTCCGTCATGTTGAGGCCCGGAAGTTCGGAAACATAGAGCAAGGGTTGTTTTGTAGCCAGGGGAAGTAGGTAGGCAAGTAGGATACCTACCTCTACGTTACCTAGCTAATAATTGTTTGCTGTTTACTGTTTGCTGCGACGACTGGAGAGGAGGTAGGCGCATTCTTTCTGCTAGGCTGATCAACCCGGAAAGCCGCTCTAGAAGGAGGAAGATGAGACAATGTAGGGGGTTCTGGTTTCTAGCACCTACCGGGTGTTTTATTGCCTTTCCTGGGCACTGGCAGCCATCCCGGGGACTTTCTCGATGGGTTGAATGATCGCCATCCAGGGTTTGTGAGGGGGTTTTTTTTAGTGGACGAAATGGTGCCAAACTCCCTGCCTACCAGGGTTGCTATTTTGGGTGCGAGGCAGGATTGAAACGAGACACGTTCATGCGAACCGCCTTGTCAAGAGAGATATTCCAAGAATGATAAATAAATTGCCCAAATTGCAGTCACAGAGCGACTGGTAAGAAAATCAAGACCTGCTCTGATAATCGGGGATTGGTGATCGCACAGGGCGCTCGGTTGATTGTCTTGAATTCTCATGAAATACGCCCATATCTGAAGCCCAGCAACAGCCAGCACAGGCACCAAGTCGCTAAAGCAGTTAATTAGGTACGTAGGTAATAACTGGTGTTTCATACCCCTGATCAGCTACCGAGACGGGAAATTCCACAAACCTGGGATTTTTGGGGCTGGCGTCTATCCACTGTGGAGAGACGTGGCGTCAAGCTTGGGCAGTGGGCACGCCGCTGCGTGGCGGCTCTGAAGAACTGAGTGTTCTCCACCGGACCACCATCCACAAAAGTGAGCCCAGATCGTCCGTGGATGTGATCCTAATCCGATACGACCTGACGTCGGCTGCCCCGTCCCACACTGCTATTCTTCTCGATATTCCTCCACCATCGACTTCGACTTCTACCCGGGCACCCGGTTTTTCCTCTAGTGAACGGCCAACCAGATAATCGATTGATGATAGCTACCTAGCCGCCACCATGTCCCTTGGCGAAATACCAGCCCTTGGGCCCGAGAATGGTGCACCAAGCAATGGGAACAACTTGGGCCTTACTGACCCGGCCAGCGCCGAGGAGATAAGGCAGGTGCAAGAGGTTCTGTCCTCTGAGGTATGCACTGCTCACCAACCCCGCCTGCATCTTTAAACCGTTGTTGACAAGTTCACTCCGCCAGATCGGGGTGTCTGCCATGCTGAACCGATTAAAACAAAGCATCGCATCTGCAAAGGTATGCACCATCAGGCTTGGCCTCCCAGTCTCTCTATTCTCGGTTCCCTGCTGACCGTAACTCTCCTTTGTCACAGGAATTCGCTCTCTTCCTCAAGAAGCGCTCGATACTCGAGGATGAACATTCCCAGGGCCTCAGAAAGCTATGTAGGATGTCACAGGATAACATGCATCGGAACGAGCACCGCGGAGGCTCCTTCGCCAATGCATACGACGAAATGATGACCATCCAGGAACGAATGGCGGAAAACGGCATGCAATTCTCCACGTCGCTATACCAGATGCACGACGACCTGTTGGAGCTGGCAACAATGGCCGAGAAATCCCGCAAGGGCTGGAAGCAGAGTGGCCTGGTCGCTGAGCAACGAGTCGCCGAGCTCGAGGCCGCCATGCGCAAGTCGAAGACCAAGTACGATTCACTCGCCGAGGAGTACGAGCGCGCCAGGACAGGCGATGCCAGTGCCCAGAAGGGCGCCAAGATGTTTGGATTCAAGGGGCCCAGGTCGGCTGCACAGCACGAGGAGGACCTGCTACGGAAGGTCCAGGGTGCCGACCAGGACTACCACGGAAGAGTGCAGACACTCCAAACTGAGCGTAGCGAGCTCCTTTCGAGGACGCGGCCCGAGACGGTCAAGGCGCTGCAGGATATTGTCAAAGAATGCGACTCAGCATTGGTGCTCCAGATGCAGAAGTTCGGTAAGTCTTGGCGTCGACCACTCCTCCAAGGTCCTTGCTGACACGGAGCCGTAGCATCGTTCAACGAGAAACTGCTGCTCAGCAACGGTCTGAGCATCAGTCCGCTGAAGACCCAAACCGGTGAGGTCAGGAGCCTCAGGGAGGTCATGGCCGCCATCGATAACGACAAAGATTTGAGCGAGTATGTCAGCGCGCACTTCAAGCAGCTACCGCCTAGACGGGGGGAGCCTAAATATGAGCGCAATCCTGTAAGCATCTCGTTGGAGAAAGACTGTGTGCCCGCTATTTGAGGCTGATTTGCCGTATAGATTCTTGACCAGCAGCACCGCGCACCCATCTCGCCGCAAGCTGTAGCGCAGCACCACGGCCAAGACGCTGTCCAGCCTCCTATGCAGCCCGGGCAGCCGATGAATGCGCGATTGAGTCAACACGGTTTCCCCGAACCCGCCGCCCCGCCGCCAGGACAGGCAGCCATGGGCCATGGCTACCGACCGAGCTCGGGTTCCATCTCTATGGCGCCTGGCGCGCAACGACCCGGGTCTCAGCCGCAGCATGAGAGAAGCTTCAGTCTCGGAAGCAGGGCAAACCAGCCCATCGCTCCAAGCCAGCAGCAATTTGCTTCACGGGCATCTGTCCAGCAGCAACCCATTCCGAGCTCGAAATTCAACGGCTCATTAAGCTCTCAAGGTCCACCACAGTTGGGAACGCTATCCTTCCAGAACCCAGCACCGCAGCAGCCGCAACAGCAGCCTCAGCAGCCGCAGCAGGCTCCTCACTTTCAATCTCAGCAACAGCAGTTGCAGCAGCAGGGAGGAATGGGTACCAACCCCCTTCAACAGCATCCGCCGAGCCACGGGTCGCAGCCACGCCAGCAGTCGCCGCCGCAACGTGCCCCCCCTCGACCGGTTTTCGGTTTAACCCTATCTCGGCTCTATGAGCGCGATGCCCTGGCCGTGCCGATGGTGGTGTATCAATGCATCCAGGCAGTTGACCTTTACGGTTTGGGGGTTGAAGGCATTTATCGGCTCTCTGGATCGCTCCCCCATGTCAACAAACTCAAGAACATGTTCGACACCGGTAAGTACCTACTCAGCTGTTATTGTCATGAACTCGGCAAACTTACAGAATTCTCCAGACTCCAGCTCCAGCAATCTGGACTTCCGAAACCCGGAGAATTTCTTCCACGACGTGAACAGTGTTGCCGGACTGCTCAAGCAATTTTTCAGAGACTTGCCGGAGCCTCTTCTGACGTCAGAGCATTACGCGGGATTTATTGAAGCTGCGAGTAAGTCCTGTGCCGTTTCGCAAACCCCTTAGATATCCGACTCCCAGTCAGGTGTTAAATCATGTGCGTCCCCCTTAGAAAACGACGACGAAATCGTCCGCCGCGACTCGCTGCACGCCATCATCAATAGCTTGCCGGACCCCAACTATGCCACTCTCCGAGCCCTCACCCTGCATCTGCACCGTGTGATAGATAACGCGGACGTCACTCGGATGAGCTCGCAGAATCTGGCCATCGTATTCGGGCCGACGCTGATGGGAACCGCCCCAGGCGCGAGCATCAGCGATGCGAGCTGGCAGGTCCGGGTCGTCGATACCATCCTGCAGAACACGTACCAGATATTCGATGACGATTGAGAGGTCATGGAGACCTTGTTTTGATGCTGAGGAGTCTTGGACGACGAGGGGGTAGAGAAGGGCGGGGGGGCCACTGCTTTCTTGAATAGAAACAGCTGCATCTCCAGCCGCATGTGGCACCCTCCGATAACTAATGGCGGAAGATATTGGGTGCCTGCAAGAGTTGGGGGAAGCCAGGAGATTATTGAGTGGTTCACACAGGCCATCTTGCATTGGTCTGGGGTGTTAACTATACAATGTTCATACGTGAAAGGATACCATTTTGGAACTTGTCTGAATTTGGTGTTTTGGTTGCAATGTACTGTACCATAGCTGCCTCCCTTCCCGCCATCAGTCTAGGCGGCGAGTTGCGATAGTGATATTATTTTACAAACTTCGCAAGATGCCGTCCACACTGGCGCTGGAAGATGTATATCCCCGATTTCTCCCCATGGGAGGATTGTTGTTTCAGGTGGCTTGAGCCAAACGTGTATGTAGTATGTGCATCTTATGTAAACAGGATATGTCCTCAGCATCACAGGCCCGGGCAACTCTGTACAGGCCTCCGCTCTGCCGAATGTGCATCAGCTCCTTCGTATGCCACAAACGCCACGCCATGCTGCGCAGTCTAGTCCCAGCCAAGTCTATCTATACAGGTGATCTCTGACCGTGGTTCCAAACCCCCCAAAACCCGGGCGCCAAGCTCCTACCAACCAACCGCCGCATTCAGAAGCGGTGACCCAAAGGCAAGGCCTTGTCCAGGAGACCGCCCTCCTCCACCCCTTCGACGCCCTCCCCACCCCTCCCCACCTTGGGCCCAATGAACAGCGCCTCAGCGACAGCGCACACCCTCCCCGTCGCAGCGTCCTCCAGCGTAGCGTCGACGAGCGCCTTGTAGCTCCCCTTCCCGCGCTCGGACGGGTCCAGCTCCTCCTCGGGGCGGCACCTGGCGCGCACGACGCAGAAGCCGTTGGACAGCGCCGGGCGCAGGTAGTTGACCTCGAGGCGGGCGGTGAAGCCGGTCCGGGCGGCCAGCCTGGCGGCCGAGGCGGCGCGGCCGCAGCACTCGTCCAGAAGCGTCGCGACGCAGCCGCCGTGGGCGACGCCCGGCCAGCCGGCGGTGCCGGCCCCGAGGTAGACGACGGCCACGACGTCGCCCGTGGGCCGGTGCTGAAAGATGCGCTGGTAGCCGCCGAGGCCCCGCGAGCCGGCTAGGGAGGAGGCGCAGGCGTGCGTGGCGGCGTGGGGGGCGGGCATGGACTCGTAGGCTTGCCAGGAGGTCCAGTCCGGGTCGGCGGATAGCTCGGCGACGATGGGGAGCGCGGCGGCTTGCGTGTGGAGCACCGAGATCGTGTAGGCGTCCTCCTCGGTGCCTGGGGCGGGCGGCTCGGGCGGCGAGAGGACGAGGCGGAGGGAGGAGCCGGCGGCGGTGCCGATGAGGAGGAAGGTCGCGGCGAGGAGGAGGCGCCGGCGCCGGCGGGGCTTGGGCGGAGGCGGGGATTTGCTTGTGGGAGGTTCAGCTGGAGGGGCGGGAGGGGCGGGCGCGGTCGTGGTCTCTTGCTGAGGTGGTTTCGGTTGGTCCTGCAGGAGGATATGAGATGTGGAAAATGCCCGTCGCGGCTGACGGAGCGGCCGGTCTGTGTGGCCTGGCAGGGGACTCGTGGGGAGTTGACGGAAGGCCGCCCGTTGCAAACCAGGGGACCCGGCGATGCGACATTGCGCGAGTTTGAGCAACTGCTGCTGTCGTATTCGGGGGATCATGGCTTCGCAATCCGGGCTGCGGGATATACTGAGCACAGGGCACGGGGTTGGAGCGAGGATTGGTTGTGCTCAGTAGCCCCAGATATTGGAACGATGGGTGTGTCGGGAGGAGGCTGAAGCTCCCCTCAAAAGTTCAGAGGATCCCCAGCCGATCGGGACTGCCTCTACAGTAATTTTCAGATTCAACCAGCACGCCCCACATTACCCCTACTGCATAGGTAATTACTGCAAGGAACCGTATCTTCAGAAACAATAGATGCTATTAGAATGCTTCAATCTAGGTCTGGCCCGAAGTGTCGGAATTATTCAATTCTAGCTGTTGGAATCGTTCAATTGTCTAGCAGGTAATCCGCGAACTTGAATAGAGTCGAGCACAGGTCAACATCTTCTTCCCCGTCTATTGAGAGCGCCATAGACTTCAAGAAGGTCTGGAAGAAGTTGTCTTGGGATTCCTCAGAAGAGCGAAAAGTCATGTAAGGCGTTATATTGGTTACTGGTTCTTGGATTTGAGAGAGCCGGCGATGTCTCCGCTGGTGCTGTATCTGCCCAACAAATGTTGGCCAATCTAGGCCGTCTAGGCGTTGTGCCAGACTCTCAAGCGCTGCCCAGGGCAGTGTAGGGCGTGCTGCTTGAATAGAAAAACGTCTGGTTGCAGGAAAAGCTTCTGTACTTGCCCTGCGCGTCTTTGATTAACCAGATTCCAACGCTCGGCAATCGGCAAGCCACAGGTACCATGCATATTTTGTGGGGTCTACGGGTGGGTTGGTCTGAGCTGTCATATCCCTGTATGAAATAGGAGGAGAGAATTTGGATAATGACATCAACATCAAAGATAGATGGACACAGGTTGATTATCCTGTAGGCCTGGTCTATCTGATGTTGTTGGTATTATGTTGCAGGTCTTTTGAGTGAGCCAGTGCTCATTGAATCCATGGAAAGAGGCCTGCCACTCCTCGACCAGCCTAGTTCTGGTTGTCGTCCTACGCCTCCCTGCGCTGTGACTTGCCATATGGACATAACCAGATCGATGAACCCCCCCATCCCAAAGGCCAGATCAAGAATCCACGTTGTTATTCCGCTCAAATTATGACCCCTGTAGGCACTCATTCTCCCAAGCTGGGAGAATATAGGCCCAGGACTACACAAGTGTGGATGTAAGAGTCGCAGTGCGAAGTCTGGCCCAAGGTATGCTTTGTGTTTGCATGTATTTCTGAGGAAGATGGACCCTGGCATCAACAGACGACCTCGGGGAAGCTATCTCGACTGGTTCACTCAGGGTTGCTTCCAGACCCGCTTTCGAGGTGGTGAATTCGAGGTGGTGAATTCCAAGGCGTGCGCTACACGTCGGATTCACTCACATTCCTTCCTGTTTATTCACCTAGGATAGGTTACGATATGGATATCTACTATTTCCTGTATCTCATGCCTATCTTTGGCTTTCTTCTCTTCCTGCTCTTTTGTTTCCTGACCAAATCCTTCATCAGCCTAATTCATCGTCCCTGGGAGCCACCACTTCTTTGTTGATGCGCGTATCCTCCAGTCGATATCAGGCCGAGTAAGAGTAAGCATTTGATGAAATTTCCCTTGCTCAGTCTCCGGCTAACCAGCTCCCAGGCTGAAAAGTTTACGAGTGTAACTGGGCCTGAATCCATACTGTCGACTCTGTCCCAGCCATTGGCCTTACCAAGCTTGCCTCGGCGCCTCGGTCACGATGGCTTCCGCATATGCTCTTGCGTAAGCTTCTTCTCTCTCTCAGTGTAGCTAGAGGCGGTGCTCTTGCTGACATTTGAGCCAAACAGGCACCTGAAGTCCACGATTCCCCTTGCCGTTCTTCTCACCCTTATCTCCTGTCTCATCCTAAATCGGACCCACCTCCTCAAGGTCGCGGCTGTTGTCCTTACTATCTTTTCGGCAGCTCTAACCTGGAATGTGTACCTGATCAATGCAGGTATCTGGACTTACCCGCCCCAGGCGATAACGGGGGCGAGGTTGATGGGTATTCCCGTGGCGGAGCTTTTCGTCTTTTTCGTCCAGACCTACATCACTTCGCTCATCTACATCTTCTGCAACATCACTGTCGTTCACGCCAAGTATCTGAAAACCCAGTGGAACCCCCCGACATGGATCAGGCAGACAAAGCTAGCTGTCCAGGTATATCTCGCAGCCCTCACCGTCTTGAGTGCCCGCGCCCTCCACCGTGGCGACAGGAGCGGCTACATGAGTTCAATTATTACCTGGATCGCTCCTATTGCTCTCTCTATTTGGACTGTGGCTGGGCGTTTTATCCTCAGCCTCCCCGGCTCTGGAACCGTTGTCCCCATCCTCATCTCAACCGCCTATCAATTGCTTTTTGACGGGCTCGAGTCGGGAAAAGGCACATGGACCATTGGGAATGAGTCGAAACTCAGACTTTATCTGTTTGGTTCGCTGGAGATCGAGGACGCCTACTTCTTCCTGTGCACCAACATGCTCGTCGTCTTCGGCTTGGCTGCCGTCGACCAGTATCTGGCTGTGATCGATGCCTTTCCGCACCTCTTCCCCGAGGCCCCGACGGTGCCTACCCTGCGTATGCTTCTCAAGGTTTTCTTCACTGGAACTAAGGAGTACGACACGGAACGGATTCAAGGCATCTGGGAGGCGGATGACCGTCTTCGGGCCAAGAGTCGGAGTTTCCACCTTGCAAGCTTCGCCTTCTCCGGTCGTATGAGGATTGACTTGATTCTTCTGTATGGTTTCTTTCTCCTTCGTGCCTAATAATTACTTACAGAAATACAGGTATTCTTTCTGTCGGATGGCGGACGATCTCATCGACAACGCAACGTCAGAGGAGGAGATCAAATCTTGGAGCTCGAAGCTGATCCGCTATTTCGACCTCTTCTACGATGGCAACGACGTTCACCGACGAGAAGTGGACTGGGTCAAAGTCAATCGGTTGGTAGATACCGAGTTCCCCGCTTCAGCGAGATCGGCACTGAGGTTCCTTCCGACCCGCATCCTTCCAGGTAGGCCCTTCTACGGTCTGATCGAGGGTTTCAGAATGGACGCCCAGTTCAACATCGCCCAGAAAGATGACCCCAGCGCCCGATTCCCGATCAAAGACGAGGCAGCCCTATGGAAGTACTCCAACTGTGTGGCAGGAACGATTGGCCAGCTTTGCAACGCCCTGATTGTTCACCACTGCAGATACGCCCCGCCCAACCACATCCAATATCAGCTGGGGCTTACGGCCATGAGTATGGGTATCGCCTTGCAGCTCGTCAACATCGCGCGAGACATCCCCACCGATGCCAAGATGGGTCGCGTCTATCTGCCGACGACTTGGCTCAGAGATCGGGGTCTGACCCCCGAGGACATCATCAAACACCCCGATGGAGAGACCATTCGCCAGCTCAGACAGAGGGTCCTCAACACGGCATTCACCATCTACGGGGAGATGCGCCCCGTCATGGAGCACCTGCCGAACGAGGCCAGAGGCCCCATGATCCTCGTCGTCGAGAGCTACATGGAGATTGGCCGGGTCCTGCGGGAGTCGTACGGGTGGACCATGGAGCAGGGGAAGGCGACTGTTCCTGCCCGTCGGAGGCTGATGATGGCCGTCAAGACGTTGTTGTCCTCGTAGAGTGGCTTCATGATGGACGGCTCGTGCGTAATCGGTTCTCGGAGGATCACAACCACGTGCTGTACATTAGCACTCGCCCTTTTTTTTCACATCGGTAGCTCATTAGAGTATTGGTAGTAATCACGAAAAACTCTCACCATATTTAACAGGGAAAATGCCAGTAACATATATATATATGGCTTCGGAATGGTAAGTTCTTTTAGGTTTCAGGGCCAACCCCTTTCCCACTCTTAGCTTCAGTATATCCAGTCCAGGATGGGCACCAACTCTGCTCCTATGAGCCTGCCTGTCGATACATGTTAGGGCTGCCTAGAAGACACTCCGTTGGGCCTTGGAGTCTCTATTGACTAATGAACCTCCCTCCCGGATCCTGTCTGGCTGGTTAGAATCTGGACGGCCTACTCATTGCCAATTAGGATAGGGGTAGATGATGGTTACAGCTAAACGAAAAGTAGCCCGGCTCAACGCTTCCTTCCCAGCTGGAGCTGAAAGTTCCCGTGAGTCCCTTTAGGAGGACGAGCTGGAGTGGGCATCCCTTTCAGATGCACCCCGGGAAAGGGCAGGGCGTCTTTCAAGGGGACCGGCGGGCCATAATCCCGCGCCCCATCCTAAGCCCAGAGCAGTTGATTGAGAGGAAGAATCAACTTAGGTTACCAGCACTGTGCTTAAGAGGGAGACCTATTTCTGGTCTGGTCTTTCTGCCTGACCAATGGGCGATTTTGTCTCTTTCCTTCGAGGCAGGAAGGGGCCAAAAGCGAAGTGAATTACCTAGGTATCGAGTGAATCAGTGAATGATCACGAACCCACGCGGGTCCAGGGCCAAGATCAGCCAGAGATCTCGATCAGTAAACAAGCCCTGCCCTAGGTACAAATACCGAGCGTGGGTAGAGAAATTCCTTCCTCCCTCTTCCATCCAATATCCCACCTTGAAGAATTCATCTTGAGCCAAACCACATCAGAGAAGAGTTCTTCCTTTCATCCTCTCTTTCATCCATCTGTGATTGACAGCCTTGCCTCTCCCTTTTGCTATTCACTGCTACTACTCAGTTAGCAATGGCGAACCAGAAGAAAGAAATCAAAAACGTCATCGTCATAGGTAAGGCCGCTCACCATTCCCCATATCCCACCCAGGTCCAGAGTAGCCAAGTCCGGGACGAAACTGACCATGGCCCCTTCTCCCCACCAGGTGCTGGCGCTGGCGGTATCGCTACCGCGGCTCGCCTCGCCATGGCCGGCATCAAGGTCACAGTCCTGGAGAAGAACAACTTCACCGGAGGTCGGTGCAGCCTCATCTTCACCGACGATGGCTTCCGATTCGACCAGGGCCCTTCCCTCTTGCTGCTCCCGGGCCTCTTCAAGGAGACATTCAACGACCTCGACAGCAGCCTCGAGGAGGCCGGCGTCGAGCTGATCCGGTGCCCCATCAACTACGACATCTTCTTCGCCGACGGCGAGAAAGTCCGCACCTCGTGTGACGAGAGTGTGATGAAGCAGGAGATCGAGCGCTGGGAGGGCAAGGACGGCTTCCAGCGATACCTGCAGTGGAAGGCCGAGGCCCACGTGCATTATGAGACGAGCCTCAAGCGCGTCCTCCGTAAAAACTTCACCAGCCTCTGGCAGATTGTTTCTCCCGGCTTCGTCTGGCACGGCCTTGGGCTCCACCCCCTCGAGAGTATCTGGAGCCGTTCCACCAGGTACTTCTACACCAACCGTCTCCGCATGGTCTTCACCTTCGCCACCATGTACATGGGCATGAGTCCCTTCGAGGCCCCGAGCACGTACAGTCTTTTGCAGTACAGCGAGCTCGCTGAGGGCATATGGTATCCCAAAGGCGGATTCCAGACGATCCTGCAGAAGATCGTCGACATCGGCAAGGCGTCCGGCGTAGAGTATCGATTGGAGACGCCCGTCAAGAAGATCCTGACAACCGACGACGGCGCCAAAGCGAAGGGTGTCGAGCTGGAGAGCGGCGAGACTCTCGAAGCCGACGTCGTTGTCGTGAACTCGGACCTCGTATACTCGTACAGCAACCTGTTCCCCCAGACCCGGGAAACCGCCGAGTACGCCAAGACCCTCAGAGGAAAGGACACCTCATGCAGCTCCATCTCCTTCTACTGGAGCGTGTCGAGGAAGGTGACGGAGCTCGGGACCCACAACATCTTCATGTCGAACGAGTACCGGGACTCGTTCGACGCCATCTTCAAGCGGCAGTCGGTCCCCTCGGACCCGAGCTTCTACGTCAACATCCCGAGCCGCATCGACCCGACCGCCGCGCCCGAGGGCAGCGACGCCGTCATCGCCCTGGTGCCCATCGGCCACCTGATGAAGTCGCGCGGCACCGACGACGAGCCGGGGGCGGGTTTCCCGCTCGACGACGCCGAGCGGCCCGCGCTGGTGGACCGGGTCCGCGAGGCGGTGCTGTCGACGCTGGCGGCGCGCACGGGCGGGGCGCGCCTCGACGCCTTCATCGCGGCCGAGGCGGTCAACACGCCGTGGACCTGGGAGGCCAAGTTCAACCTTGACAAGGGGGCGATCCTGGGGCTCAGCCACAACTTCACCAACGTGCTGGCCTACCGGCCGTCGACGCGGGCGCGCGGCCTGGCCGGCGCGTACTTTGTCGGCGCCAGCACCCACCCGGGCACGGGCGTGCCCGTCGTGCTCGCCGGCGCCAAGCTCACGGCCGAGCAGGTCCTGGCCGACCACGGCATGCCCGTCCCGTGGGAGGGCAAGGCGCCCGCGGTGCGCGACCAGGGCGCGCCGCAGGACGAGTCCACCGGCGAGCTGGACCGCCGCCGTCGGCCCCTGTGGTCGTCGGATTCGCGGCTGGCCGTGGGCCTGGTCGTCTCGTCGCTGGCCCTGGTGGTGCTGGACGGTTGGTGTCGTGGCCGCTACTTCGGCGGCTGCTGATCGCCCTGGCTCGGCGCGGCTCGGCTCGGCTCTGGAGCGGGCCATGAGTTGCTGGGAGTTGGGGGTTTTGTTGGAGTTTTGATTTGGAAGACAAACAATTGGCCTGCTTGTGGCTATTTGCACAGTTTGCATGAGTACCTAGGTGGTCGTAGATGACCCAGGCGGCAACGCCTAAACAAGAAGAATTAATAATGAATAACCATGTTGCCAGTACAAGTCACTGATATATACAATTAGATGAAATGAGTAACGTGCTTGATTATCAATCAGATAAACTCGAGGATGGCAAGGGATGAACGAAAGAGCCAAGTCAAGCCAGCCAAGAACGGACAACGGACGAAAACCCCCTTCAGAGCCTCGACTCGGCAAAGCTCACGAGCTCCTCCAATGCCACCATCTCGAACGCACCCATGCGCAAACGCAGCCCGTCGGCCGCGTCGGGCGCCGTCCGGACGGCCGTGCAACACATGTAGTCGGGCCCTATTGCCTGGATGCACACGTTCGCGTCCGCGACCGGCTCGCCGCGGAAGACGATGCTATGCCGGGTGACAACCTGGCCGCTGTCGCCGGCGCGGGCCGGGACGCCGAGCGCCTCGGTGGGAGTTGGCGGCACGAAGGACCGGAACTCGAGGCTCTTGAGCCAGTCGGCGAGCAGGGCGTCGCCCGTCATCTTGACGTAGGCCTCGCGCAGGCACCAGAGCGTGTAGAAGCAGCGCAGCTTGAAGTCCAGGACCTCGTCCGGGGTGGCGCCGGGGAGCAGCCCGGGAACGGCGCTCAGGACCTGGTACTTGAGGTAGCTGGCCTCGGAGTCGGCGAAGACGTCGGCGTGCATGTCGACGAAGCGCGGCCAGCCCTCGGCCCGGGCCATCTGGTGGTCGCGCTCCCGGCGCTCGCTGGTGCAGACCACGTCGACGCCGACGTCGACGCTGCCGCCCGCGTAGCCGTGCACGGCGGCCAGGGCCACGAGGCCCGCCTGGTGGCTGACGTTGAAGTCGAGCGGGCACTCCCCCGTGGCCGGGTCCCGGTAGATGGGCTTGGTGCGCTCGTTCCTGGTCACCTTGGCCTCCCACCAGGGCACCTGGCAGAACCTGCTGATGACGTAGCGCTTCAGGAGGTGCGACCCGATCGCCAGCTTGGCATCCCGGACATGGTAAAACCTCAAGACCTGGTCTCGCTCTTCCTGGGTGAGGAGAGCTAGCGCCCGAGAAGCCTGTGTTTCTGAACTGTCAGAACGGCCGCCAAAACATGGGGATCACGCCAAGTCGGGACCTCCCTGTATCTCCAGCTGCCGGGTTTCACGGGCTTCGGGCCACAGACTCCGGGTGTCGAGGATCCATTGGATGACTTGAGGATCGTGCGATGCGCCTGCCATTTGGATCTGCCGGCGACGTTTCAATACATAGAAAATAGTCTTGTCATGGGTCGACTCGATTTCAAGAGTCGGGCGTTCAGGTTTCATGCATCACGCCACACGCCATGAGGTTTAGTTGTGCTGAAACACAAACAGGGGAGGAAGCCTAACCCAGGCCGCCCTAGATGCAACTAACAGGGGTTCCGCGTAGTTAAATACAATGTCAACCTTTCCCAAGCACAACTCATTCCTCTTCTCGCCCCCATCCCGCTCAATAAACCCCTTCTAGGAGCTCTCTCCCATTTTTGCTGTCGCTTGGCTACAATGACACAGTCGACTCTCAAAGCCGGCTGTCGGACTGTTACCCCAAATTCTTGACAATTGGGCCTGCACTACGGATGCGCCAACAGCAAAACCTCTCTTCGGAATATCAACACCCCGGAGAAGCCCCGTGGAAGGAAACCCCAGACAATTCATTCTTCGTTCCGCGGCACAGCCAGTTCCCTGTCCCAACAATGGACACGTAGAGCAGGCCATGCAGCGATGAGCGCGCCCAGAATCCCATCCCGCTCCGCTGGAGGGTGTTCCTCGCCGTGTGCCTCTTCTGCACGCGAGACGTAACCCGGAAGCGTCGAGCGGACTTTTTTTCCCCAGCTCCGTCGTCGACACTGCCCTCGCTACTCCCGTCCGTCAGTATTCGAGGCAGCCACCGTCAACCATCAACCGTCAACAACCCCACGACGACGTCGAGCGGGACCACCCTCAACCTCTCTCGCTGCGACTCCCGCTGGAAGGTCCCGGGTCTTATACCCCGGACCTGGAAGTGGTTGTAGAAACGCCATGAAGAGGAGGGTGGTCTTTTTTTATATCATTTCATTTCATCTTCGGACTGGAAGGGCCCCCGCAACCGCTGTCTGAAGCGTCGATGACCCGCCGGAAGTCCCCCGGCTGCGCCTGGTGCTGTGATGCACCGTGTCTGCGCTGGCCGGGGGTGGCTGAGGCGATGCGAAATCCGCTGGAAGCGCAGCCATCCGCGAAACTTTGGTTCCCTGGAAGCCGGACTTGATACAGCCCCTCGCAACGCCGAGAGTGGGGCAAGGCCGATGAAGCACCTGGAAAGAGCTCCGGTGCCGGGTTCACGTTGTGTCCCCGGGACGGGGCTCGGAAACTGTGTAGAGGCTCCCTTGCGATGAGCCTGAACCTTTACGTGGTGCAAGGGATTAGGTTGATGCCTTCGGCTTTGGGTCGGGGCTCGCCGACGGATACAGGCTCTAATACTGCATGCGCGGTGGTGGCAACTGAGTCACCCGACACAGGCTACGAGATCACAGGTTACGAGAAACAAGATTGCCGCAGATGTAATTATGAGTCTTAACTAAGATCCTCGTAATGTGTAGAATCCTATTTGTCCTTGCCCTATCGAATATTGCGCGTTCCTTGTTTAAACCTTCTTGTGACCGAAGCTTCAACGATGACTGAATTCCTACAAAGTTCACAGAATTGCAGGTAGGCACAGACCACCACTGGCGTGTATATAAACACAGTTCTGCCCTCCTGTTTCGTTTCCCTTTCTCTTCTTGTTCACCATCCTAGTGCACGGGTTTTACGTATATCAGTGAGGATTCGTCCGAGATTACGTTTTTGCTGGTTGAAAACTATCTATAACCATCCCCTCCCTCCGGCCCTCGTAGCTGGAGGGGAATTTTTGAACCTTTCCTCTCGAGGAACATGCTTCTTTCATTGCCATCGGCTTGCGAGCCGAGGTGAAGAAGGATCTTGGTGTTTCATACTGGGTCGGCGATTTGAGAAACAGCGATGCGGATCTTGGGCGTGAATGTGCGACGTTGGCGATCTTCAACAAGAGCCCCCCCCTGTCCATTTTGCGCTTGCTTCCCCTTTGCGGCGGCCGCCTTCTTATTAGCTCCCCCAAACAACAAACTGAGGGACTTACCACCGTTAACTGTAGGTAGCTTCCAAACAGATTGGATTCATAATCTAAAGACCTATATTCTCGGCTCACTCTCGTACGCTCCTGGGTAAGCTCGGTTTTCTGGCCCGAAACGGCAGGCGACAAAGCAGGCACGCTTGGGAGCCGGAGACCGAATGAGTCAGGTCGGAGCCGAAAGCCACAGCCGCAAACAAATGACTGTGATCTCCAAATATAAGAACCATGCGGAATTGGCCAACGACGGCCAAGACACGCCCTTCTGACCAAATAACAGCCCTCTGTTTAACTTCCTCGAGTCACCCACTGGATTCTCAGAATTAGAACTGAAGATACACGATCATCATGAAGGAGCCTAAGCTAATCGAGCTCGACGGCAGAACTGGAGAAGGGGGTGGACAACTTGTGAGGATGGCAGTCAGCCTAGCTGCAGTTCTCACCCAGCCCATTCGAATCACCCACGTCAGGGGCAACAGGGGTGGATCGCGAGGAGGAGGTTCGTATGATCTAGACCGGCCATTTCATTCCCACCCCCTCTCCGTCCCAACCACAAACCATAACAACTAACCTCACCCCCAGGCCTCAAAGCCCAGCACGTCGCCTCGATAGCCTGGCTCGCCAAAGCCACCGACGCCGACGTGACCGGCCTCTCGGTAGGGAGCCACACGCTCGAGTTCCGCCCCCGCCTGCCGCCCTCCCAGCTGACCGCCGCCGCCGCCCACCGCCGCGTCTCCATCGCCGCCGACTCCGCCGCCGCCAGCACGCTGCTGATCCTGCAGGCCATCTTCCCGTTCCTGCTGTTCGCCGGCAGCGACGACGATGGTCCCATCGAGGTCGACCTCTCGGGCGGCACCAACGTCGCCTGGTCGCTGTCCTACGAGTACCTGGCCCAGGTCCTGCTGCCGACGCTGCGCGACCGCTTCGGCGTCCGCGCCGAGGCCGAGCTACGCGACCGCGGCTGGAGCGTGGGGACGCGGGCGTCGGAGCCGGCGCGGGGTCACGTCCGGGTCAGGGTGTGGCCGCTGCGGGTCGGGGAGACGCTCCGACCGACGACGGCAGGTTTGGGTGGGGAGGGGGGCAGAAGAGAGGTCACGGCCGTCGATGTTTCGGTCGTGGCGCCGGCGCACATGCACGCGGACCTGCAAGGCGCGCTGTTCCGGGACCTCGACGTCCTGTTCCCCGGCGCCGGGGCGCGACTCGAGGTGCTAGGGGACTCGGGGCTGGATTGCAGGATATACGTCCTGCTGGTGGCGCGCTCGGGGACGCTGCGCTGGGGTAGGGATATCCTGACGTCGGCGCCGAAGAAGGGGAATGCGAAGGGGAAGGGGAAGGGGAAGGGAGGGGCGAGTCTGAGCGATAGCATCGCCGGGAAGGTGTGCAAGGACCTCTATGAGGAGGTGGCGCTCGGGGGCGTGGTGGACGAGTTCCTGCAGGACCAGCTTGTCGTCTTCCAGGCGCTAGCGGAGGGAGAGACGAGCTTCCCGCGAGACGGAGACGGCGGTGACGGGTGGGGGACGCCACGGGGCAAGGCTGGTCTGGAGAAGCCTATTGGGGACCTGAACGTCGGCGAGCGGAGGAGGAAGGATAAGACGCACGAACCGTTCGGCCAGGGAAGCACCCACACAACCACAGCACGGTGGGTGGCGGCAGAGTTGCTGCCTAGGGTTGTCTGGTATAACAAGGGGAGTGTATGCCAAGGGGCCGGGGTGCGAATGGAACCGGCAACGTAGAATCACGGAACCAGGCGCCTGTCTATTGCGGTTGATTCACAGCGGTGTATGCAGTATTGCTCTCATGTGAGGCCGTGTTCTATGGCTATATACAGTTTCGATAGATGGGCGATTCGTCGATAACCGCCCTGATATACATGGATCGAGGCAGATGGCCTCTGCATCAGGACCAACTTGGTGGCCGGCCATCATGCCGAGATCCCCGTAGACAGCTAACATAACAGCATTGTTCGACTCTTGGTATCCAAATGCGATGAGGCTGAACCAGACTAGGGATATGCCAAACAGCAACAGATGTCCGTCTGTATTGCCAAACTCATCTCCCCAGAACTGAGGCGATCCCCTTCCTAACCCAGATGCAAATGGTCATGTTTCATCGGTACCTTTCAAATGCTTCGGCCTCGTTCAGCTTTGCCTCGACACGCTCTATTGTGTCGGCATCGTAAATATCACTGAGCGCCTTGTCGCCCAGAAGCACCTCCCTCTGGTGCCTGGCGGCTTCCTCCTTGGTCATGCAGACCAGGTCCCGTAGTCTAAGGTCGGAAGATTTCTGTTCTTCGATCTTGATCAAGGTGCTTTGTTTTGGCTTCGGCCATCTGATCAGCACCAACCTTGTCGGGATCCCGCTGACCGCGCTTTTGCCCCTGTACACTTCCTCGACCAAGAACGCAACGTCTCCCACGGTTACGGGGATCTTGAGCCCAACGGCCAGTTCGGGTGGCCCGCCCTCGCTCGCTCGTACAATCTTCTCCTCGCTGCTCTGGACAACGCCCAGGATTGAATCGTACATCTTGTCCCGCCCCTTGAAGGGAATGTAGTCAATTGGGTAGCCTGGGCCCAAAGTCAGTCCTGTGAAATTTCAGCGGGGCGAAGGAAGGGACGGTAGCTCACCGGTAATTTGTAAAATGATATGGTTTGCAACAGTGTATCCGAACACTGCCGGCATTGTTCCCAAGACCGGCAGAATTCGCACGCGGAAATCGGGCAGAACTCCGAGGTCCCCGACTGTTCCTTTTTTAAACTCGTCTTCCGGGAGAGGAAGCAGTTCTGCCTTCCCTTCTCCCGCGGTCTCGGTCGAGTAGACGACCGGGATTCCGCTCGTGACACCCTGCAGCTTGAGCCGCCGCCGTGTGGCCCGAGAGAGACCATCGCAGGTGCTGGTACCGATGTCGCCCACCGTGACCTTGGTCGGGTCGCTCTTGCAACCGGCGCCCATGGCCGATATGACCGGGAGTTTGTGATCGTGGCAGTATTTTAGAAGCTCGACCTTTGTGTCGATATTGTCGATCGCATCGACCACAAAGTCCGGCATCCCCCCTTTGGAACCCCCTTCCCCGTCCCACGGCCCCAGCAACCGCGCCGCGCTCCGACCGTCGAACTTCTCCAGTCTCAGGTCGAAAGCCACCCACGGCGTGATGGCCACCAGCCGGCGCTGCAGGCACTGCACCTTGGGCAGCCCCACGTCGGCGAGCGTCGCGACGGCGTGCCTGTTGAGCGAGCTCAGCGTGACCTGGTCGAAGTCCACGAGGCGCAGCGAGCCGACGCCCGAGCGGGCGAGCGCGGCGGCGCAGTGCGAGCCCACGCCGCCACAGCCGACGACCACGACCCGGGCGCCCCTCAGCCGGCCGAGCCCCTCGGGGGTCAGGAAGACGCGGTTGCGCGCCAGTTGCTCGAGGACCAGCTCGTCGTCGAAGTCGCCGGCCAGGGCGCGCCGCGCCAGCACCGCGTTGCGGACGTCCTCCTTGTCTGGGTTCGGCAGGGCGCCCGGCGGGGGCGAGGCAACATGCTGACCGTCGTCATCGGGGGCCGGGATGGAGCGCTTGAGGCGGGAGACGCGGGCTTCTCGTTGGAGGTGCTGCAGGCCGAGGATCGCGGCGGCTCCGACTGCCACGGAGACGACGGCGGTGGTGGCGAGTTGGAAGTTGTGGTTGGTGGAGTGTTGAGAGAGGAAGCCCATATTGTCGATTGAATAGTCGGCGTGGCTAATTGGCGGCGAGAGGATGCAATTCTTGCTGGTTCACTTCATCTCTGCCCGCCGAAACCCTGTGTTCTCGCAAGATTTTGTTTAAAGAACCAAGCAACGAAAGTTAACCCCCATAGCCCCCACTAGCATCTTACCCCTTCTAGACTAGCCCGAGAAGACATGGAAACCTTGAAGTTAAGGTTAATTGGTTACCCACCCGAACCACCCCTGCCTGCATCCTGACGAGAATAAACGGTCGAGTCGGGAATTTCTGCTCAAATCGTGGTGAAATACAGCTCTTCGTGGAGGCGTGTCAGTCAGTAGCACGGGGTTTGTCCCTGCTTTCAGGGTTAGGCACTATAGCCTACTGTATTCTTTCACTTGGCGGCAGGTTTCTCGCAGCGATCCTAGCACTCCTCCTCCTAGCCACATCTATGGGATATATCGAGTTCCCCCCTACTCCTAGTGATTCCCGGCTATGCTTTGCTGTCGTTTTCGCCTTCTCCTCTCTAGGACCAGATGAACGAGGACGTCTCTGTTTGCCGTTGTTGAGCTTCTCTTCCGCTTTGGCTACTCCCGGTTGATTTCGTCATTCACAGCTGAGGGAGGTTGCGGTGTATTCTCGACCTTTAGCTTACCCCTTCTTCCGCGTGTGGGCCGAGAAGTGCCGTTGGCCCTGGCGACTGGCTCTCTGGACCGCTTGATGCTTGGGATGTTGGACTTCAGAGAGTTGGCTGCAGGCTGCAACCCGAGCCGCTAGGCGACTTCTGCGTCGCCATTCGCTTTCGCTTGCTTCGCAGTATTCTTGTGGACGACTTGATTCGGTCCGTCAAGTCCAAGGACACCGGCTTCGGGGACCTTGCTGCTTCTTCTTCGCCGTTGTCATCTCTCTGGATCGCTTCCTGCAGTCGGAGTCCGGTGCCGGCGGGGTGCGATTTTCGTCTTCAAAGTGATAGTCGGCAACGTATCGCCACCACAGCTCAACCCAGATCCTGCTATCAGGGACGTTGTATTCCTTCCTAAGCCCATTACTTGTTATCCCAGGCTTTCCCAGCGCTGTCTTGTCACCCCTCTCGCTACGCATCTGTCGCAGTACGGCCTCGGCAAAAGGCAGCGACTCGAGGCTGTACTCGATAAAGTCCCTATACAAAACCGTTTGGGAATAATGCCGCCACATCTCCCAGCATGGGGTTGGCAATCTAGCACGCTGCTGCATGTCCCTCTAAAGATGGTCTCGTAGGTAGGTGATGAAGGCAGCGACAGCGTCAAACCTATCCACGTGCTGTATGTCGGGTTCGTGGTCTTGCCTTTGGCGCTGCATGAACTGCTTCCACAGCGTGAGTTGGCCAATCCAGTACCACCATTGGTCAAGATACCAACAGGTCATAAGTTCTTCTCTGTCATCGTCGCTGCGCTGCTCGTCGGTGAGATCTCGAACCGGTTCTCAACCAACGATCGTGGAGGTATGCCGCCCAGCTCCACCAGCTCATCAAAGAGCTTGCGCACCCTCAGTCGCGCTCTGGATTCGTTCTCGGCCGCGACCCCAACGCTTTGCGACATTATCTGCGCGCACTCTCGCGTCACCAACAGACACCTCATGTTCGGTTTCGACGGCGACCACATAGTCATGGACGACGTGTCGTCGGGCGGGAGCGAAGTCAGTCTCGACGGCCGCGGCCGCTGCTTGACGTGTCCGAAGCCCAACAAGCCGTGCAGGTTCATCCTGCCTCCAGGGAGCATGGTCACCATTTCGATACCGAGCTTCGAGCTGTAGTTTCGCGTCGAGTTTCTCGAGGGACCCGTTCTCCGCGAGTTCCACAAGAATCGCGATGCGTTCCTCGCGGACCTGTGCGATGACTTCGTCGGATCTTTGGCCCTTGCCTCAACAGGTCACGACGGTAGCTGCGACTTTGAGGGAGTAGCGACCCATGTACTAGTTTGAATCGGTGATAGGAAAGGGCGCGTTTGGCACCGTGTACAGGGTTCGCCATCTTGATAACTGGGCTGTCTTTGCCGCAAAGGAAGTCAGGAATGGCGATGATCTCGAAAGGGAGATGAGAACACTGCGGCAACTAAGCCACGTGAGTAACTTCCAATCCTCGCATGACCACGCCCATGTCGAGCGACCTACCTCAGCTGCCCGCTCGGCGACAAGCCGGCAACTAAACCAAGGAGCGGTGGGGAGACCTGGCCAGGGCCGCTTACACGGGCTACAACGGGACGCGGCCCAGGACGATGATTGTGCACGGCATGGCCGACACCGCGGTTGTCATCTCACTGCTCAAGGCCCAGCTTGGCCAGTAGAGCGATGTTTTTGGCATCTGTTTCGCGAAGAAAACCTCGAATGACCCCATAACCAACTGGAACAAGATTTGCAGTGGCGATTGCATTCAGCTTGTCGGCTATGAGGTTCAGGGAGCTGGTCACATCCCTGCCTTCCAGGGCGACGCGACCCTCAAGTTTTTCGGCCTGATGTGAAGATCCTGGGAAACTCGTTAGGACGATGCTCTGGTTAAACATTACCTCTGAGTTCCACGAGAATGTCGCTTTTTTATACGCATTTAAACCCCCTGCATTTTCAGATCGGACAGGGGTCAACTAGTTGTAAATGGCTTGTTGGCGCTTGCCCTCTTGAGGCAATTGGATCCGCATTTGACCATAATTCCAGAACAAGTGTATGTTTGTGTGCAATCTATGGACCTACTTAGAGATCCACCATTACACATCATTCACAACACGTGGACTAGGTACCTAGCTGGCAAGGGCTCTTGATCCCTCTCCAAGCCGGCGCGTATGCTCCTTCCGTATACGGCTCCGGCTGATTATGTGGGGCGGAACCGGGGGAGGTAGCATTAAGGTACCCCGCAGCTGACACTCGTTCCACCATTGCGAACTCGAAAACGAGAGCGACAGCAATGAAGCACCTTGAAGGTGACGGTCAAATGGGGCAACCCGAACACGGCTCGGCAAGGCACGACCCTGTTCGACCGAATACGTCCTCGATGTCTATAAGAGCTGTTTGACTCCGCCTTTCCAATGGGCGGGGAGAGCCGTTCTGCATACTCCCCGCACCATCCAAACCGTCAGCCTAGCATATACGAGGTATTCTCAAACGGGAACGCACTAAATCGGCAGCCCAAGGAATCACAATTGCTGCCATCAAAACCTTGATCCGAGACCATGACATCAGCTCAGGGAAAGACCGCCATCGTCACTGGCGCTGCTGGCGGCCTCGGAAAAGCCATTGCAGACGCCTTCCTCGCCGCAGGGGCTAACGTAGTGATCTGTGACGTCAACTCTCAGCGGATAGCCACCGTAGAGGAGGAGTGGAACAAGACCTACTCGGGCAAGTTCCTCGCCCTGCAGACAGACGTGTCAGACGAAGCCGCCGTCCAGAAGCTCGTGGACGAGACCGTCGCCAAGTTCGGCCGCCTCGATGTCCTCGTCAACAATGCCGGCGTCATGGACGACTTCTCCCCCGTTGGATCCTGCACCAAGGAGAAGTGGGACCATGTCCTGGCAATCAACCTCAACGGGCCCTACCTGACCTCCAGAGCCGCGGTGACGCAGATGGAGAAGCAGGAACCGGCCGGCGGCTCCATCATCAACATCGGCTCCAACGCGAGCTACGGCGGCTTCCACGCCGGCGTGGCCTACACGGTCTCCAAGGCGGGCGTCATGGCCCTCACGAAAAACACGGCGGGGGCGTACGGGGCCAAGGGCATCTACTCCTCCGCCCTGCTCCTCGGGGCAATGTCCAGCACCAACATCACCGACGCAATGCAGCAGGGCATCGACATGGACATGTTTCAGCAGATCAACGCGTCGCATACCAAGTTCGAGCCAGAGAAGCATGATCTTCCCCTCGGGAGCGTCGCAAAGTATGTCTTGTTCTTGACCGACAAGGATATCGCGGCCAGCGCGAACGGCTCGTGCATTGTGTTCAACAGGAACTGGCCCGAGGCCTAGAGGTCGGGACAGGACTAGTATACGGAGATTTGGACTAGACGGAATTGGCGGTCAAGCATGGCCTGATTCGGTTGACTGGTCAGTGGTGTGATTTCAAGACTCTCTGCAGAGTCGAGTACCTAGCTAGCATCTGCACGGGCATGGGGAAATGAGTGTGGTGGTGGAGTGTACATCTCCTGATATATATTCACCCGTTTCTAGCTGACTGTAGTTGATGGGAAAAGACAACAACCACCGAGATTTCCATGTACTATGCAGAAGGAGCGTGTGCAAAGTGCAATCTCAGAGTACCCGCCTAATACAACGTTTCGCTTTGACCCCAAGATGCGATGAAGGAGAGTAGAGAATAACAAACAGCGCCCCAATCCAAGGGCCCAAGCCAGAACAATAAACCTGCATACCAACAAATACGCTCTTCCATCTCACTTCCTTCAAACCCGACCGAGAGTCTCTCATGGAATGCAATAGGGGCTGCCGTTGGCCTGGAGGAAGTGGCAGTGGGTGTTTGGGGGGCAGTCGCCAGCATACTAGAAGAAGACGGGGGGTTGTCAGTCAGAGTGCTTATCCCCCATTTTTACTTTTCTTCTGAGCAGCAGAGGCAGCAAAAGAAGCAAGTACTTACCACCCATTGGTGCGTCACGTCGCAGACCTGCCATCCGTCAACGCCCGACTGAGGGTTCTTGGCGCATCCGTACGTCGCCGGCTGGCAGCCTTGGGGCTTGCCGGGGACGGCCGCGGCAACTGCGGCGAGGGCGGCGAGGACGGCGAGGATGTTCTTCATTGTGGTGGTGGTAGAGGATGGGGTGGGTATGAGAGGTATAGGTAGATTGGTTTTTATTGGGAGCTTTACTGTATTGGATTGGAATTGCAGATGTAGTAGATTCCTCAGCGATGGAGAGACAGGAGTGTCGTTCTCAGGGGGGAATGACGGGGACTTATATACATATCTTTACATAGCCATCCTCCCAGAGAGGCGTCGACAACATCCAACCATACCTCATCGCGGACAACCCTCGTACCGGAAACATAAAGCCTCGAAGAAACGAGCCCACGATGGCGCCCTCGGAAAACCACGAGACAAGGAAAGGGAAAACAGCTAATGGCAGAACGGCACCGTTGATCGTTCCCGCTCGAGGCCTGAGTGGTCCCCCCCGAGGAACGACGCTACCGATCACGAGGCTTGGCTACCGAGTGTGGACCACGACAGCGAATCGAGCCGAGAGCCGGCGTACAGCGGTCAAGACGAAGAAGAAAACAGGATCGCCGAATAGTAATGATAATCCACTCCACCCAAGGGAGGCAGCGACGAACACGGCCACCACAAAAGCCCGATCAACCAGCCATTGCGACCACCGACAGCCGACACCAGGGTTCCCAGGGCAGGGGCTCCATCCCTGCCCACCACACCCTCCCCGCGATCCTCAGCCTCAACTATCGGGATGTCGAAACCCTGGGGATGATATCTGGCATGGTATTGGTCCGCCGAGTCACCAGCTACCCCGAGCTTTCTCGGGAGTTATTTTTGGAGGGTGGAGGCCTGTGTGAGCGGGTGCGGAGGCCAGGGCCAATCTGGTGACGTCGCTGGGAGCGGCTGGGCCGGGCTGAGATGAAGGTAAGGTAATACGAGAATGTCGTTCCAGCCGGCCTATTTAGGTGCCATCACGGGACCGCTGGGCCGGTATGCCAGGTTTTTTGGCAGCGAACACGGGATTTGGGCCGTCGGCCATGGCCCCAGACGGGTAAGCATTCCTGCCGATGTGGGTTGGGTGAGCTTAGGTTGTGGAACGGGGCCAATGTCTCAACGTCTTTTCGTGGCCTGATATAACTAGCTAGCTAGCTTGCTTTGTTCAGATCGCAATCAGGACTCTGATTGGCAAGGGGAAGGGCACTGTAGCCATGAAGGCCGGGATCAGGTGAGGGTAATTGGATCACGGGCCAGAGGTAGTTATTGCGTAAAAGAATGAAAAATAGTAGAAGAAGGCTGGCTTTAGATATCTAATCCTAGACGGCATGTTTGCCCCCTTTACGAGGTTGTGGTGGTACCTAGGCTACTTCCCATGCAGCAGCTCCTTGGCCATCTCCCGCAGCTTGTACTTCTGTATCTTCCCGCTCGCCGTCTTGGGGTACTCTTCGACCCAGAAGACATGCTTGGGCACCAGGTGTGCCGACAGGCGGGAGGCGACCCACTCGCGGATGTCGGCCTTAGTCAGGAGCGGCGGCTGCCCCTCGCCATCCTCCGTGGCCGTCTCGCCGACGGCCCCGGCCGCCGACTCGAGGGCGGCCTGGCCTCCCGGCTCGCCCTCGACGACGGCGACGCCCCGGTGCGGGACGACGAAGGCGCCGACGCACTCGCCGTGGCGCTCGTCCGGCACGCCCACGACGCTGACCTCGGCGACGAGCGGGTGCTGGAAGAGGCAGTCCTCGACCTCGAGCGGGTGGATGTTCTCGCCGCCGCGGATGATCAGGTCCTTGATCCGCCCCGTGATCTGCACGTAGCCCTCGGCGTCCATGCTCGCCTCGTCGCCCGAGTACATCCAGACCGCCGTCCCCTCCCCGTCTTGCTCCTTCTCCTCCACCAGCACCTCCCGAGTCCGCTCCTCGTCCCCCCAGTACCCCTTCATGACCACATACCCCGCCGCTGCGAGCTCGCCCCTCTCGCCGACGGGCAGCACCCTGGTCCGGTCGGCCGGGTCGACGACCTTGACGCGCGTGTGCGGCATCACCTTGCCCACGGTGGCAGTGCGCCTCGCCAGCGGGTCCGTCGGCGCCGTCATGCAGCTGACGGGGCTCGTCTCGGTCATGCCGTAGCAGATCACCAGGTCGCGCAGCCCCAGGCTGCCGTACAGCCGCCGCATCAGCGACTCGGGCACACTGGACCCGGCCGCGATGCCCTTGCGCAGGTGCTCGGGGAACCGGGCCACGAGGGCCGGGTCGACGACCGGGGGACCCGACAGGCTGCTGCTGGTACCGCTGCCGGTGGCGGCGGCGGCCACCTCGAGCATGGCGACGAGCATGGTCGAGACGCCGTAGAGGCCCGTGGCGCGGTGGTCGGCGACCATGCGGATCGAGGCGAGCGGGTCGAAGGCCGGCGAGGGGAACATGATGGCGGCCCCCGTGGTCGCGGTCGCCATGTAGCCGAGAACGGAGCCGAAGCAGTGGAAGAGCGGCGGCGGGCAGACGATGAGGTCCGAGGGGTCGAGGCCCATGCGCGACGCGATCAGGTAGCCGTTATTAAGGATGTTTGTGTGCGTGAGCATGGCCGCCTTGGGGTGTGACGTCGTGCCCGAGGTGAACTGGATGTTGATAGTCTCTGAGGCCGATAGGGGCGAGTCTGGTGTGATGGGCCGGCTGGAGGGGTTGTATGCCGAGGGGTAGAAGGTCGGTAGAAGGGTGGAGAGCGGGGTCAGGGATGGGAAGGACGGAAGCGGAAAGGAGACCTTCGGGTGAGATAAGGCGTTGTCTGCCACGACGATGGTCTTGAGCGTGGGTATTCTAGGAGCCTCAATTTTCCCGGATGCCAGGTCGGGGACGAGCTCTTGCAGAAGGGGAAGGTTTGTACGCCCACGGCACGGCTTATAGGTGAGATCGGTCACCGCGCCTATGATCAGGACCTCGACGCCGAGGTGGTTGAGGGCGGCGGCAACCTGGTTGGCGTTGAAGCTGGGGTTTAGAGGCACGAGGATGGCGCCGAGCTTGAAGATGGCATAGGTGAGGGTTGCGAATTCCGGGCAGTTCCCCAGGCTGACGGCCACTCGGGCCCCCTTCTTGACTCCCAGAGACCGTAACGAGTCTGCTAGGACGTTGGATGCGAGATCCAACATCTCGTAGGTCAGTGCCGTCTCCTTTGCCTGTGGGACTTCGTGTGATGGAAGCGCATCTTGTCCTGCTGTCGGGGACCTTGCGATCACGGCAGGGCGATCTCCGAACCGTGAAACTATCGAAGCGAAGTGTTCTGGTATCGTGTGAGGGAGCAAGGGGGGCTGAGAATGTTGTGTCAGCCCTCACTGATCCCTAATGCCATCCAGACAACAGAATTGAGGTCCCATAAAAGGGCACTCTTACCTCTGTTGGCCCCTGCGTGATGCTCCTCGTCAGACCATTAATACATCTGGCCTGTCTCAAGCCAGCCTTCGCCCATGGCGAATCACGGGAGATGCATCTCCTCCTCGACAACCTCAGCAGAAGAGCCGGTGATTTTGGCATATTGACGGCAAGTCCAGCGGCTGTCGTGACGCCCAAGCATTCAGAGGACAGCAACTAAGTCAAACACGCCTAGATAGAGAAGATGTCGCCGTACCCAGATATGAGAAGGCGATGGGAAAGGGGGCCCGCCGAGATAGAGATCCCCCCTCGCCGCAAGGGTAACATCGCGCGAGGTCTTGACTGTTTCCCTTCCCCAACTCTTCTCCAGCCCCTCAATTGTTCATGCGGGGTCGCCGAAAATGAGTGCCGACAACTGGATGGAGATCCACCTGACGTAAATCAGTGCCGGATTTCTCCACAAACCGAATTGGAGTCCCACCTCGAATCTCCAAGCAATGCTTCGGTCTACGAGTCGAGACATGGGTCTACATGCTGCGTTGAAATCGAATCAAATACTGCCCTTTTCCCCATGACCATCGTGCTGGGTAGGTATTTTGTCGAGTGTGATGCGCGGTGGATTTCTACGCAGCTGGGTGGGAAACCGGCAGTATAATCTGGCGAGTACCATCTGCCTTGTTGGCCTCGTATTTTCGATAACCATATGGGCACCTGACCTGCGTATTACTCGGCCATCATCAACCGCAACTCTTTCTCATTTTTTATGTACACTTTGTTTGAGGCTGTTGGCCCTGAACGACTCCGTAATATCACCTCTATACCACGGTCTAATGTCTCTCACCCCGTGGAGATCCGCTGGATATGCATCTCAAGAACGCCGGTGTCCATGCCACAAAAACAATCCGATTATTAAAGAATGACAATGTTGAACGAAGAGAAAGGTCGTAAGCGCTTCAGGAACCAGTCCGTTTTTAAGCCCCCTCTAATTACTCCCCAATGTGTCGTTCGCTCTCTGGCTTCCATGTCCCTGTGCAGTCTGTCAGCAATATAGTCGCAGCGGGCGGATCATGCCAGTGCATCCGGGAAGTTGGGTCGTGGGGGGAGGGGAACGACAGGTGGGGATGGTTCTCACCTTCAAAGTCGTGTTTTACAAAGGCCATCGGGTCGTCGTAGTCCTTGGCCCCCATCTGCTGCACTCCGGGGGAGAAGCTGGTGATGGGGAGGACGATGACATCCCCAACACGCTTTGGGACTTCCATGCCGGTAAAATTCCTCCAGTTGATCAAACCAGGCGAGTGATCCATGTCAAAGTATCGCTCGTCGTTGAAATACTCGAATATAATGTCGGTCCAGACGGCGGGGCCCGTGAACTCGATGACGTTCTTGTCCATGACACCCCTCAGGAGGCCGGCCTTCTTACGTCTCAGCGTCTCATTGGTGATGCGCGCCACCACGTCCCGCAACACCGGGTGGCCGGGCTTGCTCTGGATAGTCCACTGGCAGAATTGGATGCGGCGCGAGTACCACTCTTTCCAGTCCGGTCTGTCGGGGTCGGCTTCGATACCAATGACAAGTCCGATGGCTTCGCGAGGCACATTTTCGGGAATCCACTCGAGCGCGCTCCTGATGGCGTACGTGTCAATGTCCGAGTAGATACCACCCCTCGCGAGCAGGATCAGGTAGCGGAAGAAGTCGGCCTTGAGAACGGGCAGGGGAAGCGCCTCGTAGGCCTCGACAACCTCGGGAACCGAAGCATAGAGTAGTCGCAGGAGGTGCAGAGCGACTTGGTCCGTGATGACCTCGTGGATGAAGCCAGGATGCTGCTCGGTCCAGGTTGCCTCTTGCTCGCGAAAAGTGAACTCGGCATTGGCGGGTGTCCATCTCCACGTTTGCCAGATGTAGGCGGGGAATCTCGTCTCGACATCGTAGGGGTATTGATAGGCAAGCTTCTCGTAGAGGGTCATCTTGGACATGTCTTGTATTGTCTTCTGGGTCGATGGGTAGCCATGGCGACTGCTGCTGCTGCTGCTGGAGGAGTCGGAATCGGCAGGCCTGCGATCAGAGGGCGGGGCTGTTGTTGAAGCTTGTTTTGATGACTCGGCGGGAACGTCGTTCTGATCGGACAAGACAGGAGGGGTTGAGGTTGATGACAAGGGCGACGATGTTGACCGCGTGGTCAGGAAGAGGATGGTGAGAAGACACGCGGCGGCGACAAGGGCGCGACGGAAGGTGAGCATCGTGAAAGAACGAATTGCCCCCTAACACAAATCAATGCCATTAGCAACCCGAGAGTTCGACAGCTTATGGTGATTGAAGAGTCAAAATCAAAGAATGCATGCAAGGATAGGATCTTCAGGATCTTGACCCTGGAATAAAACTTGGGACTCAAAAAAGGAACCACCACTAGCGTACATACCTGATTCACCACATGTGGGCCACGAAAATCTTGAGACAGTGAGGGAGACAAGAAATGGAAGGGAATACTCCGAAGGGCGCCTAAAACGAATGAAGAGAATGGGAAACAATTGTGTACGGACTCGACAAGACGAGGTCAAAGTTTGGCCCGTCGAGCTTGATGGTGGCAGGCCAAGAAGGCTGAGGTTGAACAGGACAGCAACTTCTTCGCTGGGAAAAGGGGGGTTACCGTCAGATAGATAGCTGCACTCTCAGTGGCTGACCATACCTTAATTAGTTAGTTACGGCTAACTGTCAGAGTAACGATGACGATCTACGCCAAGACATGCTGCAACCAGGGTTATTCAGGTGATCTTTGGGACGATTGCTGCAAATTTTGCACTGACCGTTTGGTTTCAGAGACGGATAAAGTGCCTAGTCCTATGAATTTTCCACTGGAAGTCCCAACGTAATACAATGAGACAAACGGCACGCCGATTTCTGCCCTTCTCAACCGCTTGACCCATTCCGGTCAGGTACAGAGTACTTAGGTACTTGGCAAGATTGTCTGGCGGGGAGAGACGCAGCTTTACTGCGCTGTGCGAAGGCTGCACTCTGGCTTGCTTCCGGTATTGGTATTCTCGAGTCTCCTTTTCGAGTCTCATCCGGCTCCAAAGATCATCAGGTGGCGGTGCAGCACGATCGTCATGTTGGAGCCAGTGGTACAGACGAACAGGTGCCTTTGCAGTGGTATCATCGCCCAGGATCTGTGTGCCAAGACTGTACCCGCTTTCTAGACTGCACATCTGGGAAGGATCCGCTCATGCAACCCTTTGATCTGGAGGCTGATAGGCAATTACGCGTACAACCTAGTAGAACATGAAACGCATCCGTTCGCTCTGCCAAGTCAGCCGCTCGTACGTCGGCGCCCTGGAGGCTGTACCACACTTTTCTCGAGTTTTCCCATCTTCAAACATGTCCGAAGTTGACTTCATTTCGAGATTCGATTATATCCCCCTTGCATTCCCGCCTGCTATTCGCAGCATTATCGTCCTTCTTTTGGATCCCGTTGCCCGATAAAGGTAGGTAGGTACCTTGTAGGGTACCTTATTTTTTTTAGAGTCCAATTTAGGACCTAACCCAGATTGCTCCTGGACTGTGACGTAATACGAGCCCCGCTAAATAAGCCCGACCTCAGTGCTCCTTGCGGTCTCAGCAGGCGAAGATCACGTCATACAGAACTGGCCCGATTTGCACGTGCAGTATCACTTGTCACTAAGCCCATTGACACCTCTTCCAGGACTCGCATCTCTGAAGAGCCGCATCTGAGATTCAAGAGCAGTTAGGGCTTACTTCGGTGGCACTACCCTCTCACAGCATAATGACGATGCATCGGACTAGTTGGTCACACCGGAGTGGCGCCAGATAGTTGGCACTTCACGGGCTGCTTCACGGGCTGCTTCAATGGTATATTTGTGCAAGCGAAATGGGCAGCTATGGGCTTTCCCAAGACGGGTCCCGCCCATATCGACTGTCCAGGAGCGACACGCTGGATCAAGCGACCGAACTGGCTGAGGACTCTAGGTCGGGTTTATGAAGGCGAAGACACCGAGCGTATCGGCCAATTCCTTGACACCATCATCCAAGGATGCCTCCAAACGTAGAGGTAGGCTGGCTTCAGCATTCCTGGAAAAGTGGCCTTCACAACGAATTACGATCTCAAGCCGAATAGCTTCCTCGGTAACAGGGAATTCAACATCCTCGCTGTCATTGTTCAGTGCTCGATCGTCGCAGCGCCTGATATGACCTCGTTGTGGTGAAGAAGCACTAGCGCAGTTGGCGATTTGCGAAGGTTATCAAGGCAGAAGGACACCAATAGGGCAGAAGCAATTGCAAATGTGCTTGCAAACAGACAGGCATTTATCATTACTAAGTCTAGGGGCTATGTATTCTAAGGAGGTAATGGCGTCCTGCTTGCTAATCTGCATCAAATGACGTCGGGCTGGGTGTAACAGTAGAGAGGTAGGGGGCTAGAGTGAGGCAGAGGTGGCGCATCACAATCTTCCAGGTTGAGACTTGTCTAAGACAGCGGCAACAGCCACACCTCCTACTTCTAATTAGTTACTAGTTTTGCGAGATTTCTAGAAGAGACGACCCTTAATATCAACTCTGTGCACGAGTGACACAGGTTTGTAGTGCCTCGGGACATCTCCTCTCCAGGCCGAGGATATCAACGTAGGACAACCTCAGCTTATCCCACGGCGCTTCCACCATATCGGTCAGGGAATACGAGCCACAGTTGCTGGGAGGCGCCTGGGACCCCTTGGGCTGCAGCGGACGATGGATCAGTCAGGGCAGGCCCTGACCCCTGTTCCTTTTTGGGTATATAAGGCTGGCTATCTCCCGGACGAGGCACGCGATAATGTGATAGCCGCCCCCCACCCCTTCCTTATAAACTACTACCCACTGGCCTCCTCCCTGTAACTCAGCGGGTACTCCGTCGTCTCCCTCGTCCTCCACTCCGCACTTGACCAAGATCCTTGACAGTGTCTCACCTCACATTCAGCTCGACAGTATCCAGTAGCATCTACAGGCCCCCTGAGAACTGGTGCAGGGGCAACCAAGCATGCAAAGCAGCATTTGACCCTTCAAGAGGTGGAGCCATAATGCTTTAGTCGTCAATAGTTTGTTGGGCTATGAATAGGTATTTGCTCGACATGCTCTCCGCAACTCAAACGCTATCCTGCCCAAAATCGCTTCCTGTTCTCAGCTGTCAGGAGCATGCAACCCAGAGTGGCTGGTAGGCACGCACCCCAACCCCTTTACTCTAAGTAGGGCTGCAGCCGCCAAGGATTGGCCAGGACAGGGCTTGATCGGCGACCCCATTGTATATATATGCCCCCGCCCTTCCCTGTCTTAAGGGAAGAAGGCCAGCTATTAAATTGTCGAAGAGGGCTCCCCCTACTCCATACTGCCTGCCAGTGTCCGACCTGTGACCCAGCCGTCTACTCTTCGCTTCCTTCGTCCTTCGATCTCTACCTGACAAAGATCTCTGCCATCAGTTAAGTTTTTCAGCGTCTATTCAAACTCGAGAGAACATTCTTAATGATTCCGTAGAGCAAAACATACACCAACACTAGCTACATACCCCTTCTCCTCTGTTGGCTCGGTTACCAACTGTGCGTTGCAGTCCAATGGTGGAGTGGATACCTCTCCAGATGATCTTGGATACTTCCCATTGCCAAAGTCATATGGGCGAGTAGACTTTGTCGTGTTTTGGGAATGTATCTATGTGAGGTCTTAGGCAGTGTGGGTGATGCCCGCCCGCCCTAGGTGGACAGGGGTAGGAGAGGACTTCACTGTACCTTCACTTTCCCCCTCACCCCGTCTAGCCCTTTATATACAAACCCAAGCAGCTCCAGTAGCAACGAAAATACCTCCTTGGTGTAGCGGTAGCACAGGGAGTAGTCGTAGCAGGTTGCGTGAAGCAGCCAGTCAGCCAAGTTATACCTCGAGATCGGGTAAATCTTTCTCCCCTTTTTTCCTTTTTTTGGTCCTTCTGGCCGAATGCTATGTTCGCGGTTGCTGATGAATTTCTTGTAGCGTTTCAGAAACTGCCCCTCGTAATCTCGAATGTCTTGCAGCATCTCAAGGGCGGCAGGTGAGACTCGGAGGTGCTCGCGTAGCAAAGAATTGGCCCACTGGGGCTGCAAATTTCTGTTGATCCAGAACCAAACCTGGGGATGGCCTGGCCATTGGCGGCGATACATCATCGGTTATTATTAGATAAATTTGGGGGAGCTGGATCTGTCGGCAGGCTCTCGACTCGGGCCGACCCTCTTTGCCGCTATCATACATGAAGGCGCTTGCTGGCACCAAAGAAAACCCAACCTCCACAAGACACCCATGGCAAAGGATCAGGGGTAGCATTATGCAGCTTGCCCTGAGAAGATGTAGGCCGAGGCGTTCTACCTGAAGGCTATTATCGAGAAAGCATTCGGTCAAAGTACGGCCCTGATTATTGATGAGAGACATCGTCCAATGGTTCCTCAATGATTCTAACCCTATGGGTGACATAGCAGCCTTTTGGTTCTTTTCCAAAAGCAGATTGAAGTACATGACAACCATTGTTACCGAGAAAGTCTGAAGCCCCCCTTTTAGCGCATCAAGAAACGTTCCAGTCGTGGACGGAGCGGGGGTCACCACAGCTGGCATTTGAACACCCTATCCGACCAGAATGATACCATCCGCTCGGACACTTCTCGCATTGTAGATCGCTGCGGCTGAACGAGCTATTTTTCTCTCTTTCTAGCGATCGTTGCCTTTTTTCAAGTTCGGCCCCCTTGTTCGTGAGGCCTTTCTATACCAACGAAGCGCAGGCGGGTTTGGAGCCAAGCTCGATGGGTTACTCGTTGCCATTTCGACTTACGACTAGATATAGAAATTGGACTAGGGATCCCTGCTAGAACATTGGAGTCGGCAATAAGTTGACGCGCGTAAGAGCAAGGGAAATTATAGACAGGACTGGAAGACTAGTGCAAGGTAAAGTCGCGGGGGATAGGCAGCTCAGGGGTACCCCGGGTATACCATCTGTACCCGAACTATCGGGTCCCTTCAGCACGTAATTTCCGGCATTTCGCTACCAAAAAGGACACTGAAACGGTAGAGGATTGGATCATTGGATGGTTCAACTGGGGAGCACTAAATGGAACAGTGTGGCGTTAAAAAATTTTCCATGCTGAATTGCGTACCTGACAGCGACAAGGACCCTACATGCAGACCCCCCCCAACTACTCCCTCCCCCTTAAAAAAATTGAAAAAAGCAGGTTTACTGCAGTAGCAAATCTCAGTTGCACAAGCCCGCCTCGGGGCTTGAGCCGTGCCGACTGTCTCACACACCGTCGGGCACTAAGTAATAACGTTCGCCGATCACTTGATCGTCTTGTCCCCGGGTCCGCCCCCCGGCGCCCCCTCCCCCCAAACCTACCTAATAGTACTTTAACTAGTCAAGACACCTTGGAACAGGAAACTCTTACGTCGCACAAATAACACCCCCAGCACCCCTAATTGGCGTCCCGTCTCAGAGGTAGACCAACTCAGCGTGGTATCTTCAACGTAAAATGGTGCTCCTCGCACGGTTCTTGGCATTTTACAGTGCTTCTGACAGGGATAATGCGAGCCTGTTCCCCTGCGACCCGTGGCCGGTGTTCGCATCCAGCGATGAAGGCTTGGGAAGGTACGCTCTCCCAGCTGCGCCTTGTAACCCCTATCCGGAGCTTCCAGGCCTTTCACTGTGCGATTCAACAGTTCGCAACAACCCCTTGTATGGCAGTTCGGTACAATGCTTTGTATCTAACTGCACATTTTGACACCTCCCTCCTTCTTGCCAGCCTAACTGCAAACATGGTCCCCCTCACCGCTGATCCACCGATCCTTCCTCAGTTCTCATCATTCTGGTGTTTCAACGGACGTAAGAGTGACTCGACCGAAATGTCCAACCCTTGTCCGCGCAGTGCAAGATCACTGGCTACCGCAATCCCCGAAATAACCATCAGAAAGAAGCAAAAGTTCTCGCTGCAATTGTGGTTGGTCTTCGTCGGACCCACAGCCCCCGATTCGGAAGTTTTACTGATGTGTGTCTATATGATGGACAGCCCCTGATTTCCCAGTGGTGATGAACAACCAGGCAGTTTCCCTAGGGCCATGTCGGCAAAACATGCCAAAAATTTTGCCCTGTTTTGGCCGGTCTTTTAGGATTACTGACGATGAGATGTGTTTCTTCTCCTATAAAAGGTAGACACTTGCCCCGACCCCCTCGCCAACAAGTAACATTGACCACAGCGCCTGTCTCAGACTCGTGTGCTATCACAGCCTTAAGAAGAGGTGTATGTATCCACCGCACAAGAGAACATATGGAGTTGCCCACTAACGTATACCCAGAACTTGCAGGGGCACTTGGGAGCAGTTGTGGCACCCTTAGATCCTGCACACGCCAACGAAGCCAAACAGCTGCAGATCCACTTTTCTCTCTCGACAGACCTTCGCCCCTGCAATGCCGAGCCGTGTCGACAACACCGCCGCCGGTGTCCGGAGCCGCCGCCGAGCTGGTCCGTCCCCATCTGCCGCAGGACTGGCCGTCCAAGGAGAACCCAATCCCAACCACAGCGCCTTGGTCGACGGCGCTAACGGACACCACGAACCGATGGTCCCGACGAACGGGGTCCAAGATGACACCGGGGGACATTCGCCGTCCCCTGCTTCCGGTGATGTCACCCCCGAGGAACTCTCCTCGGGGGGTGCCTCCCCCGGCAACTTGACCACAGCCCGTGACGGGTCACCTCCGTATGTCTCGCAATACAGGGCAGGAAAGAGGTCTCTGAAAATGGAAGAACTGACAATAGACAATGAGAAGTTCGAACTCGGCAGAAGACAGCGCCACCGCCACCGCCACCGGCACCAACGTGGGCAATTGGCAGATGAACACGTTCTTGCGCGGTCCACCGAGCACGGTCACTCCGTCCGAGGGAGTCGATCGTCCCCTACCGCTGGTCCTAGACGAGATCCTTGCCTATGTCGGGGGCTCCACGGCCAATTCCTCGGCCTCGGCTGACGCCTCCCCCAACGGCGGACCACACAACGGCCGAGTCGGTATCGCCTACTACGCCCCCTTGGAGATCGACGACGTCGTTCGCGGCTCCGGGCCCGGCGGGCAGCACCCAGGCTCGGGTTGATGCGTGGACGTCGGCGACGGGGGCTGAAATATCGAGCAATTGTCGGATGAACAGCCGGGCTCGCTCCCCATGATCAACACACATAACATACGCACACACAACATCTCCGATAGATGTGCCTTCCGCCGGTTCGCGACTAAGCGGTCGGGACCCAGGTCTCCCGGCAATCCTGTTGCTACCCCGGCCCGCTCCGATAGCCACCGGCTCACTCAGAAATATACCCCCACCTCGTGCGGTAGACATTACTCTTCTCCAGGGGGTCCACTAGGACCCCAGTTTTCTGACATTCTTCTTCTAGATAGTAATAAAGCGGAGGATAGAGATAGAGAGAGACTGGGATAGAAGAGTTCCTCATCACAGGGAAGGAAGGCGTTGAGGGCTAGGCATCATCCAGGGAGGAAGCTGTTCTCGTTGGATGTTTGTCGGCGGGAAGGGAGGAAGGGGGGAAACGATGATGGCTATATAAGGGGGCCGGAGCTTTGATGATTCGGGGAGGACTGGGCCCCAGTCTCTCGGGAACAGGATACCAGGGATTTTTTTTTCCAGATAGCACCCTTTATTAATAAATTTGTCGTTCGTTTGGCTAGTTCCTCTGCCGTTCAAAATGTGGTTCGGCCGCATGTCTTCCGTGAAAGGTGACATCAGAACCCGTGCTATTATTATAGTGTATTGTTTGGTAATGCAGCGCATCCCTGGTAGGGCTCCAGAGCCATGGTTCGGTTTAAACTCCTTGACTGGCTCTTGGCTGTCTTTTTTCTTTAATTTTCTTATTTTCTTATTTTCTTATTCACTTTCGTCTCCACTTGGGTTGAGGCCATTCTGCGAGATTTATGTAGCGTTATGACCTTGCCGCGCGACAATTATTACACAGCGTTCAACCGCCGTCTTCGAGAGAATTGAGAGAGGAGCGAGCTTGAAAAAGGCAGCGCCTTTGGGAATCGTACGAGGGACTACCGTGAGGAGGGAAGACCATCTTAGCACTGGACGAAAGAGGTTGCATGTTTGTGGGGGGTTCTGTTCGAGGCAAGGGGGATTAAATACCAGAAAGTCTGTACAGTTTATTAGGTAATGAATTCTTTTTTGGGTTTCCATTAGTAATGTGAATTATAGACTCGGCACAGTATGGAGACAACATGGCCGAGTGGTTAAGGCGACAGACTCGAATTAGCAAATCTGTTGGATTCGTCCGCGGAGGTTCGAATCCTCCTGTTGTCGATATAAATCTTTTTTTATTCTTTTTTTTTATATAAAAAAAATCATTTGTCCTATATTGTTTCAGATAACTGAGGGAAAAGTCCTCACAAAAATTCAGAATCAGTTAGAACTGTCTGTGGTGCAATATTGACTGGAATCCCTGCTCTCAGTGGGCTGGGATTGTTCCGAAAGGCTGAAATATTCCGGTCCCGTCCCAAAGTCCCGTCCACGGGTCTGTGCCTGGGAACCCAACACGTTGCAACACCATAGGTTATGTTAAGAGTTCCCTCTCGCAGGTATCCTAGTTTCCCTGGATCACCCTGGCCTACCTATTACCTAGGTGGTCGCCTCTTTGTGGGGGCTCCCGAACGTAAATCTCATGGCATTTAGCGCAATCCAGCCCGACGACATCCATCCATCACATTATCCCGATGGGTTGAAACAAAAGAAAGCAACGTGCCCCCTTGATTCGTTCGATCTCGTGCATGGCACACTCGGACAAGACACACCAATCGGGGAACCGCCCGGACATACTTCATGGCTGGATTGGAAATGTGTATCTGAGGCGGCGTTGGGCACCAAGACTGCATTGGGGCGGACCTGGATCATTGAATGCATGATCGAGTCGGCGCCGCCCGCGTTTCCTTTCTTCCTACTTCCTCGCATTACCTTTCTTCTCCTCCATTTTGTTCTCTTTCCTTCCGATTTGGCAAGACTTGGCTATCCGGCATCGCAGTAAAAGATGGGGGGTGGTCGTGGTGTATGATCTCCAAGGGACTCGTGGTCGAGTGTGAACCGTTGATAGACACCGCTATGGCTACCTGCATTTCTGGAAACTAGTAGCTTAGCGGTGCTTTGGGCGCCAGATCTGCCAGGGGGAGCATGTTGCTTCCCCGCGGGTGACGTTGAGATGGCAGTAGGTGTTTGCCATCTCTCCGGCTGCGACCTATTCTGTGTTCAGATGTCAGGGGGGCCCTCATATTTCTAGTTTTGTTCCTTTGCGATGGCGATGGATTGAGTTGGGTTTGGGCATGCCAAAGACTCCCCCTGTCCCCCCCTGGCTGGTCCACGGACTGGCTGGCCCACGGACCACTGCTCTGTGTTACTGGACCTAGGCGCCATCACGGGTGCCTCGTCCAAAGAAGCAAGCACCGAGCAAGCAATAGGACTAGGATGGTCATCCCAGCAACCCCTTCTTGACAGTTGACAGGTCGGGTTCGACAGACCCGGCGAAGCTAGATAATCCGGAAATGTGGCAAATAGTAACGGCTCGAACCGGTTCCAAGGTACACCAGCAACGCAGCCCGTTCGAGCTTAATTTGACCACGGCTTTCCGACGGGGTTCCATCTAGGGCCTATAACGTAGCATGTCTGCGACCTTGTGGGCGAACACTGGGCGTCTTAATGGATAGTGTTTATTCAGAACATAACATCAGCTCGGTTCTGATTCCAGGAAATCCGGATCCTTTTAAGTTACCTATAATGCTCGCAGTTTCAGTCGACGGACGCTCTTCTCTATCACAGCCTGCCATCCTTTACAGACTGGAGCATGGGAAGCCAAGCCATGCTTTTCCCGTGTAAGTAACTTCAGAGGATCATAAAGATTATCTCCGTGGGCAGAGAAACCCAGCGTAGCATGTTTGCTGTCTTCGTTTTCCGGTTTCTCTTTTCCCTTGGGATACATATGGGTAAGTTGTTGACTCGGCCTGGTTTGATGATTGGTGGTGACGGAGATGGGAAGATTTTGAGAGCAGTTTTGTTCGCTTGTTTGATGGGGGATGGAGGATGGAGGATGAACAACATTTTAATCATTCCCAGGTTAAACTATGGTGTTGTGTGGCCCATAGATAATTGGGCCTTAAAACTACCAAAACAAAAAATGGCAGAATAGTTTCCACCACCAAGCAATTGGGCTCCGAACTGCACCATGAACGCACAACGCAAATTACATCCGAATATTACGAAAATCTGCGAATCGCTTATGGCTTTTAATTGAGTAATCTCGCATTTCCCCCGTCAACTGCAGTCTCTTTATTGTTGAGAAAATGACTGCACCGAAGGGGGGTTGTGGCAATTGCAGCTCCACCAGGCCTGCACGGAGCTCCACCAGGCCTACACGGAGCCGCCCTTGTCACGTCACGTAGGTACCCTAAAGGACCACATATTCTGGCTGGACCGGCCTATAATACGTTTGAGGAGATATTTGACCTTCTACGTAGGATATGGAGGATCTCACAGAGGTAGAGCGGCTGGCCAAGCGATCGAAGGCTATATCAGCTACGTCAATAACACCCAAGTCGAGCAACACCAAGAAGAAGGGTTCCCGTGGCTCCTGTGGATCCTGAGATTCCCGAGCGAGGTTCCCGAGACGGCTCCGAAGCGGACAAATCTTGCAAATCTTGCACATGGCCGAAGCCACCCTTCAGCTGGTGCCATGGCATACACACTTCAGCGTCGTTGATCGGAAAGTAGAGACGAGCAATCTCGGCAACAATCTCCATTGTGTTCGCCTGAGACCTATTATTGGCCTGGCTGCATTTCGTGTTGTGGTTGGGGCGAATGGGGGGGGGGTGAATAATTTTCTGCGGGTGATAGGGGTTGAGTGTGACAGAAATCTCTGCAAATATCGGAAGCTACCTGTAAGGTACCTATCACCTAGGTAGATCTCAGGTTCGTGTCACACAGTCAGGAACTAGGTAATTACCCACAAGTAGACGAGCTAGATGGGGCCGGATGGGCAGCCGGAAAGTACGGCTCTTAAACCACGCCGCGCTTACACGCCATGCTCTCCCTGAAGAAATGGAAACCTTCAATCTCGAGTTCCGGAGTTTGAATCCGGCCGTCCTCTGATGTTTCGTCGGTGAGGCAAGCAGTGTACAGGGGCCACTCCGACTTCACCGACCAGCGAGATAGGTACATACATGGCAGCCGCCCAATTGGCTGCACAGTCCACAATACGCGGATGCCTCGAGTGTTAGGTAGGTTGCCTTTTATTGTTGGCGCACCACTGCCTATGGCTTGCCCCTGGGTCGCACCTTCCATTCTGGCCATGCAACCCGCCCCCGATTTCTCGATCCTGCACACCCCCCAATCCCGACTCAGTCTTCCTTCTAAAGCAGAACCAAAGACCAGCTTGTTTGCCAACACGCGTCGACAACAATCACTCTCAGAGAACCTTGGATGTTGTCACTCTAGGAATGACGGACCGCACACCTCGCAACATTCCCGTCCACAGACCTCACAGACCTCAACCGGAGGCCCACGACTCGTACATGTCGGAATATAGCCAGCAGTATCCTCCTAACTTCGGCCAACACGAGCATCCAAACGACTGGCTTCCAAGGACGTCACGCGTTGTGCCGATCTCTGGACCTCACCGAGACTTCGACATCGATCCTAGCCCCGAAACTCCATTCCGCACTTCCGCGTGTGTTGACGAGAAGGGACAAGAGCTTGACCATGTTCGACTGGCGAACTGGTCTGGGGATGGTGGTCCACAACCCGCGAGTTCAGTAAACGACTTCGGGTCGAGCATTGGAAGCGACTCGATGCACGTCGGCGCTGGCTCTTTCCCAAGCTCAGTTCCCAGGTTGGTATAACGCGCTTGTGTCCAATCTCATTTTCGGCCAGTCAACCTTGCTGATAGATGAGCACAAGTTCCAGACAAAGTACTGTGGGCGAGCCAGGCTCGGCCAGGAAGAGCGCCAGCAGCCATAGTCGAGCCGAGACGGATGCTGGGAAAGGAGTCATTCCCAAGAGGACCAAAGACGCACACATTACCGAGACTTCTCGGGGCGAATCAACCGCCAAGCGCAAGAAATTCGACAACTCCTACGTCATGCGGGCATTTCAGGAATCCGACGAGAGCCATCTGCCTCGTTGCTCCATTGATGCGGTGATTGACAGTGGCGGGATCGCCACTTCCCTTCCGCCCAATCCTCGAGAAGACTCTCATCGCCCTCCGCTCATCGATGGCAACGCAAGGCGTCCCGAGATTTCCCCTCGGCCGTTGACAGACGGCTACCTCCCTGATGTCGCTGGGTATCCCTGGCAGATAAGGGGATCAACACCGGCCCCAGCCAGTGGCGTGGGCGATGAGGCCAAGGAGGATGAAGTCTTTAGGAGCGCACAAGAGGAATATTATCGGCTCTCCAGCTCCTAATACCGGGATTTGGGAGGGAATATATGACGATAGTCATCTGACAGCGACCAAAAAGGTATTTTCGAGTCGGTGCCGTGGCCACTATCCACTATTGTCCAATTTAAGCCTCGTTCTCTATCAAAGGTTCCCTATTTGCTGGCATCTCTCTCCTGCAAGTTCACATCTTCGCCTCTAGCCCGAAGCGATGCTCGGCCGTCTTGGTCACGAAAACAGCTTTCTGGCCTTTCAGAAAGTAGGTTTTCTGGGAAAGGCTTCTGCTAAGGGACTCGTCCCGTCTTTTGTTCTGGAGAGAGCATATGATCCTGGGACTCTGGGACGCGGATGAGAGTTCTAAGAGGCTGGGTTTTACGAGGTTATGTTGTCCTGCCGACAACATCTCGTATTTGTTCATTTTCTTTCTTCCCCCTTGATGATGTTGAGTCAAGCTACTTCGTACTCCAGGGGCTGAACAAGTCAGATGTAGGAAAGGGAACAGATAAACCAAAATAGACTCCCGTTATTTGTCACTCCTGAGAAGTCCGGCCATTACATTCGGCGAGGCACATATTTAAAGGCCCTTCGGCTCCGCCCAACACTCGGATTGGCTTTGTCTTTTTATTCCCATTCAACCTGGTCACAATTAAAGAGACTTTATCTAGGAACAACGTACTCCAGCGACGGGGCTAATATAGAGGTATGATTGTACTTAATCCACCAAACCAAGAGACTGACGAATGAGAAATTATGCATTGGCTGTGATTGGTTATGAAGCCGTTTTGATGCCATCTATCTAGATCTTGGCCAGCAGCCCTGACTTAGGGAATTACCATCTAAATTGTCTGGCGCTCAATTCTCGAGGACTACTACTCTAACCTCCCAGCTGAGCCAAGTGTCACGTAATGAGCAGCCGCAAATAAGCGATTCCCAGCGAGAGACGGCAGTCTGAACATAAAAAAGTGTCTGATTCCAAGAAAATGTGTCACAGCAAGGACAGGTCACCTATAGTGTCCTGAAGCTTCCACCTTCTAGCAAAACCCTCAACAAATCATGTGCCGACAAGGAATTCACTAGGTACAGTACATGGAAAAAGGCCTGTATAAGTGGATGAGACATTGCCATGACATGACTTAGTTTGTCGAGACTGACGCGGAATAGTTGGAAAAACAAACAGAATGACGCAGATGCCAATAGCCGACATGGGAGAAGGATTGATTTGTATACCTAGGGTAGATTGTATTGAAGCAGATAGTTTATATCGAGCCGGAGAAGAGATAGCAAGTGACGAAGAAGAACCAAGATTTACAGAAATCTGATGTTCTGACAATGTCATGTTCTGACAATGTCATGTTCTGACAATGTCATGTTCTGGCAGTGTCATGTTCTGACAATGTCATGTTCTGGCAGTGTCGAAGGGAACAATGGTAAAGATGAAGCCTGTGATTATTTTGCTGAAAGAGCTTGCTGTCGACATGCGGCGATGGGATGGGGGAGCGGGCGACTTGTGGAGGGGAGCTGGTGCTTTGGACAAGCCAGGTTCAACAGCGGGCAGGAAAACGATTGGGGGAATGGGAAAAAAGACCACCAGAGAGCCATGGCTGAAAGCAGAGAAGGGTCAAAGCAGGAAGGACGAAGCATGGTGGCAGAAGGGGGAAGCCCAGAACCGGCGGCGTAGGCGATGGGAGCCGGAGTTGGCAAAGTTGCTGCTGCATCAAGCGTGAGCAGTAAACACCACAAAGGTAAGGGCGAGGACAATCTATTAATCATTTAATAACTGGTAAAATGTATAATAACCGACAAATTTGATCATTTGTCGCCTGGAAGAGCCACGATGGAGACGGACAATCTAGTCGCCACCACATTGGCCAACGAAATCCCTGACATGGATGATTCTACCATAGGCTCGGGCAGCAACAATGGCGACGACAGCCCATGTATCGAGTCACCACAGTGAGAGAAGCCACCTGCAGATCCTTCCTGTCCAGCCCAGCCTTTGACGTTAGCTCTCCGTCCCCCTTCTAAGCCTACTAGAAAGAAGTATTCGCCCGCTGCCGCGCTTGCGTCGAGGCGACTCCAGCGCCCCAGAGCAGTTGACGTCGCCGCCAGTCCGGAATTTCGGAGTGCCCGGGCTGTCTGTCGGACGTGGAGCCCAATATCACGCTATAGAGCAAGCACGACGTCACCAAGGGAGACTTCGTCAGGATCTGACGGGATATCTGCATGGCGATGGGCTGCCGCTATGGCGAGAATGCGACTGGCTGCTCCGTCGTGTAAGAGAGAGGCAGGCTGGCCATGTTATCCGGTTTCATCTTATTAAGGTATTTGACGTAATCGAAGTTCTTTGAAGGGGGGGGCTCTGACCGACTGCCTCCCCACCCACTTCAAGTGTCCAAGTGAAAGAGCTTTGTGACTCAACATCGCTTCCCCCATTGCATGTCTCTTTGGAAATGCCGTTTTTCGCCTCCAGGCTCGCCGGATGCGGAAAACTACGACATTCTTTGTCGACAACAGATGACCAGCTCAGCGAAATTGTACAGAAATAGCCCGATTCCCACCATGTACGCTCTTGGTACACTTCTCTATCGCAAGCACACACATACACAGACACCCACCCACACACACACACACACACACACACACATCTCGCAACCTTGCACATCACCACTGCTCAACATGACGAACCACTGGAGCCAAGTCCCCGGCCTCGAAAACGATGGAGGTATTCCAAATGATAGGCGAGCCCGCCATGAGCATGACGTTCGTGTTCATTGCGAGAATGGTGCGGCCCATTCCAATCCATCGGCCCCCTTGTGGTGGCTGGTTAGTCCAAGAGGATAGAAGCTGACTACAGACACCAACAGGATACTCTCTCCCATACACGGCCGGTAGCCACGTCTTGGACTACATTGCTCCGGACAAGAAAGACCAAAAGCGTACCGTGGAAGAGCACTTGTTGGCCATTATGCGCGACACTCTCAAGGCCGCTACTGAGGCAGAGTATGGCAGACCTTGGGCAGGGGAGAATCTTCCGACAGACTATTTCCATGCTGTGGTGCACTATTGTCATACTCGGCACAGCTATCCCGATTCTCTGATAAAGCATGCTGGGAACCTGGGCCCTCAGCTGGAGTGCTTGGAAAAGCTGATCTCCGGATGCCAATACTATGCCAGAAGGGCTGTGTTTACGACGGGTCTGACGGAAATCGCCTTGAACCTGGCGAATTTGGCGCCGGCAACAGTGGGCACGCCTGGCTTCACCCTCCATCCAGCCAACGCATCAGTGGTGCCTTACATGCTGCAGCCACCCTGGCTTCGGATCAACCAGAGCGAAACGATCAAGGACCGCGAAAACTCATGCTGCCCAGGCCATTGCATGGAGCCGTCTTGCATACAATACTGCTTCAACGCCATGGTCGATTTTGTCGACAGAGTTCGCCACCCTTATGCCTCACTGAGACAGGACCAGGTCAATGAAAACTTGGAGTCCGGCGGTGCTGGACGCCCAGATGACTTCTTGTACTTGGGTGGTCTCGCGCCAGCCTACATGACGGCTGCACTCATGCTCAAGAGACTGGTTGGGCCGCTGACCACGTTCACCCATGCCATCACCATTCTCGCCGGCTTTTGCAGCTGCCCGTCCACGCTTGAAGAGCAGGCAAAGCTCCCTAAGCTTCCATATTCCCAGCATAGCCCCGAGGGAGCTACTGCGTGGGGGATCGCATATCCTGCCAAAGAAGTAGCTGTCAAGGCCTTGATTTTTGAGCCATATGGAGCACCAAACTGGGGCCGTCGGTCTTAATTTGACGGCAATATTCTGGGCCGGAAGGACGCGGAGAAGATTGTTTCTTTTTTTTCTTCTTCTTTTTTTTTTTTTTTTTTTTTTTGGCTGGTTTTGCTAGTTTTTCTATTTTATATCTATGACGACCGCTCAAACTGCTTCGCAACCAGTGAAAGTGAGAAAAATTGTTCAAACATGACGGCCACGAGATTATCATCTTCGATGCCTAAATCTGTTGCAGAGAGCACGCAGTTCCTAAGTGCCATCACACCAAGTGGGCTTTGTGTCCTATGTCTTCCCCTCCGCATTCATCTCGGATCGCGTTCCCGGTACTGCGGGATGAGCCACTGCCGTCCACCGAAACCCATCCGCCACTCTTGCTCCACTTGGAGGCGTCCGCCGATACTGAGTTGAGACATGACTGACCTCCCATCAGTTCCGCAATACTTTCGGCGGCTTGGTACCATCTGCTGGAGCTCGTCGTCGGGTTCAGGGATTACATTGGAATATCCCCACCGGGAGGGAACCTGCAACTCTCGGTGTCAGAATTTGCCTAGCGCGGAGACGGGACCTAATGTGCCATGAAAAGTAGGGGACATCTTTTGTCTCTGGAGTCATCTAATGGACCTCGAGACACACGTTCAATAGGGGGGGGGGGATAAAGGAAATCGAGGCAAGCTCACCGCTCTCGCAGCTTGGCTGCATCGATGCCAAGCTCAAGGAAAGTCTGCATCAGCCCCGGATTCCTCCGGCAGGCAAGATATATCATGCCCTTTCCTATCTCGCGGGGCATCGTGCAGGTAGCCAAGGACCAAGCTTCCCAATCGCTCAAGGCTGTCTCCTCTCTCGATAGCACGAACCGTTTGATCAGCTGACGATATCCACATTTGCATCGCGGCGCGCGTCTCCTAGACTCGGGCCCACTGTCGACCATGGACCGGAACTCCAGGATCTGACTTGGATTGAGTCGACGCTGGGCCGCTTCGAAGAAGACCTCGAGAAGTTGGGGCTTCCCGAGGTCTGCCGCGAGATGGAACGGAGTGAAGCCAAGCGCATCCTTGGCGAGCATATCTACGCCGACCTCGTCCAGAAGGGTTCGTGACATGGCAACGTCCTTGTGCATAGCGGCAATGTGCAACGCGTTGTGGCCAAACTGGTTTGTCTCATTGGGGTTTTGGTCACGCCTAAGCCCCTCGGTGACGAAAGCCGGACAACCAAGCTCCGCGGCGGCAATGAACAAGTTCTTGCCGAAATCTTTCGATATTGGGCCAGAAGCTCGGGAGTAGCATAGGTAGGCTACATAAGAGTCGTGGATGGGGGGATCCAATGCGTTGAGCCGGTAATACCAGAACCGCATGCAGAAATGGTGTGGCTGCCACAATTGTTGTTGAGACTCTTGTAGAGACGGCCGCAAACGCAACGAGCCATCCTGGGCATTGTAGATGGGAAATTCGGAAAGCTGCGGCGCCGAGTGCTCTGCCCCATAGCACATGAACGAGGCATTGATGATAGAATCTTTAACAGCAGAGCAGTGTCGTCTAGACTTCGGCGTTTCCGCTTCTTTTTCGAGATCGGTTGCCACGTCCTTGGCGATCTGGTCAACCTCTTCCAACGTCAGGCCGGCAACTTGCTGCGAGAGGTAAAACGTTGATGCCTCGGCCAGAGCAAGCTTTGCACGGCGTGTGGGCATGACTCCTCCCAACCCGTAAACTTTGGCGGCCTCGTGCGCAGCCGTCTTGGTCTTGAAGCCCGCCTGCTGCAATGTCACCACAACATACTTCAGGCAGCCCACCCCGAACAGTAGCGATAAGAGCTCTTCACTGCCTATGAGCTCCATGAAATTCGAGCCTTCAGTAACGGCGCGGTATGCGGCTACGCTGGATGCGAGCTCTGCCAGAATGAGTGGTCGACAGGCGCCAGATATCATGAGCAAGGCGGACTGGACAAACTGGATATCCATTCCACGAGCCGTCCTTGCACTGCGTCCTGCAGAGCATCCCAACAACGGTTCAGTTGTGGATGAAATTGTGTCCCTGAATGAATTTGCGTCCGTGGATGAGGTTGCGCCTGTGGATGAGGCTGCGTCTGTGGATGAAGTTGCCCTCGTGCAGTGCTGTCTGGGGGTACGCGGAGGCAAGTCGTTGTATCAAATGTCGACAGGAATTTGTTGAGGCCAGTGTCCATGTGGGAAGTGATGAGTAGTTTGATCAGCTGCGGGGTTTTATCATCTTTGCGGAACATTTTTCTGATCAACTGCTGGAAGCCATCTCGGTCATCAACCAACAGAGTGCGCGAGAGGTCAAGGACAAAGATGACACGGTCATCATGGTGCAACCATTCGAGAACGTCCACGACCGACTGGAGGAGAAGCTCTTCGTTATGCTCAACACCTTTGTAGTTTCTGACAGCAGAAACAGGACCAAGCGCAAGCTCCGGATATTGGCAGAGTAGTTGGTGAGTGAGCTCCATGGCCATTTTCGGGAACTGGTGCTCGCTCGCTGCGTCCGTGGATGCGAAATGCGCGATCAGAGTCTTCGGAGTCTTGTCTCTGCCGTGATTTATGGTCGTGCCGTGATTCAAGGTCGAGGCGAGGATTTTGGCTAGAGCAGGATTGGTCCGGCGGGTAGAGGTGACGACGAGAATGCCTCTGCTACCCTTTTTCCCAGCTCTTGAACTCCGGCTGGTCGTGAAGCCACTTGGCAAAGTCCTTGGCAATGCCATTGTCTTCTTCAGTGGACACTCGCTTCGCCTCGGAGCTGCAGAATTGTTGGGTGACAGAGGAAGCCATGGTTGTCTCCTGTTCAGTACATACCATGTTTTGTACTTCGAGCAACTCCGTTTGTATAGACGAGTCTACCTTTCCGTCGAAATACCTCTCTTCGTTTTCAAGCTGCAACAAGAGATCGCGAAACTCGGTTGGGCGGAACAAACTTTTGAAGTTGTAGCGCCAACTCGACGTGACTGACCTCACTTGATATTCCAGAATTGTCGAGAAGAGGTTTACGAGCATGGGGCCGGGGGAGGGGGGGGACGTCTCCCCCCTTGCGAGCTTGACGCTGGAGCAGCGAAGAAACGCTCAGTTGAAGATACCAGTCGAAGGCATGGGCAATGTGGCTGAGGCCTTTCATCGTTTCCTCTTGTGAAGTTATCGCGAACCCAACAATCTGAAACACCAGTTTTGTCAACAGCGTTCTCTGTCGGCCGATATGAAAGATAGAGACAACACTTACTCTGAGCACCAGACATAAACCACCAAAGGCCAAGCCAGCCGGCGGGTACAACTCGAGGACGGGCGATAGCTGCTTTTGCAACATTTCAAGAAGCCTTGAGGCAGTTTTGATGGCGTCGCGGGTCGTCTGGGCCGGGACATCAAGGGTCAGTTGCAGCCGAGTTATCTCTAGCATCAGTCGGCGTCTCGTCTCAGTATCCTCGGGAAAGGCCGCCAGTCAGGGTCGCAGATGATATACGCACCTCGGAGCGATTCGCCCTTTGCCATTTTGTCGTACTCTTCCATGACGACTTGCTCAAATTTCTCGGCGAGTTTTCCGGTTTTCGATTTCATTGTGTCATATGCCTCGTCCCACAGGGCATTCTTCTCGGCCCCGTCACTAGGTGTCTGCCGTCCCGTGTCTGGGGCGCAACCGTCATCGGCCCACCCGATGCCGCGGGGGTACCTAGCAGCTGCCAGCTGCGCAGGTGTTACTGCAGTCATAGCGGCAGCGGTCAGCACCTGAAAAGGACCCGGGTCTGATAGAGATGGAGCATGCTTCGCCCGACGGCGATGGTCGGAGGGTGAAGAGAACTTCTCCATGCTGCACCCCAGTCCTCTAGGATGGTTGTGAGAAAGGAATGAGAAGAGATGCCAGCCAGCTCAGAAGAAGGGAAAAGGGGCCAACCCAGATGACAGCCTAGATGACAGCCCAGACGACTGCCCCACGACATATTCTTTGTTCTCTCAGCGGCTGGTGCACGACCCCTGTCAGCCATGTCGCAGGTGTCAACAACCTTCATTTCGATGCTCTCCGTCTGTGTTGTGCGCGCCTCAAGACACCGAGCTGCCCCAGAAACTACACGCCAACTGGGCCCAAAACGTCTGCAGGCCGCAGAGGAAGAGGACGAATCTATGTCCCAGCTTGACAAAAATTGTTAGAGCCTCAACCCAGGAGGGGATGTGAGTGCGCACTGACTCAGGGAACGTGGCGGTCCACCCAGCCTGCCTTAGCAAAGCTTGCCAATCTCATTCTGTCAGATATCATCAATGCTGCGGCTGGAGCGGTTGAATTGCTTGAGTATTGCTTGAACGTTGCTTGAAGAGCTGGAGCTAGCGCTGGCCAATGGCCCTGAAAATACAGGCCTCCCCCCGGCTTGACCAATTACCTATCCAACACATCCCGTCCACTCCGATCGAACTTTCACACAGTACCGTATGGCAAGTGTTATCAGCATAATACCATAGGTAAGGTAGAATCAATCTATTAGCTTTCGAAGGGTGCAGTCTGTGGACCATTTAGACAGTCATCAGTGCGTAAGCAAAGCGGTGATACGCCTGCAATCAACGCAATGATCGATATGACATTTAGACATGAAAGGTAGCTAATTATACGGCTTTCGTCTGAGGAGGGAGGGGTTTTTTATTATTTATTATTTATCTTTTCTTTTTTGAGTAGGGCAAGCTGGAAGTTTATGGGATGGAGTATGCTCGCCAGCTGAGATGGCCCCGAATACAAATCTCACAGAATGGCTTCACACAAATGCTTTACACGACAGCTTTCACACGACTGGATGCTTACATGTAACAGCTAACCAAACCTCGTATGAATAGGGTTACTCCTGGTCTCTTGTCTGTCCATGTTTGTTATGGTTCACCCAGCTCACCCAGCTGGTCACCCGCTGGCTCACCCGGCCCATCCACAATGCTCATCCACGGTGCTCATCCACAGTGACACCCTTAAAGCGGCGGGCCGGGTAACCCTGCGAGGAAGCTCCGTACACAAATGTCATGGTATAAGCAGCTTCCTACTGCCACGCTGACGTGCTGAACTTCTTCCCTGATGGGTTTATTAATGGTCCCAACCGCTCCTTTGCTTCACGGTGACGCTCTAACATGGTCTATTGTCTCGCATGACTTGATGGCACAACACCAGCCTTGATCCCTACCTACACAAGGTTTTACAGCTCTCGAGACCTCGATTGCCAACACGAAAGTTGGCTCAACACACACTCAAGGGATGCTGTCGGGCCGGTGTGTCCCAGTGGGCCGAGAACGCCTCTCCCGTCAAACACTGCAACAACCTGTTGGTCGGTATGCCTGTATCAGCCGAAACTGCCACTCCCACCAAAGCTAGCACCCATGCTATTCATTGGCTAGAAAGAAAAGAAGGCACTCAGTCCCGACGGGGGGCCGGGATACAAGCCAACGAGACCATCCTCCGACCTTCGTTCGCGGTTCAGCGAGGGCCCCCCTTGCTTCCTCGCAAGCCGTGGGGGGGAAGGGGAGGGGGGCGCCGGTTGGCGACGTCCCCATCGTCGGGAACCCCTGGGAACCCAACCCCCCCCCTTCTCTCCGCACTCCACGACCCTCAACATTTCCCTTGTGCCATATATATATATATATATATTATATGCAAGTCGAGGAGAGTCTCGGGGACCCAACAGACAGCCCTGTCCTGCAAGTTTGGGTTCCACGACAGATATATTTTGTCTTTCTTTCTAATTTTATGCAAGCCCCCGGTTTGGGGGAGCGGCACCAGGACACATGACATTTGGATCGAGAGACACCATTTCCCGGCATCCCGGCGTGGCTGGGACGGTTGTTGTGCCGATGTGCGACCACGCAGGAGGACGCTTTGGGAACTGCCTTGGTACGAGCTGTCTTCCCCGATCGGTCTCATTCTTGGGATGGATGCCCGTCTCCCACCCACCTTCCACTTCCCGAACGGCCCATTGGTAACCCGTCCAATCGGGTACTGCTGCGACAGAGGCAATGCCGGGCTTGTGGAACCGCATTGGCTGCGGCTCCAGGGTGATGGTGACACGGGGCGCCCCAGCACACGAAAACTGTGTGTACGGCTAGCTTACTTCTGGTCAGCCTTGTCGAGGCTTGATTAGTGAAACCCTGGGGCGGCTCAGCGTCTGAATGGGAATGCCATTGACCAGCCTCAACGTAGCCTGATGTTGACTGAACGGTCAGTCCACCATCTGAACCTCTTCCGTGCCCTTAGTTAGTTGCAATCAATTGCTAGACGGCAACCATTCTCCAATTTTCTTTGTGTAATATCAACCAAGAGTGCAGACCTCATGTTTCAGCTCCAGGGATAGCTCCTGCCTCTCACATGAATAGCCTGGCTGTTGTGCACACTCTTGCTAATTCTGCCACACTACAACGTAGCTAACTTTGGCAGGGATGTTTTTCTGGGTCTCAGTTTCGATACGGGAGCTAATTGGGTCTTGAGAGGCTCACTCGGTTGTCACATTGGTTCTGACTTCCGCGCAGTAGGACAAATTGGACTATTGAGTCCTCTAGTCCTGACAATCAATTGGCATCTAATATTCACTGAATTAATAGCCCACTTCGAAACTTAATTATAACTTTTTGCAGCATTCATAGGAATGGAGAGCGTGTATGCTTGCACACAGGAGACCACACTGACAAACAGGCACTCTGAGGAAGCTTTGCCGTGGACCATCAAGAGCAGAGCTACGATAAGGCGAAGAGGGGTGACCAACGCTTCGATCCCCGCTTCAATGATGACCGTTGGCTGTCGCCGATTTCCCGCCTCGTGTGATAACAACAGCCTCACAAGCCATTACACCCCCTGAAACATACCTTGGTCGTATTGATGTGACGTAAAAGAAGCAAAGTTAACTATCTATCCGTACGTGGGGGGTTATTTTGCGTTGGGCCCGCGAGCCAATGGGAATCTCTCCCCACAGCAAATAGAACGGGGGCACCTCGGTCTCGAAAAGCCACCCAGGGCTGCTAGCCGCCCGGCCCTACTGCGTAGCATCCCGAACCAAACAATCCAAGAGAATGGCCGCTGCTCTCGGGCGACAAATATGCGGGGGGGGTTTGACGTGCGAGCGGTTTTGTTTTTGCTCAAGCCGTGTTTGCCCTGCATGTGATAGACCCCCGGTCTTCCTCCCTTCTTGTAAGGCAACCGAGTGGCTGAGGCAAGGCACCCGAACTATCTCCATACCACAATCGCATTGGGTTGGTCTGTTGGGGAGAGGATTGCATACCGTCTGCATTGGGATAGCTGCACGGTTTCTGAGTGGCTGGTCGGTCGCATGAGTGGCTTCATTAGGTATTGTTTTTGTTCGGCAAGGAAGTGCGGTGTGCTTGGGAGGCCCAAGCTTGAGGACGTATGGTTTGGTTGTCCGCTTGGGGGAGCTGAGGCTCGCGATGTTCTTGTAAACAACTGACGGTGACTGTCTCTTGAATCCTCGTCCGGACTCACAGCTTGGGTGTTGTGGATCAACCGTGCTTAGACAACAAATAAATCACTCAAATCTCGGTGTGTCTCGCGGTGAGGATAGGACTGCATATTTTTACTCGTATCCCTTGCGTCAAATCGGGAACACGGGGAATTGAGACAGCAAGCAGCCCCACAGATGCCTCAACAAAGTCTGGTTCATGTGACTAGGTAAGTATCGATTTAGATAACGGGTACCGCTCCAGACAGCTCAGTCCAGGGGACAACACCCAGGGTTGAGACTGAAGGCAACTGAGGTCTCAGCAGGCTTAACGATAATTAGTCTTTCAAGTGGAACAGTTGCCTGTCTCTGGCAACCGTCATCTCCACATTCACGAAATGACTCTAGGGTCAGAACCTGTTGTATTGTAATAACAGTCAAAGCGAGACATATCTCTAGACCTCAAATGGGGATTTAGATGATGGACTAACCCAAGGGGCATTGAACGATGATAAAGGGAAAGCAAGTTCAATTCTAAATGCTTGGAAGTGTTAACGGTTGAGATTAAGAGATTGAATAGAAGACATCAACGCAGACTGTTTCCTAGCCTGGCCGATGGCTTGTTTTTCAGTCAACTAGAATAAACCACTTGAAAGCAATCCCGACTTGTCTGTATTCTCACTCCTAAACGCATACAACACGGATGGTAATCTGTGAAATTACAGTCACTTCCCTCAGGTAATTGGTGAGCATACGGGATTCATCACGATGTCCTTGTCTAACTCAATGCTGACGTCCACTCGATGCTGACTAGGCGGCAGGCTCGTATCCTGCCTAGCCGTGCTACTTGAGGCTCCTCCTCTCAGTGGCACAATGTCCCACGCTCGGGGGGGTGGGGGGCTGCTGAGAAATGGCTTCAGCGTCAGACCTGGATTTGCAAGACGGCAGGTGTGCAATCCTTGGCCAGCTGGCCGTCAATCTGGCTGTCACGCGGGCGTATTTTATCCGCCTCATTGTGGTGGGAGGTGGGGGGTCGCGTTCGCCTTATTCGATGCAGCCCTGCGGACCAATCAGCAAATGATTTCGCTGGACCAGTGCGAGATCGAGTATGGATGACTGCCTCGGTGTGATGAACAAATGGTTTCCTTAATTTGCCCTGTGATTCGGTGTGTCTCAAGCTACCTTTTCACCTGATCCTAGCCGTTAGGGCTGAGTGGAATGTGAACAAGGCAAAAAGGCATCCAGGAGCTCTAACATGCCGTGTTTTACGCCCCGGGCAAAACCAGCTTTGGCATTGCATCATGTTGGTCTCAGCCAGCAGCCAATGGGGTCTACACATACATCGTAGCAATCGCCTGAATGTGACCGGAGAAGGCTGCGGGGCACATCTGCAGTTCGTGATATAATTACGCGGTGCCCCGCAAGGCGATCAAATGGTGCTGCAACGAGGCTCCGAGAAGCCGGTGACATGTTGACCAGGGGAGGTACAAAATAGGTACAACTTAGCAGCCACGGGACAAATGTCCGGGTGCCTGTTTTGAGGTGCAAGCCTGCTCGAGCCTGCATCGGAATGGATGGGTGTCTGCGAGGCTGGGGATGAACATCTCCGATCGAGCCCCAGCTCTCCGATCGAAGTCCAGCTCGGCTACACTCGAGATCAGGGAGCAGCTAATGGACGGGCGGATCTAGATCACAAAGGATGTCAACAGTGAGCGGTATGGGACGTGAGTTTCGTGTTCCCTTCTAGATATTTGGCCAGACTCAGACGTGGTATCGATATGAGATGTACTTACTCAAGAATCCATTAGCTTGCCATGCCAATAATCAATTAGTCTGAGAGTTTCAGCGTCTTGTTAGAGCCCTACTATCGGCGCGCCACTCCTCCAGTACCACAAGGGGTGGCCTTGATATCAAGGCCTACTGAGGTGTTCCAGTATAATCAATCAATGTCAAGTGCAGTTCATCACTGCTCTCAAAATTTAGATAGGTACCTATTAGAACTTGCGAGGGATGAGATCCTAGATCCGTGGTGGCAGGGCTATGGCAAAGCACCCTCATCACCCATGTTGCTGTTGTCGCTGCCGTGGATAAATAACTGTTACCGTCACTCTTGATACTGAAGCTCGTCAGCTCGATTTATAAGGGTGACTTTAGCATATGTGACTCAGGCGTGTCTATAAATTCAATGACGCGGAATATAATTCTACTTCGAGGTGCTGAAACGGCAATTCAGCTTCCTCGGTCTCCCCCTAGGAAGTGCACTGAGATTGAAGACAAGGACGCCGTCAAGATTATCATCTGGGAGGTGTAGAGATTACAGAACAAGACGGAGTCAAAGAATCAAATAGCTGCGTATTTTATTACAGCAGCGTTTTCGTACTTGAAGCAACTCTCTTATAATACTGTGATACTCACTCTTGTTATTAGTTCTCACTCTTGTAAGCATACTGAACCATAGGAATATTCACTCTTTTTCGCGGTTGCTTCGATAAGCATGAACGAATAGGCCTCCGAGGTTTCTTGAGTAAACATCTCCTGCCTCGGAGTGTTTTAGGTATAAATGAACGCTGGCATTCAGGTTGAGTTTGTATCTAAGGTGAAGCTAACGAAGAATTTCAAGGCAGGATGGGTGTGGCTTGCTGGCCAAGTCAGGTTTCATTCAACACGTATCCAGCCACAAGGTTGTCATGATCATCGTGATGCAAGAGCGCCTGGCAGGAGTATTCGTCACATCTTGCAAAGCAGTCAACACTCCGTCCTTGGTCCAGCGTACACCTCTCATTCCGTCAATACATATTGATTACTTGCTCGCGAACATTCTCGATGCTTCTCGCCATCTGTTTGTTTGTTGTCAGGGTAATTATAATTAGTCAATTATGGTGGTGGTCTCGGACATGCCGAGGTCCTGCGATGCGTAGCTCAGAGAGTTCAAAGTGCCTTGGACTTCGTCCGCCGGTTCGTCGGAGGAAGAGAGTTCTCAGCCGTACCAACTGTAGCAGCCGCGGCAGCCGTTGCAGCCTTAGTTTCTGGCGCCAAACATTGAGGGAAATTCGGGCGTGTCAACCCCCCCCCCCCCCGCCCTCTTCCCCCACCTGCCGCTCGATGTGGATGCGCAACCGACTAGACGTCGTAATTACCGGGCAAACCTTTTGTCTCGCAGCACTGGGCGTGGGTTGCTGCCTTGAGGTTTTTATTTGCCAGGATCAAGGATCGAACGTGCGGTTGGTTGCCTTGCACGGAAGAGGGGTATGCAACCATCTACATTCGGTGCTGAGCGCCTCTGACTCAGACTGTGCACATTTTGCCTGACATCATCAAAGCCCAAAATAGCACTTTCTCGTAATTGTGCTTCGCCTGAGTAAGACTGCAAGGACTGGGACCGCCTCGGTACCTAGTGAGTAATAAGTCACATGTGGCATGACCAGTAAGCCCTTTTGTTACAGGACGTGAACAAAAAACCTCGTCTGATGCATCCATCTGTGGTGTCACGTTATGAACCATTGAGTGTCGTTGACTGCAATTCCCAACCCAAACAAACTCAAAACGTTCCAACACCCAACAATTCCACGTGGTCGGGAACCGAATCAAAGTTTTTGCATTTCACAGCAGATTACGTGCAAGAATTTTAAGGCTCTTAGCCCTGGTTGACTGGGCGACGCTCGCTTTGTTCCAGGCATCCTGACTACATATCTTAGCCTGAGTTCCGCATCAGAGATCTGGTCGCCTTCAAATTCATCTAAAATTTTACTGGCTCGGCTAATAATAACTATGGGGAGATCGATGGAAGGTCCATATATGCCTCGGCTACCCAAGCGAGCCAAGCTACCTAATGCATCCCTAGTCATGGTCGATGCGCTAATAAGGGGGAAGGCAACGAGGCGGAGTTTTATTCAATTTGAATGATTGGGTCGTCGCCTTTGGAGCCTGAACGGATATATCGCTCAGTTCCAAGTTCCCTTTAACTGTCAGTCTTGTTAAGTAAAAGGGGTCAATCTCAAGCCGTTTGAAACCGGCGAGTCGTGTCTTTGTCCGAGTAGAATGTAAACAAAACTTTCATCTTTTTCATCTTCGTGACCATAATTGCTGTTTTACCTAGGTGAATTCAGTTTACCAATGGGATTTCCATGACCTGAAGAACTCATTCACAATGAGCATTCCTAGTGAAAGGGGGCTAGAGTTCCCAACAGAAGCTAGGGGACCTTCCAAGTCCTGTGGATATAAATATCGGCTCTTTTCTGCATCTCAGACTTGAAATGATTATAACCTTCTTCTTCTTCTACTTGCCCAGTCTTCTTCATCTTCCACTGATCAGCTGGCTTGACAGCTGGTTGGTTGGTTGGTTAGTTGGTTGGTTGTTGTTTTGTTTTCCCTTCAGGGGCAGTCCTTTTGCCCTGTTTCACTAGAGCTAAAGTTAGGAAGAAGCAGCCAGCAACATCGTCTCGATGAGCAACTTGACATACCTAGTTTTCAATATCCTTTCTGTTGGTATTCCCTGGCTGGTCTCAAGTAAGAAACATCAAACGCGAGGGGAAACCCAAGAACACGCGTAACGCCCACGACCTCTCTGAATTGAAAGTGAAAATAGAAATAAAAATACAAAGCTTCTAAAGTAGAGATGGAGACGCAATATTAAACATAAACATTTCAGGGCCCGCGTATAATTCCTTCATGCAAGGACCGCAGGTTCAGATAGATGATCGAAATGGAAGAGGGGGAAAGTAAGACTGGTCTATGCCTTAGATATATAGAATCATAGGCACACATTAGTTACCAGGAAGACCATGGACGGCTCAGTTAAATAAAGGTGAAAGAGGGTGACACTGTTAGGTTGTCTTTTAACGTGGGGTTTTTCATATAAAGCTAGGTAACTACCTACGTTGATGAACGAAATAACTTTTATGGCCTGGCGCCTAGAGCCCCACATTAGCACTGGCACACGGTGTCGTTGTCATGCAATGTCGGCCATCTCAAGGTCGGTCGCGGCGGTTTCAGTTTCGGGTGTCGGCTCCGCGTCGCAGGTGATTCCTGGGATCTCAAACTCGAACTGCGCAGGCACGCTGAAGCGATGCGATGTCGAGTCGTAGAGCAGGAAGTCGCCGCCCTGAGCGGCGATGCGGCAGGCGAAGAATAGGACGCGCTCCTTGCGCTGCTCGATCATGGACGGGGCCTCAAAGTATCTCTCGCTATCGTCCGCCTCCTCGCTTGTGAACAGCGAAGACGGCAGCGAGCTCTCGGTCCAAAGGAGACCCCTCATGGCCCAGTCTTCGGGCAACGGGCGCTCTCCCTTCCTTTGTTGCGGGAAACTTTCGCTCTCGATGCGAGAATAGGACTGGCAGTCTGCCAATAACGTATTGAGCATCAGAGACAGTAGCTTCCAGGGAAACTCTGCGCCCACATGCTTCATGGCCTCGGGGTGTTTCGTGATTCTGCCGAGGAAGACAAGGATGACATGGAGGAATGAGAGGATGTTGGGGTCTCCAAAGCGTCGCAGGACCACATCATGCATCTTGTTTGCCAGACTCAAGGCATCGGCCAGCTGCTTGGGCAGAGGGGATTCAGCTGCCGCGCTCTCCACCATTGGTTGGTCGACAGACTCTTCAGTGTCTGGGTATTTAACAGCGGTATAAACAGGATTTTTGGCATCGCCAAAGCCTAGGATGCTACAGCAGATGGTAATTCCCATGTGATAACTAATACCAAGTTAGCATACTTTTCCAAGAGTCGCACGAGGTGGGAAGGGGCTATTTACCCTGACTCTGGGAACATGGCTGTCTTGCGGGCAATGTGAATATCCAATGAGCTGATGAATTCGGCGACTGATGAATCAAGCTTCTCTGTGAATTTCTTGCTGAACATGATCCCAATACAGCGGACAAAGGCAAGCTCGTTTTTCGGCAGGCGAGACTTCTGATCGGGGTTCATCGCCATGACTGGGTCGAGAAGGGTCATGATCGACTCGCGAGCTGACTCGAATGGGACCGCAACACATAGCGACTTAACGTAGTAGTAGAGCTGTTGAAGCGCGTTTGGTCTCGCCAGGATCGCCAGGTGATGATACAGCCTGCCGGTTGTGGGAGCCTTGTCCGACGCCTTCGAGTACCACTGCCGGCTCACCAGAGTCCAGTTTTCGCGGTCGTGGATATTGTCATCCTCGATGGCCATCCTGTACCTGCCGAGATCACCAAGGCACTCAATCCAAGTGTCCTCAAATGTTGGAACTGTTTCGTAAAGCAGCGCCATCATCGAGTACGCTAGGTATATGAATGTCAGCATGTGCTCCAGCGATGAGGGCAGCCGGTGCCGCAAAAGCTCGAGGAATGAGTGGATTCCATGCCGCCACATGCGCGCAGGCATGGCATACTTAGAAGCGAGCCGTCGAAGAGCCGGGCTCGCGCTTGGGTGCTGGCTCGCCAAGAAGAAGTCGTGGTGCTCGTGGAGTAGCGTGCGATGTAGAGCAATGAGGGCCTGCCATTGCTCATTGTTAAGCTTGCTCGCCGAGTCATTCTGCGCATTCTGCGCGTTATCCACCTCGATACACTTGCTCTCCACCATAACAAGGCCGGCGTATATACCCTTGACTTCAGCGACTAGCTGCTCCCCGGATATCGGGCGCGTTTCTGGCTGTTTTACTAGCACTGACGTCTGATCCTCCACCGAGTTGGACTGAGACCTTTGGGCTGCACTGCCTGGTCCGGCCGGGCCAGGCCTCGGAGGAGCCCGGGCGTGGGACGACGAGGATGAGACACGCAGCCTCTGCTGAGGAGCCACATTAGATTTGTCGGGCCGGGACGGTCGTGGTGGCTCATCACGTGGCGTCCACAAGGTCCCAATCTGGCGGGGACGGGGATCGAAATTGGCAGTCTCCTCGGCGGGTGGGGCCTTTGATCGCTTCGAGGGAGACTGGGACCTGCTCCCCTCCCGCTTCAGGCTAGAAGCTGGACTTGTCGGGGCTTCCGGTGGTGGCTGGGGGGTTGGTTGTGTGACGTTACCCATGTCTCCTGGGCTTTCATTGGATGGCGAAGGCACAGCAACTTGTGAGCCGCCGGATCCATCTCTGGGCTTGCTGCCATCGCTGTGGGTTTATTAATTGTCACGTTCGGGAGCAGGGAAGGACTCAAAAAAGGCAGGAAAATGAGCATACCCTTTAGCAGCAGCAGCTCGGGCAGTTTCCCAGAGTGACCGGATCAGATCAGTCTTTTCCTCCTCCTCCGTCTTTTCATCAAGCACGCCAGCATGTTCCGACTTGACATGCTGGGTGAATGCGGCTTCTGAGGCATTCCGGATCGGGGTCGTGCAGAGGCCGCACACAACCCGCCGTGTCTGGTTTTCGGGCCAAAGACCTTGTCGCGATGATTTTTTACGCCAGCTGTTAAACCCCTTCTCGAGTTCCATCGCATGCAACAAGTTGCGCGGGCAAGCCGTGCGGGGGTTCCTGGTAGCCCAGGCGCCAATACAATAATTTTGGGTTCGAGAGACCCGACTTCTTCATAAAGGCAGACGCAATGGTCGTATTGAGTGTAAAACTAGCGTGTGCATTGGCAGTTGCAAAACTTGTGAAGGTTGAGACTCTGCAGTCCACTGACTAGGAATCGTTTTCACCACCTCGGTACTTATCTGCCCTTGCAGAGCCGCAGGCGAACCAGCATGGGTCGCCTGGGGAGAGAGGGCAAGCCATGGAACTTTGTACCGAATACTTAGTGCCTACCCAAATAAGCTAGGTAGGTAGGTACCTAGACCCCAGTGGTTCGCATTGGGCAGCGACCCCGCCTCGACAGGCAAGGCAGCCCGCATTTCCCCATGCTCCAACCATCCTCTCTTCATTGTCTGCTACTCTCCCCATTCCATACCTAAACCGCTACGGCGCCGCAATCAAGTCACAAAATCACCGTTGATCCCAGCGCTGCGCCGATATGTTTACGGTACCTATGATACGAACAAGAGTGATGCTGTTGAGTGGTTTGGGATGGCGCTGACCCTTGGCCCACGCAGCTTATTACCTCGCAGACGACTGCTGGCGACGCTGCTCTCTCCTCCACAGTCGAAATCGAAACCGATATAAGCGTGGCGACCATAGGGCGCGTTTCTAATTCGCAGACATCCTCTCCCAGCTTGGCTCGGCGGCAAAATCACTGGCGATTATGGGCACACATTCCAACGCACCGTCGTTTGTGGTTTCCTAGTCCGACGTTGCCAGATTGTTGCCTTGTGACTTCCTGTCGGAGTACTGGCCGATGTTCACGCCACCAGACGGCTTCCCTGACATATAAGCCGCAGCCATGCGTCGCTGACGATCAGTGGCCTTCCAATACGGACCGAGTCAGCTTGGATATATGACACAGTTGGGCGTTATTGGGGGGGTCTGGTCAGAACAAGGCGACTTCGCGATTGCTTGCGTCGGCGTCGTGGCTTGTAGGATGGACCCTGGGTCGGAAATGTCCACTATCTGACTTTGGGTGCTGGTCCACAATGCCCTCAAGCTGCGATGTGTGACAAGCTGCCACGCTGCCTCGTCCAAGCAGTGGCTTCGTCTTCAAACCGCTGGACTGAAAAACCTGGCCACTTCGAGACGTGTAATTACGAAATCTAGGCCTACACTGAGCAATTCATTGGCTCTGGAAGCCATTGTTGCGCCAGGGCAGGACGTCTGGAGGCCCAACAATATGGAGCTGATCTCTTCCAATGTGCTAGTTTAGAGCTTCATTGGTTTGAGGTGACTGGCCTACAACTGCCGCCTTCGCTGCCCAGGGCTGCACATTCTGCTCCACCCGCCCCCCCCTGACCCCCCTGACCCCCCCGTAGCCAGCCACATGGCAGGCTGTCAAGTAGGACACAAGCCCAAGATTGAGCGAAATGGACCCCAATATCTTGCCCTGGATACCTACGAGCCCTAAGACAGAAAACGTGGCACGTGATCGATACGGGGCAGTACCCAACGCACTCGGGGGAGACCCTGGACACCAAAAACACTCGGGCCCTTGACCGGGGCCCGGGCCGATTGGTGAACTCGTTGCCATATGGAAGGGGGCCGGCGGTTTCCACGTTGGAGAGAAAATTCAAGAGGTCCATCCATTACGAGAGGTCATCATTCTGGTTCCCATCCAAGTCGGCTTCAAAGAGGATGTTAAGGCTTCGTGGTGCCCTGTTCTCGCCTACAACGCCACCAGCCAGTCAGCCCTGGTTGGCAGTGGAGTCGTCTCGGAGATATCAGGAGTTGGACCGTGCCGCCTACGAGCTACTGGCGCGAGAGCCAACGAAGGTGCGTTTATCCCAGACTCTGAAGAGCGAGGCGGGCGGTCTGAATAGGGTTGTTTCTCACCGAATGCACGCTTTGACCAACCAGACAGGCGTTGCCAACCTCTTCAACAGCATGGGTAAGGGGACACCTTGCTTGTCGAGAGTCGAATCGGGTGTCGATCCGGAGGGCTCATTTAGCATGCTACTACCTTACCCATCCCAGTCGCGATCTCTGGGCCGCTAACATTGCATCGCTGCCCGAATGGGCAACTCGTCCCAAGGATCAGGCCTACAGGTTTTCTCGACCCTTCCGAATTTTGTACCTAAGCCTCGGAGTGAGCCGGCGTTCATAGCAGCCATCCAATAAACCGGCGGACGCAATTCAGGCTGCGGCAAGTAGTTGGGAAGCAGGATCGTGTGAGTCAACACCCCAATGCATGTGCATGACTAACTGATCAACTTCATGCCTTACCTTTCTCCTAGGCATTGCCCGAGGTTCGCGGGTGGGACGGGCGTAGGCGGTGAAGGTGCCCATGGCCTAGACTACTCGCGTACGCAGACCCCAAGCAAGTCCCAAGAGCCAGTGGATCGTGGAGGCAGGCAAGGCAACCACCACCAAGACAAGAGCGCGTGCCCCGTATGTCTCTTCAACTTTTGGGCCAGAGGACAATTTAAAGGACAAAGGGGGCTGGCGGCTTGGGCCACCCTGAGCCTGCCTCTTACTTTGAGATCGGCAGTCGTGATATTAATCTAGTCAATCAGGCAATCTTGAGGCGGTCCTTATCACACCACAAAGTCCCAAGTCGTTCGATTAGGGGGGGGGGATCGCGTAGAGGCAGGATGGCGTGGCAAAAGCTTGACAGGTTCAGAATGAAAATATTGCCGATATTCCTTTTCTCTTCTTTGTTTTTCTTGGCCACCAGGGGCGAATCAAGCGATGTTTGCCACTTTCACGTTGCGCAAGTACGGGATGAGGCGATGGTCAGCTGCTCCCCTGCCCAGCTGAAATCTTGGAATCAAGTTCTTGTGTAACATAATATAGGCCTCAGCTGATCTCGAACTCGCCTCGCGGTGTTGATTGAGTCCCCCTTATCCGAGGGTTGTAGTCTACGGATCCGTGCTTTGCCCCTTTTCGTCGGATGATGGATCCATGGATGCTTCGGTATCAAGCGGGTGGGAGCGGGCGGGGCGGGTAAAGTGCCTGAGATTCAAGGTCAGGTGACCAGCCTAATTCAGGTCCGCATGTAACTTGTTCTCCCATTTCATGATTGGGTATCAAAAGAGAGGTCATTTTGGCTGTATTTTAGGGGGTCAAGGGGGTCTACAGATCCCCCAGCATTACTAGAGACTTGAGGAGACATACACCTTCAATATAATTTGGACCTACTCAATCCAACAGCAGCTTGAATTATGAATGGTCCGATTTGATATGTCCCCATCGCACCTTCTGATGTCCATTGTCCATTCCATCTTTAAAGTTCCAATTCGACTGAGCTTGGTCTTGCTGTCTAGTACGCCAAGATACTGTCAACCTCTGCTCCCTCTTCTCGCATATTGACGGGGAGGCAGTCTGGGGTGATGATGCCCATAGCAGCCCACTCAAAATGGTGTTGAAGCAGAGAGAGCCCATGAAGATGAAGTAGTGATAGATCACAAATGGATGAAACATCGTAGACGTGGCAATCAGAACCCTATCTATAATGGAGGTGGAACGTTGAACCTCCAAGCAACGTAAACAGAGACGGTCTATTGGCCATCGCAACGACAGCATCCCAGACGGAGGAAGGACAACATGGCTGCATCTTGGAAAACCCTCGTATGAATTACACTAGCATGCCTCCGCCTGACCCAAACTGCATTTCCTGGTGCACACAAACTTCTATTATAGTTTACATTGGAGCTTGCCATAGCCCGTTGATCTGTTTTTTCCGAACCTTTTTGGACGACCGTTAGCAAATGGGGACATCTTGAATCGTTTTGCAATGCTCGGGAAAGGAGAAAAGGACTTACTATGGGGCCGAGGGCCACGACGCCGATGGTCAAAGCCAGCACCGTCGCTATCAGAGACACCTTGTTGAAACCCTTGCCGAGGATGTCGAACAGGAAGCTGGGGGCCACCCTGGTCCCGAACACGTCCACGCCAAAGGCGAACACGAGGCTCGTGCTCTCCACGATGGCGGGGGACGTGATGATCTTCTGCACCCCAAGCACATCCCACTCATGCGTGATGACCATCTTGGGGTCGATCTCGATGACGGGCGCGTACTTGAAGAGTCCCTCCTCCACCTCGGCCGCCGTGGGATCCCGCCCGACCGGTCGGCGTGGCTCGATGAGGGACCGGGGCAGGCCGATGATGCCGTGGGTTCCCGGGAGGTAGGCCAGCACCTGCCTGGTGCTGATGCCCTGTCTCGTCTGGGTGACCTGCAGCGCCGAGATGGGCGCCGCGAGGACAAACGACTGGCTGACCACGGATGGCAGCACGGGCCCTGTCGGGACGTCGACGGGGTCGGTGGACGAGAAGTTGGCCGAGTCGCCCAACGGGCCGCGGTCGTTCGGCTCGTCGCTCTCGTACAGGTCGGAGATGACAAGCTGGTATCCCATCAGGGACTGTTCCGGGCTGTCCTTGATGGCGTACTTCCCAAAGAAGGAACACAGGAACCAGTTTTCCGCTATCGCGCACTCGGCAGGCTTTCCGGTGTCGACTCCCTCGTGTGTTGCCAAGGATAGGATTTCGCCGGACACGGTATCCAAGAGATAGACTGTAAGGGTCGAAGCGGAATCATCCGCCGCAGCAACTACCACGGTATTGGGGTTGAGGTACTTGTACTTCACCTGGCGGTCGCCAAGGACACGCCCGATGGAAGCAATGGGGTCGTGCGAGGGTCTCGTGGCAATGTTAATAATCTTCTGGCTCTTTGGCGGCGAGAAAACCCAAGAGGTCACTTCGGAGGATTGGGATCCCTTTGTGACAAAGGTCAACCCCTTGAGCTCGCCGTTGACGCCTCGAACAACAAGAGTCTCCTTCGGGGTCTGAGAAGCCAGGATATCGCCAACTTCCCCACCCAGGCCGATAGGGAGGAGCCACGGCCCAGATGGGCTGTCTACCAGAGCCGTGCTCTGGACAATTGGCCGGGAACCCCGCGGCATCGTCTCGATGACATCTCCAGTATCCGCCTTGACCACGACGTATTCGCCATTCGCGCCCCATACCGTTGCCTGGCCCTTTTGATCTTCGACGTGGATCCCTTTCACATCCCATTTCTCTCCCGCAGGAATGTCAAAGGGTTTGATGGACCACAGAACTCTCCCGTTGGCTCCGGTATCTAAGCCATAAAGCCTTCCCCGGCGCGTTGCGAGGATGACTAGCTTGTGGAAGCCGAAATTATCCCGGAAGGGTTTATCGGCCTTCGCGGTGATCTCGGTCCCGAGGATGCTGCTCAAGAGTCGCTGGGGGACAGCCCTGAGGTATTCTGGGAGATGTTGAAGATCGTTGACGTGCCGGCCAACCCGATGGATATAGGCCGAGAGAGGGTTGCTGTGAGCTTCCTGCTCTAGGGTCTTTGCCAGGTCTTCGCTTTCGGGAATCTCGGCAAATGCAGCAGCGACCCCCCCAGCCATGCCTTCGGGACGTGTCCAGGCGAGCTCGCCGTTCCGGACCATGAGCCACTCATCGGCGTCTGTTACTGCGGCAGATCGGATGGCGTATGTGTCGTCCGATTTCTTGACGACTTCCGAGGTGCCGTGGACGGCACTGCCCTCACGAGCGCCAGAACTGAGGGGCCAACGACCTAGGATGCCATGGGACGTTGAAGCTGTGAGCAGAACCTCATCCTCGGTAATACGCGTGAAGAAGACGTTGGCGCCACTTGAGCTGGTGGAGAATGCGCCATGCCCAGGGAGATGAGGCAACTCGTAGGCCTTGGTGATGGCGTTGCTCTTCAGGTCGATATGATAGACACTTGCTCGATTCCCGGTTTTGGTTTGGCTGTGAACCAGGAAATGAGGCAAGGATTGGGGAAGGTGTGGCGCGTGGAACTCCACACCGACGGTGTCATCCTCAAGGGGGAACTCTTGCCTAGTCTTCGTCCCCAGCACGTTGATCCGTAGCTTCGACCGAGATTCGTCAGTCCAGGCAACAATGGGTGCGGCCGAATTACCTCCAACAAACATGACGCCTGCCTCGCTGTGGACATCGCCCTTGGCACCGACGATGATATCGTCGACCCGTCTACCCGTCGCCGTGTCGAGAACCGAAACCCTCAGGTTGTAAGCTCCCGGGGATCCATGGAGGCTCACCACGAAGACCTTCTCGAGGTTGGTGCTGACCTGCAGAGGAACGTTCTTGCTGGTCTCCTTGAACTCCCAAACGACGTTCCCATCCTTCCCGTTCAAGCGCCGCAACACAGTGGCTCCGCCATCATCATATAGCGCAAGCACGTCCTTCCTTTCCTTCTCGGTCATTTCCATGATTTCCAGGTCCTTGACCTCTCCCGCAAAGTCCATCCAGAATCTGTTCCTCCCGCTGATGGCGTCCCACGCATGGACAGAGTGTCCGAGAGCGCTACATATCCAGTTCTCGCCGTCGCTGGACCGCACAAAACCCCCTCCGTCGGTTATATTGTCGTTGAGAAACTGGCGCCACATGACGGCGCCATTGCTGGGATTGATGGCTCCCAGGACACCGACGTCGCTGAGGGTGTAGAGAAGGCTCGCTTTGTCATCGCGCCTTGGCCGGTGGAAGAAGGTGGTGTCGCGCTGCGGAACGCCGAGGAGCTCGTGGTGGTAGTCTAGATGGCCGACTTCATCTTGAAAGATTGCGTGGACGGCTGTGGGAAGCGCGAGGAGCAGGAGGGAGGCGAGTTGCGGTGGTAACATCTTGGATCGCGCGATTGCAGCCTTTCGGCTGTCGGGGTAGCTTCAGCGGTGGCAGTATTCGTTGATTTTGATTCTAAGCACCTGCATCTGCCATTGTTGATAGCTCAAAGCAATCCTTGGGTCATTTGTTGGAGCTTGTGCCAGAAGTCTCCAGGAGATGACGTTTAGGCCTAACAGCTGGCGGGTTTTAACTTAGGTAAGCAATTAGGTAGTTACTTCTCCACCTCTAGGTCCCCGACGCCCATTGTAGATTTCACAGGAACCCAACTTTTTTGTACCACGGCGGATCTCAGCTCATGCAGCTCGACAGCAAGAATGGGATTGAAACGCGATCACGATGCCCTTAACTACTTTGACAACGATGAGCCGGCACCATATCCTTCCAACAAACGGCAACGGAATCAAGCACCTAGTAAGGGGAAGCAAAATGCGCACCAGCCAACAACCGACCCGACATATGGGCAGCGATTCATGTTTCCTGGGCTGGACGGTAGCACTGCGCTTTCCGATGACGACCTAGAATACGAGGACGATGGGGATGCCTTGGCGTATCTGAGAACTGTCCGGTAAGCTCCCCCATCTACTCTTCCCGCGTTGCCTCTTTCTTCAAGCGCGTTTGCTAAACCTTCTCCCTCGTCCTGTGCAGAGCTGAACAGCTAATATGGTAAGTATCATAGACTCGAAGCCAGTGGGATTCCGCACCTTCTCGTCGCACCCAAGGCAGGCCCCCAGCTGCCGCCTGAGCTTGCCTCCACGTCCCTCGACGAAAGCGAATCGATTGATCGCAACCTGTACAACAGCGGCGTCGGTGACTCACGAGGCTACTACCAAGACGGCGCGTATACCGCCGCGCCGGACACGGATATTTCTGACGAAGAGGGCTACAACTACGACGACGGCGACCAGGATGCCGAGTCGAACCTTGCCGGGAGGAACCGTCTCCTCCGCGAAGCCTACTACAAGTCCCTAGTCTCCCAATTCACCGCGCTCCGCGATCAGCTCCGCCGGGATCCGCCGCCGTCGGTGGTCGATTCCCTGCCCCCGAACCACGAGACCGATGTCGGCACGTTCGGCCCCAACAGCCCCACGTTCCGCATGTGGACGAGCCGGCTGCGGTACACGGACCCGCTGCCCGCGCAGGTCGCGGCAATGGACAAGGAGAGCGCGCTCAAGCTGCTGCGCATCATCCTCGGGGGCAAGTTCCTCCGGCGGGGCCACGAGCTCCGCGAGCGCACCAGCCGCTGGATCTGGTCGCTGCTGGCCCGGCTGCCCGACCGCGGCGAGATGGACTACATGGAGATCGGCTGGGTGCGCGAGCTCGGCAAGCGCGCCGTGCTCATGCTGATTAGCATCGCGCAGATGGTGGCGCTGAGGGAGGAGGTAGAGGATGACCTAGACGAAGAGGGAAATGACGAAGGGGAGAGGGACGAAGGGGACTCTCTCGACGATCTAGTCTCCGAGGAGGAAGAAGGCGAGGCCCCCAGCGGGCGCCAGGCAAGCCTACCACCACAGCTACCGGAATCCGTCGACGACTCTCACGGCGCAGCAAAACCGGAAGCCAGGAACCCAGATGCGGAAGACGACGACGGGGAGATGGACATGGACATCGAGGAAGGGGAAGTGTCCGACAGCCAGGCCGACATCGAAGCCGCGAAAGCGCGGCTTCTCGCCCGGCTTGATGAGACTGCCTCAGAGACGAATCACGAAAGCGAGCCTACCCCCGTCGTAGAAGGAGAAGGGGAAGGGGAAGATGATCAGGAGGAAGGGGAGTGGGAGGAAGAAGACGAGGAAGATGCGCAAGCCTATTCCGAACGGAGGTCTCGAATCAACATGCGCGCTACGCTAAACATGATCTTGACCGTTGCGGGCGAGTTCTACGGTCAGAGGGACCTGCTTGAGTTTCGGGATCCCTTTGCAAGTTTGTAGGATAGGAAGGAAAAAAGGCAGAGGTAATAGGAATGTCGATTTCACCCATAATATCGTGGTATGTCGAGTTATCGTTCGTGGTTGGAAACCACCCAGTAGTCTGTTCTAGCGTTTAGATAGAATGACTGAAACACCCTGTATACCATGGAGTCGCGGCTATACGCCCTCGAGCAAAATCTCCGATGTTGAAATCACGGTGCCATTCTAACTAGCAATCGTAGGATGCTTTCTACCTCCTTATCAGTGAACTCCGTAGCTACCTAGCTTCCGAAAAGCCTGCCGTATCTGTTTATATCTCTTACAGTATCCCGACCCATGGGTTCCATCTGTCAGCCGCGGCCAGACCCGACTCCAAACACCTTGCGAAAAATGCAGCAAAATCGGAAAAGCACAAAAAGTCCAACCCTAGACACGGGGCCTCCCATGAGCCACAAGCCGCCGTCCCAATGAATCACCCCAGATTCTTCCATACCATCAGCAAAACACATACACTTCCCCTTCCCGTTCACTCAACCTCCATCTCCCGCCCATACCGATAATCCAGGAACTCGGCCTCTCCGAAATCATCCACCGCCATATTCTCCTGCCCCAGGTCCTCCAGCGGCAGCGCCGCCCGGGCGACTCCCTTCCCCGACGACCGCCGCCTCGCCACCGCCATGACCCTCGCGTTCTCCCACCCGGCCGGCGCCAGGCTGCGCGGGCTGACCTCGCCGTCCAGCCACTCGGCGCGGTCGCGCCACACGCCCAGGCCATGCGGCCGCGAGAACGGCGCCGGCACCTCCCCCTCGCCTTCGTCTCCGACGAAGGCGCGCTTGCGGTTGTTGCTGTTGCTGCCGGTCGCGGGGCCGCGCGCCGCCGCCGCAGTCACGGATATGGTGGGGATGACGGGGTGGTGGTCGTCGTCGGTGCTGGCGGCAGACTCCTGGCTGCTTGTGAGGGAGGGGACGTCGTCGAGGGCGGGGACGGGGAGGAGGATCAGGTGGTCTTCTGTCGCGGTGGCGGACGGCGACAGAGACCAGGCGGGCTGCGCCGCGAGGCCGCCCACCTTGTGGATGCCGCAGAAGGGAAGGAGCTCGCGGCGGGATGACAAGGCCGAGCCCGCCGCGGGGGTCGGGGTCGGGGTCGGGGCCGTGCTTGGTGGGGACGAGCCGGCGTCGGCGTCGGCGTCGGCCCAGAGCGCGAAGGCGCTGTACGAGCTGCCCGTCTTGTAGCCCTCGGGCACGGATTTGCGGACCCGCATGCCGACGTTCAGGAGGTTGGATTGCACATGGGCTGGGAGCTCCGGCGAGATGACCGCAGCCGCAGCCGCGGGGTCGGGGCTCGTTCTGGCGCCATCGGGGCCCTTGTAGAAGTAGGATGTGATCTGTCGCTGCGCCGGATCACTTGCTGCGCCGGCGAATTGGCGCTTGGTTCGGGGGGCTGACATGTTTGTCCTGAAAAGCTTATCCGGGCTTTAGGGGTTCTGCGAAACGAAATGTACGGGCAGTGCTGTTCCAATGCAGATGTTTAACCCCCCGAGAAATGAGTGATGTCAGGGAAAGGACGGTGGACAGAACGTTGAGGGGATTGACGTTGGATGTTTGAACAAAGGAAGGGGGCTGGGACGCCAATTCCTGGGCCACGAGAGATAATCCGCAACGGTAGTTGAATTGAGGCGGACAATGTGGGGTTCCGCATGCAAGGCGCGACGTGTTTTTTCGCGTTTAAGTGAAATGGATACATGTGACCGCCTAATACGGCTCATGGGATTGGCCTAGCCTATATGAATTATTTCCTTACTTTGCCAATGGAAGCTGAAGCTTGCCTTCTAGATGCATACATAGCATTACTTTTTGTGGCTTCAAGACGATCTGCGCTCATCGTTTTCGATAGTGACCAAGGTAACTAATTAATCAATTAGCTACCAGGCAGGCCCCGAAGCATTTATCTTAATACCCATAAATGAGGCATATCAAACATTGTGGAAATAGGGACAAGTTGGCATTGATCACATCAAGTCAATTCGGCTGTCAAGGTAAATGGCCTGCCTACTTCGTAGCGTAGGGATTGTGAGGAGCGACGGAAATGTGGCTGTGAGCAGGAAAGGCCATCAAGTTGGTCGGAATGGTGATGCACAATGCTCTGGACTCGGAATACCATCGGGAAGCTCCATCCCAACTCGGAGCCACAGAGATGAGAAGTTCATGAGCATCACATGAGCATCATATGAGGAGCACGGAGGAAGTGTGATGGTTCGTGGAATCTCTTGAATTTCAATCGCAAAAGCGCAGTGTCCTCCCCCTGACCCCAAGCACTGCACTTGGGTATTGGTGATTCTGAGCGATCCACGTCATCGCATCCAGCAGTCTGCCATCCGGACGCGGGGACAGAGCCATCTAGACGCTCATGCGAAGCGCCATTGCCAGCGAACCACCCATGCAGTACGACCTGCCTGTACACAGCAAGAGAAGGCGTGGTGGATGTCGAAATCAAGTACTAGGAAAAGGTTGATGATGCAAGATATCCGGACCCGAAACGCCCCTTGTTCTTGTGAGGTGATATTTGGCGAATCCATCTTCTATCCGCAATGATATTGATCGAGAATACTTCTATACGCCCGACTCGAAGAAGCCCTGCAGATCCGAGATGTTCCCCATTACCAGCCGCGATGCCGACGAAAAGAAAGTAGCGACGTAACCGTCTACTTTCTCCGGAAGGAGCAGCCCTCGGTGAGTCTGGCCTTTCCACCAGTCGGCTGGCAGAGAACGGTCGTGCAACCCTGGCAGATGACAACGGTCTGGGCGTGCGAGAAGACGGTGGTGATAGTGAAGCAACCGGGGCACTTGACGTCCATGAAGAAGGACCGGGGACCGGGCACAAGGGTCTGTAGTGTGTCAGCCTCCGAGGGAATACATATATGGCGAGATTACGGCCTCAGAAGACCAGGTTACATACCTTGAGCTTGTGCTTGCGGGCCTCCGAAGCCGGGCTCGGGTTGAGAAGGTCGACGGCGAGAACCTGTTTGAGGATTAAACCGTCAGTATTCCATCGTAAAAGATCAATAAAATCTTCCCAGCATCCATGCCGATTCGGTCGACGCCAATTGAGGATAGCCCAGTGCCAACCCCTCCCCTGCTCCGACCCATCTTCAAAATATCGAGGAAATTTGAGCTCGGTGTTGTCGGTGGCGGTGTCGGTCGTGTGCGTCGTTCTGGGACAAACAATCACGAAAACATCGAAATCAAAGGATGTCTTACCATCTTGAATGTTTATTCGAGGGTGATCTTGGAGTCTCGAATGCGAGGTTTGGGTTGTCTGATGAAATCTGAGGAGGTTGATGGCAGATTTGTTGCTCGCGTTGATGGCTCGGTTGTGCAGAAAACCGATCAAATCGAGAGAGGAAGTTCGATGCAAATTTCTGTGAGAGCGGGGGGAAATGACCACTCGCTAGATCAAAAATGGCCTAGTGGATTAGGGCTCGATCACTTTGGGAGGGAACCTCCTGTGGCCAATCACAGCTTGCCACTGGCGTCCTGGGGCTCTCATGGTTGTTCGATGCACGGACCCTATGGAAGAACATGAGCTTGCGACATGGTGGGGCACCAGTAGCTTCGTAGCGGGGTCAGAGGCAGGCAGCATTCAAACAAGAAACCTAGACAACAGCTTGCAACTCGCTGGGGACAACATAGGCTATCCTCCGATTGCGTCTTTGTGAATTCCCGCATCGTCGATCAGCTTCTTCTTTCTGATAGCCTGACCTCAATCTGCACCCGTTCCCCAAAACTCCACTGAACACGTCACAATGGCTGCGCCAGCAGACCAGCGGATAGCAGTCCCTATCGACGACCCAAATGCTGATACTGAATGGTAAGTCAAACTCAACTTGCCGTCGATACTAGACTAAGAAGATTTCAGGAACGATATTCTACGAAAGCATGGCGTCATCCCAGAGAAGCCTCCCAGCCCGACCCCCATGATCGAGGAGGCTATTCTGGAAGGTCGCCGGCTAGCACACGAGAACAGGCTCGAGGGGAAAGACCTCGACGAGCTCGATGAGTTGGAGGACGAGGAAGATGAGGCATTTCTGGAACAATACCGGCAGCGCCGGCTACAAGAGCTGAGCTCGCTGCAGAAGAAGTCGAAACACGGGAGCGTATATCCCATTTCGAAACCCGAATATTCACGCCACGTTACAGAGGCCTCTCAGAGCGAACCGGTACTCGTCAACCTCACTTCGTCGACGGGCTCAAACGTTGAATCGAGAACATTGTCACAACTGTGGGCCCAGGCAGCCACGGAGTATGGGGACGTCAAGTTCTGCGAGATGCGTGCGTCTCAGGCAATCGAAGGCTACCCGGAAAAGAATTGTCCAACCATATTAGTGTACAACAAAGGCGATATCGTGAAACAGGTGGTAACGCTCATGACCGTTGGCGGCGTTAAGATGACCATGCTCGACCTGGATAAAATCCTCGTCGAGGTAGGAGCGGTTGGGCCAAACGATCTGAGGGTCATCAAGCGGCGAAGGCAAGCAGAGGATGCTGAAGAGGAAAAGCACATGGCAAAGGGAATCAAGAGCAGCATAGATCGGTTGGAGGACGACGACGACGGGTGGGACTAATCAGCCCCAGACCAATTTTGCTGGAGCTTCCGCGCAACTCGGCAAGCAGCGTCATAGGGGCATTCTGGCGTAGATCATATACATGGCAGAATCCGGGCACACCGGGATGCCGGTTCAAGGGATTGCTCCTGCTGTGAGGGTGGAAGGCCCGCTACCCGCAACCCTGGTCGCATTCGATGACAAGAAACAAGTGTCGAGCATCGATGCCATGTCTGATTGGGGTGATAGTTCCGACTCTGGTCAACCTGGCACTTCCCAGCTTGGATATGTAGGTGGCCCGACATATTCAGGTCTACTATTATTGTACTGTACCTCCATGCAGATTACATACAGAAGATTCATGTATACAGTACCTGGGTGACGTCAGCAACTTGAATTCTAGCTAGGGTAAATGCGGGTTAGCGGGGGCTGGAGAGGTACTGTTTACTTACACAGACGCGCTTCGCGATGTCGCGTGTGGCCCAGTTTCCTACCCACAGTTGTAGATAAAGCTCGCCAGCGAGGATCTCTGCTCAGTGCCCCAGACTAATTAATGGCAACATAATCATTCTCGCATTCACTGTTTACGCTTCTCGCAACTCGTTCCAATGGATGGCGAGTCGCCTCGATTTCCGGAGGCCACTCCAGACCAGCAAGATATAGACAAGGAGCCCACGTTACCCGGCATACCTGGTATACCTCGATTTCCTGATGTGTACCGCGGAACCAAGTCTGCCACCAACCCGCGCAAACGACTGCACACCGAGGACGCGTCGCTATTTCTCTCGACCTCCAGCGACCCAGCTGTCTTCTCGAGCGACGACGACCCGGCGCTAGAGAACGTGGGCAGGCGCAAGAAGCGATACGTAGGCTCGTGGTTCCAGCAGGTGCCCGCCTCCTCTGATTCCGCCATTGGCGAAGACATGCAGACTTCGCCTTCGCTGGTCGTTCCGAAGCGCAAGCGGACTCTCAGGCGCCAGTTTGACAGCGGCGTCTACATGGGCCACGTTGGATCAATTGACTCCTCGGATGGGGAGCCGGATGAGGAAATCATCGGCGACGGCCCAGACGGCCCAGACGAATCAGACGGCCCAGAACAGCCAAATATCGACGAGTCGGACGATTCTCATGCGGGCGACTCGGAGGAGGACCTAGAGGCACTCCTGCGAAACCCCGGTCCATACCGACTGAACCCTCATTCCGATGCATGCTATCGGCGCCTGGCAATCGAGAGGGCGATGCCTAAATACGGGGCCGACGAGGCGGCAATTCAGAATTATTTCCAGGCACTAATAGAGCAAGGAGAAGAGACCGTGGATTTATCGTTTGTGATCCCCTCCACTCGACAGCGACACCGCCGAAGCTAACGGAATCAACAGGAATATAGGGATGAATTCCGTCTCCAATGCGACAGTCTCACTCCTGTCCGGCTTGGTTCGCATTCCCACGGTGATAGAAGATGTCGAGTTTGAGCAGCCAGAAACGTCTATCAATCTGATAATGTCGAACAACCGCCTCATCCGAGTTCCCACGGCCATCTTCGAGCTCGAACACTTGACCACTCTGAGCCTCCGAGGCAATAAGCTCGTGGAGCTCCCGCCAAGCATCTCGCAGTGCAAGAGCCTCCGGACCCTCAACGTCTCCTTCAACCGACTTCGATATCTCCCAGGCGAACTCCTCGAGCTGATCAAGGAAGGCGGCTCCCTCCGCGAGCTCCACCTCTTCGGCAACCCATTCTACGTGCGCAAGAGAACCACCCCCCAGACCGACAACCCAGAAGAAGGCAACCCGGATGACTACGGACCGTCGAGGTTGTACCGAACCCCCGTCCAGTACACCGACGCCTCGGGCGCCGTCTATTCCGACTTCCGCCTAGACGACCGCAAAGAAGTCGACCTCGAGCCCGACTGGCAGCTCACGCCGCCGAGGCGCCACCAGGTCCCGACGCGCGTCCCCTCGCTCCTCGAGCTCGCCCTCCGCTCCGCCTCGCGCGCCTCCAAGAACGACGCCTCCCTCGCCGCGCACCTCGGCCCCGCCGGCCCGGACCGCCTGCGCGCCCTCCTCGACGCCGCGGCCGCGGACCGCTACCAGGGGGGCCGGCGGTGTCGGTCGTGCGGGCGCGGGTTCGTCCGCCCCCGGGCTAGGTGGCTCGAGTTCGACACGTCGGGCGACGCGTCGGGCGGGGGCCCGCTCGTCCAGGTCAAGATTGTGGGCGCGCCGTTCCTCTGGGCTGGGTGCTCTTGGAGGTGTGTTCCTGCGGTTGTGCCGAGGGCCGGTGGTGAGGCTGGGTCGTAGGTTTGTGAGCTCGCTATCGGGGGGGATGGGAGTTGCCGGGGGGTGGGCTGTAGAAGTACATAGACGCGGCTAGGTCGTTTGGCTGGCAATGCCGATGGGCTTTTTCTAACTAGATGAAGTGTCGATATATATAATATTTGTTACGTTCATCCTTGTCCACTTAACTCCCGTCACAGGGTCGGCCATCCATATTCTGAGAGCGGCTTGCCTCATACCAAGCGGTATCCGCCTTCCATGCGACGTACATATGGGAGACGTTGAGCAAGCTCGCAGAAAACATAGAGAGTATATATCATCAATTTGATTATATAGTAGAGTTCTGCCTACCCGCCTCTTCCCTACGTCTATTCCCTAGTGATCGCCATTCCGTTTATCCGATTCACCGTCCCCAAGACAAGCCGATGTTCCCAGGATCCAGACCGGTTTACTTCGTATCCCCCGACCGTGTCACCTCCTTATTATCCCAATCCACTCTTGCCGACGCAGCAGCACCCGAACCTCAATAATTAACCAGCTTGATCCGCTCCCGCAGCGCCTGCGGCAACTCCTCCGCCTTAGCCAGCCCCGCGAGCACGCAGTCGCCCCAGAAGAAGAAGGCCCGCTCTTGCGCGTAGGCGAGGTAATCGAACCCATGGCCATCTACTTCTTCTCCCCCGGCGTCGGCGTGCTCGCCGTCCTCCGGTGCAACGCCGGTAGGAGGAGGAGGAGAAGAAGAATCCGCGGCGGTGTCGGCGGTGGCGGCGTCGTCGGCGTCCATCCCGGGGACCCTCGCCTGGACGACGCCCCAGGCAACCCACATTGCGCTGTTGGCGGGCCGCCACAGGCGCGCCTCCTCCATGAGCTCGGCGACGCGGCGGTCCGACGCCTCCTCGCGGCGGGCCTCCTCCTCGGTCCACCAGCCCCCACCGCCGCCGGCGCTTCCGCCGGCGCCGACGGCCTGGGCGCGGGCGTCGAGCATGAACTCGACGATGGAGCTGGTCGACCCCGCGCGGTGCAGCGCCGGCGTGGTGGCGTGGCCGGCGCCGGCGGGCGACGAGGCGTACGACGGCGAGGCGGACAGGGCAGGGGTCCAGGTGCCCGGGGTGGCGGCGGCGCCGGCGTGGGTGTGCTGGGGGCGGTGGTCGACGTAGGCCTTGACGAAGCGGTACTGCTGCTCCGGGCCCGGGTAGGCGGCGGGGTCGCAGGCGTAGGGCGTCGCCGGGTCGTGGTAGTTGTACGTCCACTCGGAGAAGTGGTTCGCGAACTCGAGGCCCGGCATGTTGGCGCCCGCGTACTCGAAGTCGATCACGATCAGCTGCTTGTGCTCGTTGGCCGGCTGCAGGAGCGGCGACTTCTCGTTCTCGGGGCGCACTCGAAGGATGTTGCCATACTGGGTCTATGGTGCTAGTTTTTAGCATTGCCTTCTCCGAGAGACTCCCTAAGCGGGTAGGGGAGGCGAGGGTGCAAAGCAGAGGGAGAGTGAAAGGGGGTGAGAACATACATCGTTGTGGGAAAACACCAGCCTCTCGCGGATGTTATTCGGACCACCATATAACTCCTCCAGATATTTGCGATACTTGTCCACCATGGCCTTGAAGACATGCCACTCGGTACCACAGATGAATCCGCGTCTCTTCCACGCATCTGCGGGTCCTCGAATGGAGTCTGGTGTGCATTCAATGACCTGTTTGTCGAGCACCTTCACCGTCCTTTCCACCTGCTCAAGCCAGCGATCCCAATTTTTCCAGACCCCTGGGCCCGCGGCTCTCTCCTCGTCCAGCAGTTCAATACCGTCGTGCAGCTCTCGCATACGCTTTGCGATCTGCTTCGAGGTCTCTGGGTCTTTCATCGTCAAGGGCGTCAACGTCGTGGAATTGAAGAACTGCTCGAACCGGCCGTTGACGAACGTCCCCAGCAGGCGAGGCCCGATCTTCTTTCTGGCGAGGCGCCGGAGAACGCTCAGTTCGTTCTCCCGGTCGATATCCACATTCGGGCCATACAATCTCAGGAGCACCTTGGTCGGCGGCTTCTTCCCTTCGGGACTGGGAGGCAGGTTATCAGGAGGACAAACCACGTAGACCGCGTTCGTCAAGGCCCCGCTCAGTCGCTGGACAGATATGCGCTCGCCGCTGTCTAGTGGCACGCGTCTCCAGCCCTTGAGCTTGAGGGTGTGCGCGAGGCGGATGATCTCGTTCTTGAAGCCGATCCAGGCCGGCTTTTCATTGTCGTCCCTCTTGCTGGGTGACGACGCGCCGTCGTCTGCCTCCGACTTCCCCCCGGCATAGCTCATGGCCTTTGAGTTGTCTAGGATGGCGTCGCAGCTCGGCACCAGCGCATCGCCGTCGAAGAACTCCGTGTCGGAGGACGCAGTTCTCAGCATGTTCAGCGACTTGCTGGATCTCTTGGTATGCCTCCGTCCCAACCTGGGGCTGAAGCGAGGAACCGAGTTGAGGCCGAATGAGGCCATGCTGTCGTCCAGGATCCGCTGGAGCCTATCAAAAGAGACATCGCTGGATTCCGAATCTATGGACCCGGCCCGGTTATGTCTAAACTTGGCCGCTCTGTCGCTCTCGGTAGCGGTAGCGGTAGTGGTACCGGTAGTGGTACCGGACTGCGGGGACTTGCGGCGAGGGGAAGCCTTCTTAGTTTTCCTATTCTGCTTCTTGGTTTTCTCATGCTCGAGCCACTCTGCTACTTGGGCGAGGAATCTCTCACTGGCACGGTTGATCCGGTGCCGGTGCTCGGGCTGAGCCGAGCCAGCATCGTCGGCGGCCGAGACAGAAGAGGCACCGCTGACGATATTGCTGAGATTCTCAAGGCTACTGTGGCTGATGGAAGACAACTTCGGCGAGCCACCCGCCACTGGCGGCCGCCCACTCAGCCTCCTCCCAATGCCAGCCGGGAATTGCTTCTTGAATTGGGCCTCATCCAGGGGCGTCGGTGGTGGTTCCGCAATTTGTACAGCTATGGTCCGTATCAGCGAGTGAACCGCAACGTAACCGGGAACTCGTGCCTCAGCCCAGAGTGAGACATGTATCAGATCAGATACCGTCGGGGATCGCGTCTTTGTCCTCTCCGAGACGGGCAATCTCCCGAACTACTGGGTTCAGGGGAATCCGTCCCATTCTCGACGCTCCCAGCCCGGCAGGCATTGCCGGCCTATCCATGAAACTACACAGACGGAAGGCGGAAGCAAGACGATACGACACTTGTGACTGATGCTATTGAGCCACAACGGCGAAAAGGGCTGGTTTCCTGCCCCTGGAAGGGTCATGAGAAGACTGTGCCCCCGGAAAATGGAAGCGACAAACCTTTGGTTATGGGTGCGGCTGGTGGGATCGTCTTATCTCCATCATCCTCGCCTTTCAGAGCTGACTTCCTTGGCTGTCCCGAGCTCGACGACGTCGGGGTCGACATTGATTCGACGAGTTTGACCGAGACACGAGCTGGCCAAAGCACAAGGAATCAGAGCGAGGCAGAAATGAGGGATGAGTTGGTAGTTGTGTATTTTCTGTAGAAAAACTGCCTTTCCCGTCCCATGGATGCAAATCACGGTCTCTCTTGAGAAGGGGGGAGGGGGGTTTCCAAAGCTGCATGCGGTGAGGCGCTTGGGAAATTTTAAGGGTCCCTTTATCGGTTTCGTTGCGAAGGATAAAGAAGTGCGTTTCCACCCGTTCAGCTCCTTATCTGCGAAGAACAAAAAGGGTTTAGGTTAGGTAGGTTGGTAGCTAGGAAATGGTATCATTCCACTTCCCATTTCCGCCAGAGCCATAATAGCGATTTCCGGGGCTTGAAGAAAGTGGGCACAGAGGGCGCTGCCCCGCCACATGACTGGAAATGCTTGGAGCACTGCAGTTCTCTTGCCAGGCAAACAGAATGACGTAACTGGCTTGGAAACCCAGTTCACGCCACCGAGAGAGGAGATGCCCTTGGAAAAGGCCACACAAACACACAGATAATCAAGGAAAGCACTGATATCAGAAGGGTGTCTGGACACCTATCGATACGCCACGGGGTGAGAATTGAACCGGTCCGCTCTTTTGGATTGGATCCAGGAATAGCTGAGTGCAGTGGCTGGGCAGGGGTTTCATGCAAAACCCTACATCTCGGTACCGGCACTTGCCCGTAGTTTTTCTTCTTTCGTACAGCTTAGCTGTCGGAGAAACGGCGAGCTGCCTATCAGGAAGGAAGGAAAAGATTTATTGCAAGTGAGCACCTGAGGGCCAGCGCGTGGGGGGAAGGGTTGAGGTTTTATCCCCTCTGGACTGTTAAGGCCATCTACCTAAACGTAGTATCCCAACTTGACCCCGTGCGATGGCGCAATCTGGTGGCTTATTGTATGGCGACTCCTTATTAGCCGCTCAACGTCGAGTGTCTCTCGCTTCAATGCATGTCTGATAGGCCTCGACTGACCGTCAGCCAGATGGAGTGGAACCTGCTTCCCCGATGCTATCTCGGGATTCTGGGTCGGCGACCTGCACATACTCACCACTGTGTCGACACGCTGATGGACCAAGATCTTTTGTCACATATTGTGACAGGGGTTTCCGGCTCTCTATTACTAGTACAGCAGCCATATTATGCCCATATAGTATTGTACATCCCATTACATATGCGTACACAAACGCCTGAGTGGAGAGCAACCCTGACCGGGTCCCCCTTTCTCATGTCCTCAACTGGCCCTTCCAATCCTTCATGTGATCCAGGATAATCTTGGCAGCATGTTGCGGGGAATGCTGCCGCCCCAGCGCTTCGACAAAGTCGCCCTCGGGGTCCATGAGGTAGAAGTATATGCTGTGGTCGACCAGGTAGTCCTGCCCTGGCTTCACCTCGGTCGGCGTGCTGAAGTAGACCCGATATGCCTTGCACATGGCCTTGATCTGGTCATACGTGCCCGTCAGGCCGATGAACCTCGGATGGAACTCGCTCAGGTACTCCTTCAGGATCCCGGGGCCGTCCCGCGCGGGGTCGCAGGTGACAAACACGGGCAGCACCGCGCCGGGCCGCTCCGCCTCGACGATGTCAAACATGGTCGCCATCTTGTCCAGCTCCTCGGGGCAGATGTCCGGGCAGTGGGTGAAGCCGAAGTATACGAGGGAGTATTTCCCCTTCAGGTCCTCCTGCGTCATCGTCTTCCCGTTCTGGTCGATCAGCTCGAACGGGCCTCCAACCTGGGGTCGTCCCACGCCCTTGTTCGAGTCGGCCACTCGTTTGCGCTGCATGCGTCCCTTCTCGCGCTCGAAATAGTAGAGGAGCCCCGCACCGGTCGCGATAAAGAGTAGACCTGCTTTCCACGAGAAGGGCTGGGGGGATCTGGCGTGAGCTTCCGCGGCAAATGGGGAGAAGGGATGGGGCAGCCGGTGCGACTTACACCAGAGCGATACCTGCTCTTGGCTTCCTCAACCGTTTTATATTTGAATCTCCTCTGCATTAGAGGCTGATGCCGCGGCGAAGCTGTCTGGCTGGCTGCCGTCGGTCGGCGAGCTTGGGAGCTCTGGGAGGAGAGCAATCGACGGCATGGTCGAGCTGGTTGCTTCCACAGGGAATTGAGAAGGGGGCGCGCAGGCGCAAGCGATCTAGACATGATTTGCATATCACAGATCAACTCAATTGCGAAAGAGTGCAAAAAATGGCGTGTGCGCAGCGAAGCTCGGAGCTCGAGTGGTGATTTGTAAAATGTCAAAGGCCGAAATCTGATGATCGACGGAGTCATTAGCCTACCATAGTAGTGCTTAGCTACATACCCAGCAAAACCAGAAATTGTGTGGAGTCTCGATTATTGCATATATCCAACATCAGATTCCTCTTAAGCCGTCTTGTATGAACAACAAGCCAACCAATACATACATCGCTAGGTGGGTATTAGCAATCAGAAACTCCAATGGAATACTACCGTCAAAATTAAGATCGCCCTTTTTCTTTTTTTGATGGGTGCCTTTCTCAGAGGCATTTTTCACAGTCGCCCCTCCAGGAGCTGGGGCTCCAGACGCGATGCATGAGACAACGGGTAGTAGCATGAACCTTGAAGCCGCAGATGCAGTTATGAAAGACGGGGACCCGCACAAACCGGCGCAGAGGAGCCGCCAGGGCTCTTCTTCCCCATCCCGTACGGCCGGAGGTGGGGCGCAATCCAGCGCGGATACACCCTCAAAGAAGATGGCGAGCGAAACGAGAGAGGGCCCGGGTCGTGGCCCAGGCGACCAACCCGCGCCCGCTTCTGCTACGGCGAAGAAGAAGAAGGGCACGGCGAGCATCGTGAAGGCGTCTAAGCGGGGGAAGGGCGGCGCGAAGAAGCCCAGGGCCGCGTCGAAGAAGACGAAGAGGGCCAGCGCCGACGCCAACGCCGACGCCGATGCTGATGCCGCAGGGGACACGGGCGACGGCGAGGAGTCGGACGAGTCGGACAGCGGGCCGTACTGCATCTGCCGTGGACCGGATAACCACCGGTTCATGATAGCTTGCGACCAGTGCGAGGACTGGTTCCACGGCGACTGCATCGGCATGGACAAGTACACGGGCGAGAACCTGGTGCAGCGGTACATCTGCCCCAACTGCACCGACGGCAAGATGTACGTCACGCGGTACAAGAAGACGTGCTCGCTCGAGGGCTGCGAGAAGCCGGCGCGCATCTACGATCCCAAGGTCGCCAGCATCTTCTGCGGCGACGACCACTGCCAGGCCTGGTGGGAGCAGCTCATCGCGACGCTGCCCAGGTCCAAGGCCGGCTACCACGGTGACCTTCTTACGCAAGAGGACTTTATGGGTCTCGTGCACGGTTCGTCACGCAAGCCGGGAGACCACGATAGGACATGGAAGCTTGGTGATGATCCATTCGGTGAGTGGGCAGCCGTTCCCCGATTTAGCATCCTTTTTCATCCGCCCTACCCCCTTCAGCCTATCACAACCAAGCCAGCTAACCACGCCACAACCCCCACAGGCATGCCCCCGGACTTCTGGGACACCACCGACCCACAAGAAGTCCTCTCATCGGAGGAGCAGGCCTTCCTCTCCCGCTCGGCGCAGCACCGGCACGGCCTGGGCGAGGAAATCGTCCTCTGCAAGAAGATGCTGCAGCTGGTCGACATGGCGGCGCGGCGGCGCGACGCCGCCGTGGCGGCCTCGGCCTCGCTCGGCAAGGGCCACGCGCTCGGCAAGGACTTTTGCGGCTACGACGGCCGCCTGGACGCCGTGGGCGCCACCCACGCCTTCGCCGCCTTCGTGCGGTCCCCCGCCGGCGAGGCCGTCTTCCGCGCCGGCAAGCTCGACGCACCGGCACCGGCTCCGGGGAGGACGGAGACGGACTCTCCCGCGGCCGACCACCCCGCAGCGGGCAGCACGGGCAAGGACAGGGACGCCTCCGACCCCCCCGCCGCGGCGGCGATGGCGGCCATGACGGCGGGCATGTGCGCCAAGAAGAAGTGCAAGCCGCACCTGCAGTGGGCGGGCATGCTGTCCAAGGCGACCAAGCACCAGATCAAGGAGCTGGCCGCCCAGGCGAAGGAGATCCTCGACGCCGAGGCCCGCGTCCGCGACGGCGCCGCCGTCCGATACCGCCGCCGCCTGCGCGAGAACAACTGGGTCACCGCCGTCGGGGGTGACTCGGGCTCCGAGATGGACGTCGACTGAAAGGGGCGGCCCACGTATGTCCCTGGGCTTTGTGGATGTTGGTGAGGGGCTAGGAGGGAGCGGCCGGGATGGCGCTGGGCTTTTTCTTGATGGTATTTGTGAGTGGTGGGTGGTCATGGTTGATCATGAGTCAATCAATGCTGCTAGGCGTTTAAGAGTTCACCTGAGGTTCGGCTTGGACAGGGAAAACGGGGGTGACGGATTATGTATATTTGGATCAGCTTAAGCAGGATCACCGACTGACGGACTGGCCTGATTGCCATGGAAGTCACATCGCAAGAGGCATCAGGAATATAAAAACTGGTATCGTCATCTGCATCTCATTTTCTTTCTCGTGTACCATCTCTGAATCTGGTATATGTCGCCCACAGCATCTCGCGTCCCTCGTCTCATAGGCTCGAAATCGTACACTCATATCTGCCATAACTGTCGTGTGAGGGACTCGGCCGGCCCAATCCGGCAACAACCGAGCTTTGCACTCGATGGGCGTCAAGGGTCGCTCGTGTCGGAGCGGCACTTCGCTGACCGAATAGTATCCCATAATCCTTCCCAATTCGGCCCCCTGAGGCATACTGAAGCAGCTAAAGCCGGTAGCCCAGAGCTGAGACGGCCTATCAACACAGTTGAAAACAGAAAGGTGTACAAGAGAGTAACAAACAACATATTGCTAAATGGGGCGCTATTGGTTATCTGCTGGGAAGACAGGGGTATTTTGGGCGCACGCTCATGAACATAAACAACAGGAAGAAGTAGCAGCTAAGGGATATCAACACGAGTTAGAAAAAATAGAGAGAAAATTGGGGTGTTGGAACACGATGAAGAAACAGCAAAAGCCTCCTCCCAGAAGTGGGAGGGGATATAGAGTGACACATAAAAGAACAGAGAAATAACCAACGCCGATTTCGTAAAGGAGCCGTGAGGCCATTCCATCTTGTCCAGCCGCGAGGCTCGTCGGTCTTGAGTCAAGATACCACAGAGAAGACAGACAATTCGCCGTCCCGCCCACCTATATAATCCACAATCATATGGCATCGTCTTTCGGGGAGGTCCTGTCGGCAATGGGCGGACATATCTCTCCTCCTGCAGCTCGAGCGGCTCTGCAGGCTCCCGTCATGATAAAGCCGAGGCCGCAGTGACCCCCGTATAGACCTCGTCTCAGAAGTCATCCATCCATCCCCCTTTTGTGCAGTAGTAGCGGTCGTGTGACCTGAGTAATCTACCAATCCAGCCCAAGACTTTTCATCCCCTCGTCTGAACCTCTTTTGGTTTTTCGTTCGTCGTACAACGTGGCTCATTTCTTGGCGATAGAGTCCACATTCCTTCTCAACCCCATCGCTCCAAACAACCCCCAAGGCTTTGGGTGCTGAGGGTGAACGAGAGCCAAGAGCGCCACCAGTGGCGTCTAAATGGCCTCAATGGCGATGTCTTCCTGAGCTTGAATGTCCCGAATGACCGTGTCGATGCGAGTGCCCGTGGCGGTGATGCCCTTCCCGGTCTCTCCTCGATGATGAACCCGCCGACTCTAGGTCCCGTTCCAGCTGCTCGGCACGGCGACGGAAATCGCGGACAATGTCCCGGATGTGAGCTATGCGGTCAAAGTCGACCTCGAGCTCGTCAATCTGCCGGATGATGTCGTGGTAGCGCGCAATCTCGGCATCGGCATTGTCGATCAGGTTGCCTGCGCGGTCGTATACCTGCATCGTCACTATCTGCGACTGCTCCATGAGCTGCTCGAGCTGCTGTTGAATGTGCTGCATGACACGGTCGAAGTGGCGGCCAAGTGCGGCGAGCGAGCTGCTATCGATCATCAACACCCCCGTCGAAGAAGCTCGGCTGGCGGCGCGCGACGACGAGGAACCGGCGGCTGCTGCCGCCTGCTGGTGTTGCCGTAGCAGGGAGATCTCCTCATTCGTCAAGCCGAGCTGCGTATCAGGGATCGCGTTTGCTTGTGTGGACGACATATTGAAGGCGGATTGGCGTCACCACTGGCAGAGCTGTGTCAAGATAGGCCCGGGGGGTTCCTTGTTGGAAAGCTCGAGGGCCTCGGCGAGCTAGCGCCGAGGGCGCAGGGACAAGACCCGGATGCTCAAGACGGGAGATTTCAGTCCCTCCAGGGGACAGCGCGCAGGTGGGAAACTGCAATGCCTTGAAGCCTTATTGCCTGCAAGCCGCGGTATGGTAAACGACCGGTTCGGGAGGCAGCGGCCCGTGAAGGAGCGGTAATTGGGGCTCCGAGTGGGGAGGTGCGCCGATGCGCTGCTATGGCCTTCGAGAATCGATGCAAGTGTAGATGGTGGTGGCTGTTGCGGCACCCGTTGCTAAAGCGTCGGCGACGATGCAGTGCGCACAGAGTCATTGTTTCGATGCAGTAATGGCGGGCATGGTTGAGACTCGATGGGAGGACGGGTTTTGCAGTCGATGGAGATTAATCACCCGCAGTGTTGGGAGGAGAGTCGGTCAGTCAGTCGGTCGGTCGGTCGGTCGGTCGTCGGCGAGGAGACGCGAAAGAGGGGGCAGCGGAGACGGGAAGAACGGTGATGGATGGGATAGAGTAATTCCCAGCGACCTTCTTTTCTGGTGATACAGGCTGGATCCAGTAACCCTCCACCAGGATCCGAAAGTTTGCACCGACACACCACCTCGAGTATTGGACTGTCGGGCCTATACCCTCAGCCTGGCCTTGTTCACACTTGCTGTAGACAACGATGAGACATGCAGATATATATGTATTCCGTAGATTCGGGAAAGCTTCCGCCAGTTTGCAAGATTCCCTGGGCGACCCGTAATCAACCGATTGATTGATTGATTGATAGTCGATGTTGAATCAACGCCGCCGCCGATATTGAGCCAGAAGTAAAAGGAAGAAAAGGGGTACGGGTTTATGGCGCAGTTCGACGAATACGACTGTGATATCGACTTTCGCGGGCTTTATCGAGCTCAGTAGCAAACGGAGAAGCGGAATAAGATGTGCTGGGTCCGGATCGATGAGGCTTTGACGTCCATATCCCAACTGCCACTGCTGAGGAGACTGCTGGACATGCAGTCCATCACTGGATGCATATGCGATCGGAAATGGGGTCACCTGTTGGCTGCCCAATGTATGTATATACAGACAATATAAATGAGGATGCTTGAGCAAAGGATCTGGAAGGAAATCGTTATCGAAATGGGGATTTTTTGGGTGGCCGAGATCACTTGCACCAAGTTTATTACCCCCTGGTCCCCTGTCACATCTTTCTGCTGGGACCAATCACACGCCCCGCAGCCTGGTCCAAGGAGTACCTGCCTTGTTAGCCTCCACCAGAGGCTGTAAAGGGGCCCGTCGAGAAGCGCGAGAAACGATGGGGGAAAATAAGAAAATATAGAAGTCCACGACACTTGCTCAAAGTACCCATCTATGGCGCCGTGACAAGAACTTTTGATACGTAATGAAAAAGGCGAGACTGGGAAACAGAAACACAACGAAAAAGGGAAGAGAGAGGGAGAGAGACAAAGACCAGGATTTCCGGTCTGAGCATCCCGGCGCGAATTAAAACAACGGGAGGGCGCCATCACACCCACGCTTGCGGGGGCACCCTTTTGCGGGGAGGAGCGCGTCTTTCCCGGGGCCCCGGTGATGAGCCGCCTAGAGCTAAGTTCCCACATCTGATCGACCGGCACTCACAGCTCGAAGATGACACCAACCCGTTCCCTCCCACGCATAAGTAAGATGTATATGTGTGTGTGTGTATGGAAATCGTTTCCCGACTTGGTGGTGCCACTTACAAGTTGTGTCTCGCCAAGTTACGTCTTGGCACAATCAGACCAGGCATTCCCTCGAGCGCGACCACTATCCGCTACACGGCCAGAGGGGAGAGTTCATTAAGGGGTTGGCCAGGGACTCAGCTAATAATGTTTTAATGATGTATTACCAAAGGGCCAGATTCGGCAGCACGTTGTAATTCCGATCCCATATAGTTGCGAAGGATAGGAGTACGTGAGAAGGTATTGGAGGACGTGAGAAGGTATTGGAGGGAGCTGCTGTCGTCTCCAGCCGACATTGCCATTATAAAACGTATTGAGTGAGAACATCGAACTCTGCCTAGTTAAACGCAGGCCTCACCATCGAACATTCTGCTTCTCTCCTTCCCAGTCACCTCCTCAGATGCAGCTAACACACGACTATATTTAGATGAAGGCAACCGAAGTACTCGTCCTGCTGTGGTCATGGACAGTCCTGTCCTACTACCACCCCATGTGGGACTCAGGTGTATGTTCTTGGCCAAGTATGTAATTGCTCTAGGAGGGCCTGCCCTCATTCTCAGGTCGCCGGTACACCCATGGAATACCACGGCCAACAGAGTTGTTCATATCCAGCGCAGGCATACAGGGAGGGAAATAAGTAGGCTGATACTGTATTGTTTGGGCCTCGGCGCGACTGATCGAGTATACAGACATGATGTCCACGGGACACCCGCGAAGAACTGCTGGAAATTTCTGAGAGTTAAGGGGGTTCCGAGACCATTGGAGACGATCTTGCCTCAGGTAACATATAAGCAGCATGGTTGCGTTGGGGGGGCTTGTGGGCACCCATCAACAAGTGACTGGCGACACTTCGATAGCCAAGGATATGGTGAGAATACATGACGAGAACCTGCAAGATACAAAGGATGCTCTCATCTTGAACCACCGGCCAGGTAGGAATAGCAGCAGTCAAGCCAATGCCATACGGAAGGGCCCGAGGAAAGACAGGGCTGTGGGAGAAGGGCGGGGATGGGGAGACGGTGATGCACGAAAGCCCTCATCCCAACTGTTGAAACAATTTCCTGCCAGGAAGGAGAGCCCATATTAGTTGTGGCAGGCACGTGGGGAGAACGAAACACCGACCAAGACGGGTCTATATTTATAACATCTCCGTCAAACACTGCTGTTCATGCAAGACACCTGGAGCCAAGACCCTTGAGATCTTGAATATGGGGCCCTGCTCTTGACATGAAATGGCCTAAGGAACACCCCCAGGCCCTCGAGACAGAACAGAAACATTGACATCCCCGCATCTCACCCACCTCACTCAACCCCAAGGTTCCCTTTGCGGCGGTTGCCTTGTTAACAGACATCTCAATGCCAGACTTGCAGTCGAGTGAGTCTCAGACTGTCTTGGTTGCGATAAGGACCACCTCCCGCATCGGAACAAACGCCGAGACGATATCTCAGGTAGAAGGGAGAGCAAGGAAGGTTGAGAATGGCACGACCTGGTGGTAATCTCCCGGCTTGGTTACCGTGATCCACAGAAACACCTCGCTTGGCGCCAGACTACGCTTGGATATTGGATATTTATGCGTTTCGAGACTCGACACATTATCGTCTGCGATCATGCTAGATCTCACGGGATATCGCGGTAGTGGACAGATCAATGCAGAAGTAGGGGTAGAGAGCGCACGAATTCCGCGTAGATTGAAAGGTCGGACGGGCAGGGCCAAGCCAAACACTATTGCTGTCCTCGCTAAAGGTAAATAGTCAGAGAGGCCAGAGAGCGTTGTCGAGCAAGCCACTTGAAACACAGCAGCCGTCGCAGATTAGACACAGGGAGTAGCGTAGCCTCGTAGTCAAGCCTCGCGCGCACTCGAGCAAGCCCATTGGCTTGGGCGCGCTGGCCACGCGAAGCTAGCGGAGCCGCCATTGCTTCTTTCGGGTCGTCTTTCCGTCATGAGTTGCCTGGTGTAGTCGCACGTACGCAATAGTTCGCAGGAGGTACTCTTCTTTCCTTTTTTCTTTCGTCTTATTGTTTTGTGCCGCCGCCGCCTCTCTGTTCGTCGCGCTAAGGAATAAGGGGGAAGGGGGATGGGGAGGGATACAGACCGGAGTTTCCGTACCGGTGATAGTCTTGCGTTGGTGTTGTTTGTTTTGCAGACTGCAAGCCAAATTGTGATTGATGATCGACAGACATGTCTCACTCGCATCTCCACTTCGTACGTGCGTACAAGTTACTCCGTTCAGCGACACTCATGCATGCTGCCACGCGTGACTTGCATCTTTCGTTAGTTGATCTCTCGCATGATTGATGAAATGAACTTGAACTTCAATGTCCGCAGGACTGCAGGAGGCGCCGCCATCATAACCGGTCGTCACACTCGTGAGCTCTACGAGTCTTGTCTTTCTCCAGATGGACACCTCCCCTATGCCGGCAGCCGAGATACACTACTGTGACGAGAGCGCTCGGCGGCGAAGAGCTCTCTCGCAAAGTATAAAATCCTGGACTCAGCTAGGACCCTGAACATCATCCTTCCCACGATGTCCTGAATAAGGGACTTGCAGCACAAGTTTGCAGGAGAAGCAGGTGAACAGCAGGGGGCAGGAGAGGCGGGGTTCCCGGTCGAGCATATGACACTAGCCTGCTGATCGTCATTGATCAGTGATCCGATCGTCAGGATAGCCAACAGGGATTGTGGCCAGCTAACGGAGAGTGCCATTAGGGGATCCCACTAAAAGTCCGAGCGTCAGGGGGGAAGGGAGGGATATCCTTGGGCGAAAACCACGCTTGGCCCCCTGAAGGTTTCACTAACGACGACGGTGTCAACCCGTGGGATATCAAACTATCCCGTTCCTGGCATGCTAGGGTGGGTTAATGTCATCTGATCTCCACAGATGCGGTTCCTTCCAGGGCTATTTTTGGGTTTTCGGGCGCATCGGAATAGCCCAGCTTCATTTCATTTCCTGTCTGTGATAACATTTCCATGTGCCTGTCAGCGATGATCACCGACGAAACGGCTGACAATGTTCTGCTGCAGCCGGTATTACACAAATAACGACTGATTTTCATAACACCTACCAAAGTTAGGTATGTGTAGCGAGAGCGACGAAAGTGCAGTTCGCAGTCCGCACAATGTAGCGTGACTCGCGAGTGCTGTCAGGTACCTACCTACGCAAGACCTTTCCCGGATTGCAGGCCCGCAGGAGCGGCACGGGATGTCTTGCTACGCCGCTGCGCTGCATGCTGCAAACTCACCTCAGGTCGGGCATACTCCGTAGCGTAGCCAGCAGAGGGGCCTGCCGAGCTCCTGAGTTAATATCCCGAGTCCCACAGCAGATCACTGAAATGGGCTTCCCATGGCAGCGGTACGCTTTCCTAACCCCTTCCTACCTAGCAGACCAGCCCAGCCTTGCTCCTTCGATGATCAATTGCACAGTCGACGAGCTAGCAGACGGCAATAGACGGCAAAGTGTACGCATGAGGCATGTGCCTCTTGGCAAGTGACTGTGAGACCTTCGTGCCAGAACGGGTTGCTTGTTTGAATCATGAACACACTAGATCCGACCGGTGAGCAGAATTCGGAGGCTAGGGGAGTGGGGAGGGGCCAGGCTAGAGAAGCACACGCAGGAATCACAAAGTGATTTGGCGTCGTTAGACGCTTTGCTTGCCCAGAAAGCGAAAGAAAAAAAAAAGCAAGTAAGAGGCAGTTTCTGCTTTCCTCTAGTTACCCACGCTAGTGCGGTGTGGAAAAACGCTAGAAGAACTTAATGAGAGAGCTGAGCCACATTTTTGTCGACGATCTTCAGGACCCCACACCTTGCCTATGAAGAGAAGAGTGGGCCCCTCCCAATTGGGCGGGTGATGACGGAACTCCACTAGCCGCCCTAGTTGCCATTACTCGAAGGAGCAGGATGGGCTTATTACGCCGCCGCGTCTGCGTGTGGAAAGTGTTATGTGGTATACACTACATACAACACCAGTATTTCTTACGGCGTTCAGCTTCCCAGAGTCCCGGAACGAAGATCACAAGCTGAGCACAAAATTAGCATCTCTTGGTGGCTTTTCCTCTCCCGCTAACAGGCCCGTCATCCTCGCGCTACTACCTAGCTAGCCAGCCGGTGATGGCACCGCATCACAACAAGCATAAACCCTATTCAAATTCGATATTTTAGATGAGTCCCGCCAGGGGTTTTGGGAAATGGTCACTAAAAGCCCGCCCCCATCCGACCATCTCCACTCTGGTGAATTGCCGAAGTGGTATTCCGTCTTGGTTGACTTAGCGTGCTGTAGATCAATCGAGGGGGACCCATGCACGCTCCTCTCGGAGTCGTTGCCTTTGTACAGGAGTCAGCATCCTCGAGGGCCGTCAGGGATGTGCTCGGCAAGCAGGCAACGCATTGTCTCTTTCTGCCCCGACCCTAGCAGCACAGAGACATGGAGATTGGCCCTTTGTTTTACTAACGTGCTAGTGGACTATAGTAGAGAAGGCTTTTGACGATCGATGTCCACCGTGCTCTTCACTTTGGAGATTGCCTTCTCTCTGGAAATGCCCCCTGTCCTGGCAAGCATTCTTGACCCTCCATGTCCTTGATGGTCTAGTGTGAGAGACCAGAGGGCAACAAGTCACAAAGAGTACCGTCTTGGGGAGAGTAGGTACTGATCACCATATCACATCGAAAAGAGGAAGACATTGCGTTTTCCGAACTTGTTCTTTTCCCATTCTTGAGTGGCCTCCGTTTCCCCAGATAATACAAGCTTGCTCTGAACCTACAGAAGGCGGTCCTTTTCCTTTCCCACCCAATGGCGCGCACATCCCGCGGGCCCCCAGTCTTGTTCGTCCTAGAAAGTGTACAGTTGCCTGCAGCGGCATTCCCCGTGTGTATATACATTATGGCTAGGAAAACAACAGCAAAGGAAATCGTAAGAGCGAGTGCATGAAAAGACGCCCAAGACAGGATAGTGTGGCGCTGCGAACAAAATTCGAATGCAAACAAACGCCCGTGAAAATGCTGAGTAGCAGATCGCAACTCCGACCTCCCCTTTGTTGTGGCCAAATGACAAAAAGAAAAAGGGGGCGGGAAGGCAAGATCATCTTCAGTGATCGAATGTCAGACAGGCTGCGCCCCTCCCTACCATTGCCGGACCCCGGACCCAAAAAAGTGCTCTAAAACGAAATGGAAGAGTCATCTGCAACTCGTTCCACGCCTCTTCTTTCTTTGCGCCTGTCCCCAGACTCGTCGGTTCGGCTCCGCTGTGTCCAGGGGCATCCTCGATTCAATCGTGGTTTCGAACGCCCAAGGTCTCGTCCAGCAAATTATGCAAACATCTGCCAACGCCGTTCGTCGTGATCGCGCCTCTACCGAGAGAAGATCCCCGCCATGTCCCAACTCCTTTTCCCCTCCCGTCCTTCCTGCATCCAGACGAGGCCGTACCGATTATATTTCAAGGTGATAAAAGAAATGGGAAGACGCCTCCGACAAAAGGCGAAGCCAATGGAAGGGCGAGGGAGATGTGCCAGATTACGAAATCAGAGCGGACCCGCTGCTGCTGGTTTCAAAATTATGGCATCCCCGCTCGTGGCGCTTCATGTTGCTGCGGACGCTGAAGGCCTTCCCGCAGCCGGCATGTGGGCATTTGAACGGCTTCTCGCCGGTGTGAGAGTGGCTGTGGATCCGCAGCGAACTCGGCCTCGAGAATGCCTTGTTGCAGGTCTGGCAGATGTACCGGTCCTGAGACTGCGGGAAGGAGGCCGCCGAAGATGGTGAGATGTAGTGATGGTGCTGCCACGGGTTGGCACCAGAAGTGGGACCCATGGCAACCGAGACGGGAAGGGGAGGGAAGGTCTGAGGTAGCGGCCGCTGATAATAAAGACCCGAGATCTGGGATTGAGGCGGGGGTGTCGGCTGCATGGGAGGGTAGTACGAAGCCATGGTGGGTTGTGTCATGTACGCTGATGTGGCGAACTGAGGTTGGTAGGCTGAAGTCTGGACTGGTACGCGGGGGACACCGGCCGCGGCGAGATGGTGCCGAGCATCCGATTCAACATGGCCCAGAGGCGGCGTCGACTCGAAATAGTAGTTGGAGGCTACCGAGAGCTGGCTCACCGACTTTGTTGACGGCGAGTTGTACCCTTCAAACGAGGCATCCGAAGACATGGGAGGGGTTGGCGGGAGTGCCGAGCGTGACATGGCAGCATTGCTGTAGTGTGACGAGTTTGGCCGCGTGTCTGGCTTGATGTGTTGCACTGAGAGATCCAGGTCAGCATCGCTTGTGCGATAGCTGCGCCAAGCTGCCGTACCTTGTGGTTGCTGTTGTTGCTGGTGGTGTTGTTGCTGTTGCTGCTGCTGCTGCTGCTGTTGCTGCTGTTGCTGTTGCTGCTGCTGTTGTTGTTGTTGTTGTTGTTGTTGTTGTTGTTGTTGTTGTTGTTGCTGCTGCTGCTGCTGCTGCTGCTGCTGCTGCTGTTGTTGCTGCTGTTGTTGCTGCTGCTGGAACTGAGGTGACGTCTCTGAAGTGGGTGAGCCCTGATCCGCCAAACCGAGCAGGTTCGATATCGACGGCAGAGAGCACTTGGATGTCTCGTCCATGGGAGGTGATGGCGGGGCGGAATAGCCGTAATGAGCGCTCGGCTGAGCGCTGTAATGGTTGGCCAACATGGTGGTTGTCATGATGGTGCTCTTGCTTGACGGTTAGGTGGTGGCTCTAGCTCTTTAGTTGGATCCAATGTCGTCGTTTTGGGTGGTGATAATTAGGTAGAATAGACAATAATATCAGTGAATTAGGGTATGGTATGGTATAGTATGGTATGGTAGAGTTGTCGGATGTTCCAAGCACCAGCTGGATGTTCGCAGAGTTTTGTTTGATATGATGGATCTCGGATTTCCAGAGAGGCCTAGTAAGAGGGAGGCGGGGTGGGTAGTATATGTATACCACGAGAAAAGAAGCTTGTTGCCAGGGTGGGCGTGTGGTTGGCCACTGGGCCCGTTTTGTATTTCCTGATCTCCCGAAGTAGATGGCAGGGGAGATCAAGTGTCAATCCACAGTTGATCCCCGGACGAAGACGGCCACAGAGGGGGAGACTTGTCACAAATTGTGTGTGGGTCTGACCCTTGGTCCGGCAAGGTTGAGCTAGACCTGGGATGACGGTGATGAGCGGTTGATCGAAAAGGTACCTCTGCGTAGACGGTAAGTACATATAGCGCCTCCTATTATATGGGGGGAAGGGGGTCTGGCTGCGTCGAGGGGGATCCTGATTAATGCTCTCCATGGAACTGACCAGGGGTGGCAACTGGACTGTGCGTGCGTGCCCACTCTCCGTTATGAGCCTGTCAGCGGTATGAGATGAGAGAGAGATCGCGGGATGTGAGCAGGGCTTGCAGGGGGGGGTTCATCATTGATCGTCAAAGGCCAAACGGTCAAGATTTATGCAATTGGCATCTTGCCTCGTCGGGCGACTTTTGACCGCGCTGGGATGTTTCTTTCCGTGTGCAGGGTGACGATACAGTCCCTCCCCTAGTGTGCGTCCGATGCTATCGTACAACTAATAACGTGCTGGGCTTGAATGCTATGCGTATCTAACAGGTCCAAAATGGAAGATTGGAAAGACCTGTTTTTGTCTCAATTTAGTTGGTACTTTGGTACCTCCGTACTCTAGGTTCCTTTTCCCCCTTCCACTCGCCAACCGGGACAGCGGCGCTAACCCAAATGGCAAACCCTGTCGCACACTAGTGCTGGTAGCGTGAACTTATGCATGGGACTGGGCCACTTCGCCTGAAGAGTATTTTCCTACCCGTCCCCAGGAGCTGGTCACGGATGCTTGGGCTGTTTGGGAACAGTGATCCCTGTCCACACGCAGGAGGAGGACTTGAGACAAGCAGCGGCTCGGTTCATTTTGTGCCTGATTGTGTGTGAGGCCACCAGAGCTTCACAAATGGCCTGTGCTGCGACCGGATTGTCGAGCTGATCTTATGCCGTGCGTCTCGCAGCCTTGTAGCTGCCATCCCAAAACACCTAGGTGTGCGTTTGTGGTTCAGCACTTCAGATGACTTGTGTCTGGGGGTTCCAGAACTATTCTGATCTTTCCGGTCCTTGGTGCAGATTGTCAGATCCAGCTTACAGGAGGAGATCATATCCTTTCCTCCCTCCGCAAAACGCCGACGAGTCAGAGCACTGCGAAACTCCCGGATCCGCTGCAGGGACCAAAAACAGCCCATCAATAGATGCTTGGACCAGTTTGGGATTTCTTTTACTGTGTGTTGGTGTGTATTGCTGTCATAAGAAGCGCCGGCTATCGTGAGGCCAAGTGAGATCGCGACGAACCTAGTGACCAGACTGGGGATGTTCGGATGCTCGCATCGGCAACCGCCGGTTTCATTAACGCTGAGTGCCCTAGTAGCTGGCCCAGAACTCCAGCCTCACAATGAGGCTATCGGGCACGCTAGGTCGTCCGACTCATGTTGTATTGAATGCAGCCTATGGCAAAGGCCACTACAGGATGGGTTTGCACCGTCCTGTCCTGAAATTAAAGGCCCTCGGTCCCCTCAGCCTGGTGCTCAATGTGCTCAGTAGCGTCGAGACGGACTGTGTCATCCACTGGACCTATTACTAGGTGCGCTAACGCCACGGCGCGAGAAGCACATGGCATGCGGTGCAAAAATAAAAATAAATAAAAAACAAAAATGTCCGTCCTGTTTCCTCCCAGAGCCCCCAGAAACAGTCGGGGGATTTCCAGAAACAATCAATCTCAGGTGATCGTCATTCGCCAGAGCGCCGATTGAGTCCAGGAAAAGCTGTGGCTCTCCGGGGGCTTGCTGGGCATCTCGGAGGGGTCCGTGATCGACTGGGACGAAGCGAGACAGGGGTGGGACGGAACGACTCCCAGCCTGTCTGGTCCTGTGTCTGGGCTGAAAGCAGGGGGGCCTCTTGAGTGTGAAGGCCAGGGCGTTCTGGGACACGCAGTCGCAAGGCATGAAATTGGCCGAAGCTCCTGGGACAAGTGGCTATGACACTACCAGATCATCTGCCACAGGCACAGTCGTGGTGGGAATTATTAGCATGTCAACAAACGGCATCTCTCCATCCCCCATCTCCATGATCGAATTGTCCCCATCCACACTACAACTCGATTGTTTCGTCATTTTATCTACAATACCTACCCAGCTACCTGGTGTACATGTATAGCCCTCTAGCGTTGCTCGACCTAGCGGGAATTGATGAATCATGACGAAAGGCTGCTGGTGTGCTCAAACCTCAGGAGGGCACGAGACCATAACTTTGGTGGCGTCGAAACCAAATCTCAGGGTTTCACTCAAGCCCTATGAAAGTCGAGCCGAGAGCGCCACGGTGTTCTAGCCACGAGAACACGTGCGGTCCCGTTTCCCTTCCACCCCCGTGTCGGATACCTGGTAGGTACCTATGTACCTATGTAGTATAAACAGGAGAGCGGGAGTTAAGAGCCTCGTTTTTGTTTTTGTTTTGGCCCATCTTTTTCTCAGGCTTCTTCACTTTCCTTGTTTTCTTACTCGAGTTTCTTTTCCTTTTTGCAATCCCCCCAACCCAGCTGATTGGTGTTTCGAACGGCTCTGTTCTCATTATTTCTGTAGGTTCCATATTGGTGCGTGAGCTGGGGCTGAATGGCGTCGTCACGCGGGCGCCATCCACTCTCAGAAGCTCAACCCAGCACCAGACAGGAATAGAACACCAGACAATGGAACTGTGACCTCTTCTATCAGTGTTGGTCTGTCTATCAGCATGCGTACGTACTGCATGGCCAGTGGAATTGGGGCTTGTTCGCAAATCGAGGTCGTATCGTGTACGGAATATCGATCACCACAATTGCCAAGTCCTGACAATGTCCATCCATACCCTGCTTGTTCTTTATTCGGTGTAGAAACACGGAATACAGTGGCGGGGACTACCTAATTTGGTGGCCAGAGGCGGTGGTACTTCGGAGCCTTTCTGATTACCTACCTATATCACCACCAGCGGTAAGCCCTCTTGTTCTGTCGTCACTGCAGCCCGTTTTGTTGCCGGCAGTGGTGAGCAAGCGAATTGGGTTCCACGGGTGATGCGCACGGGAGAATGGAAGGGGTACTGGTGTGCAGGTACCTCCCTAGTGTTACGGAGTTATATCCGACGTGTGGGTGATCAACGTGGCGGCGCCCTAGCACCTCTTTCGCTTAAGAGTCGTTTCTGTGCCTTCACACCCCGCTAATCCTGTTACGGGGGCTGACTAAATCCTTGGAAACGGATCGGCGAGTTCGCCCAGGATGTACAGAGTTATTGCAACACCGGCCGGAGGACATACCGTCCTGGGACAAGTGGCAAGCTGATGAACACTGATGAACCACAGGGAAGCCTAAATAAGACGGCCTGCCCTGCCAGTGTTGCAGCAAAGGCACAGTACATATGTACATAGTAGGCAGCTTCATACATACGTAATATTGCAATTGGCACTCAACTTCAAGGTTGGCTGCCCGTACCGCCGGAGTATTCGGGACTGTGCACAAGCCTCTCGAGACTTGAGGAACCAAGACTTGGACTTGTGCGTTTTGCAATGGGAAGACTTGGAAGACTTGGCATGGATCCTTCGTTGGGTCGTTCTTGGGTCTTCCAAATCATCGCGGTGCCGAGTTTGCAGGTAGTGTAGCGTGGGTAGTGGGGTGAACGACTGCCCATGCTGGCTCCCTTTGGCTTTGGCCCCGCAGATTCCACCGCATGATCATCCTGAAGCCCAGCCTGTTACGGAACATGACCCATCAGCCATGCCCTTACGCCAGGTCGCCTCACCATCGCCAGAGCCTATCATGCCGTGTCATAGCCGCTGATCAACTTCTGGATGCTCTTGGGATGGGTATTCCTCACGTCATTGCATACACATACAGACTACAGTAGCGTACCGTTGGGCTTTCTGCTTCCATCCACTATCCAATTCCAGACCAGTGGATCCCGGAAAATTGCCGAAGCGTTGGGAGGCTCCAATTCTGGCCCACCGCTCGCGGGCTGCCTTTGTCCCGGCCGGGAACCACTTCTTACCAGCCTCCTGGAACGAAGCCTCCTGGAACGAACCCGCCGCCCAAAGCTTGGGGACCTGTGTCGGCTTCGTTTTGATCCGTCTCTACTGCGTACCGACCTGACGGGACCTACCTCGCAGGTCGGAAATCTAGTTTCCCAAGACAGCACATGGTCACTAAATAAATGTATGATGTAACAGCCTGTGCGGCGCTGACCGGTGCAATCTGAAAGTTAATTAGTGCCTGTCTGTATTTTTGGATGGGTGCACAAAGCAGATCCTCGGCGACAGGGTGGGGTGCGATAAACATGGATCCCAGACAACTTATTCGAGAACACCAACGCCAGGCGGGGTGAGGCCAAAAGGGGAATAGCACGAGATTGGGAGATCTGTCGATCAATACATAAGGATCTACGGATTACACTATCGTACCATGTGCCATTAGATTAGAGAGGAAATCAACTTCCAACGACCACCTTCAACCACCACCAAGGAAGGTTAGGTAGCTGGGTAGATAGCTCTGATATCCTTCCTGACTTGAATGTAACAACCGAGTCATCGCGTGGTGGTCACTACTGTGTGGAGAGGCTAATAGATAAATTAACATTAGTGCACATGCTAGGTATGTGATGGAAGACGAAAGGAAGGGAAAGGAAAAAGCAAAGGTTGCAGTCGAAACGGAAAGAGAAGTATGGGAGGGGTCTCGCCCCATGCAGGCTTCAACATGCCACTGTGGCTTATGCAAGACGTCCAAACCTCCCCAATACGG